GTCATTATGTTGCTAACATAATTCCAGGCCAGCCAGGTTGCTTTGTGTGTGGACCATGTTACGTAGGATATTGGCAGAAGGTTTCATCATCGGTCCGACCTTCAGGTGAGTGGCAATATTGACTAAATTACAACATTAAATCAATACAACGTCTCAGTTCAGCGTGTACTGCCCGTTCCAGTCACCCAGAGAGCATCAGAGGCCTCAGGCTCTTGTGATGAGTCGTGTGCTTCCGGATCCTCAAATTATCCGTCAAAGTGTGAATGACGCGCAGAGGAAATGTGAGTCTTTAGTCTTTTGGACTGTGCTTGTATTCAGAACACTGAAACTTATTTTGTAGCTACAATCAACCCCCCCCTGTGGTTCCATTCTCCTCAGGCATTGGCTCAGTCAGACTCTTGCACAGGGGCCAGATATCCTAGTACCATCATCCTGGCAACATTCACAGAGCTTAGGCCAGCATAGGGTCGCTAGCGGGGGCATTGGCGCTGGAGGATATTCTGCCTACCATGCACAATATAGTTCGGAGCGTGAATGGTGGGCCAAACTTTTGTACGCTCCACCTCCGGCGGAAACTATTACTTTGGAGGTTTCAGCAGTTCATGAGGGCAACTCACAGAGGAAAGCCGGGTGTGGCATAAACATTGGCGTGCATCCTTCCATCTTTTCAGTAAAACTCACCCTGAATTTGCTTGCATTAGAACATTTGTGAGGGCAAGAAGGATATCAATGCTCGGATCGATGCACCTGGACTCATCGCTCTCGCGTTGGACATGGTCGTTCCAAAACTCTTCATTTTTGCAAACAGATTTCCATGGCACACTGACGAATTCACAGTGCAGGATGCTGCTTGGGTCGATCTGTCCACACACCAGCCCAACATCCCTTACTTTTTCTCTCAATGTCTAGTCCCCTCTCGCCGTGGGCAGAAGGCGCCAACATTTAAGTCCAAGCAATTCACATTGGCAGTTATTGTGCCAGCGGCGCAATGGAATAAGTATGAGAATTGGATAGAAAAAATTGAAGAGGTAAGAGTATTTATTGAGTTGACGGCTTCTTAATGGCTCATGGCGACTATCAGCATCAGCTTCGTCAGTCCATGGCGGCTCAAGACTTGCCTCCTACGGCTTCAACGACTTATGACTTTGAGTATGCTGATGATGGGAACGCTACTGATGGGAACACTATTGGGGATTCTGAGGATGGGAACGGCGTTGAGGACGCTATTGAGGATTCTGAGGATGCGACCGGCGTTGAGGACTCTGAACAGGGAGATGACTTGGAGAACACCAGGGCACCTTCTCTCTCAGCAAAACGGACACATGTTTGATCAGTGAGTGATTCTCACTCAAGCACCATGTCACCCCCTCGCAAGAAGGCCGCACCATTAGTGTACAAATGCTCGGATGGACTTCGCCTCCCTAGCCATGACTATCTGAGAGTTGCATTGAAGTACGGAGGCAGCACAAATCCAGATGCATCTAGTAAAGGTGAGTGATTACTCGTTATCTCAACACAGGACACTTAACAGCACTTTAGTCTTCAACAGGCACCACGAGGATGTTCAATATTATCCAATCCCCACTCGCTCACTCACCGACATCCTGAAGATGCCGAAATATCATACCTTTGAACTCGACATTTCAGACTCACATATTGGTCAACTCACGATTGATGTTCCCCTCCATAGTATGATAGGAATCGGCACTTTCAAGACAGCTCATCCTGGGTGGCTCACTCTCTCACTCATCGTTCCAAGCAGTCTTGGATCGCGATCTCAGCATCCTGTAGTCATTAAGCGACCATTCTTTAGGCCCCCATCGACTCAGGCCACCGCTGCCACTGCCACACTCAAGATCGTGCGATATTCCTCAGCAGATAAACTTAAACATGTCCTGAAAGAAAGTAAGGTCATGTATTGGGCTAAGTCGCTCCTTGACTACACGTGCAATTACATTGACCATCATATTGGCATCTCACCGATGCCACCGCCCTTTGAGATCCCTTGTGTACGTTTTGTTGATGCTGGTGTCGCTTTGGGGTACGGCCAGCGCAACGCGAGCTCAAAACCAGGAGACAAGTCAAATACAAAGGCAGGAGCGGTTTCAGCTGTTTTTCTTCTCAAAGAGTCCATCCTGTTCAACGATGAGGAGGAGTTCACCAAGTTCATTCACAACATGGACTGTGTGTCATCTCTCGATGAAGACGAATATGGCTATGATCTAGCTGTTTTCCTTGCGTTCACGCAGCATCTTCAATACGTGCAGACTGAAGGTTTGGTGTTTATTTCTGATTATCAAGGTACTCATCGCCATACCTTGACAGCCATTTGCACTAAGACTGATGTGCAAGTTTAGGCAGTTTAACACTTTCAACAGATCCTCAAATCTTGACTCATCCGTGCGTGTGTCATATGCTATTCATCTATTTTGATGACCTTTTTTCTTGAACAGGTCCGTGAGTGAAGGGGGTGACGTCTTTGGAGACAGAAATATCGAGGGCATGGTAGACGAGTTCGAACACAAACATGCTTGCAATCATTACTGCAGGTGGCCAGGATTTAAATTGCGGTCATTTGTCAGTTTGAAGAAGGACAATTAGATAGATTTTTTGGTCTAAGATCTTGGTGTTATGGACAATGTCAACGGTACCCGCCTGAATCTCCCTTTGTGTACTTCGAATCTCCCTTTGCATACTTCGAATCTCCCTTTGCATACTACTATTTATTACCAATCCTCAATGGCCATAGGGTGTCCATGGTCCTACTGTTTAATAGGGATTTGTGACACGAAAAAACGAGCACAGCTGTCCTGCTTTCCATACTACTGGAGATCCAGAGGCTAGAGCAACTGCACTTCCTTACCTGTAGAGTAGAAGAAATTTTCAGTTGTACAACCTGCACTACGTAGACAATCATTTACGATTGCACGATGTCTGCCGCTGCACTCGCCCGACTCATAGCCAACAATTTCAATCATGGTGAGAAGGTCGACAACAAATCTGGATGCTACTACTGGTCCTGAAAACACTGTCCAGATGCTCTTCACATCCAAGGTCGCGATAACCAACTCCCAAACCACCTCATTCACAAGTGTAAAGCAGCATTCTCCTGTGAATGTCCAAATGTACAGCATCTACTAGTATAAGTCAATTGATACTCAAAAGTCTAATGAACTAACTGGCTTTAGGTTCATAATTGATGCTAGTATACATTTTTCTGCAAGCGAGAATGACTACTTGCTCTAGTTCCAGTTTATGATTTTGTGGGATTGGAGCATGTTGATCAAGGTCTTGCACCGAAATCTGTTGACGACGAGATCATGGTAGTTGATCACACCTCACACAACAACGGACAGTGGGATGTGGACGTGCTGATGTCTTCCAATGGTGTTTCCTAGTGATAATTACTATATATTGTCATAAACATAGCAGCTTGTAGCACTTTGAATTTTGCCAAGTGCCAGTTATGCCGGCACTAACAGTCACGGTCACACATCGTAAGATGGCACCTCCGCTGCGCCCGATTGCAGTCGCATTCATATCACCCCAAAATCACCCGATCCTCATCCGCACATTCGAAAAAGGGGATGAGCTGAAGGTACCACTATGTAGCCCATACAAGTCTCGATGTCATTGAGGAACGAAGTCTGTGCCCCCCGCTTTCTGTTCTTCATCCCCCACTGACAAGAATATACCTCACGACATTTGACATTAGTAAATGGTCCGACAAAATCTAATGATTGCTACCTCGGCCTTCTCTACACAATGGATGACATAGCTGCTTATGGGTACATCACACCTCTAAAAATGAAGATTGTTCTCGCTCTCCCACTCACAGACTCTGTCGTACGTGATGCGGAGGTGATCATGGTAAATATCTCCTCGTCCACCCCATCCATTCTTTGACACGGATATATCTTTAGACCTTTAAAGCCCTCCACCTAGCCTACTATCATGCCTCCTCAAACCCTTTCATCCGACTTCATGACACACCTGCGGGCGTGGGGAGCGCCAAGTGGAAGCGCTTCAGACAGAAAGTGGACGAAATAAGCAGGGCTGCTAGTGGTGGGAATTTGCCTTCATGAGCTAGTCACTGCACAAAGGTAATGGATGTAAGGAGAATTGAACTGAACTGCCGATAACGACGCATGTCTGATTGTCATTTTGTGTGGCTTAGGTTCGCAGCTCACCGCGCTTTGCAGGCTTCGGCCATCCTCATGACATTGCGTGGTCGTGCTCCTCGTTTGTTACGTGTGGACCGAAATGGATCAAACCCTTCTATTGACTCAGATGTCTAGCGAGCACCGCGTCTGAGACAGATACGGGGTTGATATAATTCATTGTCTATTTTCCCTCACTAGCTCCTCTTGTGTATTGTTTGGAGGCTTGTCTTGTGGCATCATAGTCAATAGCGTACGGTCACTGCCTCGTGGAGTGGCTCAACGTGAATTACATTACATAAACCTAAGGTTGCTTGCCCCAGAGAAGATTGTCACTTTTAGTGCTCTTACTCTTGTCAAATGCTGTAGTGCGCGTTGTATACTATACTTACGGATCATCAGAGGTATTCCGGCTTTTGGGACAATCCATATCTGTAGTGGTTCTGCTTGCTAAGACGGTTCTTTCAAGTCGGGCCAACCTGGACGACGACCTCAATTAATGACAACTACGCGAAAACTTGAAAGTGTACCTGGAACGACATCTTTCATGAGTTTAATTTTCCCGACTGAATCACTACCAATATTAATGAATTCTTCAGCTTCCGATAATTGTTGACATTCGTCCAGGCATTCACAACCCTACCAAAGCCTTCTCCAGCCCATCCAGCCCTTCTCTAACCTCCCTTGCCATGACTCTCACGATCGTATCCTCATCCACAGCTGTGAGATACTCCAACACCGTACAAGGGCCTTGTGGAGTGACCATGTCTGTGTTGCGTTTCAGCTTCACATCACTAGGGGTTTTGATCCGGAATGCGATAAAACGTTCGTGGGAAGGCGTTTCAATGTCTCGAGATCAGGATACATCCGCGATCAGTCGGAACTTATAAATAAAGATACATATGACTCTAGTATCAGCTGTTCGTACCATTCAACGCCGACTTTCTTCAACACATCCTCCCACTAAATATCGTTTGATGTCATCCATCAGTGGAACTTTGGCTCAGAGCACAAAAAGTGCAATCAATGGCGATCGTTCCAAGCTCATTCCCTTCTCCTCTCGACTTCGTGGTGGTCGTGCACTAGCACAAGACGTGTGGTCAATCTTCAAGTAACATCTATATCTCGTCATAATTGAGTGCCAGTTTATCGATCTTCTTTAGTGCAGCGAACCTCCCCGCAGACTGTATCAATCTTGGACAAGGGTATATGAATTTCTCTCCCCCAAAGTGGGTCACAGACGCCGCAGATGAAGCTCTCAAATCGCTTTTACCCAACCACTACTCCCACCCAAAGGGGCGCATTCGTCTGCGGAACGCCATCAAAAACTTTTATGAAAAGTCCTTCAATAGAGTTCTCGATGTCGAGACTGAGATTCTCGTAACAAGTGGAGCAAACCAAGGTTCGTCTCCTTCAATTATGCAGATCAATCAGCAGTTTACGGTCTTACAGGACAGTATTCCGTTTTCACCGCCTTCCTTGAGCAGGGAGACGAAGTCATCATGTTCGAGCCCTTCTTCGACCAATATCTACCATCCGTCACCTTTAACGGCGGAACGCCCGTCTACGTCCCCCTTCATCCTCAAACGGATGCTGTGACACCAAGTGATAGTAACTGGACGATCGACTTTGATGAGTTGCGGTATGTAGACTGATCTTCGGATAAACAGTCCCATTTACATCCTTAAAGCCGTGCTATCACTCCAAAAGCAAAAATAATTATCATCAATACCCCTCATAACCCCGTCGGTAAAGTCTTCACGAGAGAAGAGTTGGAGAAAATAGCCGCCCTTGCAGAAGAATTCAATCTGCTAGTGATGGCAGATGAAGTGGTATGTTTCTTGTTCGTGTTGCTGTAAGGTTCATGCAACGGTTCATCGCTTCCAGTACGACTGTCTCGTCTTCGACGGAAAGGAGCACGTCCGCTTTGCCACGCTACCGGGCATGTGGGACCGCACGGTAACTGTGTTGTCTGCTGGCAGTGAGTCAAAATTTCAGCCGTAGAAGTTCATCTTACGTTATGTGCCAGAGGCGTTCGCTGCAACAGGCTGGCGTGTGGGCTGGCTAATCGGCCCGCAATCAATCATCTGTCCCACCCTCGCCGCCTGCACACGAATCGTGTTCTGTTCAAACTCTCCGCTACAGGAGGCTGCTGCCGCTGGACTCGAGCAAGCCGCGGAACGTGGTTTCTTTGAGAATCAGCTCAAAGAGTATGAGGAGAGACGTAACATACTCCTTAGCGCGTTCGATAGGCTTGGTATGAAATACAGTTATCCCGAAGGAAGTTACTTCGTGCTTCTAGTACGTGCCAGTTGCATCGATGGAATAGCCAACTCATGTGTTTGATCTACAGGATATATCACGCGTCAATTTCCCTGAGGATTACCCTTTCCCAGAGTCAGTTCAAGGCCGAGGACGTGATTTCAAGTATGTGTGCCCATTTTGCTTTGTTCGTTCTGACCGGCCACGACTCAGGGCTTGTTGGTTTATCGCCCTTGAAATTGGTGTATCATCTATCCCTGTCAGCGAGGTAAGTCAGTGCGCTTCAAGGTTGAACTAATATTCATGCAATCGCATAGTTCTATTGTGAGGAACATTGCACTATCGGTGAGAACTTCGCACGTTTTGCGTTCTGCAAAGACGTGGAGACACTCAAGCAGGCTGGGGAGCGTTTGCAAGGTTTGGCGAAGTATCTTGTGTAAAGTCTAGACATCCGTGTACATATCTATCAGCCCTGAGTGGAGTTTTTTTATACATAGCTATAGAACGGGTTCTTCAAGTCTGTCAACCATACGCGAGAGGACTTCATTTTGCGGGCCTGCTTCCATGTCATAATACACCGGGTTGCTGACCAGCCTTCGTGCAAGCAGCGTGAAGGAGAGTGCTTGAACAGCATCTTGTCGATTTCTGATGGACCCGTCTCTCCTCTTTTCCTTGTACCATTTTTCGAACACAGATGAATCCAACAGCTCCGACTCAGATGGAAGTCCTTCAGCCAGGAACTTGGAAAACGTGTCTCTAGCCTCCGCCTGGCAAAAGAGGAAGAAGTGGCCAGGAGCATCATGCCTTACAGCCCGGCTCTGCATCTGGACTACGTCGACAAGACTGTAATCTCGCAGCTGCGGCCCAGAGCCATCTCTCTCAAGATGCATATACTGGGTGCCCATAACCACTACAGCTGCCGCCCGGACAGGCAGCTGCCAGCAAGCATCGCGAGGTGCCAGGAGTACGCGAACAACTCCTTCAGCAAATAACTCCAGAATAAGATTCCGATCTCTTTTTGACACCCCGCTGTGGAAGATCCCTACACCACGTGTCACAAAATCAACCAATGTCGGGTCTTGTAATCGCGCTGAATAGTCTTCAACGTAAAGAGGAGTTACGGATTGGGGGAGAAAGCCCCTTTCAGTCTCCGTGTTTAGGGCGCACTGTGTGATGAGCTCTTGCGCTACCGTCCGGCAATGACCGCGCGAAGGGACAAAAATAATGGCAGATTCATGGGATGGTACGCTTGTGATAGCCATATAGGCTGGTTTCGACATAGACTTAAACAGTGCAGCTGAATGCGGTATTGTGAAGGTTTGGTACATGATTGTGAGCGACTGATCTCGATCTGTGGGTCGAAAACTGTGGAGCCCCATGGAATCTACACCCAGCCATGAAGCGATATCCGCGGGATCATTGAGAGACGTTGACAAGCCGATATATCGGGTGGGATTATTTTGCGTCGTACATCGCAGCAGTGATATACTGAGTTCATAGGTTGCATCAAGTTGCTCCAAATTATCGCACACTACAAGAGATGGATACTTTGCGTGGTGGGGGTTACGCTGGTCGACAGCCTCGAGCAGCTCCGACGGCGTAACGATGCGTATTGTGCTGGTCCGGCAGGGAGAAAATAAACCTTCCCCAGAAGACATCTTGACCACCACATCAAGTGCGTTGGAAACGGCACGGAAGTCCAAGAGAGATTGGGCAGCTAGAGTTCGGTTCGGGACAACGAAAAACACCAAGGACCTCGGACGGCGGAGTAGGGTTGTCCTTTAATAGGCACTTTAGTATATTTGGATCACAAGTGTCCTTACTGACCATATTGCTAGATGTCCCATGAGGGACTTGCCACTGCTAACGGGAGCAGATACCATCACGTTCATCGAAGTATTGATAAGACTCCAAAACACTTGTGTTTGAATAGCATTGAAATCATGCAGCAGGCCTGAGTAGAGATCTTCGAGTACAGGAAGGCACAGTGAGGAACGGGGGAGAAATGGGAGATCCAAACGAGGCGTATGGCTCTGAGAGGGAGCAGGCATAACCAATCCATCCAAAGATACATAGAGTTCCTCTTCGGCCCCCATCCATCTATCAGACACAAATCTGACGGTAAAGTAAGGGGGAGGAATGTCGGTCGGTATCGAAACCACGAAATTCACATCAAGAGAGTTCGTTGACTGCCGTAATAGGAGGTGCGCAAACTGCAGAATTTCGATGCCTTCATGATCTTCGACCCACAGCCAGAAAGGCTCTCCCGAGTCATGTACTTTGGTGTTCCAATCGAAGTCTCGAGTAACCGAAACCGCAATCTTGAGGACATTTGACCCCAATGGTCGAAGTGAGCTAGTCATCGTGACTGTAGGGAACTGCCGAGCTGCATTCCAGAGCGCTTGACCATGGCGTTCGTTTAAGCGAACTAGATTACCCAGCTCTACTGGAGTCATGGAAACAAGTTCGGCGGGCGAGTACTCTTCTCTTGAATTCTCTAAGCCATATATAATCTCGGCCTTGAGATCAAATTGCCTAAGAGGTTCGTCGAATGGCCAAAGGCGTTTCTCTACAGCCTTAGTAATACCCATGAAAACCTTAGCCACACTAGCCCACTTGCGGCTGATCGCTATATCCAACAGAGCTCGTGCAATGCGTCCTCCGTTCTGCGCTGCATATGCTGCGTCAGAAACCAAGGCAAAATCTTCGACCGGAAGGCGAGAAATGTAGCTTTGAAGGAGAATGTTGACTTTGCCTTGGCTTGTATCTGTTCCTCCCTTGGTACCAAAACTGAGTGATGCTCTGGAACCTCAAGGAGGCTTACTCACTCGCACGGTACATGGAACTTTCTTCATCAGAAGCTCTAGTTCCTTTACCTCTGACTCTCTCACTTGGATTTGGTCGAACTTTTGTTGAATGTCAATTGACATCAAGGACATAAAACAGACCACCAACCTCTGTACTCATACTGAGCATGTAAAGCGCATCAGCTTCGGTCATCTTGGGTTTGAACTCCTTGTTAAAGACCTCAATGGAGGCATATCGAATGTAGTACCTGGCCGCTATCCTGCCGAGGTCCGTTATTGAAAAGGCACCAGTTTTTTCAGTAAGGTTTATCATCCCTGCACCGGCTAGTCTCCGAGCTGCTGTCATGACAAGAGCATTTCGTTTCTGGCCTAGAAGGGGATCTTCTGCTACATCATCCCGAGACATTCCTAAATGAAGCATCAGCCGCTATCATAAAACAGGGCTCTAGAAAAACTGGCCATATAGGAAAGGATTCTTCCGCATGCGAACATATAGATATGTATATCCTAGCCATCGAACACCTTCGTCGGCATTTGTTACCGTACCAAGAGCAATCTCGGCGTTCAGTGCGTTTTCGATACCTGAGATAAACCTAGCTTTTATCAGGGAAATGTCAGCATAGAGACAAATGGTCTTACTGAGATTCAATCGGGTTCTGGATGATCGTTCAGCATTTATCATTCGTCGTGGCTGGATAAACGTACCTGTGACATTATAGCATTAAGATAGTGTACGAGCTTATCCTCAGTAGTGCAGATATATCCTTCACCACTTGTCTCGAGACCAGGCCGGCCAGCACGGCCAAACACTTGCAATACATCCAAAACCGAGAGATCGATAAAGGATCCCTTTGCACTGTCGTACAACTGAGTACCCTTAATTACAACTTGACTCCTCCATGAGAGAAGAATGAAGGACACAACAATGATATCTCACCTGCATGAGCAGGCAAGTTGACTCCCCATGCGAGAGTCGCTGTACAACAGAGAACCTTCCTCCGATCTATTAGCTTCCACCTGGGACATTTCCACGCCAATGCCACTGACCTTGATAGCTCGAGCTTCGAACATCCTCTCCATCATATTTCGATCAGATCGCAGCATACCCGCATGATGAATACCAAACCCAAGATCAAACAGTTGCTTCATCTCCTTGTTCCTAGAATCTCCTATACTCCTTCGGAAAAATGCCCATTGAGGATGCTCCGCGCAGGAGTAATCCTCCAATGTGCCATCTATTGTCGCTGCATCCTTCAAAGCTTGTGCCGCTTTCACTGTTTCTTTCCGCGCATGAACAAACACCATTACTTGGTGGCCCTGTCGCACTAGCTCGGAAACTTTCTCATACGTGACGCGGTCAAGGTTTGTTTTAGACCGTACGCTTCCAGGCTTTCCTCGAACTCCAATGAAGTGCTGCTCCAAAGGTATCGGTCGGAAGGAAGAGTCAAAGAAAAAGAGTCCTTTATATCGGGACACGCTGACTATGAGTTGAGTCTGATTGATCTGAAGAGTAATGTAGGCAAACAAACTTTAAGAAGTCTGCGACATCCAAATAGTTTGGCAACGTCGCACTGAGCCCCACTATTCTAATGACAGATTGGCTTGATTCGACCTACAGATGAGTTAGCCACAAATTCACCCCTAAGAGAACGAACATGTACCTGTCGTAACGTGCGTGCAACAATAGTTTCGATGACGGCCCCACGTTCTTCATTCAAAAGATGTACTTCGTCGATGATCAATAGCTTCAACTTCTATATACAAAAGACAATCAGGCAGGTAAAGAATGGGAACTTATATGGAGACATACTGAAGCTAACTCTCCTTCGCCAGTGGGCTTTCGAGTTACGACGTCCCATTTTTCAGGCGTAGTGACTATGACTTGGGTTTCGGCGATTTCAGATTTTGTCAGTTGCATGTCACCTACACAGAAAATTAACAGGTGGCGCATGTATGGGAGGGGATTTTCATTCCTGTCAATTCCTTGACTTGTATAGAGAGCCACTTTAGTCTTTTCCCCAGCTTTCGAACGATCTCAGAAGCCAGAGCTTTCATAGGTGCACTATGGTTGTTCAAAGTCAGTAGGCTGTATTGTAAGCAAACCATTATGAAAACTCACACATAAATAATCTGAAAGGCGTTGCGATCTATCGAAGCATGGAAAGGTGATGATGGACTGATAGGTGATCGGTGCTGGTTGAGAACTCGAAGGATTGTTAAAATCGCTACATCGGTTTTACCCTGTCATGAGTTTGATAAGCTACAGTCCAAGGACGACGCCTAAAATAAGCTAACAGCACCAGTAGGAGCTGTCTCAATTGCAGTTAGGAGTGCTAAAGACTACGCCGCACAATCGGAAGACGCACCGCAAACCAGGATATTCTCGTTTGATTCATAAGCGGTTGGATAGACGATAGACTGTATGCGATTTAGGGAAGAATATCCCTAAAAGAGAAGGTTGATTTTGTTTAGAAAATAGAGGGAAAGGGCGGGATACACACGGGGAACGAGCCTTTAGCTAATTCATCAAGCTCGTCAACAAGAATGAGCCTTTCGGAATTCCTGGGTGGAACGACTCTGGCAGGAGGAATGATGACTTCCTCATATTCCTGACTCGTCGGTGAGCAGATGGGATCAAGTAAGTCATTTGTAACCGACCTCGTAGTCATGTCTTGTATGTCCAACTGGAAGTACGTACTTGCTACCGAATTGTGAAAGTGAACCGCCTTGCATCATAGAAGATGAAGTATACACATGTGGAAGCACTTCTGGAGCTTCTTGCTGGATATTTTGAATGAGGACTCGCGTCAGGGCGCAAATGAACTTACTGCCACACCAGTAAACAAAGGACGAGACGCATTTGCCCTGAGAGTCTCTTCCATGCGGCGACGAACATCCTGCGGAGCAAGGCTGGCAATTACAACTGACCAAATTGTTAGTAATAAATGATAATATTGGACAGCACTAACCGCCTGTTTTCTGTTTCCCTGAGGTTGAGTTTTCAAATGACGTTCTGTCTCGTCCAGATAACTAGGTAATGAAAATCATCAATTTGATGCACTTTATCACTAGTGACTGATACTAGTGACTGACCGCGATCGCAAAGTAAGATCTAGAGGCGAGCAATTGTGCAACAATTTCAATGTCGTCAAAACCAACCAGATCAGCGAGCTCGCCTGATATGGCATCATCGGGGAGTGTAGTCCACAGAATACTAGAAATGTGCTCTAGAACTTCTTTTGGTTTGCTGCGTGTCATGATCATAAGGCTCTTGTAGAAGGACGTGACGAGCCCAGGAAGACTGACCTTGACAATCTACCTATCAGGTGCTCAGGCGCTGATAGCGACAAATTCTGATCAGTGATGAAGATATCCTTGATGGAGGTTCGAAAATCCTGTTCTAGGTCGTCATTGACATCATGATCTATTGTGCGTGGTGAGTTCGTCGGTTAAGGACATGTCAGTCGAAGCAGAGTAGTACCTGGACTTGCGAACGACTTGGGTCTAGATAATTAATGTAAGTCCTGGTTTGATACTAAAGACATGATTGGCATGCAACAACAGACATTATCCACTCATCCAGTTGCTTAGCATCATTGAAGTTCTGAACAGCATATTCGCCAGGAGCAGACGTCAACTGATCAAGATGCTCGAGAATAGACATGTTAAAGTAGACCCTCTGGATAATACAAGGAGTTCATTCCCTTTGTAGCGCAACACGCGACTCGTAGGTACTCACGTAGTGAAAAAGTTACAACTTGCGAAGCCCCGAATATGAACTTTGGATGACTTCAAGTTGTATCCATCACTCCTTTCCCACGGCATTACTAAAGGGATTGTGCACGTTTCGGCACCGAGCCAGAGGTGTTTCGAGTCAACCAAACCTGTTGATCCATGGCTAGCACGCACTCAGGCGATACCGGGCCGCGTTGCCCCCGCTTATGGGCCCTTATGACCAACCTGAACACAGGATGTTCTGTCACTTGGACGAGCCTGACTCCTCGTGTATACGGTATACCTCATGTGGTGTATTAATATTACAGCTATGTATACACATACCCATTACCCACTGAATCTAGATGTTGAGTTCACACACTGCAATGATTATAATGTTACACCAAACGCTTCTCTGTCCCCCCATGAACCCTTCAAAGATAATGATGAAAATCAGTCGCCTTCGAATCCTTGTTGTAGGAAGAGCGAATGCAGGAAAGCCTACCGTGCTCTCGAGAGTTTGCAACACACTGGAGAACCCAACACTATACGACAGCGCCATAGAGGTAGCGTCGACTTTCAATTGCCGATAACATGAACTGACACATTCTTAGCGTGATTGCGGAGAACACGACATCGAGAATGAGATGGTGTTCCAAAGCAACCCAGGATTCATCTTCCACGATTCACGCGGGTCCGAGACAGGCGGCGAATCAGAATTCGACAAGGTGAAGGCATTTATCATGGACCGTTCGAGATTAAAAAATCAACTCCATGTTATCTGGTAATTGTAACTGATCAATCGCGACACGCACTATCTCACAGTTTTAACATACTTAGGTACTGCATCCCAATGGACGAGGCACGCAGGTCATTCACCAAAGGCGAAATCAAGTTTTTCTCTCAGTGCGACACCGGAAGCGGTAAGCTTTCGCATCTCACCGTTGTTGATGTGCAACTAATGCGCAGAATCTCAATCCTCAGTTTTATTCACAAAGTTTGATGCCCTCTACGACGTCGCATACCCCCAGCTGAAATCAATACCACTCCAATGACATGCCATTCGACGCTCTCCGAGCTTGTCGTGTATGTCTCTAGTAAACTGTCAATTGTCGACTGATGAATCTGATCCATTAGACATGATGCAGATTGCGGACCGCTCATCGAACGCACGACTAGAACGAAGTGCCGAAACAATTATGCAGTCGACTCAGCAGACTAACTCTTCTGGATGAGACATAGTTGAGAGGTAACTAACCATCCACGATCTCATTCAAGTTTACTGACCGCGAGCGTTAGCCACCGGTATTGTCTAGAACACTATGGGGACTTTTCGACTCTGCGCTGAAACAACAGTATCTGAGCGTCCTAAGGAGGATAATAAGGGCATTAGACGCCCGGTATCCGCATATTTGGGTAAGATTATCGAAGAGTTTGAAGGTTGCTCTCATTTATGTTTGGCGTGTTCACAGGTCGTACGTCTGTCGATCCTCTCAGGCATGCTGATCGAAGACATTGATCATCCATTCAGTGGGTGAGTGTGTTGATCTTCCTTCAAGCTCCAGCCATGCTGATCAAAGTCGTCGCCCATTGTTTGCAGTATGAGACCTGTTGTCTACGCATATCGAGGGACACCTGTCGGCCTTGGATGGCGACGTTGCCGATTGAACGTTTCCAGAGGAAGGCAAACGAAGCTTTTGAACGCTTTAAGGGGATGAGAAAGAATCTTTGTGCTCTCAGGTGAAGGTAGAGTTGATGTCGATTAAGACTATTTCTTGAAATCACTTTAAATCATCACCTGTACACTTCCGCCGTCCTGTTGTGGCAACAATCCCGTTTATCTGCTTATCTTCAACGAGACTTTAATGTTGGGCAATGTAACACAATGTTCTAGTTTGGAGTGGAGCTGAGGTGTCTCGGCTGTGAATGTAGGTTGCTCGGAAGGTCTGTCAAGGTAGATTTAGGACATGGCACTGTGCGAAATGGTTGCACAATATGACGTTTTGTCTGGCATGATGTATATGTTTGGAGAATGTCAGTCATCCTCAGTTGAGACAGTGGCGAGAGCTACTCCGCTTGATGTAGTACGTGATCCGATTTCAAGCATGTTCCACTCTTCAGTAATTTTTTTCCCTAAAAAGACGTCCTGTTTATTGTCATTTGAACCTTACATTCTATGCTAACACATGGAATCAAACGTTCCTCACAACGTCAGTGACTCTAGCTGGTAGTTAATGACGGAAAAGACCTGGCTTTGCAAGTAGAAAATACCCTTCAAACTCGATGGACTTCGAGCAGCGCCCTTGAAATCTCCAGCTTTCGATCTGTGAGGGACAACCTGAGCTTGTAATGTGCATATGGTCATCATAGCTCTGGGTTATGACGTTTTATAAGGCGGATGCATCGTTCGACTCCTCGCAGTCCTAGTCACCGCCACTCATGTGTTGGCAACCACAATTTCAAAAGACGTCCGGGAAATGGAAAATCAAGGGTCAAGTCCCTAGACCTGCACGTGCGCGATTAGTGCCTAGGCCTACTACTACCTGGGGCAGTGGATACTCACCGGTGCACCCATTATTGGAACGTCAATTGTTCACACGAAGGCAACACATATCTAGACACTACTTTCGCAGTACCCGGGACCATATGGGAATATCAAAATTGTAGCAATTGCTCAAATCCAAAGCACCGGTCAATTGTCTGTATATCGGAGTAAGGTCAGAAGTTCGCAAGGCAAACCTTAGATTAGTTAATGGTGTTGTGGACAGAAAGTATTGGACTCCGAGTCCTAGGCGGAACATATGGGGAGAACTCAGTTTGTGATGAGCAACAGTGTCAAACCGGACCAAGGAATTCTTCTTTGTGGAAGGACATTTCCCATAGAGGTTGACGGAGTCAAGACAATAGACCAGAAAGTTACCACTCCAGGAGGCACGCTATGATGAGTACTCATATATCATAGAGAACACGAGGTTCGTCACAGGCCCATTGCTTGAACAGCAATTACACCTTACAAAAGCCAGCTAGGTTACGACTGAGACGTCGTCGTTGTGTGCGTAGTTACCCTCGACTGCCTACGTTGCTCTCGTTCGAAGGCTGCCATATCGCTATACCATCGAAAATCTCGGGGTGAACCTCTCTTGGAGACTGGGGAGATCGGCGGACGCAGAGGGCCTATGCGATCCAATGGCCAGACGATATACATCAGTTTAGAGTCTAAAAGAGCAAGAGGGATCTGCGGCGAAGCATTAGCGCAGATGAATTTAGGAGCACGGCAACTTACTGGGCCAAATTTATTGCTATCCAGAGTCCGGAAAGGTTCGTCACCTAATGCAACGTCAGGACTTGTTCGAGTGAAAACGATGCATCTTACCCTCCACCCAAACATGGCCTTCGGGAATAAAAACCTCTGCATCAGGATATGGAGGCAGGGTCTTAACAACATCCCCTGCCACGGCTACGACTCGCTTCACGATCATTTTTCTGCTATCTAGAGGATCCCTGAATGGAGGAGATATTAGCAATTCGTCATGCTCCATGGAATTAGTCGTACCGAAGTGCCACAATATCACCTTTTCGGATAGGCTCTCTAGAATTGATGGAATATCTGTCGAAGATAACGATATCATCCCAACTTGAGGTATCCGGATTTAAAGTTGGCTAGCTGGCACGCAACGCTGATCAGATACATTTCTAGATCATTTAGTTCACGACAGACCTGCATGCTCCTTCCTCTGACCGTTTTCAAGGTATAGAAGTACTGTGTGAAGCCCAGGCCAAGAGGAAGCCAGTAGAACCATCGCAATGGCCTGCTAATTGAAGCCCATGCCCTCCTGGAGCTCCCTTCTGGATTCGTAGCACTGTGAACTCGTCTTGAGGTAAACGGCCTGCTTAACTTTGAAAACTTCAGGAATAGCGACATATCAGCTTTAAGCAGATCTAGTTTCACAGGTAAAATACTACAGCTCACTCGCTGTACAATTGGGACACGATCACGTGCTGACTAGCATAAATCATAAAGTGGTCTCGAAAGCGTCCGCGGTAAAAACACAAGCCTAGTACTTAATCAAACAATGGTATCACAGAGAGAAAGAGAAAATGTAGGTGTCACATTATTTTTATTACCGAAATATGATCTCCTTTGATAACTGATCTCCTAGCGCATTGACACAACTTAGAATCTCCTCGCGATTATATTCATCGTTCCACTGGTGAGATAACTAGGAGACTATTCAACTTCCAGGCGATCGAGTTGTCAGTCACTCACGTTGACAGGGATTATGGATATCGCCCCTTGTTGCATGGAATAAATGACCATGACCTCGTTGAGTAGTTCCTCTGAGACGCGAACAGGAGGGCCTTGAAAGGGGATATATGAATACATTACCAAATGACCATCCGATCATACCTTCACCAGGATCCTGTGGACCTTCCAACGAATGTTCGGGGTGCGCAAAAGCGGCATAGCGAAATTTCTCTAGCTGCGGAATACAATCCGCCAAAGGAAACCACGTAAATTCTTCCTGGATTTGCAGATGAATCTAACCAAACTTCCAAAGCTGTTAGTAATATCATTGCTTACAGGATCGGCAAGATACGAAGGCGAATACCCGCCCTTGTACTTCATTTTTGGGCAAGAGTGGATGTAAAACCCTGAAATGATGTGAGCACAGCTCAGATGCGGCACCATGATAACGACAATAATATCTCACCCATGGCAAGTGATGTCATGGTGATAGCACCTGCATCATGTATTTCTCTAGCCAATGAGGCCTCTCGAATTGCACTGAGCTAGAAACACAGCTCACTCAATCACGCAAAACCGATGAGTGCATCAATTGATTGACCTTCCCAAGGGAATATTTGTCGTGCTTTGGATCGTACATGAAATACACACTGGAGACGCATGCAGGCAGGATATCAATGACACCCAGGGCGATCAATTCGCCATCAAGTCGGTACATCTGGTGGAAAGAACCATATTGTGACGGAAGATGATCAGGTGGGCTTGTAGGATATGGGATAGGTTCATTCTTCAAAAAGCGAAGTGTTAACGCCGACAGCTGGGTGTGATTCCATGGAGACGTACTATCAAAGGGCTTTTTACAAGAAAACGCTTGAAGTCTTCTGGTGTATTGTATGGGTCGTGGTGGATCTCTCTTTGGTATAGGAGATAAAGCGCGTATTTCTCTTCCGTGTAGGTTGATGATTCCAGCGTCACCTATTATAGCACTTTAAGATTAATGGACCGGAATGTGGTACATGCCATGCCTCGAATTTATGACGGACTGTTACATTTGGAGAAGTGAAGCCAACCTCAGCGGCGTGTATCGAGGTAGACAGAAAAAATGTGGGAGGATCGCGCTTCGAAGTATTACCATCTGACTTGAATGGTTTGGTTGGTTTCGGGGCAGATAATGTACCCTGTAGTGGCAGAAAACCACTAGTCTCGGATTTGTGACCTTGCATAACGAAATGATTCCAGCTGTTTACAAAGTCAGCTGTCAATCTACGAGAGGTCCATCCAGAGATATTTACCGGTTGACAAGTTTTCTTTGGCTGCGAGAGGGCTTAAACACTAACGCATCGAGCCTAAGATTGAATTCAGACAAGCAGAGTCTTTCAGCACATCCACGTACAACATACCTGATGGTGTACTGAGGACAACACGACCGTCTTAGATCAGGAGCATAACAATATGTCCCAGATCGTCTCCACCCTCGGTAGATCATCTTTTGATAGACCTAGCAAACTGTCAGAAAAGGAGAACGGGATGAAGCGTGTCTCGTGCATCAAAGGACTCACTTCGCATGATAGCTGAGAGGCAATAAACCCTGCTTTCTTGAAGCTAGTCTCAGTGCTACTTCGCTCTCCCAGTGGCCCGCAATAGCCACAAGTAGAACATCCTGGTCCCAGAGGCATGCCGACTGAAACGACAGGCATGATAGAAATGTCAATACAGCTGATGCGCAGACGATCTTAAACCTGAGCTGGTGGTGTGCGGCGAGCCGTTCGTGTCACGACGGTGATATCATAAGTGTCCATAGTCTCGATCTAGCCCATCGTGAGAACTTGAAGCGATCTTTCACGAGATAACATTTATGTGTAGCGAAAACATGAACTACGAGGGTACTAGTACGAGTCGTGAACGATTATAAGTGGAAAAGAGTAGCGCATAATCCAAAATTGCGAGACAACAAAACAACAGAAACCATTATCATTCTAGCCCCAACCATCCCACCTACCGTATTTCCGATATTCTTGCAAAGTTAGTTCTCGATTGTCCTTCCGGTCCCTGTCACGCTCCCTTTCCTTTCCCTTCTCCGTGCGACTGGTGATAGATGACACGCTGTTCGTGCGCGGACGAGAATGCGAAGATGCCTTGGGTGGGGAGCTAGACAACGGGGTCCCACCCGCAGATGGCGAAGAGATGTTAGACGTTCCCTGTGGCAGTGACAACCGATACCAGCCCCCACTGTACGTGAGCGCTATAAGCTGGTACTCCGTAGGTGGATCACGACCAGGTTCACTATGATCAGAGGGTGCTTCGATCCAGCCGACCATGCACTTCTCCTCGTCGGTAATGTCAGCCGTAGGCGAACGAGAGGACGACGTAGAAGATAATGATATGTGAGATGCTTGTGCCGGAATCCGATACTGAGCATATGACCATTCGGAGTCAAAGTAAGGAATGAGTGAAGCGAGCGGGGACAAGGATGACTGTCGATTACTGTACCATCCAATCGCGTCAGCATTAATAGATTTCGGGTGGGATAGGAATAACTTACGAGGGGCCGGACATAAGAGAAAATACGTGTACAGTGCCCTTATCACTCCAAACACATACTTCCTTCTCATCAGGACGAAAGGCAACCCCATATATTTCGGCCTTATCTGATCCCCTTCTAAATACACGTATCAGGTTTCCTGAAAGCGTGTCCCATATACGAACGAGGGTACCGCGGGATGAAGTCGTAGCAAGCATCCGACCTGATTGAGGAACGGTGAGAGTATTCAAGGAGGACTCATGTGCAGCAATGATTGAGACTGGATGCTTTGATGGTGGAGGTGGTGGGCGAGATGGTGGGACAGAAGGCGGAGGACCGACTGGAGTGGGTGGAATACAAGGCGGTAGATGTATTAATTGTACGTGCCCCATCTGCCGACCAGGGAAAGCCATAAGGGTTGAATATGCCCCAGTAGCCATCGCAAGCAAACCTGCGCACCAAATATCATAAATCGTCGATACACACATACAGATAACCCAGCTTACCTCGAGGATTATCACAAGTGTCGAATTCATTCCGTCGAACGATGGTTTCCCCGACCTCAAATAATACAACTCTTCTCCGAAATGATACTGCAAGCCATCCACGCCTACAAGCAAGACCTCTGACCCTTTCCCTGAATTCTAGCTCTGCTACTTCTTCTCCAGCTGCGTCATCCCATACGACCACCTTATTGGGAGGATAAAGTGGACTGCGACCTCCTCCAAGAAGAAATATCAGAGATGATGTATGACACGGCACTGCGGCCGCAAGTGTTCCCCCAGTAAACTCTGCTTGATGTATGAAGATCGACGGCGAACAGAGAATGCTACCTACCCACCTCTCTTACGAATAAGCTTCAGCGGCCATGTCTGGTATACAGCAAACCCTGCAGGCGTCGTAGTAGTAAATATCTGACAGTCTGCTTCAAATCGAGTATCAAAGATCTGAATGGGGTTTGTGGCAGTGATAGAGTGTCGAGCTAAGTTCATGGATCAACGTGATGGAAAGGAGGAAATAAAATGTATTATTGCTCAGTCTGAGCAGCCCGCATGCTGTATCAGCATCTGTGAAGCTGAAGCCTTTGAAGTGGCGCAATTAGGTCTTTGATCATCAAGCACAAACTTTGAACAAGCACACAATTGTTTACTAGCTAGTCCAAGTATCGGTACCGCTAAAGCTAGTGAGGGAGTTCGACGCAATTGAATCAAATACTGTACAAATGGAACCCATAGAACAGATAACAAATATTGACGACCACGAAGGGTTTAAAAAGATGCATGATAGATAAAACGTGTAGGTCCAGCAGAGTTACCCATCATCCGCGAGCAGAATGTGCGACAGGAGCAGATACAAATACAGGAGATGCATACGCTGGATGGTGCGTATAGCCCACTGCATGACTTCCTGCGTTTTGCATAGTACGCGGAATAGCATCATTGGTATCATCCCAGGACTTCGGCGGTCGTAAGCCAACTCCGGCAAGTTGCTGCCTGGCAGCCTTGAACTCTTGTTCTTCTGCCTGATTCTGTGCAACCAGAGCTGCCTTCGCCTCTGCCTGTCTCTGTAATTCTGCCTCCGACTCATCTGACAAATAATCTGTAAAGCCACCGTCGGAGATTACGGTCGCATCAGATACGGAGCCTTGCGAGCTACCGCTATCACTGCTGTTCCCCGCAGTGCTCCCAACCTTTAACGCCGCCATGGCACCTTCTAATGTAGATCGTCGAGAAGATAACGAGGAATCTTGTGAATGTGTGGGAATGCCATCGATGGGAGATGGATAAGGAGGTGGCGGGCAGTACTCCCCGGAAGGCTTCGATGAATTGAACGATGCGGAGACCGATGATAATGAAGGCCGTCCTCCACCATTACGCCGTGACAACGAACCCTCTAAGTCTGTCGCTCTACGCATGGAGGGAGTGCGGTTTGTCTTCTCTACCCCTTCTGAGATTGTTTGACGACGAGGCGATATTCCTTGCTCTGCAAACGAAGACAGGGGCCCAGACACTCGTGGCGTCGTTCCTGTCAAAGGGGAACTCTGTTGCACAGGACTTCCACCCGAGCGCCCTCTTGCTGGAATGGGCATCGCCTGATTCTTCCCAGATGTTGGGCTAGACCTGGTCGTGGGACTACTACCACTGTTTCTACGATCCAGTGATGGCATTTGCTGTTGGGTTGCTGGGCTGCGATTTGTGGGTGAGACACCAGGCAGGATAGCACCTCGTACGCTTTCAAGGATGCTTTTTATCTCTTGAGGCATAGGTATGCTATGGACGATGCTGACACTAGGCCAATCTGCAGCCTGTATGAGGCGCTGCTCGTTGGGATTTGGAGGCCGGCAGCATCCAGGCCAACCGGGGTTCTGATGCAAGCTAACCTTTGATGATGGATTAGCACGGGCCCACTGTAGATCGAGGTGCTCAGTGTACTGATGATTGACATGAAAAGGAATAACCTTGCAATAACCACATCCATTAAAAGATTTAACTAAGATTTAAAGCAATCGGTCAGTGTTACGGGTATGAACTATGAGACTACATACCCTCAGCATTCTTTAGATGAACGACGTCATGACGAGGATGTAAGGCTCTGTTGTAACATACATCTCGTATGTGAGGGCATCTAGCGTGGTTAAGGTTAATATGAGGGCTGTTTGATGAATTAAAGGACATCACCTGTTTCCACTCGGCTTGAATACCTTACACATGGGACAGAAAACCGATGCTGGGTCAGTCGATCCATATAGGTAGCACATTGATGAAACTGATATTGGGGGAGGAGGAGATGGGATGAATTTATATGAAATACTAATGCAAGATAACTAAAAAAGGGTTCCGGTTCAAGAGACTCGACTGAGAAAGAAGTGGAATGGCAAAGGCAAGGACCGCCGTATCCTGGGTGCGCTCTGCTGATCGGTTGCGTTTGAGGGAGATCATCATGAGTAGAAGTAATGGAGGTCAGTAACAGACTGACAAGATCGATTCGAATCCTTTATATGCTCCCCTGCTGTAACAATCGAAACGCTTTTAGTTCGACATCGTCCTCATGTTTTAAAACGTGTAGACACCATAAAATCCAAAAACGGATATTCCATACAATTATATCATAAACTCGACAAATCAAGCACAATCTCCTAATCAAATTTACAATCAATTCCAATTTTGTTTTTATTTTTTTCGGCATTTCTAGAAGCTCGTGTGAAACGGTTCTCGGCCTTCCAGCGCTTAGATTAGCTAGGATGTTCTACTATGGAAGTCATTCGCATTGCCAGCGCTGCGGTGGCCGCGACGACCCTCTTCTTTATAAACCACACAGTCAACCTTCTCCAAGACAACCAACCAAATTATGGGCAAATCTCATAGCAAACTTTCACCGGAGCAACTCGCAGATCTACAAAAGAACACCTATTGTCAGTTCCAAAATATCTCATATCGACTTCATCTGATGCTATGACCAAGTCGACAAGAGAGAGCTACAACAATGGTTCTTTCTATTTTTCGTCTCATGTGGCGTTAGTTTCATCTAAATCGCATTACAGGTATAAGGGCTTTCTCAAGGATTGTCCATCCGGCCAGCTGGACAAGACTGAATTCAGCCGTATATATAAACAATTCTTTCCATTCGGGGATCCAGGAGACTTTGCAGACTACGTTTTCAACGTTTTCGACGAGAACAAAAATGGTACTATTGACTTCAAGGAGTTCATCTGCGCTCTCAGTGTCACGAGTCGCGGCCGATTAGACGAGAAGCTCAAGTGTACGTACACTTCCCCACTTCATTTTGACACGATCTCATGACGTTTTCATTCTTATACACTTTCTTCCAGGGGCCTTTCAGTTGTACGACATAGACAAAGATGGTTTCATCACCTATGATGAGATGTTACAGATCGTGACATCCATATACAAGATGACTGGACAAATGGTCAAGCTCCCTGCCGATGAGGATACTCCTGAGAAGGTTCGTTTTACAAGCTACACTCTACTTTCTCTCCGCTCACGATCCCAAATACACAGCGAGTAGATAAAATCTTCAGGAACATGGACCGAAACAAGGACGCCCGGCTCACGTACGACGAATTCGTCGAAGGTAGTAAACAAGACCCGACAATCGTCCAGGTGGGCATTCAGGGTCTTCACATGATCAAACCTTTATTCATTCTTTTTATAGGCATTATCGCTATACGATGGTCTTGTATGATCATGATGCTGGCATCCATGCAAGCGGATTATCTTTGCCTCTCAACAGCCATTGATTCATTTTCACAGCTAAATTTCCTCCTAATCTGTTCTCCTGTTATGTTCCGGATGCATCTTGTGATCCATCAGCTCACGGAAGTCAAGATCAAGCCTTTCCCTTTCGCACACCATACTTTACTCTACGCTATAGCCGGATCTGTCTACCTTCATCAATATCACGGTAGACCAGACTCAGGTGCCACATATTTTAATCGCATCTCAAGGCTAGAATCTTGCATAGCCACGTGATAATTACCTACTTAGAATCACAAGGCAGCTAGCTTCCCATACTTCCGTAAAATCTTGGTGTCTATATTTTCACCCACCCAGTTGTGAAGACCCTCCGCGAACTCGAGATTATCCCGCTCTGCCTTGAAAAGTTTGTTGAAATCCTGTGGCTGCCCGGGCTGTGCATTACCCATGGCCGCAAAAGGCGACGCAGTCATGTCACGCGATGAATCAGCAGCTAAAAAAGAAGATCCGGACGCCTCCATCAGACGACTGTCAGAAAACACAGGAAGTAAAGACGCGTACCATTGTCACCCCCAAGGATAAGTCGGTAAAGGCCGTTCAAGCCGAAAAAGTTGAGGAAATACCAGGACAGTGATGAAACCCACCGAACATCCATATCAGGAGTATCGATGCCACGCTGAAGCATGGACTTGAAGCCCAACGTCAAGGGGAAGGGTAGTTTGACTGAGAGATTTTCAGGTCGGAGTGGTCTATTAAAGCGTTATGGGGAAATCACGCACTTAGGACGAAGCCTTGGAAGAAGAAGTTAATCCAGCCCATAATAACCATCTGTGGAACCATCATGACCATTTGGGTTTTCATGCCGGCCATCATACCGTCCATGGCAGCAGGGTCTGACAGAGGATTGGGGGCAGATGACGGCGCGTCAGCCTTGGGCGGTCCATCCTTCAGGTACGTCCCGGCTTTGTAGGCCTCAGAAAGATGCTGTGAAATAGATTTGTAAAACGCTGGTGGTATTGGAGAATTTGAGGACGTGGCGCGGAGAATCTGGGAACGCGTCAGAGCACGTCTATTGCAGGTTACTGTGTTAGAGGGATGTTGGGACAACAAGAGGAGAGTCACTCACTGCTCACGGGTTGCGGCTCGCGAAAGCTTTTTCGGTGGCGACTGCAAAAGAATGACCACATAATGGCGCAGTATTCCAACCAATATCTAGCCATACACATAGTAAACACTTGCACCAGTGTGGACCAGAGATGACCAAACTCACCATTACAAGAGTGATTGGAAAGAGAACCCAGTCCCGAATCTGGGGATCCAAGTACAATGAGAGCCTATCCATTAATATGTGTAAAAGGATTGGAGTGTGTCAAGAATATGCACGAGCTCTGCAGCGACGTCGGCGGTCGTGTTGGAATGAGAGTAGATTTCCTTTTTGAGACAACTATCGCGGAGACCTCGTGCGCAGTTGGCGTTCACTCTCATCCGCCCTTTAACGTTCCCTCAACTCCTTCTAGAGTCGTGCCTCCATTGACCCTTGCAGGGTAGCGGAAACTATGGACAACTCTCCGACCGCGTTATTTGACTCATATGAGCAGGATTTCAGACAAATCATTGACAGCATTCGTTTGAAGCTTGACGGAGAAGGCAAGGATGAGCGTGGTGGTACGTAGAACTTCCTAGTCTTAGCTCATCTATTTATGAGGGTCATTTGCACAGAACAGCGTAGAGCAACACTCAGAAGAGTGGAAATGGAGCTAGACGAGGCCGACGAAATGGTTGGTTTATGCCCATGCTGGTACTCATGCAGTCAGATCTAAATGGTCGACCCTAGATATCGCAAATGGAGATAGAAATCCAGGGGATACCCCAATCCATAAAGCCACAGTACCAAAACCGCCTCAAAACTGCCAAGGGAGACCTAGTGCGGTTCAAGAGGCTTTCTAAGGATCTCCATTCTCAAGTATCAAGAGCGGAACTTCTTTCATCAGGCAGGGTGGGCACACCCACATCAGACGAGCCCTATGGACCCACCAGTGATCGTACTCGCCTGCTTGCGGGGACCGCCACTCTCGAGGATGGTACAAGACGGCTACAAGAGTCACAACGCATTGCCCTGGAGACGGAGGACCAGGGTGCTGAAATACTGATGAATCTCAGAACGCAACGAGAGCAAATTGAGAACTCTAGAGATACCGTGCGTATTGTCCCTCGATTCTTAATAATTACTTACCTCATGCCTTACTAGCTTCGCACCGCTGACACTGCTATTGACCGAGCCTCAGGCACTTTGAAGAAGATGGTTAGACGGTTAGTTTAATGCTGCTATAGGCGTTTTCAAGCCATGTTCCTGATATATGATATGCAGGATGTATCAACAACGTGTCGTCACCGCTGGTATCATTGTTGTCCTAGTCCTGCTAATTGCAATCATTCTATGGGAAAAAGTTTTCCGGTAGAAGGATGTTAATTTATGGTTGTTGCATTTCCCCCTTGTCATATGTCTACCAGACATTGTATTTATGCATAGTATATTTCCACAGACTTCGTTCAAGTGACTTGTGAAACGGTAGATGGTCCTGCTATCAATTTACATACTGGAAGAATACGTTCCTGCCAGAACTATGAGCCTGAGTCCACTTTCACTGGATCTTACTTACTGCTTGTCTGTCATGTCGGCGAATGCACGACGCTCCTTTTCCTTCTGAACGTCGTCATCGGTCCAACCCTTCTCCCTCTTAATCTCTTCTATCATCGCTCGTCGTTTAATATTTAGCTTCACATTAATACGACGCAGAATATATGCTACCCCGATCTGCGTTGAAAGCAAAACCATAATGGCAGCCTTGCCTGGGATATATGCTGGTGCATCTTTAGGTTGGAAAATTTCAGTGCCAATGATGTTTCCAACGCAGAAAAAGATCATGGTGAGCGCGTTGATGGTGAGCTGTCAAACCATGTCAGGCAATACCCAGAGACAAAGGTATACCTGACATACCTTCTTCGTGTAACCGCTCGTGTTGCTGGCATTGTATGCATAGATGGTAGATAATGTGCTTCCAAACGAGCCTATGAGATATGAACCTGCAAACCGTGTTATCTTTTGACGCGCATAATAACCAATCAAAACTCACCAAATAGTAAAACTCCTTTTTGTCCGCTATTGTTGAAGCCAATCATCAGAGCTATGTAGAAAGTGATCAGCCTTCTTTGGGTTTGAAACGAGGAATAACTTTACCGACGCCCAGAAGGGTTGGGAGAGTTGCATAAATCACTGGTAACATGCGTTCTCCCTATATCTATCGATGAGCTCGGCCCCGATATCAGTCATGTAGAGCATTACCTTTTTATCAGAGTAGTAACCGCAGATCACCACTGAAAAAACCTCCACAATTCCAGCGGGAGTAGCAAGGATCAAAGTCTGCCTCGATCTGTCGAGAGGATGGGGGAAACCCATCAGTTACTGCGACAGATTACCCTGTGATGTGACTTTACGTATATCCGAAATTCTTTATGATAATATTGCTGACTAGGCTGGCCATGAGCAAGTTCGTCAAGTCAAGACAGAGATGACTTACAGTTGGTGAGACCACCACTAGGGATATCGGCTGAAACAAGAGTGAGGCATGCACAGGTAATATTGCGATAAATACCCACTCAGCATGGTTGCAAGCACGATCAACCAAGTTCGGACATCCAGAAGTGCCTCGATGACTTGTTCTTTCTTGAACTTCCTGTTCTCTGTACCACCCTGGTCATCCCTGACCCGCTCTAGGGATGCAATGCGCTCCTCCTTTGTAAGGATCCAGGCATTGACAGGCGAATCTGGTAAACAGGTTAATACTATTGTTCCAACGAGGATTGCAAGGCCGCCAAGAAGGTAGTAGACAATCCTGTATGGTGCCATGGCACCTCCGTTGTAAAACGAAATTCCCTGGCGATCAGTAAGCTCAACCCTCTTAGTGTGACATCGCACTACATACATAAGCTATGAAGCCTCCGAAGACCTGAGTAAAGCCAAGCTATTGTATCGCTTTCAGCAAGAAGAAAACATTGGAAAGAAAAATGACCAACCATCGTGTAAAAATATGCAATGCGGACTCCCTGCACAAATCCTAAATATAGTTTCACTGCAGGCGGAATCATTGTCCACCCACTTGTTCATTTTTTCTATAAAACATGGATATTATCGATATCAGGATAGGAGACACACAGCTCTCGCACATCCCTGCCTAGTCTTAGCGAAAATCAGCTAGAGCGAATATCTACGCACCAAGAATAAAGCGAAGCGCGAAGAAGGCATTAAAGGAGTTTGCAAACGCATGACAGAGGAGCACGACGCCCCATATGATAATATTCACGCCTGATATTATTCTGGTTTTTATCCACATCTAGGATAAATGTCATCTCACCAAGGTATTTCCCAAGCCTGAGCTTCTGGGCGATATATACTGTGGGGAATTCCCAAACTATAAAACCTGTGGATATGATGTGATTAACACGAGAAGAGAAGATTTGAAAGGCAACCTCATATTTACCGAGATAGAACGCCATTGAAACTAAATTGTAATTCTGTCCAGTTACCGGAAACCCCATGATGCTAAACACAGAGTAATGTTGAGCATCCTGTCATGCGAGATATCCCGCCCCAGCTACTGACCTCGCATAATTGAGCGATGTTTTATCCCTTTCAGGATGTCAAAAAAAGAAAACCGAAAACGAAGGCTCTCTCACAAAAACTGGGTGAAGTACACCGCAGCAGTTATTGGAATAATAACCTTGTCCTATCAGTCAGTCAGCAAAGTTGGTACAATTACAATAAGCGGAGGGACATACGAGTTTGTTCCTGAGTCTTCGATTATATTCTTCACTAAATTTCTGTGCTTGAGTTCCCACTAGTCGAAGCGCTTCATCTCCTCCGAAGAGCGGAGGATCTACGATTTCTTCCCGGGATATCTCTTTTTCTGAATCCATAACCTGATTGGTTGCGCGGAAGAAGGGCTTCGGGCTGTCTTATCAGGTCTAGTGAGTTGGACGAAGAACCGTGAATGAAGGGTCACGATTGCCATCTGAGTCATTCATCCTAGATATTCATAAGCCTGAGGCGCCACAGGACGATAAGCACCTATGTGATAAGGCCACGAATAGAGTTGCGCATCAAGTCACGATAAGGCATATTTTAGGATGTCCAAGGAGTACATGACGGTGTAGCATGGTCGAAATTCTCACCAAGGGGATGACATTGGTACCGAGAAACGTGAAGTGTTGTTCATAGATTCAAAGAGGACCCCCTGACTGTAGGTTGCAGAGGTCGCGCAACATCGAATCCGACCAGAGTCCTGCTCCAAATGAACAAGGAACGGCGACTCATCTTTTTTTTTCTGTAGAAATCAGCTGGAGGCATGTGACCTCTGCGTTTCTTTTTCACGCGAATAGAAAGTATCGCCTGTCGAGCTCATGAGTTGGCAAGGCTGCTCATCATGGAGAACGAGAATTTGAATATGGGCCATCAACTACGACACAGCGTGAAGGTCCTAGCCAAATCATCGAACGTGTACGCACGGGATATCATTAGACGGCTACCCACGAACGCCATTCAACGATCCCCTTTTTCTCGTGATGGACTTTCTCTCGTTCTTGCAACTTGTTGGTGTAGTATTTGGCATGAGTCACGCTCTACAGGACTGGAGATCGGATATGGTTTACTGTGGATTGGAATAGATGTTGTACTTGAAGGGCGATTAACACCGCAATAGTTTTAAAAAAATGTAGAGCACAGCTGAACCTCTCATTTTAAATATAATGAAGTGGTGGTACTAACTTGGTCTTGATTAGCCTTTATAACTTCGTCGCAATGTCACGTGAGACCATCTCAGTGCTTCTGCGGCAATTCTGCCCGCTCACCGCTGAGTAAGCCATAACTATTGAACATCTTTTATCGGTCCTCAAATTCAAACCAGATACCACACGCTATTAGCATTAATTCGCCCACCATATTCTGGTTGTTGCGCTCGGATTTATTAACACAAATAGGTAACTCTACGCAGGAACAAATACACTCTGCACGACAAGTGTCCACTGATGACTTGGAGGGAGCAATGATAATAACAACCATGGATCATTCCATAATATAGTAAGCGGGTACAATCATGATTGCATCGTGATTTGATGCTTCTAGAGGGGTTGGGTGGTGGAGAGAAGGGAAAGATTAACGCGCCAAGGAACTCCTCTCGCGCATACCTTCGCCGGCGAAATATATCCATACGGGAAAGGGTATGCCAATTACTATGGCAATACCTGCAAGCAGCGAATTACCTCCACCATAGCCAAGTGAGGCAAACATCTGTTCTCCAAACAAAGGGAATGCGAAACCGAGAAGTGAACGGAATGTCTGATGATGTATTTAGTAGACGCCAACGGAATTAGGGGTAACGCAAGAAAGACTAACAGAAGCGGCTGCAGTAGCACTTGCAGCATAGGTGAATGTATCCACGAGATAAAGTTGAATAGGGAGGCTTCATATTAAGAGATTAGATGCAGGAGAGATTTATGCACGGGAGCACACTCACAAACATGTCATTAACCCGAATCCAAAGATAGTGGTGCCGATGATTGGTAACATAAAATGGGCCTTGGCTTGGGCAGACCAGCCATACCAACTAATACATTGTCAGACCCGGGAGCAGGAGTAAATGTGTTCATCTTACAATAGTCCCACTGGGACAAAAAGCGAGCCGAATATCAGAGCAGGTATGCGCATCTCTGGTTTACCCTTCCCTCCATTTTTGGCGGCAAGCTAGGCATGAAAACCAGCGCGTGAGTTGGCACGTCAAGGTAAAAGTCAAGTATTGACATACGTATGCGTATATCTTGCTTGAAACCCTGGCGCCAAAGAAACTGGCGGTTAGAAATCCAAGGCCTATTCCGAGGTACGTCAGGCCCGAAATTCCGGTGCTGAAGTGGTACGTTTTCGAGAAGAGGTCTGAGCGATGTTAATAGCCTAACGGTGGCTGTAGGCAAGTATAATCTTACCGGGGAACGTAGAGAACATCAAGTAGTAGATACCTGACATATGATCTCAGTTTATGTGCAATATAACTTGATGTGGTACTGACCGTATGTCCTACATAGATGGTCATCAGTGAGTCGCATGGGCATGACACTAAATTTAAACTTACAGAGCCATATACAAGCTCAGGATGAAACATATAAAACTCCGGGTCAAGAGTATGACTGGTCGCTTGAGGTTGAGCCATAAGTAAGCCCACTTGCCCATCTCGTCTTGGAGGGCAGGATGTTCCACGGCTGCCTTTTCTGGATCCAGCGCCATGTTATCAAGACGATTCATGATAACTGGCGCATAGGTTTCTTTCAAGAGAGGAATGCCGATCATTCCGGCAATGCCAGAGAGACCGACGACGACGTAGAAGACATACTGTATACCGACTGATTCTGCGATGAAACCTCCCATAACGGGACCGATAGCAGGGCCTAGTAGGATGGGTGAACCCCAGTCGACATGGACGATATAAAATAGCGTACCTATCAAAGGTCCGATGCTGTATAGTGCCACAGCCAATGCTCGATCATGTTCCGCGAAGAGGTCGCTTACGACACCTCCGCCGCATGCTATAGGTGGACTTCCCGCTAATCCAGCTTTGGAAAGAGTGAGCAAACAAGATTTATTTGCAGATGATTTGAGAGGTACCTAGAAAGCGGAAAATAATGAAGGACGTAGTGTCGTTTGACAAGGCGCAGCCAAGATTAAAGGCGATGAAGAAGAGGTTGCCCAGGTGTAGCACCTTGAAGTCATTCAGGTAAATGCTGGTCGCGCTGATGGATGAAGATCACGCACCCATACACGACCATACACTTCAGACAAAGGTGCGGCAAATAAAGGACCGATGGCAAATGATAGAAGGAAGATACAGAGAGTCAATGCTATGACTGTTGGACTTGTTATATTAAATTTGACGGCGATGTCAAGCAAACCAGGTGCCATGATAGAACTGGCTAACGGCGTAACAAAGGTGTACAGTGCGACCTAAGAGGGACATAAAATATTGTAAATTGAAGTGGTTAATAGAAGAACTGACAAGGGTGGTCGTTGTCCATTTTTTTGCAGGAGACCAATTCCTTGGGTTGGCAGGATGGTGTTCCCACTCATAGGTGATTTTGTCATCGTCAAGCTCTGGAGACTGTGGTTTTTCGCCTGTGGTGAGCTTGGGAAGATCTTGATGGGCAAAAGAAATGGATCTTAGAGGAGAGTTCGACATGGATCAGCGTTGCACCTGTGGCAAGCAGGGAACAACCTAGAATTGATAAAAGGTGATAAGACATATCTGGATAGAGTCTAAATTTTATAGTAGACGATAGCCTGACTGAGCAAGTATTACTATTGCTAGCCTGCCAGGAGGCCGCTCAGCCGCTGTATGTTTACGTTGCCATTGGAATTGGTGACAGGTAAGAAAGATGTCACGGAGGCCAAGGTCGTCTTGGTAGCTATGGGGCGCATCATGGTCAGATGTCCCCCGTCCTGTCAAATAGTCTACTTTGAGTTGGTGAAAGCTCTAGAACACTCGAGTATGGGTTATTGGATTATACTTACATTCAAAGTTGGTGAGTGTGGTGGTTTAGACCAACTCGATTACGCCGAATATATGACATTACGTTAACAATTCAGACAAAATGGAACTTCGGCGCCCGGACACCTCATGACTATCATGTGTTTTTTCCACGGCTGACTCTATCGCTAAAGCGCTAATCATCGGGACATACACACGGGAAACAGCTGCAGTAGTCATCCTCTCCGTGTCCCCAAGGTCTCATTATGCTGAAAGAATTGTGGCGTAGTACGGTAGATCGAGCCGAGCTAGTAACTACTGGGCCGAAGACCGCCGAAACTGATTTTCCTGTTGTTCCTGGCAGTCCAAGTCTTTCAACTAGAATTGTTTATAAAGACAAAGCGAAGTGGCACTATGTAACAACTACAAAGCATGTCCATACTCGTGTGCAGTATACCCCTGATAGTGGTATCCATCCCCGTTCGTTGCCGGGTACTCATAATTATGTGCGTGCGTATACTGCTGGCTAGGATAGTCCTGCACATCGTAAGCCTGCGCGCTCGCACCATTATACGGCGAACGTGTTCCTGCATTTGCTCTCCCATGATACACATCACGTGCATCAGCAACATATTGCCCTGGCGCACCCGAACTCCCATATGAATCGTACAGCCCTTGATCATTAGTTGGATAACCAACACTAACACCTTCCTGAAGATGAACCGTGCTGCCGTATTCTTCTTCGTAACCTTGGTGCTGTGGCTCGTAGCTCCCCGTAGACGCAGTATATTGATTAAACGTTCCTGCAGTCTGGTGTGCATACCCACTGTTGTAAGCCGGCATTGGAGGATAGTCGGCGTAGTCCACACCACCCGCATTCGTGTGATAACTTGGTGCTATGCTCTTCTGATCAAAGTAGTAATCCTGGTTGTAGGCACCGCCCGGACCACGCTTGGAGATAGATCCAGCGTCGTCATCATCGTCAACAGAGAGGTTTGGAAGTGTCGGCTGTGGTAAAGGTTTGCCAATCATCTCGCCCTTCTTGTTTTTCAAGTGGGAGAAGTCACCCATAGCTTCCTTCTTCGCTAGCGCAGCAGCCTTTGCAAGTCGCTCCTTGTTTCTACGCTTGATGACCTCTGCGATTCGCTATCATTAAATCAGCCATGCGTAACCAAAACTGTAAATCATGGATGGTACCTTGTCAACCTTGTGGCATACGTACTCCTACATAATCCATGAGCAAACGCACTTGACAGAGGTAGAAATATATCTAACCTTGAGGTTTCCTTGAATGTAGCACAACAAAGGAATGTAGAATATGCCAGCCATAATCAACAGTAAGAGCGAGCCAGCAAAGATGACGAAGGTGAAGAACGTGGAGACAGTCAGGGCAGAGGTCGACAGACTGTTTCCTTCAAAGTACTTGCTGACGTCGTACCAAGACCCTTTGTCGTTCTTCGACAGGTAGATACTATAGAGTGTCAGAGCGTTGATCGTTTGTCTTGGTCCATCAGACAGCAACAAACGCTTCCAACCTGATATCGGTCAGGATATATTGATTCAAGAAAGGAACAAAGACATACTCTTGAACGTAAAGAAGATGAAGAATGCAAAGTCGTCTTTCTTCTTCGTTGAATTACTGATATGATCGAAGAAACAGAAGTGATCATACGAGCCTTGTGCAGTTTATGAGCTTTACATAATGACATAGACAAAGGAATCACATACGGAGAGAGTAATAGTTGTTAGCCATCACGTTCGTGAATGCGTAAGAGATATCACGACTGGCGATGATTTTCTTTGATTTCCGGGCTTCGTACGCCAGCTGCGGATGATCAGACTCGCGTTCTCTTGCATACGACTGCGCCATACCAGAAGAAAGCCAAAAATAATACATCCTACGAACAGCCATTTCCCAACATTAAATGGAATATAGAAGCAACCATCTTGATTCTGACAGTTGTTAAAGATCTGGTTAGACCATGTCGAAGTCGTCAACATGGTCGTAGCGGTGAAGATATCGGAAAGATAGACAAGAAATGATTTGAGGACGATGATATACAGCCAAAGATATCTTTGAAGGAACATCAATAAGCGTTCCGATCTTGAAATAATTGGAACCAGTGAATGGACCGCCACCGTCACCAAGCATCCATAGCCCGCGTGTTCCACAGGTTCGTATAGTCACTCACTTTAGGCGCATGAGGAACCCATTGTCGGTAAACTCACGGGTGTCGATAAAGTCGAACTAGGGTAGTGCTTATTGACATGCAAGAAAGACCAGGAGAGACGAGCGGCTCACTTTATGATCTGGAACAATTTCTCGTTTCCATGCTGGTCCACGGCTCATTGTATTGAGTGACGATTGAGCAAGTTAGACAATAAGGAGGACAAGGCGGGATTTGGTGACTATGTGAATGAGCGTAGAGCGAGCCAGCCGCATGTAAAACCTGACCAGGTTCTGAGACAACGAGAGGCGTTAAAAGAAGGTCTGATCCCACAAAAATCAAGCCAAAGAGTGCTCTGCTGTTAAACTGTGAGGGCGGACAGTGGTAGTGCAGGAACTGTGGATGAAGGATAGAGAGGAGATAAAGAACAAGCCTGAAACTGGAGCGGGAAAATAATGGTTGCTGAGGCCCAAAAGCTATGTGACTAGTCCTATTTCGATTATATCATTTTTGTCCGTTACACGGTTACGGTAAATAATTATTGACCACTAACCATCAGGAAGCACAAAAATGACTACAGTACAAAAGATCAAAGTACGCGTCAGTATCTATCCTTGCTGCTTCTAATTAACGGGGACCTCTATTGTTCAGGAAATCGAAGATGAAATGGCTAGTTTTATCTTTTAGGATGTCACGACTCTACTAATTTTCCTAACAGGCCAAAAGTGTGTTTCCTTGTCTTTCTTGAAGTAGGCTTATCAGCCGATGCAACTTCGTGCTTGTAGCCCAGAAGAATAAGGCCACGAGCTACCATCTGGGTCAACTCAAGGCTAAACTTGCAAAACTACGACGCGAGCTTATATCACCCTCTGGGGGAGGCGGAGGCGGGCCCGGTATTGGTTTCGATGTCGCTAGGACTGGTGTAGCGTCTGTCGGCTTCGTTGGATTTCCATCAGTAGGAAAGGCGAGTTTTCAGTGTTTAATTCTTGCCCGCCAGTCATCATCAACGATCATCTAGTCAACTCTTATGTCGAAGCTCACGGGCACGCACTCAGAAGTCTCGGAGATCGATTTCACAACGTTGACGACAGTCCCTGGTACTCTGAAAGTCCACGGTGCACCTATACAAATCCTTGATTTGCGTGCGTTCGTATCTTTTACTTAGTAATCATACTCTTATTCTCGTCTCAGCTGGAATCATCGAGGGGGCAAATGATGGTAGAGGTAGAGGTCGACAAGGTAAGTACGGATTTTCTGCGCTTGCAGCAAACTGACTCACTTTATTGTGCAGTCATTGCCGGTATGGCCTCCAAGTTTAACGCATGCGAAAGCCGAGGTTGAGAGCAATGCATACCCCAGTCGCTCGAACATGCAACCTCATTTTTATTGTTTTGGATGTCCTCAAGCCTTTGGGAGACAAAAAGATTATCGAGAGCGAGTTGGAAGGCTTTGGTATTCGCTTGAATAAAAAGCCTCCAGCCATTTTGGTTCGCAAGAAGGACAAGGGCGGTATCGCGATCACCAATACCGTTCCCCTGACGAATATCGACCAAGAAGAGATCAAGGCAGTTCTCAGCGAGTACAAGCTCAGTAATGTGGACGTTACTATTCGGCAACCTAACATGACGGCGGACGACCTGGTGGACGTCATTGAAGGGAACAGGTGTGTAATTTATAATCCTGCATAGTTGAATGTTTATACCTTGCAGAGTCTATATTCCTGCGCTCTATGTACGTGTTGACGACCAACATAAATAACATTTCACCTATACTAATTTCTTCCATTTCAAATTTTAGGTTTTGAACAAGGTTGTTTATCACTTGATTGAAATTATGTGTTGCTCACGTTGGTTATGTATGCAGATTGATGCCATCTCGATAGAGGAATTAGATCTTCTGTTCGTTGTTTTTCATCTTCGTTGAAGAGTGCTACTTACCAGTGTTCAGGTACAAAATTCCTTACAGCGTCCCAGTTTCATCGAGAGAATGGCTTAATATCGATGAACTCACAGAAAAAATGTGGGAGGCTCTCGAGCTTGTCCGCGTTTATACCAAACCTCGTGGACAATCACCTGACTACTCCGCTCCAGTCGTCCTCCGCAGAGGGAGATGTAGTGTGGAGGATTTTTGTAACGCTATCCACAAGGAAATTGCTAAGCAAATGAAGTAGTGAGTGTCAACGCTGAGATTTACTTACTAATTGGAGCTGATTGTATGGTCAGTGCCGTTGTATGGGGTGCAAGTGCCAAGCATTCTCGAGGTCAAAAAGTTGGGTTGGACCACGTCTTAGAAGACGAGGACGGTAAGATATCTATTTCTTCCGCGCGTGCAATCTCAAACAGCCACTTAGTCGTTCATATCGCAAAAAAGTAGCCGACACAACAGATGTGCGACTCACCCCGCACAACCCATTGTATCTACTAGTACTGCTGTGTAATGTATAGAGTACTGAGCCGGATGAATGACCATAACAGTCCCACCGCACAGTAAACGCTTGTCACCATCAGGGGCAAGAATTCAGTGTCTGGGTTCTCGCCAGTCATGAGAGGGAATAGGGTGACGAAAGCCTGGAGAAGTGCAAAACCATATAGGTATGCATTCTCAAAGCTCTCCAACAGTACCCAGGGCAGTGAAGAAGGAAATCTGTCGAAAATTTTAATAGGTAGAAAGATTTCCGTGCCACTACTCACTCGTAGAGTTGCTTATGAAGGGGGTATAATAACATTCCTCCCCATATGAGGGAATACACGATTTTCAGCAAGGATTCTTTTAGATTTGTTAATAATGCCCAAAACGAGCCTGCATTACGGGAACGCACCTGCTGGCGTAAAAATCAAGGGGAAGAGTGAGAAGATACCCGCGACACTTGCGATAACGAAGGTCTTGTAATACGCGTAGTTCTCTGAAGCCAGAAGCCTGCAACACTAGATATACTACGTTGAAAAGAGTGATGAAAACCACGCACGTAAGAGGCACCAATACGAGCAGAACGGCCTTCTCATGCACATGCCACCCGAACATGTACGAAGCGTAGCCACAAAGCGTCAACGCAGCCACGAACGACTTGTAAGTTGGCGCTCTCCATAGCTTAATGAGATAAACCTGAGCTACAATATTAGAAAGAACCGCCAGTCATGCAATTTGTCGCACCATCTGGAAGATTATTGTAATGATGAACGTGTGGAGGGGCTTGATATTTGGAATCACCGCAAAGACCGTATCTCCTACAAGGCCGCGGGACGTCGATGCAATACCAGATTCATTCACTGCGACTCCGACATCCAGATGTTTTACCACTGAAGACCAGCGTGAGCTCGGTAGTGGAAGGGTAATTAATGAACCACGAACGCTGCAAAAGGACACGGTCTGCGGCAGTGACCAAGGCCCATACATTCGGTGCCCAGTAAGCGTGATTCAGACCACGCGTAAAAGGAAACAAGCGAGAAAGCAGTTGCGGGAGTTGGCCCATCAACACGAATGGTCCTAGAGAAGCCATGAACACGAGCAGAACAGAATTCGCCAATGAGATGAAGCGTGTGGGGATGATCGCCCCTGCGGGAGACATGCAGTAAGACCGCAAAAGGTAGATAAAGTATGCAGGCTGTAGAGGCAATCCAGTGAGTCAAGTACTATGAATAGTGATGCGATCATACCGCCAGATACATATAAATGTGTTTGAAGTTCAAAAGAACGGCAAAAAGTATGCCGCTTGCAAGTTTTCTGCCCTATAAATGTGATAAGATACTTTTGCTCGTATAAGACCATCTCTCTTACTTCGCAAGCCATTAAGATCGACCATAGCAATATTCCAAACATAAACCCATTGTATTGAAAGTGTATGTGGTCAATTATGAGGAACCCTGGGTGAAGAAACAAGGACGCCGAGAGAATTCGTTGACGAGAGGGATCAACAGAACCACGTATAAACCTCACTCAAGAATCAGCGCTTCGCAGACAAGAATAAATAGAAATTCACCTCAGAAGTGCCGCACCAAGGACAAGTTCAGAAATAATGACGGTCAGACGTTGATATACAATGACCGTCCATGCATCATATTGAAGATTTTGGATGTCGACTATCTTGGGATCGATAAATGCAGCGGGTATGGACATCAAGCTCTCGAAATATGCAAAGAATGGAGGGTAATCCAGCGCTAGTCGACGAGATAAGACGGTGTGATTCAGAAACTTTTAAAGAGGCTTACTCCACTCAGAAGTCGTCTTCAACGCCATGTTCAATAAGCCTAGTAATGGGATATAGAGAGCTTAAGGACGCACGTCGTAATACCATCGAGAAATGGGAAGTGAATGTGTTATGGCCAGCCAGTTTCGGTGGACCTCAAAATCCGTAGAGCGACTTCATGGATCAGTGAGCGTGCAAATACATATTTAAGGAGGGCCTACTATGCTGGGAACAGGAGGAACTTGAATGCGGTGGAGAGAAGTAAGATGTCGACTTCAGATTGTGATACACCACCCAGAAAGTTCAGCCACCTCCAGGCCGAGGTGGATTTCAGTGCATGCGGCTTCTGGGGGTCTTCGAGCTCGTCGGTAGGCAAACTATGAGAATTTTTGACTGCGCTCATCGAAGTGTACAACCAAGCTCTTAAAGTTGGTAGCCGTTTACTTCGTGTAATTGTATTACGTCATCTACTAAGATGGTGCATGATGAGCCTAGCTAGCCGGCTCGAACTGTTCGCAACCGTGCTCGGTAGTGCCACAGTTGAAATGGACGGCCGTGGTCGTACACAAAAGCATTTATAATACCGCAAAAATGAGGTGACATGGCTCAAGAGTTCAAGCAGGAGGCAATACTCAATTCTTGCAGGCATGACTACTGGTAACACTAAACATTACAGGGGGTCAATAATGATAACATATCTAAACGAACAGATGCAGAGTTTGGTGTGATGAACATATGGCGTGCGGTATAGTGCATAGGGAAGTGGAATATATGTAAACAGGGAATCGCAATGACACATCTAGAAGTCCTCATCCAAAGAGCTGGATGAAACATTGTCAGACAAGGTCTAACAGAAAGATAGTTAACTCACAAAGTTTTACTTGACACCTGATCAGTCTTAGCATTTGTGTGATTGACGTTCGCCTTTGAATAGTCCGACACACGCTTTTCGAAGAAGTTAGTCTTCCCCTGTAGCGAAATCATGTCCATGAAGTCGAATGGGTTTGTAGCGTTGTACACTTTATCGTTGCCTAACGACACTAACAAGCGGTCTGCGACGAACTCGATGTACTGGCACATGAGCTTGGCATTCATGCCAATAAGGCCGACAGGGAGAGCGTCTAAAGAGACAGTCAGTGTAAGATGGATAAAATCAAAGCAATGACGAACCAGTCAAGAATTCCTGCTCAATGGTGACAGCCTGGGTAATGATATGCTTGACGGTCTCAGGATGCGGGCGACGCTTGAGATGGCTAAAGAGCAAGCAAGCAAAATCGGTGTGCATACCCTCATCACGGCTGATGAGCTCGTTGGAGAACGTAAGACCAGGCATGAGACCGCGCTTCTTGAGCCAGAAGATGGACGCGAAGGAACCAGAAAAGAAAATGCCCTCGACGGCAGCAAAGGCTACCAAGCGTTCACCGAAGGTAGAACGATGATCGGATATCCACTTGAGTGCCCAGTCAGCCTTGCGCTTGACGCAAGGAATAGTTTCCATGGCGTCAAAGAGATATTCGCGCTGAGCAGAATCCTTAATGTATGTGTCGATGAGAAGTGAATAGGTCTCAGAGTGAATGTTCTCCATCATAATTTGGAAGCCGTAGAAGCACCGGGCCTCAGCAGCCTGGACCTCATTGGAGAAACGTTCGATGAGATTTTCATTAACAATGCCGTCGGACGCAGCGAAGAAGGCGAGGACGTGTGAAACAAAGTGACGTTCGTTGTCATTAAGACGGTTCGTCCAGTCATGGATATCTTTTGAGAGGTCCATTTCCTCGGCAGTCCAAAATGATGCCTCGGCTTTCTTGTACATTTGCCATATCTAGTGAATTGTTAAGATGAAGTTAACAGGACGACAGAAAGTAACAAACCTCATGGTATTGAATGGGGAAAAGAACGAAACGACGCTTGGACTCTTTGAGCAGAGGCTCTTCGCCTGAAACGAAAAGTCAAGTTGAATATTGATTCACAAACAAAATCAAGGCACTGACTTTCAGGTAGGTCAATTTCGCCAACAAACTTCTTGCGAAGTTCTTCAAGCTCGTCCTCGGCGTCTTGAGAGTCCGGTGAGACTGAACGCTTGCGGTCATCGATCAAAACAGGAAGGGTATCCTCGTCATCTGCTGATGGCTTGGTTGGCGAGTCTAGTGAGATATTGGCTAGGGCTGCAGCAGCCTAGTGATTCAATATCCGTTAGCTAGAACAATACGGTTAACTCAAAATTGGATGAACCTTCTTGCTTGGTGTTGGGGCAGGAGATGATACACGAACTGGTGCAAGAGTAGAAGCCATTGGATATATGAGATGGATATGTTGTAAGATGAGGATACCGCAAGAGATGAAAGTCCTTGAGAAGCAGAGAGAGCCAACCAAAGTTGAAATTTAAACGTTCAAACTGTGGTTGTGGTTATTTGTTCCACTCAACATTACGCGACGCGTTGTTGGTTTTTGTAGACGTGCCACGGCCCACGATACGCGCGAACATTACTAACGTTCCATCATTACCAAAAGTCCCAAACCAATCAGCTTACACCATTTCTCACGTCTTCACCTTGTTTCACGTCGTGGTTCACACTGACACAGATTTTTAAAATATCAGGACACGGGCACCAGTGAACGCGCGGCCCGGGATAATCGGATGACCCCAAAAAAAATCAGTCACGTACATCACATGATTACGTGACCTTTCAAAGGGGTCGTTCAGGCTCACTACTATTAACTAGTAGGTGCAAGCTTTATCTCATGTCTGAAACACAAACGCTCGATTGTTTCTTTGTCACATCTGTCCAGGACCTTTCAATCAAGGTACGTGGTTTTCCTTGTTCACAGTCAAACCTTAATTAGAAGTTATTTCATGATAGGAGACATCACAACAGAAGCTTTCTCTCAGCGACCCATTTCTCTACTCTGAGGGATGTGATGGTATGAACAGCTCGGGTGATCCATGCGAGAGTGGAATTTCAGAAGGGGGTACGCTTTTTTGGTTCTGTGCGTCCGTCAATCTCACCAGAACACACGTAGAATATGAACCGCTCCTCATGCCTTCTCAACGGCGCTTTGTCCTTTTCCCCATACAGTATCATGAAGTGAGAACATTTTCTATGGACGGTGATGGACTTGATTGACGGCATATAGATCTGGAACATGTACAAGAAAGCGGAGGCATCTTTTTGGACTGCCGAAGAAATGGAGCTCTCAACAGACATTGTGCACTGGAATACCCGACTAACTGCAAATGAACGCCACTTCATCTCACATATTTTAGCTTTTTTTGCTGCGTCTGATGGCATAGTTAACGAGAATCTGGTTGAGCGTTTTTCCAACGAAGTCCAGATCCCAGAAGCTCGATGCTTTTACGGTTTCCAAATCATGATCGAAAATGTTCACGCAGAGACCTATTCGCTCCTTATCGACACACTCATCAAGGACGTCAATGAGCGCCAGTATCTTTTTGATGCCATAGAGACGATACCGGCCGTCAAGCGAAAAGCAGACTGGGCGTTACGATGGATATCTGACAAGGAGGCAACATTTGCTACTCGGCTAGTTGCCTTTGCTGCGGTTGAGGGTATCTTCTTTTCCGGCTCGTTTGCATCAATATTTTGGCTCAAAAAGCGTGGATTAATGCCGGGGCTCACTTTCTCCAATGAACTCATCAGTCGTGACGAGGGGATGCACACCGACTTCGCTTGCCTTTTATTTACCCATCTCAGGCGAAGACCGCATCAGGATGTTATACAAAAAATTATTACAGAAAGTGTCCACATTGAACAAGAGTTCTTAGTAGGCACGTGTTCAGTTATTATCTTGCGCTGGTATTGACTGTGTACCATAGATGCTCTTCCAGTCAGTCTCATTGGCATGAACGCAACCATGATGTGCCAGTATATTGAGTTTGTCGCCGACCGTCTTCTACAATCGTTGGGGAATGACAAGTTCTACAACTCTACCAACCCCTTTGATTTTATGGAAATGATTTCCATGCAGGGAAAGACAAATTTTTTCGAGAAGCGCGTGTCTGACTATGCGAAGGCACATGTCAGACAATTGGACACTCCAGCATCTTCAAGGGTATTGTAAGTTTCCCACCATATTACTCCAGAACACATGTCTCATTTCACAATGTAGTTCTCTTGACGAGGATTTCTGAGCCTCTATTCCCTTTCGTCGTTCGCGACTTCGACTAATAACATAGACTGGTACCCAATCACGTACCTAATATCTTATTCCACAGCCACCATATGCCTGTCTGTCACCTTGTAACCCCCTACTTAGTCTTTAGTATTTTCCGTAGTTCACTACTCACACTTTATCATGTATAAGACCGTCTGCATCTCGAGAACACATGTTGCCATTTCGAGGAAAATCACGTGATTGGTGATTTTCAGCGAACGCTTGGTCCTCTACACATAAGCCCTTTGATTGTCGACAGGAAGATGGTGATGCATACAATTCCCTTGTCTCCAGCTTTCGCAGTTAACAAGGATACAGATTCGGCGACAAACACGTGAGCGACGACAATACATTTACGCCAAATCCCTCGAGGCTCAAGAACGTCAAACTTATGAGCGCAAACGGCAGCTCAAAGATGCACTTGCATCAGGAAAACAACTTCCCACCGAGCTTAAGAATGACGCAAAGACGCTAGGAAAGGACTTAGCGTTTGACGAGGCACAAGAAGGTGAGTTGAAATCATCTACTACTAAATTAGTGTATCTACCAGGTCTTTTGATTAGAGCCATCAACTCACATCGATAGTGAATACTCGCGGGCTGGTATTCAAGACCCAAAAATTATTGTAACAACATCAAGAGACCCAAGTTCCAAGTTGTTGCAGTTCGCCAAAGTATGTCATCCAAATATCCGTCACCCATTCCTATTGAAACCTTGCAAAGGAAATGCGCCTTGTTTTTCCCAACTCACATCGGATCAACCGAGGAAACTACGTTATAAAAGAGCTGGCGGATGCTTGTCGTGCTAATGATATTACTGATCTCATTGTTCTCCACGAACACCGTGGTGTTCCTGGTACGCCAAACTAGAGCCGTATCCATATGTGCGCTCATTTGAGCATTATACAGATGCTATGATTGTCTCGCACTTCCCCCATGGACCTACTGTCTACTTTACCCTGCACAACGTTGCCTTACGGCACGATATAGGCTCGTACAAGTCCTCCACCATATCAGAACAGTACCCGCACCTCATCTTCGAGGAGTTCACGTCTAAACTCGGTGGCCGGGTGCGAGACGTGCTAAAATTTCTGTTTCCTGTACCGAAAGAGGACAGCAAGCGTGTGATGACGTTCTCTAATGACGGAGATTTCATTTCCTTCAGGTGAGTGTATTGGGAAGACATGCAACGGATACTAACTTGCGCAGGCATCATGTTTTTGTAAAAGTAGCTCGAGATGTTCAACTGGCGGAAGTTGGGCCGCGCTTTGAGATGAAACGTGAGCGCCATCTTATTGGCTTTATTGGTAGCCAACTCAGTGCTTGGATTTTAGCGTATGAGATACGGCAAGGCACTATAGAACAGACAGAGGCAGAAAGAGAGTGGGTATTGGCACATTACGCGAGAACGGCCAAAAAGCGGAGTCTATTATCGGGACCTGCAGTATATTCAAGGGCAGATTCAGATCGGACATCGAGTAAACGACAAAAGCGATAGCGTGTACATCTAAATGTTCTTCAGAACCTTTCAATGTATACCAAAATCTCAGACCATGCCAACGATGAATGATATTGTACAAAGTGCGGCCCATTGCAGATGTAAATTAATCTACAGCAAGAGTCTTGTCTAGCTCAGTAAAGCATTCAAAGAATGTGGTAAACAGGTCGATCGCGTTTTGGACATCATGAGAGCCTGCAGTCTCACGAATGGAGTGCATAGACAACATGGCATTACCGACATCCACTGTGCGCAAGCCAAGCTTCGATAACATTGGTCCAACAGTCGAACCGCACGCCCTGGATATTGATGTATGATGGTTAAAATAAACTTCTAAAGGCAAATAAATACTCACATGTCATTTCGAACCTCGTATTCCTGAACCTTGCCTCCTTTGCGCTCAACAAGTTTCTTCACAATGAAGGACCCGATTGCATCGCTGGCATATTTCTGTTTCGCATTGGTCTTGATGACAATACCTCCGTTCATAGTCGGTTGATGATTGTCCTCGTGCTTTGAGGTATAGGCCGGGTGAATGGCATGACCCATATCTGCCGATATGAGAAACGACCGAGCAACAGACTGTGAATGAAGCGCAGGAGTGGGAGATAAGCGTTGCAGGAGCGAGGGTATCAAGGAAGATTCTGCCCCAGATGTGGAGACGCTGCCAATTTCCTCGTGATTGAAGAGGGCAATGCAGTTGACGTTGCCCTCAAGAATATTGAAATTGGAAGACGAGGCATAGGTTGCGATGGCATCCACAGCGCAGAAGCTATAATTGTTTGCCATTGAATATATCACGGGAAAGAAAATTGAGCAACGCACGAGCAAACCTGGTTGTCCATGCGAGGACTAAACATAAACTCATTGTTAATACCTCCCAAGACAGAAGGTTGGGTATCATATAAATGCCTACGGAGACATCAGAAATAAACCAGGTTTAGGGAGCTCTGGAACGTACAATTCGAAATCATGGATCTCTTCAGGAGAAACTGACAGTTCGTTGGCAATGACAGAGAGTAGGGCTGGGTGATGATTTCCCTGGATGCTAGCAGCTGTCGCGTTTGATACCTTGTCATCTTTAGTTGTCTTATTCAAGCTGTCCGCGACAAGCCCTAGAATGGGTACAAATTCTGTCTCTTGATTGAACTTCAAATTATCGTTGACATTTCTGTCCACTGAACGGCCACATATTAGCGTTCCGACTCCACGTGCTCATGAAAGGTACAGACGGTGGATGGCGAGGGTAGGAATACGCAGGAGAGGTCGATCAACCTTGATGAGCTTTGATTGAAAGGTCCCATCTTGCTGCGTGACCACTACTCTCCCGGCCAAGGAGAGGTCCCGATCCAACCAAGAGTGCCAGATACCTCCACCATAAGTTTCTACCCCAACTTGGAGGTATCCAGTCTTCTCCCGCTTGGATATAGGGCGCACCTGTGCGAACTTTAGATGTTTATATATGATGCGTAGTAACTCAATCACCCTCAAATTTGGGCTATCAACGTGTGTAGCTACAATAGATAAGCCTGCGCCCTGCTTCCAGTTCGGAGGAATGGTAAAAGCAACCAGGGAGCTCTGATTGCTGCAATACAGATCAGAAACCACAAATCGGCTGATGTTCGGAATAGACTGACCGGGTAAAGTAGTATTTCCCTCGGGGTTGCAAAGTCTTCTCCCAATCGTCTGCTTCCCTGATCTACGCTATTATTTTGATATACTAATTCGGTGTATGTAGTTCGACTCACCTTCTTGAATCCAGATGCTTCCAGTCGTGCAGATGCATTGTATACGGCGTGGAAAGGAGTTGGTGATGCGTTCACGAAAGCGATGAAGCGTCTGGCCGCCTCAGAGCTCGACTGAGAAACTTGAAGCATCATTTCTTGAATTGAATGACAGTTTGCTTCTGAGGGTCTTGCGAAATCTTCGATGCTTGGATATCGATTGTTCAAGAGATGTCTTGTGAGCAAGTTGGGTTGACACAACTTGGCAGCGGCCCGGACATTCCCTTGATTAATGTGAGAATAAATTGCCAACTTTAGGTTCTTGCATTTTCTTCGTCTTGGTCCACTCAGATTCGGATAACCGTAACGCATACCGATGGTACAAAGCTATCTGCGGCACGGGCCAACTCAGGCATGTAGGCATGTTGATATCCACTGCATTCTCGCTCACAATTGGATAGGCTTTTGGGCTGATATGCAGCTCAACCTCCAACTCACTATATGATGGCAAACTAGCATATGTCCCAGCACTCGAGGACGTGCTTGTATGGGATATGAAGAAAGGGCAAATGGTATGTGGATAGTATTTCAAGTGTTTCTGTCTGCTCATGTGCAGCCAGCTCTCAATGTGGCACGAAACAGGACACAGATCTGAGGTTACTTGCATGTGCCGTTCTCCTCAAGAAAACATTTTTGCAGTGGGTTACGCCGATGGTTCAGTGCGCCTTTGGAATAGTACATTTGTCTCAGTCATTGCAACATTTAACGGACACCAAAAATCCGTCACTGCTCTCGCATTTGATGCACAAGGAGCCCGCCTCGCTTCTGGCTCGCAAGATACAGATATCATCATGTGGGATGTTGTAGCCGAAGCTGGTCTCTTCCGGTACGTGATATCAAGCGTTGTACAACTTTTCTCTTCACCCTTCCAAAAGTCTACGGGGCCATCGCAATCAAATCACCACCATACGATTCCTTTCCGAGCCTGAACTTCCTTCCACCTCGACTGGTTCACGCTCTCATATGCTACTCACGACGTCAAAAGATACATTCATGAAGTTATGGGACACCTCCACTCAACACTGCGTTCAGACAATCATTGCTCACCGCTCCGAGGTTTCTTCCCTGGATATCGATCCAGAAAAGAACTTTATCTTCACCGGAAGCAGCGAGGGCGAAGTTAAAGCATGGAAAATCGACCACGAGTCACTGTCGCAAGGTTTAGTGGAAAATGAAGCAGGCGAGGCAAGTAACAATTTTGCAGTGATTGATTCGAACTTCATTTTGTGTGCAGGTCGCAAAGATGATCCATCCTGTCACCAGCCTCCCCCTCTCATCACGTCATCGCGTATCCCAGATTTTATTCCACCCGTCACAACCATACCTTGCTGTACAGTCACACGACCGATCTATTGAAGTCTTTCGTATCCGAACTGAGGAAGAAATAAGAAAGAAGCAGGCTAGACGGAAAAAGCGTGCAAAAGAGAAGGGGAAAAGCAAGATAAAAGGGAAAGATATCGATGACGCCGTAGAGGATGCTATGGATGTTGAACAGGAGATCAACCTGATTGATCTTTTCACTCCTTACCTTGTGGTTCGAGCAAGTGCAAAAGTCAGATCCTTCGATTTTAGTTCCAAGGAAGCTGTATCGAAACCTGGTATCCAGGTTTGTATCAACTTACTTGAACACTGTATGACTCTGACTTATCATGTCGCAGCTCTTTGTGGCATTGTCTTCAAACGCCCTTGAAGTGTACAACATTCCACCCCCTACGAAGTCCAAAGAAGAGACACCTGAAGCCACTCGGATGTTTTCGGTTGATCTTCCCGGGCATCGTACAGATGTGAGGACTTTGTGTTTGAGCACAGATGATCAGATACTTGCGTCAGCATCTAATGGTGCGTTCGCGTTAGTAATTCTAGCGCTTCACTGATGTGTGTACGGAAGGTTCTTTGAAGCTATGGAACCTGAAAACGACAGCGTGCATTCGCACAATAGACTGCGGCTACGCTATTTGTAGCACATTCCTTCCTGGAGACAGACATGTAGATTTCCTTTTTTTTTCGAAAATGTTACGCTGATTAGGTTTCCTCTAGGTCGCTATTGGAACGAAGTCAGGGGAAATTCTAATATATGATTTGGCATCTTCAGCACTCGCGGAGACTGTGAAAGCCCATAGCTCCACTGTTTGGTCACTGCATGTTCATCCAGACGAGCGAGTTTTGGTTAGCGGTAGTGCTGATAAGGAAGTCAAATTTTGGGAGTTCGAGCGTAATATTTTTTCTAATGATGAGGTTAGTGTCTCGGTTTTCAAACATGCACTCTGCAATCCCAATCGCGGATCAATATATGCAGGTCAAAAAGTCGATGACGTTGAATCACACACGAACGTTGAAGATGTCGGATGAAGTCCTGTTCGTCAGATACAGCCCGAATGGGAAGCTATTGGCAGTAGCCCTACTGGACTCCACAGTAAAAGTTTTCTATCAAGACACCCTGAAGTTCTTCCTTTCTCTATATGGTCACAAGGTAAATCCCAGAATCTGCTGTGAATACGAAGTCTCAATGCTGTTTCAGCTACCTGTATTAGCAATGGACATTTCGGATGATTCCAAGCTCATCGTTACATGCTCTGCAGACAAAAACGTGAAGATCTGGGGCCTCGACTTTGGTGACTGCCACAAGTCAATATTTGCTCACGAGGAGAGTGTCATGCAGGTGCTCTTTGAGCGAAAGTCACATTACTTCTGGACTGTTGGCAAGGATAAGATGCTCAAGTATTGGGATGGGGACAAGGTAAGACCCCTTCTTTTCCCTTTTAAAATCATTTTCAAATCTCGCGTAGTTTGAGAACATTCAGAAACTTGATGGTCATCACAGCGAGATTTGGGCACTGGCTGTGAGCAACCACGCAAAATTTGTAGTGACGGGCTCGCACGACAAGTCTATCAGAGTTTGGGAGAAACTCGACGAACCAGTGAGCTGTACTGCAGTGATCTATCTGGTAGCACGCCTGACCTCGAGTCTAGCTTTTTCTCGAGGAAGAGCGGGAGCGGGAGCTTGAACAAATCTATGAGGACGGAATTGCAAACGCACTTAACCGTCCTGACATATCTATCGTCAACAATAGCGAAACTGATACACAACCCTCCGGGGAAGCAGCTGCAGTCACCAAGCAAACTTCGGAGACACTCATGGCGGGCGAACGTATTATGGAGGCGTTGGACCTCGCTGATGCCGAGCGGGCTGCTTTCCAGGAGTATGAAGAAAAGGTTGCTCAAGCGGGTTCACTAGAGGCTGCAGGGATGCAGCCACCGCCTCGAAACCCCATTCTCGCAGCATATGACTTGGAACCTGAAGGATACATTCTACGAGTTGTGGAGAAAATATCCAGTACTGCTTTGCATGACGCTTTGCTAGTGCTACCATTTGACAAGGTAATTTCGTTGATGCGCTACTTAGACCTATGGGCACAGAAAGTAAGCTTTTTTTTGCACATCTCCCAAGATACAACCTTTGACGCATTACGAAGGGGTGGAATATGTCCCTGGTATCTCGTATATTGTTCTTCCTCTTGAAAATCCATCACCACCAGATCGTGGCTAATCGTGTCATGCGCACGGCATTGATCCCGTTACGCGTCCACCTCCGCAGGTCATTACGCCACGAGAAAGATACTATTGGATATAATCTGGTTGCATTACAACATCTTCGGCGAAGAACAGAAGCAGAGAGGGCTGCCCAGTTCTATGAAGAGGAAGACTTCGACGAGGAAAAAGTTCGCGCGAAGATCGCAGAAGGCAAAAAGAGAAAAAGGGTTTCCATCAAAGCTTAATTGGTGGAAATAGTTCTAATGTCGTACTCATAAGTATCTAGCGGTACAAGTGTCAGGCAAACAGTTTTCTGCGCATCGCTGAGCGGATCAGGATTTGGTGGTCTGTGGCCCCCACAAGTCAGTGTCCCTATCGTGACTGTTCAGCTGTGCAGCCCCTTTGGATGTATGTTACTTACCAGTTGTCGGGTTCTGTTGCTTCTCGCATCTGCACGGTCAGTATGCCTTCATCCGGACTCGCCAGTTCGCTGAATGCCGCCCTGGTCAGGTCGACGTGACGAGATCCTTCGGCGCACCCAGCACAACTGTCCACGACACGAATGAATATACACGTCCTGCCGTTGCAGACTATATCACAATTGAATATATCGTGACATCGAACTCCAAAGAAGTTTGCAACTCACGTTCGATGAACTTGAAGCATTGTGGCTTCGTCGTCCAACCATCCAAGGTGACGGCGCCCACGAAAGACTTGTCCTGTTGAGAGTTATTTCCAGACTCGACCATGGTTGTATGCGCATGCATGCTTACTGTTGGTGACCATCCTCCGTTACTCCAACAACTGGGATTCTCTAGGTCATGGCCAGTATACCTGACGAACATAGTTGACTGTGTCATATCAACTGCAGTACAGGCGAAATCGCATACCAAGTTATGGTCACACCCACCGAGGGTCCCTTGCCCATACATCCCGCAAAGATAGAAGCAAGGCTTGAGACCACGGTTCCTAAAAATCCAGTGGTTGTGGTTGTGTTTGAGGTTTTCGCGTGCTTTTCTCTGTATTTTGATGTTTTGAGGCCGACAGATGTAATGTTCTGGGACGACCTGCGCAGTGCTCTATGGAAGGAGTGATCTTTGTGACTTGACGCGGGATACTTGTAGTTTAGATTGGAGATATTAACAGGTTCCCATCCGTCTCGCGGGCTGAAGGAGTGTGAATCAGGTAGGTAGTGTGCTTTAGCGTATTTGTTGTCTCGTATGCCCCGCGTGTCTGAAATATTCATGATGGCTGCTTCGACCAGCGAAGCAAGGACCTGGATTGTGAAGGCGGCTGCAAGCCAGCGCATGTTTATAGTGATATGAGTGGATAAAAGACTACAAAAATATGGGCGAGAAATCGTGATGTCTCCTGCGATGTCGATTGTTGTCAAACTTTGAAAGGACTCGAAATTCTCAGCGGGACGTGCTTTGGCACGTGACTTTTGATTTCTCGTCCGTGTATGCACGTGACATGAAGCGATTATGTTATTACTAAGTACTTACCTCGGCCGCCGGATCCCCCTCTGCTCTTTCTTAGAACAGAACTTTGAAGTTGTCTCATTTTATCATTCTTCGGTGACCAAGGACTTCTAACTTTAGATCGCGTTCCAGTAGCATCTATGCCTGTGGACACATCGAAGAATTTTTCGAATGTTCCCCGTCGCACATCTCGCAAAGTAGCGAATGAAGAGGAAACGGAACTTAAGCGCGCTCGTGGTGAAATCTCGTGCGCAGAGTGCAGAAGGTTTTCCCATTTTTCGAATTTAAAACTTGCCTGATTTATTGCTCGAAGACTGAAACTGAAATGCGACAAGAAAGTACCATGTGGATCTTGCGTTCGTCGAGGCTGCCCAACTATCTGTCCAAATGGTCGTGTCTAGTTATTATGCAATCAATCAGCCCTAACATTATTGTGACACCTACAGGTAGTCTTTCTACAGGGCAGGGTACTCGGTATATACCATTTTCTTCCTGTGCATTTGATCGCGCTGAGTGATTACTAGTTTTGTCCTTGCAGACACAGAGCACCTGCATCGCAAGATTGTGGAGATGGGTCAGCGAATTCGACAACTCGAGGATGCACTGTCCATTTTTCAAGGCGGTGTGTCTGAGGAGGTTCATCCGCTCCTCACCGAAGATCTACTTTCCATAAAATTTGGACTAGAAGCTCCAAAGGCTAGCCATGATGCTACACATGAAAGCAGCAGTGTCCCTATGAATTCATTTGGTACTTTGACTATCGGCGATGGAGGACAGTCGAATTACTTTGGGCTTTCTGCAGGTTCAGAGGTAATGCTATTCTTTCGCTTCCTTTCGTGAATGCTTAGTCATGGTAACTTGAACCCAACAGACCTTATTCATTGTATGTTGGCTCGAAAAAAAGCTCGGGACAATTCATTTGATTGCATCCTGGCAGGCAGGCGCTGAAATCGATGTCACTTCATCCTCTCAACCAGACGAGCTTCCGAGCATGTCCACGGACGTATCTCGATTGGGGTCAAGTGTCCCCTTCAGTTTGACTGGTATTCCTGACCATGATCACTGTCAAAGTATCCTGGACTCGTTGCTAAGCCTTTTACCGCCATACCCGCGGGCTAGTGCACTCTGCGAGACATATATGGAGCACGCTGCTTGGATATTTCGACCGATTCGGCGAGAAGAACTGATTGATGATATTCTATCACCTGTTTACGATCTTGCTCAGAAGAGGCAAAATAACACACCTGAACCTAAGGCAGAGTGCCCTGAACACACTATCGCCGTGCTCTATATGGTCTTTTCCCAGGGCGCTCTCATGGACTTGACTTTGCCACCATGTAACCAGGAAGCAGAGGACTACTTTCATCTTGGCCGTGTGGCATTATCACTCCGCTCTGTTTTCGAATCACCCACTATTCAAACTGTTCAAGCTCTGGCTGTGATGGGATACTATTACAGCAACAGAGGCAAGCAATACGCGTTAAACAGCGCGTGGTCTGCCATCGCGCTTGCCAGCAAGTTAGCTCAGAGCGTGTGTTTATGATTTGATCTTCTTGAACATGACATTGACCGTGTCTTTTTCAGATGGGTCTTCGTGAGTATCTGTTTTTGGTCTCATCTTCATCAGTTTTCATTCCTTGCATAGACCGGGACCCTTCTCGATTTAATATGAGCCCAAAGGTTGTTCAGCGTCGCCGTACCCTATTCTGGGAAATCTTTTCTGCGGATATCTTTCATGTGGGTGACATTTCTTGTATTTTCACATGATTTTGACGATTTGGTTAGAGTCTCACTCTGGGTCGTCCTCCATCAAACAGGTTATCGTACGTAGACTGTGAGTTTCCTGAAGACGAGACGACAACTATAAATGATCAAGGAGAAGTTGAGATTGGGTGTGAGTTCTGACTATTGCCGCTCCTATTTCGCTGAATCATTATACTTTGGCAGTTTGGCGATGGAAGCATATCTTTACAAGAGACGTATTCTCACAAGTCACAGAATTGACGCTGAGCGCAGAACTTCCAAATTACGACACTATCCTAGAACTTGACAGAAAAGTTCGCGAGCAAGTCTTACCTCCGCCTTTAAATCTTTATCTTTCTAGCGTCCAAGACAACTACACTACTCCATCGGCTTATATTCGTGGTCGTATCCTTTTCCAGTTTAGAACGACAAGTGAGCCTCTTCTACGCAACATTGGGTCCTATCTGACGTCTTCCCAGCGATGTTATTTATTCATCGTAGTTTTTTTGCACAAGCCATGCTCGACTTTCCCACAAATCCTCTTCGCAGTCCCTACGCTCCGTCATTCCTCGCTGCATATCGTTGCGCGTCGGCAACGATCAAGACTACTATCCTTAACTTCCAAATGTTCCCGGACCTCTTTATGCGTTGGTGGACTATCTGGAGTCATTTGTTGTCTGCAGCTGTATGTAGTTGGCTTAGTACATGATGGGATACTCAAGCAGGCACAGGTAATTGTGGGATCTATTGTCACTCGAGCACCGTCGACGACTATGGCGCCTGCTGCATGGCAGGAGTTGAACCTTGCAGTGGAAATGTTTTCACGGGGATCAAAGACATCAAGTCGCGCTCGTCATGGTTTGGTGCGCATCATTCAAAATTTGTTGTCTTGATGAGTCTTATTCGTACAAACTCTTAGGCTATCCTAAACAAACTTAGGCTGAAAGCCTATCAAGCGCTTGAAAAATATCGCAGTGGAGCGACATTTAACGATCAAGGCAGTCTATCTTCCCTCCTTCCGGAAGTGGGCGGTGATGACGAACTTACCATGTTTGGTGGGCAGACTCGTGTCCTCGTCACCAAGATCCTTTCACAGCAGAACCGCAAGAAAGTACCATCGTCTGTTCCTCTGTCAGTTGTTGATTCATTACAATCCACCACGGGTACACCCTCGGCGTCTGACGACGGTAGTTCACCTTCAGATTCCATCCCTGACGTCCATCCCACGCTTGTGGAATTCTTGAAAATGCTTCCTCCCTCATCGATGCCACATCGCACATCAGGCACAGGGGATGTATTTACTACGTTCCAAAATCAATGGGATGCATTTTCTTTGCCTCATCCTCTCGAATTCATGACGCCAGGCCCCGGGCCCGTTATATATTCCTCCCCCATCCCCCAGCCATCCGAGTCGGTCTCGTCTTTTCAAAGCCCCTTCTCGCAATCCGATTTGATAGATTCAAGTAACATCAAAGTGGACGATGATCTTGCTGACCTTTTCCCTTCTGGAGAGTCCGGTATGGATGAACGATGGAAATCGTTCATGCGGGATTCTGGAATTTGGGATGGGTCCCAAAGTTATGACCTCATGGCAGACATCTAGTGAATTTTCCTCTTCCTCGTTGATGCAGTTCTTAAAAAAGTTATTTAAAACCTCTTATTTATTCAAGCGACTCCAGTTCTGTATCCGATAGTTGTCATTTAGGCCTACCCATGTAGTAATTCTTAGTCCATAAACCAAAGACCGAATGATTTGCAAGGGAAATGAACGGAATCTACATATCTTAAATCATCATCGCCTCCCACGATAGAAGTCCAAAAAAGCGTATTTGTCCTCCCATCCAAAACCGACCCTTTTTATCTTACCCATTCTCGCTATAAGCACAGCGCAGACTTCGGCAAGCATATCAGAACGTGGCTCATGAACCACCTCATTGACTAAGAAGAGTTGAGAACTAGGTGATTCTGAAAGCGGAAGCTGGCGGATTGAGATAGATTGTGGAGAAAGACTGGTACAGATTTGCAGCAAATGTCGCAGGGGGTTGAGTGTAGCACCTGGGACCGAGTGCGACAAAGAGGGCTGCGACGGTGTCGGGGGATCGTATCTGGAACTGGTTAGATGCAACAAGATGAGTGTTGGAATGTGATTCACCTGACACACATCAAGAATATGCTGTAGCCCTTTGTAGGAACACTTGCGCCATCAAAGACATCAGCGAATCGAAGTAGGCCCCTGCCGTTGCTGGTTGTGCATTCAGGAAACACTACAACGGGTCTACGTGCTGAACGGCGAATATCATCAAGACTACGCAAAGGCACAGAGGAAGAGGCCGATGGTATTTTGCCAGTTGAAGATATCATTTCCAATAAAGATACCTGGCGAAAGCCGCGAATGACTTCTGGTGAGATCAATACCCGGTCAAAAGAAGATATAGCTGCGGATCCAGTCCCTGTTTTTCGTCCTGGAGTGTACGATATTGACGATGCATTTTTGGCTGAAGATGTTGTAGGTGCATTTGCAACAGGCAACACAAACAACGGATTGTATCTTGCATGACTGGTCAGAAAAAACTGCAAACACAATTGAGCATCTTACTTGTATGCCAGCCAGAGGACTTCTATCCAAGAAGTCCAGTTTGATACTATAAGGTCTCCTGCTCTTGGATTCCACTTGTTCTCAGGAGTTTTGCTGAAATTGTTTGTGAGCACTATCTCAGGAATTGATTCAACAGAAAGCTGACCCTCTTTTCCGAACAATAAGCTCCGTCGGCATCGACCAAAATCCTATCACGTAGAGTGCCAAGCGTGCAAGCAGAGCGGTGCCTAGCCAGGAGATTACATCTTTTAATGGTGGAACAGGACGCTGTTTCCTTTAGCGAAATTGTGACTGTAAACTTTGCAGCCACTCACACAAATAAAGCCGACCACGTGAACTAAGACAAAATGGATTGAAACAAGCACGACAATCACGGCAGTCCGTGTAACAGCAACGACCGCTCTGATGGGCGTCAGAATAGTGACGAAGAGGTCATGTTCATGTGGTGGAACCGGCGTAAGGAAAGGCTGGGTACGAGAGTGAGCCACTGCTTAACAGAATTTAACTGTGCAAGCACTAGCCTGAATACCAGTTCCAGGATCCTATGAAACAAAAGGTGAGCACAAAGCAAACCCAACAGTTAGATTGATTACTCGGAAGGAAGAGAACTTCTCCATCTACTGCTGCTCTCTACCTGTGGCAATTCTGCAGCTGTAGCGTGTTGGTGTACCGTGTCTATTAAATGTCAATGCGGGTCAAATAAACATCAACTAGCTTTGCCATATCTGGTACATACTAAGTCTGACTAAGTATACTCGTAGGCACTCCTCCTCCGTCCCCGACTTAAACCTGACACAATCACCAAAGCCTGCTTTCGCTGAAGTATGTTGGTCGCGCTTACAAGGGGGGCTTGTTTTGTAAAGGGTCTCTTACAATTAACTAGCTCGAAATATCAAAAACTCAGTCTAGTTGGAAAGGTGACGTTAGACAATGTTGAATCTCCTGTCAACTTACAATTACTGCTGGCAGGCTTTGATATGGTTCATTCTATTCTTCTATTTCTGCTTATCCGCATTCATTCTTGTGGTCACTCCGGCTCGCATTGCTCAATTCATGTACGACGTCGCTCAAGACATCCGTCACCTCCCATATGGGTACACAATTCTTATCGTTCTCACGAGTAAGTGTATCATCCGATGAATTCAAGCATGCTAACTCCCCTCAAGTCGTTGTATCCTTTCCCCCTTTTATTGGACATACCACGCTCCTTAACTTGTTCGGTTTCACATATGGTCTGCAAGGCTTCTTCCCTGCAGCATTTGCATCACTGGCAGGCTCTGCAATAGTTTTTGTTACCCTTCGGATCATGTTCAGCAAGAGGTTGCATTCATGGACTTCCACTAATGAAAAATGGCAGGCTCTGGAAGCTGTGATAGTCAGTGTCCTTTATTCGCCTCAGCATACTCGCTTACTATAAGACGCCTACAGCGATCAAGGGGCGTGGGATTGATCATTCTCATCCGTGTCTCTTCATTTCCGCCGTGGGCTTGGTCAAACTCACTATTCGCAGTAAGCATCTTGAGTTGTGTACTGGTTTGGATCTTACCCCTTCATATTAGAGCATAGCGCCGGTGTCATTGTTCCAGTTCTTCATAGCGACTTGTTTTATCCTCCCGAAGGTTATGGTTTATGTGTTTGTCGGATCTCGTATTGCTAGACTCTCAGACGGTGAACAGAGACATCATATGGATACTCGTAAGAATAAATGTCATGGCATTTCGCTTTCATTAATCTCTGGATTTATGGCGCATAGAAACAAAGATTATCAACAGCCTTCTAGTTGTTGGTGGTATCTCGATATCTGTTTTAGCCAGCTCGTTCGTGTCCAGGTCGTTGCTATTCATAACAGAGCTATACTTACCCCATACAGGCTGGTCTACCATTTCATGCAGAAGGAGATCAAGCGTCTACATGACAGCCCGTCAGAGCGTGACGAACTCGCTGCAGAGGCGCTCGAAGCAACAGAGGAAGCGCCTTTGTTGGGTCCAGACTCTTTGATCTCCCCGTAGAGTTTCCGAACACCCACTTCACTTTCTTGGTGAGCTTATTGCAGTAGAATGCAATAAATTACGGAACATCGGACTAAGCTAGCTTTATTATCGCTATACGTCTATAACTATAGAAAATCATGCATGCACGAATAATAAGTCACTAGTAAAAGTGAAGGAAAAGCAAGGAGAAGCTGGCTCCAATCAGGAAAACAAGTATAAATATTCGACTGTCCTTGGCACGTCTACGCGCCTCTCTCAGCTGGACGTTGCCCTTCTCTACGGTAGATGTGGTTGCAATCGCGTCCTCGTATAGTTGGTCAGTCAGCTCCGTTTGCTGTGTAAGATGTGTCATCAGTTCCATTTGGAGGTTACTGATATCCATCAATCGTGCTTCGGCTTGTTGTACGGACTCGAGAGTGTCCTGAACGGATCGGAGAATATTTGCATTCTCCGTCTCGAATTGAAGTATCTGAGACTGCGAAAGCTCAATATCCTCGTCGTCTCCGTCCAGGTCACTTAATGATGAAACAGGAGTAAGCGTTTTCGGTTGGGCAACAGGGCGGCTGCTCCCGATGGTAGCGGCGATCCCTGAGACGAGTGCTGATGAAGCACCTCCCAACCAGCTATCGCCCACTCCGCCAATAGGTTGTTTATATTGCACAGGTCCCTTTGAAACGATATCCATTGCCTCTTGTGTTGCATTGGATCCTAGAGTCCGCGTGCGTTCAAGCTGACGCTTGACGCGTTCCTCCTGCATTTCTTTTTGACTCTGGCTGGCTTCTGTAAGACGCCTGCTAAGATACCACGTTATACTGGAGTGATGCGCCGCTGTGAAATCCGAAATTATTGTCGAATTGTTGTTCTTCAGGCGGGCGGGCAGGAAGCGTGTTAAGGGATTTACATTACTTGCGGCCAGCTCCGCACGACCTGTAGGAAACAATCAATTTTAAGTGGTCGTTTCAGGAACAACGGCGAGAAACAGACCGCACGCTTTTCGAGTGTCTCCATTTCTCTGACTCTGTCTGCGCATCTACTGAGAATGACACGTGCCTGCAGGTCAACCTGGTCCCGCTCCTCGTCTGTGAGGTAACGTATTCCCGACCACGATTTTGTAGAATCGTTCAAATCGATGGCAAGGGAACCATGTCGCGAGAGTGGCACGTGTGCATCTACACTCAGGTAAGGCTTCCGTATGCCAGAAAGCATACGCGTGAGAGTGCCAATATGGTTGAGCTGTGCATTCAAGTTAGAAGTTCACCTCGACGTAAGACACATTGTTGTGACATACAATCGCATAGGCTTCCTCTAAATATTGTTTTCCAAATACATTCACGTTAGGGACATCATATGAGGCCTTGTGTCGTTTGCCCTGCGAGACAGCGCCTTTCGCTTCTTGAAGGACGTCCTTGAATTCTGCGGTACGGTCGACGAAACCCATAAATAATCGCTGTACAACGACAGTACTAATGGGTGATGGAAGATGAGTACCATTGCAAACTGGCGTTGGCCAACGCATTGGCCGCATGTTGCCGAGAGTCACGTGTCCGGAACCCGATTCATATAAAGGGTGGAGACCTTGCAATTTCTGCTTTTTTTCATCGACCACGACAAAGTTGTATAGGCTCAGTCCAGCACTGCTTTTACTCGCAGTTTCAATGGAAGGGGTTTTCAAACGCGTGGAATATCAGACTGGTCCTTGTTTGAGGCGAATGGTACACTGGCTACTACTGCTTGCCATAGTTTGAGACTAACAGTACTTGTATCAAATGTATTGGTATGACACTCTTCATTTGCAGTCCTAATTCTAGTATTCCAGTACGAATTCCCAATCTAATCTTCATTCATGATCAGAGGATAAGACTCTTCGGCAGCTTATTGTTGTGACGTAGTCGCAGCCGTTGCCTATACTTCTCGTTGTAGCAACAACACCTTTTATCTGATGATCACATTAGTGCAATTTCAAGAGACCGAGACCGATATGCATTGCTCACAACAGTGATCTTCGTCAGACCTCATCAGGAGCCTACAAAGTGTCATTTCCGCTAGATCAAGAACATCCTGTTCTTTGACGTGTAAGCAGTTGACAACAGCCACTTCATTAATCCGCCTCGTTTGTGGCATTGTGGGCGACCCTCGACCCTCGCTTGCATCTTGTGGTAACCGGCTCTGGGTAAGGTTGACGAGCGCACTGCCAGATAGATAATTGCACCAACGGAAGTCAAGACGAGCAAGGTTTGGGCAATGCCCGTTGTCCCCGTGTAGCAGCCGCAGTTGTTCATCAGCAATATCACTGTCATGCAGGCGAAGTTCCTCTAGTTTAGGAAGGAGCTCAAAACATCGCACGAAGTCGATGCGCTCCACGTCGATATCGTAGAGTTCTAGAAGCTGTACACGAGGGGAAAACTCAAGAAACCGACATAAATGGGCGCCAGAAGGCATGTGGGGGCGTGCAAGAGGATCGGATGAGCAGCGCAGGTGGAGCTGACGCAACGCAGGTGCGCGCATTGTCAAAAGGATTCTATTCACATCTGGAGAGACGTGGAGTGTCAGTGATTCCAGATGAGGAAGATCCACAGCGCGTTGGATATGATTATATGTGCGTGTTTCCGGTTTAGAGAGTTCCAGTGTGAGGTCCCTTAACCCTGGTAAGGCCTGCAACATTTCGATCCAGTCGGTGGCATTTATGGAAGGTACAAAGTCCCTTGAAGAAGAGAGTACAATGTGCAGTATCGTGACTCTCATAAAATTGCTCCACTGTGGAAGATTCGGTTGTTCGATGAGCAATCGAGATAGACACGGAGCGTCTTGAAGATATGACATATTCACAGGATCTCCCTGAGAACCCTCCATTTTAGTGACAACAATGAGTTGCCTTAAATCGGGCAACGGGAGACTGCAGCGGCGAAGGACATGGTTCAGTGTTGTGGAGTCTACAGATTTGACGATAAGGGTCTGCCATTGCTTGGAGCGAGGAACAAGTAAACCCAAAACCTCCTCCAATGATGGTGACTCGAGAGGGATATCCAAAGTTATATGCAATGGCGCGTGTTGAACTTTACTCAACCAAAACACCACCTTCCCGGTCGAATCTCCCGATCTTAAGTCAAGGAAGAGATAGGACCATATACGAGGGAATGCTGCGGCTTTCCTCCAAGCTGAGCATACTTGGGAAAGAACCACAGGTGCACGCGTCCAGCCGCTTTTGGCACATATCTCGAATATGCGAGCTAGCAGCTCAGGAGGTAGGCGGCGAGCAAGAGTTAACAATGAGCGGGCCTGACGTATATTCTCCCGGTGCTTGAGCTTCTGCAAGCGGAGGCGCTCCAGAGCAGAATAAAGTATGCTCATTTCGCTGTCCAGTTCCTTGAGTGCCTCCTCGTCAGCCATCGTTGCCTGATGAATCAAAAGAATGTCGTCCTCCGTGGGTTCGCGAACAGATGATACGCGATCCATCACGGACACTAGAGGTGTCCTGCGAGTTCAAGAGTGAGTGCGACGTCCCAGATCGAATACAATTACGACGCACGGCGACACATAGATATCGTGATGCCAGCGACGATCCATGCGCGTTCTGACAACCCCAGGCCTACCCACTGCCCAAGTTCATGTATCGGCGGCCATAAAGCGTGACCGGTGACCGGTGACCTAGTACCCGGTCGATGTGTTTGTTGTTGTTTTTCAGACCACTTGTTGTATCATACACAATCGCCTTTCCACCTAATAGTCAAAGCCCGGAAGGTGAGCAAATGATGCATGTTTAATATGCTGTGATGATTCAGAGTGGAATCTTCATCGACCCGCACAACACATTAAAGTTGCTGGGTCGAGTTGGAGACTAGCAAGTGTTCGAGATACTGCTGACGCTTTTACTGTCGACTATCAAAATACTAAGGCTAACAATGTTGTGTCCAGAACTACCCATGGATCCACGTCGAGCTCGCGATCCGCGCTTGGCACGCGTGGACCCACGTTTGCAGCGAGGACCATCTGCGTTGCCCACTCCCTCGCCCCAACAACAAAGTGGGTCAGTACAAAGCGCGCAACAATGGACTGCGAATGGAGCATATATGGCTTCACAGTCTATGGTCCCCAATGTTCTCATGCAGCAAGCTGACATAGCCCCCGAAAATGCCATTGCTGGCCCCTCGACTCCCGCAAACAATGCGGGATCCTCTGCATACAAATCTAGACCACTCTTTTGCGTCGTGTGTGCAAGTAATCAAGTGGGTTTGCGTTCTTAACGACAATCACGAATAATTTTTACGTGACGTTTACAGAACCGTTCCATGGAAGGTCATCATGTCTTGCAGTCCGTATCACCACACGTTTTTAATGTCATTCATTTTATCTGATGCCAAAAACACGAAGGAAAGCCGGATACCGAGTGATTTCTTACGGCACGGGCTCCGCTGTGCGCCTACCTGGACCGTCAATAGACAAACCTAATATTTATTCGTTTGGTACACCATATAACTCAATATACGAGGAACTCCATTCGAAAGATCCGAAATTGTAAGTCCGCTATGTTGCCTTATCACCTCAGTCTGACGAAGTCATTCCAGGTACACAGCAAACGGACTTCTTCAGATGCTTGATCGCAATAGGCGGATAAAGCTAGCACCAGAACGGTGGCAGGACAGCAAGACAGTTGCAGATGTAGTTATTACATGTGAAGAACGTTGCTTTGATGCCGTTTGTGATGGTGGGTGCCGTTGGCACCGGTTGTTAAATTCATAAACCCACTGATATGTTCTTCCAGACCTGCTCAGTCGCGGCGGCGAATTCAATAAGCCCGTTCACATCATCAATATCGAGATTAAGGACAACCATGAGGAAGCACTCATTGCTGGAAAGGCGATGCTGGATCTGGCCGCTGCTGTACGTTTGCTTCTGTATCTTTCCACGGGTTACAGTTCTGTACTCATTTATCGCAAAATCTTAGATTGAAATCTCCCAAGATATCGATGAAGATATCGATAGGATACTGCAGGTGCAACAGGAGCGTCACCCCCACAGTCTTTTACACGCCATAGCTTTTTACTAGTAAGAAGATGAGAAGCCAATTGATAGGGTCCAGGCTGGGTGTCAGGCTGCTGATATCAGAATTCGCCTTTATCACACATGATAGGGTAATATATTCGTCAACCTCAGCTCAGTCAAGTCGTGAGAATTTAAGACGCAATCGTTGACCATTCACCTCCCATATTATAAAGGGGTTCGGATTTGAATGTTGATCTGCGCGGTCCTTTATCAGTGATATACCATACAATGCCCTCCCTTCGCCTCGGAAATATTGCCCCCGATTTTGAGGCAGATACTACTGCGGGACCTATCAAGTTCCACGAATGGATCGGAAACTCCTGGGTGAGCGCATTTCATAGGTGATGAATCTCGGGATGTTGACAAGTAGCCTAGGCGATTCTCTTCTCGCATCCTGGAGACTTTACACCTGTCTGCACGACTGAGCTCGGCGAAGTCGCTCGCCGCGCTAGTGACTTTGCTAAGCGCGATGTTAAAGTTATAGGAATTTCTGCCAATGGTCTCCAAGACCACCACAAGTGGGTCGAAGATATCTCGGATTTCGGCGCGAAATACGGACCAACCAATGTGGAGTTCCCCATTGCACGTATAGCTATATTCTGATTGGTACACTAGTCATTGATATTGCCGTGTAGATTGCCGACGAGGATCGAACTATCTCCGTCCTCTATGACATGCTTGATGAGCAAGATGCGACCAACCGTGATGGAAAGGGTCTTCCCTTCACGGTACGCCCAAACACCAGTCGAGTCTCTACCGCAATCTAACCATTTGAAGATTCGCAGTGTATTCGTGATTGATCCCAAGAAAGTCATTCGCTTGATCATTGCTTATCCGGCTTCTACGGGACGAAACTTTGATGAGATTATCCGGTGAGTCTTGTCAAATCTTTGGAGTCACGACTTGACATTAACAATTCCTTTCAGTGTTGTAGATTGTGAGCATTACGACATGACTGTTTCACACGTACTCACTCAGCGCACTCAGCTTTACAGCTTGGCGATAAACACCGCATAACCACACCAGTCAACTGGAAGAATGGTGAAGACGTCATTGTCCACCCTTCTGTTACCAATGATGAGGCTAAGGTGCTTTTCCCTGAGGTCACCTTCCACAAGGTACAATTGTTTGATATCAAATTTATTGCTAAATATTGACGCACCTCTATCAGCAACCCTACCTACGCACAACACCCCTCAAGGACGAACAAAAGTAAGATACCGGACGAAGTGTGATGTCTATGTGTCATTAATCCCGGTTAAGCCCAACTGAGATAAATGAGATATGCGAGGCAGACTAAACCAAGATAGTGGATATATTGTATTACATACCGTAACATGAATTTGTTGGATCAGCTAGCTCACGAGACAGACAGAAGGAAATACTGAGGCCGAGTCTTGTATCGCACTGTTCCGGTAAGTCCGTAAAGCCTACATGCATCCTGACCGCCACTTCTGGGTATGAACCGGCTCCCAGATGTTGGCTTTCTGGATTTCAACTGCCTCGAATGGTTTAGCCAGCTAGCTCAAGTTACATGGCCTAGAAGGTACCCGCATGTACATAGTAAACCCAATATAATCTAACTTTTAATTTATTCAATACATTCGTAGAACGGAATTAGCGGAAGCTCGACGAAAATGGGTTTGCCTAGTATCCCTGCTAATTCAAGCCATCAATCACCTCGCACGGCACCGAACAGCTTGTCGCTCAGTGTATTCATCATGGACCTCCCATCTTGCCGGAACAATTGCTATTCTGTCGTCAGGGCGTGAGTCTATTCATTCATTATATGACAAACGCACGCCTGACCGCTGATTGACAGACTGAGTGATGATTTGATCCGCCCGTCGAGCTCGAGTTATGATGACTGGCGGCATCGCCCAACCCTCGCGAGTTCTCCACGATCCTTGTGGTGCTGTCCAGCGTGACCCTCGCAACCCTAGTAGTTTTCCACCTCCAAATATTTACGGATCTAGTGAGGTTCGCGCTGAGAGTGGTTTGAACACTCGGGATAGCTCTCCTGCGTCGAATTTACTTGGTCCAAGCCAATACAGCCCTATAGTAATGTGTTATGTCAATATTAGTACAACGGCTGCATCAAGCTTGCCTTTGTCTCGTTCAAAAGATCACCCACTAGAACACTAAGAAACTTGCTTAGGAATTTAGATAGTATCACACTCTGATGATACATAAATCATGTTTTTGTGCATTAGACAATTTGAATCTATGGGATCTCACTAAACACAAGTATCAAATGATAGTGTTCTACTACTTACCGCAGCGCCGCCACCGTCGGGCGTGGTCCAGGAAGACTAGAAGTTAATGACAGCAGTAGCAGAGGATAAGATTAAGGGTACAAGCACAGACACAACTCGAATGATGAATGTATGCCATACATCCAAGCTGTACTGTGCTATGGTGTGAAGGCCCCGACGATGAACTCACCATTAATTTGAGACAGTCTGAAAGATACGTAAATGCATGTCAGTGATCAATATCGATCATCGAGGGACTCGGAAGCTTCCAGACTCAGTGCCGATGATCGTGCACTGGTTTACCTTTAAATCTAAAGACCGGATGAGCTAGAAGGGATAGAATTTGAATGAGGAGACCTGACAATTTGAGCCAAATATTGTCGACGCTGTCAGTAATTCAAAGGACGAGATTCCTCACATCGTAAGAGTAGCTTCGACTCAGATGGGGCTTAAGCCGTCGGAATTTTTGGACAACACGCAGTGTACGCGTGCGTACATCCTGTATGTGAGCTGCGGAGGATTGGAGTAAAGTCCCATTTAGTACTTGCCTTGTATGATGGTGAACAAAAAGGTCGATAAAGTAATAGTGGTTGTTTGTGTCTGTTGAATTCTAAGGCTGGGCGACGCGTGTACCAGTACTAACGGTATCATAACGCGTCCTTCAAGTTTCAACTTTATTACCTCCCACATCAACGACATCCTTTATCTACTATATACTCATTTTGACACATCATAATGGCCAATGCAGACGGGGGCGCTTACAGGTTCATATTCTCTTCTGCTAATAATCTTGCTGCTTCTCTTACATTTTGTGATTAGCTACTCCCTGACAGTATTCTCACCAAGTGGTAAACTCGTTCAGATCGAACATGCATTAGCTGCTGTCTCTCAGGGAACAACGAGCCTCGGCATCAAAGGTACATTGTCTACTTCTGTTGCATATCACAGGCTGATTTTGCCTTGCAGCATCCAATGGAATTGTCATCGCTACCGAGAAGAAGTCATCCTCCATTCTGATAGACGACTCCATGATCGAGAAAGTGGCAGTAGTGTGCCCAAATATTGGGATCGTGTATTCAGGCATGGGTCCTGACTTCCGCGTTTTGATCGCGAGGGCGCGAAAGAGTGCGCAGGCATATTGGAAAATATACGGGGAATATCCACCCACGAAGGTTTTGACGCAGGAAATCGCCACCGTAATGCAGAAAGCAACTCAATCTGGGTAAGAAGATCCACCTTGTGGTTGTTTGTACCACAGATTACGCGTGTTTTTAATTATCTTTTTCAGAGGGGTGCGACCTTTCGGCGTGTCCTTACTTGTTGCAGGGTGGGATATCAACCGTGGCCCAAGTTTATACCAGGTTGATCCTTCGGGATCTTTCTGGGCGTGGAAGGCCAGTGCTATTGGAAAGAACATGGTCAACGCTAAAACGTTCTTGGAGAAGCGGTGAGACTTATGTGGCGCATTGTTATTGTTTTTTTTTCCGCTAAGTTCGCGATCACTGTAGATACAACGACGACATAAGTCTGGAGGACGCGATTCACACCGCTCTATTGACCCTGAAAGAAGGCTTTGAAGGTCAGATGACTGAAAAGACAATAGAAATTGGTGTTGTTACTGTCCCAACGCTCGAGGAGCTCGAAGCTGGAAAAATTGGTGGTGAAACGGGCCGGCCTAAGCCAACTTTCCGCAAACTCAGCGAGGAGGAAGTGAGAGATTATTTGGCATTATAGAATTAACTCCACGTGCGTTGCATCGCGTTGTAATAGTAGAGATTTTGATTCCTGGAGATGCATCGTAGATGTCCGTTGAACACGACCACCGCTTTAAATTAAGTTGTCTTCGTAAACTTTGTGACATATCTCAAGGCAACGTTGACGCACATCAAACAAGTTCTGACAGGATTAGGACGACAGGGTCGTGATGGTGTTGCTTGATGAACAGGCTGCAGCCGTGTGGATCGATATGCGCTAATCTTCAATAAGAAACGGATTGCGTGCAGACAGATCGGCGTTCTGTCTTTTAGAAGACCGATACCGGAAGTATATCGCACCCGTTCCGGGGACAGGCTACCATTCTCAAGTGTCTCATGCTTCGCTGGCAACTGATCAAGGTAGCTATTTCCTCCTTGCGGCATGATAAGTCATGTTCTTTGCTTTCTTTGGCATCATCGTCCCGAGTCAGCAGATGACCGTAGCGTCTTTGGTATAAAATACCAGCGAACTCATTAACCTATCAAGATACGAAAGCACCAAGTCCAACCCACGAAATACTCAACTCACTGTCAATATGGAAGGAAATTCATCCCAGCCTATCGTGATGCGTCCAAAGGCAGCTCATGCGTGCGATGGATGTCGCAACGCCAGAAAAAGAGTTGGCATTTTTTAGTTCCTTGCATTGCTTGGAACTGAGCTAATTACTTTCAAAGTGCGAATACGACAAGAACCGTCCGACTCAGCCCTGCGCATTGTGCGCGAGACGGGGAGTCGAATGCAGCCTCGCGGCCTCCGCGGTCCAACCGCAACCCGTGACTATGGCGCCCTTTTACAACGACTGGGGTTACTCACAGGGTGGCCCTGTACAATAGGTACGCCCCAAGTCATTTCGCTTATCTTTCAATACATGACAGATATTGTAGAGCATACGGGTAGAGTGGTTCAGGGAGAGTAATTATTAGAGTCTCATGTAGTTTGGAGAAATCAGAGTTTGATTTGTTACCCCGGTTGAAATTGACTGCCTTTTTCATCACACCGGCGGCAACCTCGATCATCACCGTATACGTAAGGCTGTGCTTTTCTATTCAACCAATTATCCGTCCGCTGGACTTCATCGTTACCTTCATGATCGAAAAAATCCGCGGTCAGCCGTAGACCCATGTGCGTAGGTCGGCATGCAGACGACATGCTGTTGCTAGCGCTTATACCAGGCGCGAGTTATCATACTTATGGCAATCTTCAAGCTCAAATGAGCCCCGATTTTTCAATGACCTCGTGTGGACGGTGTTTTCCTGACGGATCCGTATCTCCTTGCGATCGCCAAAAAAAAAAATGCATGTTACCAGCCCTGCAATACCCAATACATACGTCAACTTTACTACTGTCAAGCTGAATACAGTAAGCCTGCAGGGTTAACATTGTGCACAGGGTCCTACAGGACTGATTTGGCATCTCTCCCCCAGGGCCTCTGGAAATTGGGGTTACCGCCGCTTGTTCATCTTCCTCGCCCCTCCTCAAGCAGTCTGTCGTCGTTGCAAGACCGTATTGTAATCCTTTCCCTCTCTAACATTAATTACCTCAACCTCAACTTAAGGGACATGAACATGAAGTTCCACAGGGTCGGCCAGGCGACATGCGTCTGTCCAGCATGTCTTGGTGGTAAGAATAGATGAAATTCAACTTCAGTTCGTTTCACCAGCTGACAATGAGCACCCATTCCGCAAGCGGAAATAAGATAGATCCGACCATATCCACTCGTCTACCTCGCTGAAACCACACCTTTGCCGGTTACAATCACGCCCTGCAAGCATAGCTCGTTTTCACTTCTCTGTTACTATATAAGAAGCGCGAACATCAACATCGTCCATATCTTCATGGATCCAGTGGCGAACGCAGGTGCAATTGCGATGCAGCATCGAGCCCCTCAGGCTTGCACATCCTGCAGGAGGCTCAAGAGGAGGGTGAGCAACTTTCTGACCTTTGCATTCTTGACTTCTTACTGTCTGTCAGTGTGTCTTTAACCCGGCGTTGGGCATCTGTAACCGGTGCTCCGAGACCGGTAGATCATGCGTCTACGCTGAGGTAACTTCGACCCCTGCGCATGATGATTCCGTCGCTGTCGTCCATCACAATGTATCCACTACGTCCATGAATGCTGGTACGCGAGTATAACTTATGCTTCTTGTGCGGCCTTATATCCATCCACAGCGGATTCTGGTCACCTGGATGCCTCGCTCGGTCAGGGCAATCTTTTGTACCTGGACACGTATGGTAACTTTGCAGTTACACCCGACTGGTTGAATGGCTATGGTCAGCCTAATGTGTTGGTACACTTTCCTTTTTGTCTTCCTGTGCTGAATGTCTTTTCAGGCTATCCAATGGAAGTGACATGGTTGGCATGGGTCCAGGGAATGGAGACATGAATGCTTATCCCACCAACCCACCCTGGCGGACAGGGTTGACAATAGCCCGTCTTTCCGGCATGTTGATTTTACCCTCCTTGGCTAATGCTACGACTATGTCGATATGATGACTTTTCTGACTGTTGCAATGGTTTTCTTCGATCGAGTGGATAGTTTTGAGTTTTGAGTTATGCACTTATCTACCTTGTTGTCATATGATTTTCCCTTGTTAAGATCTGAACAATGTTTGTTTCCCCTTTTCAAATCAAACCTCATGGCGGTCAGGACGGACTTTCCGACTTCAAATTATCGCAACCCTCGGGCGCTTAATTGAAAAGTAATGATAGTTTTTTTAAATCCAATTTATGTCCATCAATGTTCAGCCAAACGTGAGGCTATCCCGTCGGTCCGTTGATTAAACACTTCTTTTGTGTAATAATGCCATTGTTTCTGTCGTCAGTGTAATTTCATCTAAGCGCGTGATTTGACACTGTCTGCGATGACAAAGTTAAAAGATTCTCAGAGTATCAGCAGTCAAACATTGTTTCAATGGCGGTCGGCTACAATATTGTACAGGTAAAAATACAATTGGTGATGGTCTTCAAGTTCAGTTGCGTCGTTCCTGCCACTACAGCGGCCAGTCGAGTTTTTCTCCAAAGTTCCAATGAACAGCCTTGACCGAAGTGTACTCATCAAGGGCATAGCTTCCAAGTTCACGGCCTGATAGAAAAGTCAGATCTATCGAACGTTCTTCGTACTCAATAGTTTCTCACCGATGCCACTCTGCTTTTTCCCGCCGAACGGGACATTGTTATTCAACAAATTGTACTGATTGACCCAGACCTTTGGATACCGTCAATTAGGGAACATGCCGGAGTGATATAGGGCATACCGTTCCCGCTTCAAGAGCCGATGAGACGCGCATACACTGATTTGCATCATCTGATGTTTCGAAGGCATTTTAGTGCCGATCAAATACCCAGGAAAATCACGCACTGGAGTGTAAACCAGCACCGAGGCCGTAAGATGTGTTATTAGCCAGCGAAATGCCTTCCTCTTCAGTTTGGAATCGGCCGACCGCCAAAACCGGTCCAAATATCTGTTGGTCAACATGTTCGTTAGATATTCAGGGTTGTTCTGCAGGATTTGGGCATCCTGCCAGCATCAGAAGCGTACCTCTTCTCGGACCTGATTCGCATGAACGTGAGCCTGGAGTACTCTGGGAGACAGCTTTAGCGCTTACAATATCCATATTCGCATTTACGTCCGTGAAAACTGGGAATCGATCAGCGGTGATGACACTGTTCCGAAAGCAACGGATACTTACTCGTAGGATCAACAAAGAAACCCTTGCCTGGACGCTTTTGGCCACCCAAAACCACCTTTGCGCCTTGAGTCTGGCCGCTCTCGATATATCGCCAAACCTTGTCAAATTGATTTTTGGACACCTGGCAAAGGGTGTGAGATGTGGATGGCGCGATCTCTATGATTAACCGACCAGGGGTCCACCACCGCTCTTCTCGTCGAAGCCATCACCGATCACAAGCTCCTTGGCTTTAGAAACGAGGAGGGAGACAAACTTATCATAAATCGTGTCCTGAACATACAAACGAGATCCTGCTGTGCAATCCTGGCCGGTGTTGTATAAAACACCGAGGCAAGCCCAGTTTGCGGCTTGCTCCAGATCCGCGGATTCGAAAACCAGCTGGGGTGACTTGCCACCCAACTCTAGAGACACCTTCAGACGCATGATATGAATCGATTTAAGTGAATTGACGCCTTGAAATTCATTTCACCTTCTTCAAATTGCTCTTGGCCGCGGCTTCCATGACCTTGCGGCCAGTTAATGTAGACCCGGTGAATGCAACCTTATCGACATCCATATGCGCTGATAATGCCGCACCGCCAACAGATCCCAGGGAAGGAATCGTGTTTACCACGCCTGGTGGAAAACTAGTTCAAAATTGGGGTGAGGAAAAATACCAAGATGAGCGTAACACATACCCGGCCTCAACGATAAGCCTAGACAGCATAAGAGCCGTCAAAGGGGTAAGTTCAGAAGGTTTCATAACGATGGTACACCCGCATGCAAGGGCAGGGCCAACTTTCCATGCCCTGATGAAAACTGTCATGTTTCGATCTCTAAGATCTACGCAGTCGAACGCGTACCACATATTGATTGGGTAATTCCATGGAATGCTATATCATGTATGTGAACATGTGCAAGGTAACACATGGAAACCACCCACATTTGTCCACAAACCCCAATAGGATCGTGCCTAGTGAAAGCAAGCTTTGTTTTGTTGTCGACTTCGATGGTCTGAGAATAGAAAGTATGAATACAGACACATTCAGTGATGGTACTCCATATACTTGTCCGGTTATTTTATCAGCCCACCCCGCATAGTAGCGCAAGCACTGGATACTGTCCCCGATATCAAAGTCCCTGATATGATCAATACCCACTTGAGTTGAGAAATCAAACGAAAAAGAAGACATGTTTTCATACCTCGCTATTTTGAACGGCTTGCCATTGTTGATAGATTCGACCTCGGCAAGTATGTCCTGATCCCTCTCTATGAGATCTGCCAGTTTATTCAAGAGCCTAGACCTTTCGAAACCAGTCACGTTTTTCCCCCACGTGGTATTGAAAGCTTTGCGAGCCGCCGCGACTGCTATGTCTATATCCTTAACGGAGCCTGACAATCATTGAGCTTCAATAGGATCCTTGATGAGAGCAAAGTGATTCACCAGCTACTACGGAGCATATAGGCTCCTCTGTTGAAGGGTTGACTAGGCTACACACATTCAAATCAGTCGCAATCATTATCAGACAGATGTGGATGATCATACGTGATAAGATCATTAGGGGAATCCGCGGAAGGAACAAACTCGTTGTTGATGAACAGGCCAGTCGGAATCTCGAGTTCGCGGTTGGTAGCACGTATGACAATGCGGGTTGATAGGGATGCCATGGTGGATGTGAAGAAGGATACCTGGGTAGGAGCGTTCGTGACTTATCCAAATGCTCTACCGAACAAGGTTTGTGCAAATACTTTTAGCCAATGATAAGATAACGCCGCATGTTTTTCATCTTCCAAAGTCAAATACGAAACGCGTGTGAACCTGGGGTATAGCTTGGGACCCCAGCTACAGGCACATCAAATATTGTAAAATAATATTGATATTCTTTTGCACCGCCATGCGTTTTGCTTCTCTGCCGGCACTGCGAAAAAAAACATTCACCAGTCACAGTAACTTTCCACCTGCGTTATGAGTTCATATGAAAAAAAGCCTTTCAAAAGTCACCTTTCCAGAAATGTAATCAATCGGCCCGTTGATTTCTGGATCCCCCTTTTGGGATGCATCTTCGAACGAGAACCATAAGTAAAAATCAGAAACGCGAAAAAAAAATAAACTATCGTGGTCCTGAGCTAGTCAATTGGGGACCGACGCTCCTGGATGATAAATACCTTTGCCTCTGGGTACACGAGAGATATTAAGGTCCTTCAAAATGTGAAACATGCGTAATGAGTTGTGTGTACACTGGCAGGTGAATCAGCTGCAAAATTGGAAGTCGCAAAACTCCACCATCATGGTGAGATGTGCATTTTTAGTTTAAGTCGCGGCAGCCGTCACTTCATTGACGCACGAAAAACCGCATCCTTGGTTCGGGTGCCGCAAGGACGTGGTGGACTTCATTTGGGTACACTCCTGGCAAACGATAAGCTTAATCAAATGTTTGTGCTTCAAGAAAAAACCACGAGTACCGTCACCCACCAGCATGCCATTGTCAGCATCAGACCAACGGTATCCCAGGAGTCTCTCGTAGTCATCCAGTACCTACCTATTTAGGTTAGATGAATGGCCAACTTCCAATAGAAGGCATGAATCATGATGGCCGAGTGAAGCGACGAGTCTCTGCGACCTTTCTGGGTGCTATTGTCAGATATGCATGTGCCACGGGTCTCCGAGGCAAAACCTTGAGGACACTGGCATGGGTGATTCTGATATCCTTCGGGGATGCTACCGGTGGCAGGGAGCCGGTTTGTGTTATCTGATACGTAGCTTCGACCCATTGCGCAGCTTCATGCAAAAACAGTAGGCTCTCTGGAGTTAGCCTGGGACCTACATATGATAAGAGCTCTCCTATGCGCACACGATAAAGGCTTGGCAAATCAACTGATGGTCATACATTCTATATAGGCTCATGTTATTTCTGCCACTGATATTCCTGCATACGAAACTGATTTAGTATGCTATATATACACACAGCAGTGGACACAGTGTTGTTATCATGATGACGTACCCATACTCTGCAGTAGGTCCCCTTTTCGTCTCAGGGCTTGTTGTCCTCATCGTACGACCATTCCGTTGACCCGTCAAGCAACGTAAAATTGATGTTCTCGAGATGACCATTTATGGTGAGTATGCGGGGAGGTCACCAGGTCGTGCTGACAGATTGCTATCTTACAGAACAACAAACATGAGGTAACTGGAAGGCACGAGTTAAAATTAATCCAGTACTTCTCGTGCAAGCATGCCAGCATCCTCTTCGGTTACGATCATGTCATTGTCGAGACCTTGCAGGAAGTTTTGGGACCAAATCTCTTTAGCCTATACATTCTGCGAAGAGATGCGCTTTTACGAACACGGTCCTGTAAATGCAGCAACAATGAGTTGTAAGTGCTCGCCAACCATTCTGATTATGGACTCACAAGTTTTCAATAATTCTGCGCGAATTATGCCAGAGAACTCTTCAACGGCGTCTGACCAAGGCTAGCCTGTTGTTCGGTTAGATGCACGTAACCTGACCACTAAGCCATTATCCTGGCCGCCTACAATCGAGGAGTCGACCCCACCAACTAGTGAACGTGCGGCAAGTGAGCAGCTTGGTGATCGGAGCAATGCCCAAGGGAGCGTAGTAGTATTACCTACGCTGGGCCGCTGGCCAATGGGTCTAGCCAGGCCCCCAGAAGCTCCCATTAGTGTTCAGCCTAAATTGTATTTTCCTCACCCATGCGCCATGAGGCTTGGACTCCGAGAGTCTCCAGTCTCCAAAAACGTTCAAGTTGAAGCATCTTGTTTTTAACCTCGGAAAGCCTGACCTTACTCAGGTACTTGTAGGGGACCGTCTGTGGCGGGGCATGCAAGTTATCCCCGAGCTGATGCGGATGCAAACACACTTACTTCTGTTACAGTTCTGCAGAAGTTGCCGAAGTTAAAAATTCCTGGCGGGCGCATGTTGAGAACATATTTCTGTTCTAGCTGCATCTTTACATGTTGAATTTTACCCGGAGTTGCTTTGTCAGTTTACTTCCGTGGCACGTGACTACCCGCCATTAATTATCTTCCGGGGGCCTCTAAGCTAATAATTTATAATATAAAATTAATATTGCTACAAACATTCAGTTCCTAATTACGTACAGAAAATTCTTTACTTCGTGCATCCGAAATGATTCTGGGCCAGTTTTGCCGAGACGAAATGCTCCATATTGCCATATGGAATAGTAGAGTCCGACCACTGAACATGCCCACATGTACATGTCGGGATTAATGTCCTGTAAATTCGCTAATTTACAGGTGCCAATTAGCGCTATCATACTGTGTTGATATTTCAAAGGCCCAAAATGTCCTGTTGATATATTGTATTGTCAAATCTGCTTGAACCTTCACTTGCCATGTTGCGATATTGCTCAATTTTTGAGGCAAGCGACAAGCCAACCGTAACGTCAAACACCTAGGGACTATCAATGCTCATGAAAGCCAATTCGGAAATACATAACAAACTTAGCTTACTCGAACTCTCCCAGACACTAGTCCATGCTCTGGCCACAAAGCGTGACTTTTGATTTTTATGCTGCTGAACGAAGACGGGCGGGATTGGCGCTCGGAATCCGGCATAGAACGGGATTGCATTACTTCACAAATAGCTGGATGGTCTCATCACAGCTGCAGAGTGTGCATATTCGTCTGCGACTCAGTCAGTACTAACGATGGGATAGGGATAAAAACAAGCTCAGACTCACAACGAAACCCAGCGAATTCTGTCATAGATGTAACTCCAGTAGACTCATGAGAGTCCTACAGAGTGTTACAGAGCACTCTGCAGCAAATTATGTTTCCCTCATGCCTGTTGTACCCAGAAGGGTGGTGCAAGGACTCACACTTGCTTCTCGATGAAGGGTCAACAAAAGTCACCAAGTCCAGGGACAGATGCCCATATCGAGTTGTGCTCTGCCTGGATGAAACACCCCGAAACGTGAATCCGCACGTCCAGGTGTCACCAACATCGTCCCTTGTTCGTCATCGTTAGAAGTACTTCCCGACGTAGGCCGATCATTAACAGGACGGTATTGTTTGAGTTGTCCAATCAGATACCACAAATTTCTGGGTATGTGACGTCCTATAGTGCGATAGATTGCGATCGAAAGTTCGTGGATCGTGGATGGATTTATTCAAGTCGCCAACTTATGGAAGTGGCCTAGCATCCTGTAAACGGCTGTATTGCATCGTTTAAATAATTTGATCTCGCGGATGAATGGCCTCTGCAAAGTTATTAGCAGCGTTAATTTGACCTTAGTCTCAAACGGAGGTTCGCATCGTGGGAAGGATTGCGGGTCATTCCGGCAAGCCTTCTAGGTTCTAACTCAGGTTCTTCGACTCAACAATATTACTGCCCTCAGATCTCCAATGCTCGCTCGCGCACCACTTTCCTTGCGTGCACAAGTTGTACGTGCTCGTGCTGTCCCTTCTGCACGCTTTGTGCATGGCCATGGTGAATATCATGTACGTGTCCTTCGTTTTCCACCCGTTCAGCACCGCATTTATTCCTATTTATTCCCTCCTTAGCATTTGCCCTTCGCGTGGCCCGGAAAGAAACGAGTATCATTCGGTATCAAGCTTACTGCTTTCCTGGTAACAGGATTCAGCATTCCTTTCGTGGCTGCCAAATTTCAATTGTACGCCATTATTCAATATCATCAGTAAACCCGCTTCCTGACACTTGCTAACAGAAACAAGTCTGCAACATAGACGTTTGTAGGGCATTCAACACAACACATTTTTTTGCGTCTTGTTAATACCTATGTCTGAAATCTGAGCTCAAACTTAACTTCTTCAACGTTTGAACAGTTGTCAGTTAACCTCCATGCTGTCGTTGTGATCCTCTTCAGTTGAGACGTTCTGCCCCTCTTCAAGATCAGCCAACATCTTTTCCAACCTATTTTTATAGTCTTTCTTTCCGATCTGCGTTCGGTTTCTGCAGCTGCAGTTGTGAGCCATAAAGCTGGGGTCCCCTTCCAGTGCATCGAGGGCCGCAGTTGACGCTATGCGCCCTGCGATATATCCCGTCGACTCTGTGGCACTTGCCAAAATAATGTCATGAACGATAACTAGAGGAAGAAGGCTCATCAGCACGTTCCACATGGACACTAATGAGTCCTACCATCGCAACGGGTTCCGTCAGTTTCACCAAGTTTTTCTTTTTCTATGGAGAACTGTTGGCAACCCTGAGTCTGCATGATCTCGAATAGGATTTTAGTGGGGTGATGCGAAAGTGTCTTGATTGTGACATGCTGGTCGTAAAAAGGTTCAAGGATTTTCTTGAACATCAATTCCACGCCGTCAGATGTGAAGCCGTCTGAGATGTAAAGTGCACCGATGATCGACTCTACGACATCAGAAAGGATCTATAAAGATACGTCGATTTATTTCGCTGGAAGACCAGCTGTAAACATACCTTGGGTGGCTCCATATCAAGCCAGTACTGCCCTGGAGGCCTCCCATCCCTGACTGCCTTTTGGTGTTCTTGCTGGCGCCTTGTCTCCAGCTGCTCAGCATATGACTGAATGCTGTTTCCAAGAGCATACGACTCATAAAGAAGATATGCATGTAACCCAGTCCGGACGCAGACCGCTGCCAAGGCTGAGTTTGACACCATGGCGGACTAAAGAGGTGTCTGATGAAATCACAACTAAGGTAAGAAACGTATATTCACCTTCAGTAGTGTCATTGCTCCAGGGGACATGTGGTCATCCCTGTTAAAAACATGTCGTACCACCACTGCGAATGCAAATCAAACCATTGCCATACAGAGGAGGAACCACATACAGAAATCCAGCACCGCATCTCCCAGGAATTCAAGCCGCTCATAGCACGTGTTTTCATATCCATGAATTGAACCATGCGTCTAGAAGAGGGTCAGCTAATGGTAGCCAAAGAGAGATCACACATACAAGAGCTTGAGAGAGTAAGTGTGGGTACTTGAAACTGGTTCCGATAATGCTTTCCACGGCTGAAAGAGTGCCACCACGGAGCCTTGGCGTGACATTTGAAGGGGGAGCAAGAGCTTTCCGGCGGAAATCTTCCCATTGTTCGACATTAGCGACAGGTAATCGGAGGGCCTTGATCACTTTGAGCGCAACGTCGCGGCCTCCAGAAAGATACGCTGCTCCAATGATGGCTTCTGCGACATCGGCAATTGTCTATAAAAGTAAATGAAATAATTCAAACTCATAGAATTCCCTTTCACCTTGTCTCCAAGCCACTGTGTTATGTTATCGTCGAGGGCCTTTGACTGGGAAGTCGAATGCATAGTAGAGGTATTGGTATCGTTGACGGGAGCCTGTGTTTTGGTATCAATTGCCATCCCACGATTGCCACTGGACGACATGAAATCGTTGGACCTCTCCAGATGCTGTGAAGACACGTCTTGGACCGTGAAGTTTGGGGGTTGCCACAATTTGTAACTGAATGTCTTCCCCTGTATGTACGATGGCAGACCAATGGAAAGAGCGCACTGCGTGAGCACCTTGTTGCTGATAATATGCTGCCGTGCCTTGTGCAACGCGCCCTCACTCAAAGCAGGGTTAAAAACGAATACGTAAACAGAACTAAAATATTTCAGAAATGAATCGCCTTACATTATAGTATGAGCATTGTGCACAATAAGGATTGGGTAAATCTTACCAAGAAGCTCCAGCCTTTCGTAATCTGTTTCGAAGGTCGCAGAAGGAGCAAAGATAGCGGACAACAAATGCTGTTCCAGGATCATATTTGCGAAGAACTGTGCATTGAGCTCCTTTACAATCAGGAAATCATCGATTCGTCGAGTGATGGATGGTAAAAGTAACGCAGTGCGGTATATGCTGGTTGACAGACCCCTATATGAGCATAGCCGATAGTACACTGCCAAGAACACTCACCTCGCTGGAATTGTGCATTTGCCACAGAGCTCTGGTATGAGATCTACCCAGTGTCAGCTACGTAGTTTGTCAGAGTTAGAGGAGCAGCCTACATTTCGGACCTGCCTTGTTCGTCTCTATTAGGGGCTTGTGGACGGGATTCAGGCGGTTCAGCGCAGTAGCAGTCTTGGATACCTCTATCAGAGGCTGGTTGTTGTCTTGGAGGCTCTGAAAGCCCTTGCGACGCGCTTTGCAATACTCCAGAATATTCGCATATTCCGCCTCACGCTAGAATGAGATAGATCAAAGATCCATGGATTGACCATCAACGACGGACGCTTACTGGGCTGTCTGAGGGTTTGCTCATTGGTGATAAATCTGGGCGCAAACGGACAACATAGCATCGTCGAGTGAATTCGACTAATCTATCCTGGACGACTGCATCCTCAAATTCGATTGGGTCTTGTAAGCTATCGGAACTAAAACGCGTGATATAATTGCTGTTGGCTCGTGCCACAGCTTGCCAGTCAATGGCATCGTGTAAGTCGATCACGTTGGAACACGAGACATCCTTGGCTTGGGAAGGAAGCAAAGGTGCGATGAAGTATGCCATCTTGTCCAACGAACATACAAATGCTTTGTTGGCAATTGTGCGGCAAATTCTGAGTGTATACGAGTGAAGTTCATCGAGACGTTCGCCATCAAAGACAATGGCGGGACCTCGTGCATTCCTGACAGTGGCAAAGACGCCATAGAAAAATAATTTGAAGGGTTCTAGATGAGGCAATGGTTGACGTGTTAGAATAACGATAGGTGCATAAGGTTCAGATGGGCCCTCTGGATTGCCTACGGAGATGACGACAGGAAAGAGGCGTGCTTCAGAAATTCGTAATGAGTTGATCCAGAAGTCCGGCCTTTTTCGCATGTAGCAACTGTTTCCAGAAACTAGATCTGATTTCAATAGGGAAGGATTCGCGCAAGCATTTTCGTCAGACCGACGCGAGGTATAGATCAGGCGGTGGTCCAAACTGCTGAGCTCAAATAATCGTCGGCAAAATTGGTAGGCTCCTGAGCGACGCGCATGAGCGGGCGTATAACGTGGAGGACCCTGAATCGTCTGCAAAGGCAGTCCAGGCGGGAGTGTCACAGTGCACACGAATTGTTGAACCCCACCCATGCTGGGTATGGGTATGGTATGAACAACAAACAGAGGGTGAAGATATGGAGTTGTAACGCTGCGCTGAAGGCTCGTAGCGATACGGAAAACAGCAAGCAAGGCATCGTCTTCAAATAATCGACCACCATTGACTGAGTCTCCTATTGAGATCTCTAATCTGGAAACCATTTCTTCGTCCGAACGGTAAGGGTTGCCAGTTTCCTTCAGTGGACAAGATGGAACTGGGGAATTCCCCCCTTGTAAGACCATCTCGATCCACTTGTCGTCAACAGCTGGACCGCTATACTCTTGAAGAATCCGGTGATGTAAGTCATTCCCTTTCTCCGCCATATGGATGAGATGTCCATCAGGCACCATCGTATGCGCACAAGCAAACGCATAGGAAAGTTGGCTCTCAAACAAGTTGTATCTGAAGCATATATGAGCGAAGCACAACTAGCAGCAGGAGTGACATGCACCGTATAAAGACATTGACACGTGGAAGGTCGATATCTTCCAAGCCTTTAATTAGAATGAAGAGGTTATACTTTCCACTCGCGAAGTTGTCGAGGAGTTCGCGCTGTCATCATATATTTCAGCCAACAATATTGCAAGTAACGAGACTTCGCATACCTGCTCGTGACCACTAGTGACAAGGAGTTCGCTGGTCAAAGCATAAGGTCGAATGAAAGCCAATTCATCAATCATGGTTCTCATGATATCCACCATAATAGTCGCGACTTCAGACCGTTGGACTACAATGCAATGTAGACCATTTATCAACTGTTATCAAGATAGATCGCCTCATACAGACCCAAAACAATTCCACGGAACTTGTCCCCGTAAGCTCCACATGATTTAAGAACATGAATCAACTGCAGAAACTTGGGCGTCACATTGAAGCTCCTCGAAGAAAGGTTCAAGTTCGGCATGGCGAACACCCAGTTTTTGACCAGATCGCAGATTTTGTTGGCGATCTCAAAACTGGGGTCGTCATCGTCATTCCTGTTGGCAGCATATTCTTTGATGGCCCTGCGCCAGACGAGATCACTCGCACATAAGCCAACCTCGACCAGAGCATAGCGGGCAGAGCGAAACGTATTTGTAAACGAGGATTCCTCTGGATCAATCTCGTGGAGAGTCTCCATCAATCTAGATTCTGCGTTTGGAAAAAGTGCATCATAGAGAATGACAGCCTCAAAAGGACGAATGTCGGATGCACAAAGTACGAGTTTGGAAGCTAGAGAAGGATCCTGAAGCATGGCACGATTCAGGACAACACCATCGGTGGCTAAAGGTGCCAATGCGCTATTATTTAAACCAGGCTGGTCACCGCCAGCCTCACACGACTGGGTGTCCTGATTCATGTCGCACTTCAAGTTAGCATCTGGATGTCTAACATCAGATGTTTCCTGCCAGATTCTCAACATCGTGACTTATTCTGCAGATGAGTATGGGGATGGTCGCAGAAACCAGAAGAAATAAGGGATAATGACGTGACGGGGACAGCAACAGATTGAAGTCCTTTAGCAAGTAATATTGAACTTTTGTAAATGTAAGTCAGTTACGAAGGTGGCGTGTGACTTCAGCAGTGACTGTGGGTTCCATGTTGAACCATACATAAGAAATCCAGCGCTCAACCCATGAAAACTACTGGTCTGCCATTAGCGGACGGCTGCCCTGCATAGGCTTCCGCGGGAGTGATGGTAAACAATGCACCCCTCATCCTTTCTATCGTAGATCACCTCAGTCCCGATTTTGCACAACGGTCGTTGTCAAGGGCCCGGGTTTCCTCTGATCTATGCCTACCTGCACGTTTGCCTACTACAGGTAAGTCGTAGCATTATCTTCCTCACATCATACCCAAACATGTCCTAAGGTTTTCTGCAGCGAGAGGCCGAACAGAATGCACCGAAGGCGGTGTTGAGGCAGTTACGACGCAGTCCCACACCACCCAGTCCAACTACCGAATACCATGATGCGACAGAGGGTACCTCACCTCACGCCTGGAGAAGGGGAAGTGTATCTTCAGACTCAGACCAAACCTCTCCGGCACAGTCTTTGTTTACGTTTTCCAGAAGTCAAGCCTCAGGGGGTTGGAAAGAGCCTCAAGTATGTTGTCAATAACTCATCCTCACTAGTGCACAGTGTTCATATATTCCATTTCGACAGCCATTTGAAGTATTTCGTGCTATCGAGCGCAAGGATATCATGTTTTTGATGGAAGTTCGCGATCGTGCTTTCCCTGTAGTTCAAAAAACTTTGTATTTTCTTCATTATACTGATGATCTCCCAGCTACTACTTCGCAAAACCGGGGATGCTACCCCTCTTCTTCACGCTATGCGTATCGGACAGTCTCACCGTGACGTTGCTATCTTGTTGCTCGGAGCGTTCTCCCGTTGGATCAATCATTTAGAAGACAGCGAGATTGGTCTCCCACGGACAAGAGTGATCCTCAAGGCTTTGCGTTAGTCTAGCTTCAAGCAGTCCCTGATGAGAGGCTGACCCTATGGCAGGAACAAATCTCAAGCTCGGCATAGATTATGGACTCTATAAATCTCAGAGCGATCTCGTAGCATCTTTTATGCAAACACTGGTTATGAGCGAGGGAGAAAAGTGGATTCGTGCACAGGTATCGTCGATGTCTCTGGCCTTGAGATCTGGCAATGCTGGAAAACCTGTTTCCACCGCTGAGGCAGCGGTGCGGAAATTCGCCACTAAAGAACTAAGTAAGGCAGATGCAATCGCTGCCTTGGAGGATTAGTAGGTAATTTTCGATTCTGTATTGTCTCACTCAAAGAACAAACACACAAGTGTGGCAAATGCTACAACTGACCTTCTACTTCTTGGCGCTTGGGCGATCGCATTGGAAGCTATTGAAGGGGAAGCGATACCGGTAAGCCATAGGTTGAACGCTGCCAATAACTTACAGTTACTCTTGTTTTTAGGTCTATTATTTTGCACGAGACGACAGAGTTTTTAGGGCTTTCATGGACAGAGTAAATACCCACCAAGCTGCCATTCGTCGCACACTTAGCCGGCGCCTGAAGTGGCAATTCCGCGTGCTGCAGAATGTGCTGGAAGGGAGAAATACAACTTATCGGGTGAGCAAGGTGTGCTGCGTGCTATGCATCTTACTCAGGACTTCTGTCACAGAGAAAAGTGGAAATTTTGACCGAAGAATTGGATGATGGAGATGGAGTGTAGTTTCTGCGGATGGACATAAACTTGATTACACTCTACACTCAGGTATTGTTTCGTTTAGCGTCCGTGTCTACCCTGTTATGTGCAATTTACTACTGGTGAACATTCCGCAGTTTTCTCCATGCTATCTGCTCGTACAAGGTGCCCTCGGGATACAAGACCACATCCTGGTTGGGGCGTATCGTCGAGCAAATATGAAACATGAATCCTGTGTTCCGTTCGTCAGATACCTATACTTCCCACACTACTGTGTAGGACTGCGGCGCATATTCTTAGGGTTATGTATACCTACTTCTCGGAATATGCGTTGCTCTTGTCCACGACGAACAACATCGCTGAATTATTAATCATGTTGACTATGGATATCAATCTAAGGGAATCTGTCTGATGCTAGTAAGCCACTATCTATTCGCGCGATTGACATGGTTCGTACGGTCCGGTCCGTCCATATGACACAGAATCACAAAGCGATTTTCATTCCTGTGAACCACACCCAAACTCCTGTCATCACTAAGCTGAGAATAGCCCAATTCAAGTTCAACTGTACAATTGTATACAGCCATATTGATGCGAATTGCGGACACTTAGGGATGGTCTGTAAACGAGGCATTTTATGGAAACAGGACGTAACACACTTGCCGCATATTGACGAGCCATGATCCACGATTGATAAGCCATATCATTCGGGGGCCTACACCAAGGGAGAGTATGAATAGAGCGAGTTGTGTTCGAGGGTTAGCCTTGTGTCGCGTGGCTAGAGGTGATCAGTCAGAAGGAATCCAAACTGACACAGATCCATTATGCTCACTGTAGAACACAAATATGGACAAAACTGTACGACTTTGAGCATCAAAGATTATCCATGCATATTTCGAACGTACTGGGGAAGTTCGTGAGAAGCCGTCCAGCAATCTCGCTAGCAGTTGGCTGCCGTGCATACTGCTGATGTATGAGGCTGTCCAAAACAACAGGAAGTGAGTTGGGAGGCAGGTACCAGGCATAAGCTCACATGTCCATCATGATGAGAAAGAAGGTCAGCGGCATGATGAATACGACCGCGTTGAAGATCTCGTCAGCAAGTGGGAGTCGTTCGACATCGTCCGTAGTCTCCCCAGGTTTTCGTGTATCAGATATCTTCCTGAGAACACCGGTTTGTTCTATCAAGCGCCACTGTTCGTCTTCGGATATCTCCACTAAAGGTTTCTGCTCGGGTGTTGTCTCTGTTGTCTGACGCTTCCTAGCCATTGGTCGTGAATTTGAGTTATGTTCCAATTTCCAAAGTCCCGCCACGAAGTCATGGATGTCTTGCCGCCGGAATTACCAGTTAAGGTTTTGCAATGCAAAGCCTTCCCACAAGCCTTCCTGACAGTCGATGATGGGAGACGAGGAAGCTAGATTGCTCGACCTCCTACAAGCACATGGTCAACAGTTTCTAAACTCCTTCGATCTCAGCCAACACCCTAGGAAGAGACAGAGACTAGAAGAGTCCCCAAAGGAACCTGAGAACGAGGATTTTGAGGAGTGGGGAGGCTTCAGCAATACAACTGTTTCAACTTACCCATCCGAAGAAAATAACGACGATGGTTTGTGGCCATCCAGGCGGCTATTCGTTCGTTTACTATAATGGCTCTATCATCAGATACTCCCTGTGAATACGATGACGGCTTTACCGCCAGTTCCTCTACCAAGATACCAGATGTAGTGGTGTTCTCAGACTCGAGGCAAAAGTCTTCAGAACAGTTCTCGAAAGCACAGAAAAAAGCTTTCATGGCAAGTCTCATGTATTACCACCTTTGTGTACTGATACAGGAGTGAACAGTCTTCAAAAGTCATTAAAGTTACAACAATAACAGAAGCCGATAGGGCCCCACATCGAGACGAGGATGACACACAAAATGACGAGGATATGTGAGTCCTCGACATCATAAATTTGTTCTCTTACAAAATTTTCCAGCTCAAATGCTCAGAACGACGCTCTCCTCCATCGCTTGGTTCACACGAAATTGCTGTCTGGGTCTTTGAACCCTGCACTCAACTTGACGCATGCAGAACGAGATAAAGCACTGTCCGGTCGTGTCTTGGAACTTGCAGGGAAGGCCAAGCTTGGCAAGGGAGAAGTTTCTATTCGCGCTGCGGAACGAAATAAGGCTTCCAAGCGAGTGCGAGAAGGACTGTTAAGGAAGAAGGGCGAGCGAGAGAAGCAACAGCTGGAGGAGGTTCGTTTCACCACACCTTTCCATTTAATCGTATCTTAACAGTTTGCGTTTAGGCCAAAAACCTGGGAAACTACCATCCTACTCTCAAGAGATTGTTTGATGCATCATCTGGGTCATCAGACCGTCAAAAACGAGTCAGGGGTCTCGGGATGGGAGTGGGCAAGTTTAATGGGGGAACGCTGAAGCTTAGTAAAGAAGAAATAAATTCGGTGACCGGTCGTGGGGTGCATGGCGCTGCCAAACACAAGCACAATACAAGTCGTGGTCGGAGATAATGTCAGTGGTAGCATTACAATAATTATCTATCATGCACAGCAGACGTGCTCCCCAATGAAATTCTCAAATTTGGAGGGATTGCATCCCATCAGCGATCTCCTCGATGGGGTGCATGTCTTGGGGATGAGACCCGTCACGCAGCCGACTGGAATTGGATTGGCGGTCATCCGGAAGAGCCCTGCTGATCATCAGAGAACTGGCTCCTCGTTGCTTTGCTTGGTCACTCACTGTGAAAATTGCCTTTCGGACATGTTCGACGAAGTATGGCTGCGGTGGCTGTTTGATCTGTGCATCGATGAGTGTGATCCTCGCGGCTGGTCCTCGGGCTGCCAATCATCCCTTCCATGGTAGCCCCTATCTCGCGGCTGTCTGTCTCGGTGATCCCGTGTTCTGTACTCCTTGTCTCTGTATTCCTTGTCTCTGTATTCCTTGTCTCTGTATTCCTTGTCTCTGTATTCCCTATCTCTGTATTCCCTGTCCCGGTAGGGATCTCTATATTCTCTGTCCCGGTAGGGGTCTCTGTAGTCTCTATCCCTGTAGGCTCTACCCCTGTGCTCATGATAGTAGTCGTCGTAGTGCTTGTATGATGGACCAGAGTGATATCTATGAGACGAGTAGTCATCGTGGTGCCTGTGAGAGGGATCGGAGTGGTATTTATTGGACGAGTAGTCATCCTGGTACCTATAAGAGGGATCGGAGTGATAGTGCTGGGACGAGTAACTCCTGCTACTACTATAAACCATTATCAAAGTTAGCATCATGAATTGCTTGTGCATAGCAGACCTTGGGCGTTTTGAACTACGTTGATTGGGATCTACCATGATCACTCGTGGATCTCTGGGACGGTCCCCCCTTTCGTGATCGCTGCCATCATAACTATAGTCAACAATTGAGTGAAACTACAAAACCAGCATGACACTGTCGCACCTGTAAAGCTCACGCCCATGTTTATCCTGCACAACAAAGGGTGCAGAGCGTGTTGGGCGCCCGCTGAAATCACCAACTCTTCGATCAACTTCAATGCAAGCCAGAAATCACAGTACTCAACCAGAACTTACCTTGCAACTTCATTCCCGTATTCATCTTGGAATATGACACTCACCCCGCCAGGGATGATGTAATAAATAGGACCACGACTACCTGAGTGAGAGGCCCGGCCGTGCCCAGCTGGGTGGATTTCATCGTATCGTATCGGGCGAGTCTATAAGCAATCATTACAGTTGTCGGAAAACGTATATCAAATGCAAACCTCGTGGCCGTCCGCATATATATTAGTGGGGGTCTTCGCCGGGTAACCACCCGGCGTGTGTATAGAAGCCTGAAAGGTGGCTGTCAGACAGACAGGCAAACAGATGAAAAGTATAACACACCGCTCTCGTATGAGAGTGATTAGACATTGGCGTCCTTGGCGCCTCGACAGTGTGATCGCTCCCTGAGTCATTCGATCTGTCGATGTGGGTGATAGCAGGGTCGTCAGGCATGTGACGACCCGAAACATTGCCGTAGCTAAAAGAATCTGCTCGAGTGATTCCATCTCGTATATGGGGATGTAAAGATGCAGGCTCTGGCATCCTCAGTGGGGGGTTATGTATATTATGTCCTTGTTCAGAAAATGTTTCCGAAAATTGACTGTCTGCATCGTCCCGCTCAACAGATGGAACGGGGCTCAACAAATTTTCTGGCCTCGTGGGGCGGGCGTTGAGAGTTCCCCCTAGGATAGTCTGAGGGTTGTCCACCCGAACGTAGCCATCGTAGTAATCATCTCCATCAGTAGGTGCACGTGATGGAACAGGAGTGAATACCTGTCCACAATCATGATGAAATTGAGCTTTAGGTAGCTATATACAATGGAATGCAGAGCTTACTGGCTCCACCCTCTATCGAAAGAGATCAGCCTAAGTATTATAACAGATTCATATGCCTACTTTTCTTGAAAGCGTTTCATGCCTTCTCAGTTGTGGATGAGGAATGGGTTGGTGATAATCTGGTTTTGGAAACTCCTCGCTGTAATCGTTGTAGACTGCGCGATCAGGACGATGATTGCGAGAAGAGCTTCCGAATGCCTTGAACATGTTGAATGGCATCGTGACCGATATGTTGGAGAGCTGTGATGTTAGAACGGACAAAGGCTTGGGAATTTATTGGAGCATGCTGGCACACGAGGCCGCCATGAGTAAAAGAGCTTCTTCGGTGCTTCTACAGCATGTCAAATACTTGTACTGCGTTTAGAACTAATCTCCAATGATGATACGGGAGATGGCGAGAAAACCGCAACAACCCGCATACACAACCCACTTGTCTGGTAGATATTCTCATTTCCACTAAATAGTGTTATCATACAGGAACTGATGAAACAGGTTCTACCATCAAACAGGTGACCAGATAAATCTAATGTTCTTCTAGTTGCCTTACTTGGGACAATGCCTGTGCAACCTTGTTGATGGCATCTGCAGCTGATGCGATAGATGCCACGTCCATTTGATTTGCGGTTTCGCAGATCTGCGCAAGTCTTTGTGACATAGCATCCAAAGATAGCTTGAGTACCTGAGCAGAGGAATACGCCGTATCCGCATTGATAGACGGAACACTTGCATGCTACACAAGATCGTCAGAGAGCGGCATAAAACAATTGTGAGAACCGTACTGACCAGATGCTCGCTATTGTTGGCCAAGGCTCGTGTGGGCGAAATATCGATCGTCAACTGATGACTGATCAACTTACTTGACCACTGATTACTTCGAGAGACAGCTACCTTTGATGACTTTGACGCAGGAAGTAATGACGAAGACTATGATCTATGTCAACGGGAATCTGGGCGGGTAAAAGAACCTCTGGTACCTGTGAAGATATATTGCGCATCACTGCCTTTCCTTTGTCACGACAGCCCAGTGTCACCGGAGCACTTGACATAGAGTTGTAAGCCCCTGAACTAGATCCTACTTCAATTGCAGGTGGAGCTGGGACGAGGCGCTGCCACCCTTCAGAGACATCAGTAACGTAGATTGTCCCGCAAACAACGCATTCCTAGATTCAAATAAACAATTGCTACATAAAAGAACTGACAATGATAGTTCACCTTGCGAGGATCCCTCTCCTCTCCGCCTTTTGGAGGTCTTACAAGAGGTACACCGTAACACCTGATGTTCGGACATTCTTCACCAAGCATCGCCCATCCCTTCAAAAGACGCTTTCCAATCTCTGCAGATGCTTGGTCTGATTGTTGCCGCCTGCGGATTGTCTCTTCAGTGTCAATGGGAGGGGCAAACGTTGGGGAGCTCAATGCGCTGGATAATTCTGTAGGAGGGGTTGATGGTCGCGAATAAGATTCATAGGTTGATGAAGAATTTGTTGATGAAGAATTAGACTGTGTCGATGTAGCTGTGGATAAGGCAGGCTGTATCATTGGGCTAGGATACGACGGTAAGAAAGTTCCTTACCTTGTTGAGGACCATTGCAATTCACGCAGATGTGAGTTACCGGTGATCCATTGTTAGGTGACCTCATGAGAGGAACGCCAGGACACGCTGGGGACGAGCATGTTGTGTCTGTCAACACCTATGAAGAACCATATGAAAATGAGATGGGCGGCTGATGCAGGAAAAAGAAATCACCTGACCCAGCCTTTTATCATGTATTCTCCAAGTTTGCTGGATACGTCCGCGATACTTGAGCTCATCTTTATATAAATGTCGGATGATGGATTTTGAGCAAGCCAAGATATTTAGTCAATTTGCCTTTCAAATTGTCAATCTGACGACCACGTGATCAACGGCGCGAACATGATGTTCGGTGACGCTGCCATTCCACGTCTACCGATCCGAATCTGTGACGGGCGTTGATTTTTCTCTGCAGCATGACATGGAAAAAACGCTATTCTTGCACATTTGCTTTTGCCCTCTTGATTACTCCAAGTAACAGAGTCGACGCACGGCAAAGCACGAACACAAGTGTTCACCGGGAAACTGCTTGGACCTCTGAGCGCAAGAGATCACTCAGGTGTGTACACTACTTACTGATTTGCTTTCAATCTTGCAAACAACTATCCAGAGCAACTACAAAAGACTTGTGGTACCATGGTTTTGACCATTACATGTCCCACGGTGAGCCTTGTCCAAATAATTCATGCATGTCGCCCATCTATTACTAGCTTTTCCACTGGACGAGGTTCGCCTATTCTGAGCTAGTACTCTTTCTGTGCTCCATTTTCTTTCCAGCTGTCTCCATTGTCTTGCACTGGTAGAGGTCCAGATTGGGAAAATCCGTAAGAGTCTCGGTTTCGATTTGGTTTCGAGTTGCTTGACGTACCTAACAGCGCAAATATAGCACATAATGACGTTTCAGGAAACTACTCCCTGACTCTCATTGATGTTTTAGACACGTTGGTTGTGCTAGACGATCCTCCAGGGTTTCAGAACGCGGTCCAAAATGTCCTTAACTGGGTGTCGTTCGACGTCAACACAAAGCCACAAGTATTTGAGACCACTATACGGGTGTTAGGCGGACTTTTATCTGGCCATATGTTTGCAAGTCAACCCGGCCAACCTTTTTATCTCCCATGGTATCGTGGTCAGCTTCTGACAATGGCGTATGATCTTGGGAATCGACTATTGCCTGCATTTTCCACCCCTACTGGTCTGCCTTTCGCTAGGGTGCGTATCTTCTTGTGTCTTTGTAGTTTCCGGGATCAACCACCTGCAGGTTAACTTGCGGCACGGGGTTCAGCGGGGAGAATCCCTTGAAACTTGTTTGTTACCAACAATTAGATCCGTTACCTTTAAGACTAAAGTTATTCTAGGCACCGCTGGCGCTGGTTCTCTGATACTAGAATTGGCTACCCTCAGTCGTCTCACTGGAGACGACCGCTTCGAGAAAGCGGCATATAAAGCTTTCTTCGCACTATGGAATAGAAGATCTGATATCGGTTTAGTCGGCAACACAATTAATATTTGGACAGGAGTGAGCTCAGCCTGGTTACATTACCTCCCGCTTCTAACTAGAATCTACAAGACGTGGACATTACCAGAAGTAACAGGAATCGGCGCAGGCGTTGATTCTTTCTATGAATATGCCCTGAAGTGGTATGTAATGAGTGGTGCGTTCCTAAAGTAGTTGGTGTATTTCATGCTTTGACACCACCCGTGGGTATCCTGCAGGTGAAGTAGAGTTTCTTGATGTATGGCATGAAGGTTATGCCGCTGTGATGAGATATTCCCGTTCTCCGGACGGTCATTGGGTGAGCAGTGATATCCTTTCTTATCTTGATGGTTCCCTCAAGTTCTTCTGTAGTTTCGCAATATCAACATACATACGGGTGATCAAGCATATGCCACAATTGATTCTCTATCTGCTTTTTGGCCTGGTTTGCAAGTCCTGGGTGGTGATATACAAAATGCCATCAAATCCCACATGACATGTAAGTGTTTCTTACCATCCTCAGATAACATTTTTTTGATAATCCTTGGTTTGGGACAGACTGGAACATCTGGAGACGACATTCAGGTCTTCCTGAAATATGGGACGCTCATTATCTGCAAGCAACGTCATTTCAATACCCGCTTCGACCAGAGTTCGTCGAATCGACGTGGTACCTCTATAGGGTCGGTCTGTCTTCCTTATCGCATACTGTAGCTCATGATCAGACAGGCCACTCGAGATCCGTATTATCTAGATGTTGGTGAACGTATTTTGAGAGACCTAATTGTCCGCGCCAAGGTGAATTGCGGGTTGACTGGTATTCAAGATTTGCGGACCAATGCCAGAGATGACAGGATGGAGTCGTTTGCATTATCAGAAACACTCAAGGTTTGTCGTAAAAATCTGGCCATGCCGAAGCGCTGCCTAGTACTTATCACAATTTATTCAGTATCTGTACCTTTTGTTTGACGAGGACAACCCGCTACACAAAGATGATTCGCATTACGTTTTCACCACCGAAGGGCACATTCTATCACTTCCAAGGGAAGTTCTGAAGCCTATGTCTCGTATTCGACGCAAGATGCGTGGCGAGGAGAACCACCAATGCCCCCTGTATGAACCTGTACAGGACTTATTGCCTGATGGGACCATCAGTGGCCTCATCCGAGGCGTCGGTTCAAGAGCAGACGTTGATTATGCCAGATACCTGGTCGGATTGCGATCACAGGCTCTGGATGAGCACCACTGGTCTCCTGATGGCTGGTGTGCAATCCCTGAAGTTGATTTATATGTAAGGAAATTCCATGACATCCTACCGTCGCAGTGACATCCTTCAGCAGTCTTTTGATTTCATCATGTCACCCGGTGGCAAGGTGGTGCCCGAGGATCCTAATCCTAGCCCCCTCAAACTCAAGACAGTGGCAGATGGTTTTATTCTCCACAATGTGACTGGCATCCGGGCCCACGTTGTCAGTCGATTGGACCGTAAAGGTTACGACATCACGAAGCGTAAGGCATCCTTTTCCCCTCAACTGGCCAGTGAACTCACTTGTGGAATATGGTACTAGTTGGGCCACACGCCGTCCGTACAGGACAAATAGTGTATGTCAACGACTCGGCACTCTGGAACCCTCCAGATCCTCGCCCAACTTACCGTAGCAAGGACGTTAAACTCCGTATCTTTCTTGATACGTTTGACACAGTACTCACAGCACAACCCGGAGCTTCGAGTTTCAATGGGGAGACGTACGTCAATGCCTATACTGCCCAGTTCGGTGGAGACTTGGCTGCACCTGACGCCTCCGACACCCTTCTCTTCGGTTATTGGGAGGGTACAGAGGTGCAGCAGGACAAAGGCAACCCCCTCGGATGCAAACCTTATGAAACCAACTTCGACGGAAACGCCGTCCTCGTCCATCGTGGTGAATGTGCATTCCTAGAAAAGCTGGTCTATGCGCGGGATGCAGGCGCTTCAGGAGTCATTGTTGTCAGCGACGAGGATACTCCTATTAATCCTTCTGCTTCACCCGCAGAGATCGCTGCTGCGGGCGACCTCAGCAACGTCGCTTTAGTGCTGTTGCCGTATACAGTTGGCAAATCTGTTACTGCCATGGTAGACGCTGCCGGGATGTTTGGCTACGGACATGTCATGTTTGCTGTTGATACCGAGGCGCAAGCATGGACAGAGGGAGTAATAGATCCGACGCCAGGGGAAGTTGGACAAATCCTGTACATCAATGGACATCCTCTACTAAATACTAGACTAATAATATAAGGTGATAATTGAGCTCCAGTCGATATCTTCTAAAGGCCTGGCTAGGGGAGACGAAGTACTGTCAAGGCTGATAGAGCGTGCAGTGCTGGCCCAATGGAACACTTTCAAGCACGAGTTCAAGACAACGCTACTAGTACTTACTATTGGATGCACTGCTGGCGCTGCTTCAAGGTCAACTTTATAATTGTGGGCAATATGCCTGTGTTGACGTAACAAAAATATATCTATACAATGACAAGTTCTGCCTATATGAACTCATCTATAGCGAAATCTACAGCACTAACCATGGGGACGGGTATCGGTATAAAATATCAATAAAGAGAACGTTCCAGCAACTCAATCCAAGAATTGAATAATAGAGTAGGCAGGAGCATCCAAACATTGGTATCCCTTAAGGAACATTATCTCGATGATGAAGAGATACTCGACTGTCACCCCGCCTAGCTTCTTGACGAGCTCACCAGCTGCCTTGGCAGAGCCACCTAGAAAAGGTATGAATTATGGCACCAGATTATGAGAGCCTGGACTCACCGGTGGCAATGAGATCATCTACAATAACCACGGACTGCCCGGGTAGAATCGCATCTGATTGCATTTCAAAGGTATCCTGTACGACGTAACTTAGAACGTATTTGACGCCCAATTATATATAACTCACGGCGCCATACTCCTTCTCGTAGGTAGCTGAGACACACTCGCCCGGGAGCTTGCCTCGTTTGCGAACAGGTACGAAAGATGCTCCCAGTCGCAGTGCGATGATAGGGCCAATGAGGAATCCTCTTGCGTCCAAACCGACTACGATATCAACCTTTTTGTGCAGTGATTTTGGTATAGTTTGCGACGTGATATGATGGACAAAGTGGGTGATGAGCGTCTCGAATGCGATAGGGTTGCGGAGTATGGGAAAAATGTCGAGAAACCTGATTCCCTGGAATGGAACCACGTTGAACTTTTCTTCGCAACTGAAGTAATAGAGCTTTGACAAACCTTCTTTGGAAAATCGGGATGGCATCGAAGGATGCTTTGCAGGTACTCGACGTCAGCCATGGTGTACTATAAGATAGTCTGCTGAGGTTGCAAAAAGGTGGTTGCTAACCAGGGAGATTGGTCGACGTTTTATATAATACCCTGACGGGTATCAGAAAGCGAACCGTTTCGAGTTGGTTCCGCGTGAACTCCGAGTGAAATTGACCGTCTTGTGTTGAATGTCACAGCGACTTGGTAGGCGTTCTGATTTGTTTCTGATACTACTTAATTTCAATTTGAAACTTGTTTCGCAACAGATTGATGCATATTGTCATGATGCTCATAGATTGTTCAACACCCTTTTAGCATAAGTACTTGCGAGTGATCATGGTCATATGATGAGGTACAAAGGTAGACGACGAGTAAAAAAGAGTTTTAAACAGATTGGAGAATCTCAGGCTCCTTGAAGTCCTTCACTACGCGGGTGCCTGTCTCCTGCAACATTGGTGTCAGCCCCAGTCATGTAAGACAAGCATGGTTGTCACTTACGTCTGTCGACTCGCCATGAAGCTCAAGCAGTTTCGAGACATCGAACTTGGGTGCCTTGAGAATTTTTGCCTTACGGACGTAGACATTTTGTAGAGGGTAAATGTTGCGGGTGTGCTTCTCTATCTCCCGTCCAATAGCCTCTGGCACAAATTTCTGCACCAACTCCTTCAAGTCACAACTTGACGCTTCCCGGGTCATGATCTCAAACATCTTCTTTCGGATTTCGCGAATTTGGCTCGTCTGGGCGTAGGTAGTCTTGCGAACCTGGTTTGGGCGACGCTTGGTGAAACCGATAGCAAAGAGGCGGATGAGGTAGCCGTCGGTTGTCTTCACGTCGACGTGTGCCTCGATGAGAGTTTGCCACTTGCGGACAAGGGAGCGTAGCTTGTCCGAAGTGAAGTCCATGCCATGGAAATTTGTGAGACAGCTCTTTCCCTGCACCTCATCGATCCGTAGTTTGATCTTACGGAATGATTGTTCTTCGTCCTTGTTAAGATCGGCGAGGGATACCTCGATAATGCGGCCCTTAAGAGAGTCGCTGGCATTTTCTAGTGAGAAATCAGGTTGTGTGTTTGACAGACAGAACTTTGTACATACTCAAACCCTGTGATCGGTTGACAAGGGTCTTGCCAACATTTCGGACTTCAAATGTGGAGGGTGCTTTGATATCATACCACTCTTGATGATTATGATGTTAACCCGACAGAATACAGGGAATGTAGAATACGACTCACCCTTGCGCGAGAAAGGGTCAACGACCTTCTTCTTGATACCCTTCTTTCCCTTAGACAGACGTTTGTTCTACAAAGTTGAAGAGTTATATATACCCCTCTGGTGAAAGTAAATCAATACATACTTTTCCTACAGCCATATTGAATTCGTGCGCTGGCGGTGGGGAGCAGACCGCTAGTCGTTATGAGCCGGCACTTGGACGAGCTACAGAGTTTAGGTGTGTAACGGCTATAGAATTTGGTCTTGTTGTGCTCCCTAAGATGGTGGCTTGAACCTTATTTCGATAGTTGTACAGTACATTCTCACGCCACATTGCTAATGACCGCAATGTTCACTCGACAGCAGTTTGACGAAGCATGCCGGGAGTTCATTCACACTCATCAATCTGTATCTTCTGCATATGGAGCTAGGCTTTCGGGATGGTGTTGGAAAGAGCATCATGTACGCCGGCATCACATAGTGTGTTTCTTTTCATGTATCTCGAAATACACAGACAGTGCCAGGCTTCGGCTACATGCACCGGATTATCACTTTGAACTGGCGTCACCCAGCGTCAGCCGATGCATTCCTTGAGATTGAGGACAGTTTGGACGTCGTCGACGATGGGACAACTGTCTCCCATGACTGTCCTGATACGTTGGCTTGTCATCAGTATGTGGTGTTATCGGCAACTTTCCGTGTACCAACATTTTATTTCTCCATCCATGGTTCGAGTACGTGTGACTAGGATTTTCCCCATATGAATGAGATGCACTCAACTTGATAGCGCAGGCGGTTCTCCACTACAGCTGACTGATATCATGCAAACTTCTCTTCTTCGTGAAGATGTGTGTGAGGGGACAGTCGCTACGACATTTGCTGTATCGCATCCGGCAATGAATTTCCCTCTCCTATCTCAAGGAGAACACCCAACGCTAGGCACACCCTGTTGGTACTTTCACCCATGCGAAACTGCCAGTGCAGTCGAGGAAATCCTCAAGGAGTCAGAGGAAAACAGTAGGAGACCGCTGAGTTGGATGGAGGCTTGGTTCGCAGTGTTAAGCACAGCCGTAGACATGTAGTGATATTAATATCATTAGTATTCTCATGAACGGTATTTGCGGAAGACCTTACGAGACTTCGGTTCCTCACATGACATGTCCCGGATCTTACGTGCAAAAGACGTACTTATATATATGAAGGAGCCTCGTCTCAACCACAGAGGTTGGACATATCGCACCACAACACTCACCGTCGTACGATCACATACACTTCAAGTTCTCAAATAACAACTATTCCATCATGATGCTCGCAGCCCGTCTTACGTCCCTATCTAAACCAACCCGCTCCAATATCTCATCTTTTACCCGAAAACTGGTATATCATCTGTTTTGTTTATGGTTATCAATCATAGAGCTCATAATTTGCCAGTCCTCCCATGAAGCTGTCATTGTTGCTGCGTCGCGCACGCCTGTCGGATCCCTATATGGAGCACTCAAGACTTTGACTGCACCCCAACTCGGCGCTGTTGCCCTCAAGCATGCTTTTGAGCAGTCGAAAGTTGATCCCGCAGTCGTCGAGGAAATTTACTTCGGCAATGTCGTTCAAGCTGGTGTCGGTCAATCACCCGCACGTCAAGTAGCACTTGCTGCCGGCATGAAAACTGCATCTGACGCTACGACCATCAACAAAGTTTGTGCTAGTGGTATGAAGACAATTATGATTGCTGCCCAAAGCATAGAGTGTGGTTACAAGAACGTGATTGCCGCTGGCGGTATGGAGAGCATGAGCAACGCTCCGTAAGCCATTCAACCTTCGATTCTCTGTTTGCTCCTCAGGTTGACGTAACTTCGAGTTTCCTACTTCCCCGAACGAACCCATTGTTCGGCAAATTCGAGACCAAGGACTCTCTTGAGAATGACGGTCTCTGGGATGTCTACAGCAACTTCGCCATGGGTAATTGTGGTGAAATCTCTGCAGATAAGTACGACATTAGCCGTGTCTCACTTGACAAGCACGCAATCGACTCGTACAAACGCGCTGATCGTGCGTGGAAAGAGGGCGTCTTCAATGCTGAGATAGCGCCCGTTACCATCAAGGGCAAGAAGGGTGACATCATTATTAAGGAAGATGAAGAGTATAAGAAAGTTATTTTTGAGAAGGTTCCCTCCCTAAAGTCAGCCTTCAAGACAGGCGGACGGATCACCGCTGCCAACTCTTCAAATCTTAACTGATGGTGCCTCTGCCCTGATATTAATGTCTGCAGAGAAAGCAAAGGAGCTTGGCGTGAAACCTCTCGCCAAGGTCATTTGTGAGTCTACCAGGGCTTATCGCATCACCATTCCTTATCTCATGTGGCATTTTCCACAGCATATGCGGATGCGGGTGTTGAGCCCGTCGACTTCCCCATGGCTCCTACTGTTGCTCTCCCGGAAGCACTAAAGAAAGCGAACTTAACTGTCGACGACATTGCACGTTTCGAGATTAATGAGGCCTTCTCGGTTGTTGTCCGTATCGCCGAAAAGCTCCTGCAAATTGACCCTGCAAAAGTTAACGTTGATGGGCAAGTCTTACGACTTCACACAGACGTTGCATCTGCTAATTTCATTTAACAGTGGCGCTGTTGCTCTTGGCCATGCGATCGGAAGCTCGGGTTCTCGCATCGTGGTATCCCTGGTTCACGCCTTAAAGTCTGGGGAATATGGTGCAGCAGGCATCTGCAACGGGGTAAGTAACTTGCAATTCCGTGTGTCATGTCACTCACACGGTCATTTTCTAGGGTGGGGCAGCTTCAGCCATCGTGATTCAGAAACTATAGTCGCTTTGCTTTACTTGTTCCAGAATTATCTTACGAACATTCTTACCGTACACTCATTATACTCTATTTTTCTCTCTCTAGAAACCATCAATCTCTATGCGGCATTCGTGAGAAGCTCCTGAATAAATTGGTCTCGCCGGCTTGCCGTGAGTGTGTTATTGTCTTTCCGGGTGACATATCTCGCGCTTTCCTCATGGAACATATTGGCTTGCTTATCTGTTGCTTCAATGACGTTGGAGCTATTGGTTTGTCACTTATCTTGCAGGCACAGCAACACTAAGCCGTCGCGGATGCATTTCTTTCTAGGAGATGCTTGAGAGATAAGAAGCCAGTGTAATGTTTGAGCGTTTTGAGCACGCACTAGAACAATGTCTTCCGAAATCAGTGTGGCGAAGAATCTGGACGAAGTCGAGAAGAGCTCGCAGCTTGAGACCTATGACAACAAGCTTGGGCTAGAGTCACTCGATACTTCTGACGGTGATGCTGCTCTTCAGCTCGTCGGCGCGCAAGCAACGATGCACTTCAGTGAGGAGTACAACCGAAAGCTTAGGCGCAAGCTGGTATCTCTTATTCTCTGCACTTTGGAGATTTTGACCTGACCATTGATGGATCTACAGGATCTTGTCATCCCCACCATTTCAGCGGCTGTCTACTTCAGTCAATATTTGTTCGTCATTCAATGTACGCAATAATATTTTGTGCTCACCCTTGGACAGGGACAAGACCTCACTGAATTATGCGAGGCGAGTGTTGTTTCGCAGCGATGTTGGGTAACATGGATATTGACAATGTCGCAGTATCATGGGCCTCCCGATCGTGGGCCAGGCAAGTTAAAATATTTATGACATTCAGTACATGCTAATATGACTCTAGAACTACAACTTGGTATCCATGGCCTTCTACCTGGGTCAGATTTTTGATTCTACAGTCCAGCATGGATCTCATAGAGTTCGAACTGTTCAACTACAGGTTACCTCTTTTGGGAGTTTCCAACCGTCTATATCTCGCAGAAACTTAGATTAGCCAAGTATCTAGGTGAGAGCAAAATCACGAAACCATATCATCAGCTGATGCCTTGAAGGCGGCAATATTGTTGTATGGGGAATAATCCTCATGCTACATGCCTCAACATCCAACTTCGGAGCCTTCTTTGCTCTCAGGTTCCTTTTGGGTAAGGCTCTTCGTGTTTTATCGAAATAAGGCACAAACTTGATATGACCAGGAATGTGCGAGTCTTGTGTCACGCCGTGTCTCATTCTCATTATTTCAATGTTTTACAAGAAGGATGAACAGGTACGTAATTTTTTTTTGTGTAGAATATAGTACCTTTTGACTGACGGTCATAAGGCTCAACGTATTTCATGGTTCTACATCATGGTGCGACTCTCTTACATCCAAAATTAGCATTGCCCCTGACTTTGTTCAGAATGGGCTAACCCAGGTGTTCGGTGGTTTCATAGCATATGTGAGTGTTGCTCAATGCACTAGGGGAGGCAAATGAATGATTTACACTCTCCCAGGGTATCTCGTTTTATAACGGCAATGCTTTACCGCCCTACAAGATCATTTATATACTCCTTGGTGCTCTTGCGATCATTGTTGGCATAGTCGTCTTGATCTGGCTACCAGATTCCCCAGTCAATGCTTCCATGCTGACGAAGGAGGAGCGGATTGCTGCTCTTGAACGTGTTCGGGACGATCAAGGAGGTACGGAGAACAAGAAATTCAAGAAGGACCAGGTCATCGAAGCTCTCACGGACCCTCGCACATGGCTTGTTGTTTTGTCAACGATATTGAGTAAACCATTTACTTGAATATGCATGAAAGGCGGCTGATGCAGACTTTGTAGCGAGTATTCCTAACGGAGCTTTGAGTAACTGTAAGTCGCATCGAGAGAAATTAGCCCGGTGAAAGTTAACTTTCTTGACTGCAGTCAGTAACATAATCGTAAAAAGCTTCGGATATACGTGCGTGTAAACCGTGCTGTGCTGTCTTTGCTTCTCATTAATACTTTTTCCCTAGATCAAAACAAACCCTGATTCTTTCCACTCCTGGCGGAGTTGTTGGTTCCGCAATGGTGATTTTCTGTGGATGGTATTCTGATAAGAAGGTAGAGGGCCTAAAATTATCTCAAAATAAAATTTCTCAACCACCTTTAGAACGAGAGAATGATCCCCATCGTGTTTGCATTGGTTCCCACCATTGTCGGCGCAGGTATGTTGTTCGTAAATTTTAGATGGAACGTCGGTTGAAAATAGGAATTAGCCATCCTTATTGGCATGAATGGATCCTCTAACAAAGGCGTTTTGCTCTTTGGTTTGTCGATTTGTCACCATTTTATGGTTTCTCATAAAATCTGACTTTCGCGGCAGCGGTATATATCATCGGTACCTTTGGCAGCGCTCTCTCCACGATCTACGCATACAACGCAAGCAACACCAGTGGCCATACCAAGAAGGTACGTTTGGTGCTATTCGTCCTCCTTTATTTTAGTTTATTTATGCGGTATTTAGGTGACGATTAATGCAATGACAATGGCCACCTTCAGCATTGGCAATATTATCGGGACTGAGATATTCCAGCCTAAAGATGCGCCAGCCTATATTCCAGGAAAGACCGCGATCATGGTCTTGTTGATCGTGCAACTATTCATCTCGTATTTACTACGCTGGATCAATATTCGCTTGAACAGGAAGCGAAAAGCCCAGCTGACGGAATTAAAGGAGCGCCAGGGTTGGACTGATGAGGATGTACAACACGAGAGGGAGCGTCATGCATTTGCTGACCTCACTGATAGACAGAACATTTTCTTCGTATACACATGTTAAGAGTTGCAAATATCTGTATTTCAATGTATTTCTTACTCAGGAAGTATGTGGACAAATTCACGTCCCTAAGATGCTGAGCTGACACCGCCAAATACGCTAATTATGTCGTATGAGCGGTCGCGATGGTGGTCAAGCACACAGTAACACAATATTTACAAAGTGCTAGAGTCAACAGGCTATAAAAACATCAGTATAACATATGGTCGCAGATAAGATAGCACGTACCTCGTACACGCTTCCAATATTCCTTGATGGCATTGGGTGCATCATCGGCGAGCATATCTTCAGGTTCCCATGAAGCTTCATCCGAGCTGTATCCCTCCCAGTACACTAAAAATTCTCTTTCGCCTTCAACTCCTCGGTGCGATTGGATCGAGGACACGACAAACTTCTCGATGAACTCGACTTCTGCTTCCTCCGGGCATTTAATACGGAGCGATAGCCGCGCAGGAAGCGTCCATGCCTTTGGAAGACGCATCTCTGGAAGTTCTCCAGATGGGCGAAAGGGGCGACGGGGTGTTGTGCCGATCTTCCTGACTGTACTTATCGACCTCGCATAAGGTGTGCTCGATATCGCACAGCATAATAGGTCGAGACTCGGACCCCAAGCCATTAAACTTCAGTTTGAGGCGCGAGAAATGATCGCTTTGCGTGAGTTGCATCCATCGGATTATGTCAACCTCGCATGCGCGAGGAATTTGACCTTTGAAGCAGCGTTGAAGGCCGCGACGTGAACCCACCCCGACCACCACAAAATCGTAGTCCGAGAAGTTCAAAACATTTGAATAGGATAGGTTCAGCACTAGCTGGTACGCAGTGAAGTCTCCCATGCTCTTAAAGGTGCACAACCATTCAAAGACGTCTGCGACGTACTCGGCCTTTGCGCACCGCATGGGCAACTTTTTCATCAGGACCTCCATGAAAACGAGATGGTTCATGAAGTTTTCCACAAAGCCTAGACTAGGTGCAGGCTTTTGAAAAGACCCAGTATATATCGAGACTTTGTCATCGTACAAACCACGCAAGACGCGTTCGTAATTGGCTCGCTCGTAGGTGGACCAAGTGAAAGGTGTAATCGCATTTCGCAGAGTTTCATACGTGTTGATGCTCGTAAAAGTGTTGAAAAGCAGAATTCGAAACACAAGTTCGGTGGGATCTTGAGAACCTTTTTCGATGACTTCTGCGATCAAGTATTGGCTTACCCGATCTAGAACCCGGTACGTGTTGCAGAAAGGATAAGCTTCTAAAATGGGGTCATTCGTCCATCTATCAAATATATTGAGTCGGGCTTGCCAAGGAGGAATGGGTGTATACATACGGGGCGGGGAGGCCTTTGAAACGCTTCTCGGTAATAGCGTGTCTTTCTGCCGCGAAACGCCAAAATGTATCGAACACAGGTGTTGGCTCGAAGGTCCGGCCACGCACAGTGACAGTCAAAGGCGGTGACATCGTATCTGACTGATATAGTTTTGAACGTTTGGGACATTTGTCCTCATCGTTCTTTTCAGCTATTCGTTTCCGGCTGGAACCCATCTTCAAACGAGGAACAAGTGGACTGTAGGTTCGGTATTCATGAATCAGCTCATTGACTTGACAATGAATGGAATAAACAGACATACCTCTCGGAGACAAGCAAACAGCGGGGATAGCTGGCTGTTCGACGGCTTGAATAAAACCAAGCGGCGCTGAATAGTCTTGTACATAATAAATTGTGGATCCCCGCGAGTCGCGCCTGGCCCGGGAATCATGATTCAGTTGGACTCCGAGAGGACCCAGACTCCCGATTAAATGACAACGCTCATTTCGCTACCCTGACTTGTACGTAATCACTTCTATCAAAGTTGAACCGAATGCTCGCGGCACCATGGATAAGTCATTAAAAAATGATTATATCCAAGCATACCTCGACCGTCAGAAAGTCTATGTACACTCATACTCTTCTGAGGGAATTCATCCCCCGTCAAAAATATCCAACAGAACACCAACAAGGACGCCGACAAGGACACGTTATGAAGAAACGAAAAAGCTGGAATTTGGGTTCGACACCCCTATACTCGTCCCCCGTGTGACTAGGCCTGATATCGTTAGTACGGACAAGCGCTCGGTCGTAGTAGGGCTCCCCGCCAAGGCAACGCAAAAGGCCCGAAAGACTCAGCAGGCACTCGATGCTGAGACCTCCATAAAGGAAAACAAAGGCTCAGTACATGCACCAATCATCACTGCTCAACGTGATACATCCAAGCGGAAGCGTAAGAAGGCCGAAGTCCCGGTTTCAGACGAAGAACATGAGGCTAGTGAGTTTTCACTACTATCATGATTCTATCTTCTTTTTGAACAAACTTGCAAAGGACTGAGCGAGCGTCGAGAACGGAAACGCGTAAAGCGCGATATTGTCAAACCAGATAGCAATATTCAAGTGCATGATAGCCCGCCAGCAAGCGAAAGGGAACATAAGAAGGTTGCTCGTAAGAGGGCAAAGAAAAACTTGGGCACTGCAGGCCTTGCACTCTTGCATGGATTCTCAGCGACCAATGTCGGTAAAAACCGCCTCACGGTGAGTACTGCCGGTCTGGTTCATCTAATGCCTAGGTTTCACCACGACCCTAGTTGAAACCATTGGCTTCTCTCGGAGTATTCAATAAGGGGAAATCATCCGCCAAGACGAAGGTATACAAAACGAAGGAGCCAGGTAATATAAAATCCATGTTCTTTACTCCTCAAGCACTGATTATTGTCCAGCGCAGAAGTTGTTTTCAGAAATAGCGTTTCTTAACAAAACAACCAAGAAATATGAGTCTCTAGTGGATGAGTCGCTTGTACCCGACTCTTCCTCTCGACCACCATCCGCTATGCAAAGGATCAAGATCACGAATCATGACAAAGACGAGAAATCGACTCGATCCGCAAGCGACCACGCTACGACTCTGGACCTTCCTAGGGAAGGTACAGCTATATCAGAGCCGTGGGATATCGAGTTTCAAAGCCAATGTCCTTCTTCAGATGGTTTTCGTCCTCAGCCAGGCGAACCCATAGCTGGAACGCTAGTACCTCATCCCCGTATGGCCAGTTGGCACGATCAGGAACTACCGTCTGATGTTCAGGTGATGCACTCTTCCCTCATAAGTCCCACGAGGGAAACGTTTCATGACTGTACACCCGACAAAATCTTGTCATCAGTCTCAGCGTCTGTCATCGCGACCATCTACGATCTTGACGGTGAACCGTCTATCCATCCCTCTCATTCCGCATCTCAGGTTGGCCTCAAACGACTTGATGATCCAAAACCTTCTGTCGAGCTTCTTACATCAAAGTATTTCGCCGTGCATGACGATCATGACGCGGAGCATGTATCACCGTCGTTCGATGAACGACGCCCTATAGCTAAGTCTTCTAGTGTGATATCGGGCTGCAATCTGCGTGACGCACACCCCCTCTATGTTTCCCACCCGCATGACACAAGCACAACGCATCGCGCCGCTCCTTTGAATGCTATGGTTGACAGCAGCCCTTTACGCATCCATGGTATCCCCGAGGATCACTTTCTTCCCTTAGCTGACGACCTTATGCCAACTTATCGAGGTCACTCTATCATGCAGTATAGTCGCCATAACGAGGATGTCATTTCAGCATGGTACGCTCTAGACGCATGTACTACCAGCTTCTCCGAAGGGGACTCTGGCCATCATAATCTTCAAGACCAAGACCTGGTATTTCTGGAACCTCCATATCCTTTCAATGAACCTAGCTTCTATCCTCCGGTGCACGCCTACTCAAGCGACGGGCTACACGATATCCCAGGGGATGACATAGTCGTACTTGACGAGCCATGCCAAGGTCCTAGGAAACTCGTCGAGTATACACAAGAGGTGGATGACTACGAACAGTCAGACTTTGCGCTGGAACTATCTTCATTACACCATGGTACTTTCTCGTCACCTACCCGCTCTAACGCGACAGCCGAGGCATACGACAATGATTCCTGCCGACTGCGTCCGTTCTTGCAAGGTCGTGCGATGCTGCTTGGCATCCCTCCGTACGTTCCGCCTTGGCATGACTATGAACACACAGAATTTGGAAATGGTTTGCTGTCAGCCGAAGTGGATGTTGCAAAACGTTTGAAAGACCATTGGCGGCCGCATAGATTATGATTGAATAGTTTTTGAAATAGGATTGAGTCATGTCACGAACGCGAGATGTAACGCGTGACCGCATAAAATAAAACTCCGCCCCTCGTGTACAGACGATTAGTGTGAAATACCGTCACTTTCCTTCTCACCCCAAAGAGCGTGTCTTCATCGCGTAGCTGATCAAAAGATGAGCTCGAAAGAAAACAGAATGACGGGGAGCGCGTTGGTGAGTTCAGGATTTTTTTATCCTTTGGTTTTGCTATTTAGCCCCTCTTCATCGCGATTCCAGTCTGCGCCTGGAATCTTCATCAAACCAGAACCAGAAGAACCGCATGCAGTTCCGTCTTCTGAGTTCACGCACCACAATTCGAAAAAATTGACACCCAACCCAACCATCAAGGGCGAACCAATTGATTCGAAACCTGTTGTGAGCGGCATCTAGAGCACCCACGAATGGGGAGAATTGACGTTATCCAAAATTGCCAGCTGTCAGACAGGGGCACTACAGCTCCAAGCAACATTACCCTCGGTAGTCAACGTAACCTTTCTTCAGCTCCTGACATTCAAAACTCCAAACCGGAACCAGAGCCACCACAACGACAAAGGGTGCACGAGCCAATGTTGTATGAGCTCTACGACTCTGCTGACCATATTGCATACACCCCTGAAGCTGCTCTTCAGGCAGGTCTCGGCATGGTAAAGACTCTGAGGGCTGGAATCAACAAACTTGAGCTTGGCAGCAAGCTTCGAAAGGACGTTTGGCTGCGTGAAATTGACAAGTACGTGATCAGCCTTGCCTGACGACATCGATACCAACTCTGTCATAGTCTGCTTAGTCAAGGTGTCCCTACAACAATGATAGCCGTTTGTGGAGGTGTGTAATTATGAGTCCCAATTTGCATGTCCACCGAAGTCTTCTTTAGCGACTGGGGCCGGAAAGTCTTCGATACTAAATGCAATCTTGGACGGTAAGCTAAATCAGTGTTTATGTTTCTTTATACTAAATTCGCTGTAGACAATATTGTCCCAACAAGTGGTATGCGAGGTAAAGCGAGACCTTTCGCGGTTGGGAAACCATCGTTGCTAAACCCACTTGTAGCATGCACAGCCGTGGTCACAGAAATAGCATATCATGCCGCACCTACCATAAATGCGGACGTCTCGTTCCTTTCTGAAGCTGAGTGGAGAGCAGAACTTGCTGTTCTACTCGATGATCTTGTGGATGGAGACGGTAATTTGAAACGTAATACTGACCTACGGAGTGATTCGGGTGTTGCTTGGCACAAGGTACAGACAATCTGAGCTCTTTGGTGTATATGCGTCTGATTCATTGTCAGGTTCATGCTGTCTATCCATCTATTGCCCAAGAGCAACTTATTCACCTGACGGTTGATCAAATTTTGGCCCGCGATACAGGTACATGTTCTCAACGTGGATGTAGACACCAGATGGTACTGACGCTCCGCATAGGTATAACTACAGTCTTGGGCACCACGAAGAAAATATCGGCAAAGAATTCGACGATATTCGCCAAGGAGATTGCGAAATATATCGATTCTAAGGACCGGAAACGAGGTGGCAAGAAGGACAAGAAGAAAGAGACGAAGAAGAAAGACTATGGCCCAGCTCTGTGGCCCCTCATTCGTCAAGTCAATGTGCGGTGTAATGCCCAAGCTCTTTCCACGGGCGCCATTCTAGTTGATTTGCCTGGTGTTGCCGACGCTAACGCAGCAAGGAATAGCATCGCAAAGGACTACATGAAGAAGTGCAACTGCATCTGGATTCTGGCACCTATCACTCGTGCAGTAGATGACAAGACTGCTAGAGGTATCGGTATCGACTCAGCACCTGTGTCATAATCTTAATGCATTTGGATTAGATCTTCTTGGTGAAGCTTTTAAACTGCAGCTGATGAGTACGTTCTTCATTTTCAACCCTTGGTAATATACTAATAATTATTTTTAGTGGGTAAGTCCTTTCCATGAAGTACTCTCAGGTAGCTTACTACTATCCACGACGATTTCTTTTTGTCAATCAGACGGCAAGTGAGTGATTGTCCCTAACTTCAGTCGCGAGTGTCTTATTAATCTGATTAGCTATGATGCCCACACGATCACGTTCATTGGTTTGTTGCAGCTCTTTTTCCTGGTTGGATTGTCATTTAAATCGTGTGGCACAGCTAGCAAGTGTGATGATATATCTTGTTCTGAGGTTATCCCAGCCTTGGGTATCGAGGATGACCCTGAACTAGAAGAGATCGAGGGCCGCATTGAACGGTACAAAAAGGACACTGCTGACCTCAAAAAGAGGAAGACGGATGCGGAGTCATCGATGAAAGGTACGCATGCGAATTTTGTTTCTGGAGCAATGTACTTAGGTAAATTTCACAGCTATCGACAAGCAGCTCAAGAACGTTCGAGCTTTGCTGACAGAGTACGAGCAACACAAGACGGCACTGGAGAACGGCGAGATGTTTTTACCACAGTTGACCACAACAGCATACAAGAAGGCCCAGAGCACGGGCAAGAAAAGAAAAAATATTAGCAGGGGGAAATCTGGGTCACCCAAGCGCCACAAGCGATTTGGGGACGACGACGACGACGATTTTGAGATGGATGATATTGACAATTATCTTCGAGTCAGTGACGACATCCATGTGGATGATGAGGACGAAAGGTCAGACGACGAAGATGAAGGGTCAGACGATGAGGATGAAGAGAGAGACGATGAGGACGAAGATGAGGATGAGGATGAAGTGGAAGAGGATGACTCAGACGGGGAGGATATACCGGACGAGCCAGAGGAGGTCACGGTCGAGGTTCTCCAGGAGAAGATTAGCGATGCCAAGGAAGCTATCAATGTTGGACGCGAACAGCTTAACGATGCACGCAAGACACGGAAGGATGCCGTTGATGCCCTCAGCAACCTTAAAAAGAAGAAGACGAAAGCACAACGTGACAAGAACGCATTCTGTTCTCTGAAGCGTTCAGAGGTTTGTCTCACTGTTAAGTTCCCTACCACATTTCTTACCTGGCGTCAACCAGTTCTCCCGCGATATCTTGAAAGAAGATTTTCGCATTGGTTTGAAAGATCTTGATGGTTGGTCAACTTCCTGTCTTTGAAGAATCGGCTAATTCGAAAAACACAGACGCCGCCGCCGAGGAACGAAACCCAAATTCTTTTGATCCGACTCAAAATATGCGCAGTAAGTTTGCATTTCATCCTGAAAATACTTGCCTAAAAATATGTTTTACTCAGATTATGATGAGATCGATCTTCCTGTGTTCACTTGCTCATCTCGTGACTATGTCCGCATCACGGGACAAGTTAAGGGTGATGGGGACCCATCATGTTTCTCTAACGTAGAAGATACTGGGATTCCTTCCCTACGGCAATGGTGCCACCAACTGACCATCAGTAGCCGGTCACGCGCTGCAAAGCAGTTTCACACTCACTTGAAGACATTTGCGAACTCAGTGCGAGTCTTTGTCGATGGGATTGGTGATGTGACCATTGCAGATCGTGAATCCCTTCGTGAAAAATGGGAGTCAGCGCCACAGGGTGACGATGACGATGACGATGAAGGCATGCCTTATTGGCGTAGCTCGCCTGGTTCTATGAGCTTCCAGATCTTCCAACCATATGGAGCCATGATGTCCAGGGAATTCGTGGATGCTAAACTCTTCTCGATGAACAAGTCATCCCTAAAGGTGGATGCTCGTGGCGAACCCATAGGAGTGACTCCTCAGCTTGTGAAAGTATGTTGACTTGTGATTCCCATACAGCCCACCTTTATTATACCTTGCAGGAATTTGGTGTACACGTTGAAAAAAGCGTCTCGGATTTGCAGGACTTGTTCCGTGATGGTCTTGAAGATAAATGTCGAGTGGGAGCAGCGAATGTAAGTACTACTCCATTGTGGTAACCCATCTGACGTTGTATCGATAGGCTGCTGAGGGTGCGGTTCAACATGTTGACGAGTTTGCAGGGTCCATGCACTGGATGACTTATCGAGCTAGTGGGTGTCCCAGTTCTCATCCGAGTTCTCGCTGACTATGCTCAATATTAGCCCTTCGCCGTCACGGGTCTTGGCGCCGGGATCTGAATGTCGGACTTGTCACGCCATTCACTCGAAACATTGCTTCTTCCTGGTCGACGCTCTTCGAGTCTGATCTATTTGCCTCACTATCGGGCGCCATCATGGCATGCATCAATAAGCTAATCGCCGATGTAGAGGCCAGCGCAGCAGCAGGACTAAAGGACCGCGTACATGCACAAAGCTCTGTTTCGCAAGAGGAGGCACGTCATGGATTAGCACAGACCATGGAAGTTGTGAAGGAAGCGCTCGGAAAGGAGCAGAAGGAGATATCACGTTGTCTCGCCCCTCATGTTCAAAAAGAACTGGCGGATGGCTACAATCTCGCCTTCGAAGAGCGAGGCATTGGAAGTGTCGCGCGACAAAAGGTTTGTCACACGCATCACTTCAAAACCTTTTCTGATTGAATGCAGGCTGTGTTCCATGACTACGTTTATGGGCATAAGCAGAATGTTTTCAATGGTGGGGCAGAGGTCCTGATGGGTCGGCTGTCGGCTGCAGCTGAGACTATCGGGAAGGCCCTCAAGGAGTCGCTTCGTGAACTTGCGGAAAAGGTCAGGCCCTTCGGTTTCATCTCGACATGGGCATCGTTTATACTCTATTGTAGATTGAAGTGTCGCTTGCCGTCCTCTGGGAAGGCACGCAAGACGTGCCTGATCAAGTTCGCGCTCGATTGCAAATTATCCAGTCTGTGTCCAAGCTTCTCGATCAGTTAGACATGTGGTCAAAGGCAGCGGAGAAAGCGTCTGCTCCTAATGGATCACCGTTTCATTTTTAGGGGATGTCGTCAGCTTCTCATACAAGGAATTTTAGTGATGGTACATTATCAGCTGTTCTGTAATCTTTGTGCGTGGCATGTCTTGTTGTTCTATTGTACATTCTGCTAGCTACCTTATGATTTGTTGCTTTTATTGTTAGTATAGTGCATGGATCCGAGCAATCAGCGAACAATTGACATTCTAACTATAGACCTCATTGCATATAAAAGTCAGTAATGTACAGAGCATACTTTGAATAACGTAGAGTCAGATGTCACTGGGTCCTGCCCTTTGGCTACATGTCAAAACAGTTACTTGAATTAATAGTGGTGAATCCTCCTTCCATGACTATCCACTTCGTTCCCGTAGTGGTCCACAAAGCCACTGTGTTTCCTCGATCTTCTTTCAACATCTCTCGTACCACCGTAAGAGTTGTGGTGCCCGTACCCCTGGTTTCCGTAGTAAGCGTTCGATGAAGGCTCCCTTCCAAAGAACTGGCGAACACGGTCCCCGATTGAGGGCGCACGACCTCTCTGGTAATCACCGTTGCTTGCATAAGACCGAGAAGGCCGCGAGTGCGAACGGTGTGACGTTGAATGAGAGCGATGATGTCCTGAGCTAGGTTGCTAAAAATAGCGTCATTAGTTATCAGACTGAGACAATGCAATTTAGACTTACGACATATACGGGAGCAGATGTTGCGTATGTAACTGGGTAACCAGTAGTTGTACTGTATCCGTGCCCATGCCCGTGATGACTGTGGCTAGAGGCTCTGGGTCTGCTATCATGATGACTGTGGCTGCTAGCTCTGGGTCTGCTATCATGATGACTGTGCCTGCTATGACTCCTACTGCGGTGGTGTGAGCTAGGCACAGACAGGTATTGAACAGTCTGTGGCGTCTGGGCTACAGAGGGGTATCCATATTGTGGGCTAGATATGTAGGTATGGCCGACACTAGATGCCCGCTTCAAGGGAGTTCCGTAGTTGTAACCCCCATGACCGTGTTGCGAGTGTGAAGAAGTGGTGTAGGCAATGGGCTGATGGGTACTGTAGGGGGAACGGGGAGACGGAAAGGCGTATTGAGACATCGTCTGCTAGTTGTTGGTTAGTAGTCGTGAGTATGAGGGGTGGATAACGATGTGGTGATTTCGTAGTCACTGGTTAGGGTGGGGTGTGGTAGAGAAGATAAAAAGTTGGCGCGATGCGAGGGTAGATAAGGATAAAAGTAAGGGTGGAGATAGAACACGTTCTGATCTTATATAGGAGTAGTTATGACCCGGACTGCCAAACAGTTGCGTCACGCCGGACAGCTGCGAATGCACTGCCCCGTTGGAGTCATGATTGGAGCGCTCCAATTCCGACAAGAGTGTACCAATTCGGACCAAGTTTGCATTGCTATGCTCACGTACGATGGCACATTGTGTATGAGCGCTGCAGAGATGTACGATATCTCATCACCATGGTGTCACCTAAAACAAGTAATGCCGTATATAATCAGCCAAACTTGTTGAGCGCATCAGCACTCACTCCAGGGAAGCAAATGCACAGCCTCATGTCAAGATATACAGGAAGTTGTCGGACTTAAAAAAAGGTGGTCGCATACCAGCAAGAATGTAGGACACGTTTGTGTTATCACGTCAAGCATTCATTGCCGATCAGCGTAGCCCTAGCTCGTGACTCGTAGCCCGTCCCAATCGCACCGCGTGTAAGCGAATGCACTGACCGATGCCACTCATTGTCTGCTGTGCAAGAATTTCTGGGCATCTTCGAAGAAGTACCGCACAGTATTTCTTGGGTTATTCTTGTGTTCGGGTTAATAAGACCAAGTGCGGCTAGCGTGGTGTCAGGCTTGACGATCGAAATTCCACGCCTCTCCAAGTACACAAAACCTTAGAGGTGATGTATGCCAAAAGGTGAAAGTCAGTTCACAAGGAAATGAGTTTCGATGTCACCGTTTAGCACGTGCCAAAAATCCCACCAGAGATAAAGATAGTACTGATTGACGCTATCGAAAAAGGCTAGTGATCAAAAAAGTTTCCTTCGACTGGTACTTAGATAGTCCAATCAGTACGATGCCGTTGTCGGTCAAAGCCGTGGCCGATAATAAAGCGTGATATCACTGTAAGCTTTGGCACTAAGAAAATTACTTTTCTCCAACTTACCCAGTCGAACTCCTAGTGTGGAAATTTGGCAGTTTTGATTACCATGCGAGATCGTTCCAGAAATTCGGAGCGCAGTTGTCTCAAAAATGTCGCGTGTAAACACAGGATGCAATATTTTGGATGACATTATACACTGCTATTCCATATCAGCAAAGTCGCCTTCGTCTAGATCATGTGGCTGACATATTGCTGTTAGTTAGGAGTATGCTGGACAAATGATGTGATCTACCTCTTTCGGCTCCTCGTCTTCACCATATTGCATAGTAAAATCAATATGACTGACGACTGTCTCGAGGGAGTCCGTGGACGTTAGATCCAGCGGCAAGAACGACACTAAAGGATGGTCCTCGATCTACGCGGCAATCAGTCTGGAACAAAGACAAAGCCCCAAGCTGCAACATACTAGCTGTACGATGGCCCGGTTTAGGTCGTGAAATCTGCCGTTGTCGCGTTGCTGATCCCTGCCATCCCTCGCAGCAACCAGGAGCATTGGATCTGGATCGAGATACCGAGCGATGTCGCGTTTTCCACGTTTCCCATTTCTTGGTTCAAACGTGTCTGATGATGATCCGGAGACAAGATCCATTTTAGACATGATGTTTATCCAGGGCACTTCAAGATTGACCATAGCGGACATTGCGGACAGTACACCGCTGGACTAATTTCAAAGATTGAATAAAAGGATACCATGAACTGAGACGAACCTGAAGAATTTATATCGATCTTCCATGAACTGGGATTCCAAGAGATACACAGCACAAGTTCGTATGCCCATTCGCTGCAAGTTCCGCACAAGTTGCGGGAGGAACGGATGATGTGTGTACAGCTCGATTTGACCTAAAGGCAATGAAAATATGCACCTCGACATGCGTAGAATCATACCTGGACAATCGATTATCAGGTAGTCATCATCAAAACCCCCGAGTTCTTCCTCAAGCCAATCCATATTTTCCAACAAGTACCTTCAGACACGGAATGTAGCTATCAGCATGATTTCTTTGAGGGGCTATCACGCGTGATCACTTACTCACTCAAAGCAAAACACAAGACCGCCGTTAGGACCCATGTTCATCTCGCCCATGACGTCGTCTAGCGTCACAAGCTCTCGGATGTCAATGGCAGGTTGATACTCGAAGGCATCGCCAGTTGCAGCGGGATCAAGATTTACGATATGGGCCGTGCGTTTTGAGACACGGAGATGGGTCGCAAAAGCAGTCGAGAAAGTAGACTTGCCTGCACCAGCAGGACCGGTGACTAGAACGGCGTAGCGCATAGCAGAAGAGGTACAAGGAACGATTTCAAACTCAGACCGTCCCTCCTGTCGGAAACCAAGTGACTGCAAGTTCCAGTATTACAGTGACTACACATACAAGGCATGGCACGCCCGCCATTATTCCCAGAACAATCCGCAGCTGGCATAGCCGTCGATCCACGCACGCTTGAACGCGTTATACCAGAATCAAAGAGATCAGATGGAACGTACGTCCGCCTGAGCCCAGCATCTTCAAATCATTTATGATTCGATCTCTACTGCATCACCAGTGTGCGCAAGCAGCTTAAGATTAGACCTGGGTTCACACCCCAGGAGGATGTTTCTCGATTCCGCGGATCACGCCAGCAGGCAATGGATGCCACGGCCCTTCCAAAGGGTCACATACTAGGCTGGGTTGCGCCCACTTCTGCTACATCACCGAAAGGCAAAACCGCTACGCCACCTCCAAATAAGAACGCGAAAAAGCGCGCCAATGCTCGAGCTAAGAAAAACGCGGAGAAGGCAACCATTATTAAAGATAATTGGGATGATGATGAGGAGGAGGAGGGGGAAGATGAAGCAACAACTGATGCGAAAGTAGCCATCGAGAAGTCGAAGGAAGGAAGCTCGAAGACCAGTAGCACAAATGATGCAACAACAGGATCGCACACTGAGGACAAGCCAAACCAGGCCTCCGCACCAGATTCAAACTCAAATCCATCATCAGCAGATCAGAGCGCTGTTGAGCTTTCGGACAAACTTGAGAAGCTACAAGTCAAATGATCATGTTCTTTGATTTGGAATATCTCTAGAGCTACTTGGGGGTACAAGATGTCAGGTTGAAACGAGTGGCAGGTAATACTAGGTGTTACGATTACGGGCATCACAAGGTTAGTATATATATATGTACAGCAATCTATGCGGCTGTTCCTTTCTATACGGTATAGATGAATGTGGATGTAAGATAGCGACTTATCTTATCTGCACGATGCAGTAAAGCCTGCGCCTTGGAGGTATATGCTATGACACCTGAGACACTGCCTCACCATCTGATGGAGGTTGTCTTTCCTTCAGCACAGCCGGCAGCGGCGGCGGGTTCGGTTTTCTGAATAGATATAGTTCCATGCCGATAACAATTGATAGAGCAAAAGCGCCCAGTGCAGCTATACCGTTGCTAAGAATCGCTGATTTGACGCAAACAAATAAGTAAAACGTACCAACGGCTTGACGCATATTATTCCATTTTACCTCTTCCATGTTTGCACGGAGATCACTGAGCGTTATAATCGCCTTATTCAGGACTTCCTATTTCAAAATTACCAATGTGTGCAACGGAGATGATAATCATCCGAACCTCGATTGCAATCGTCTGCTGTTTCAGCTGTGCCTTTGACTCGTTCTTGCGAGTGTCAAGCTCCATTTGTATTCTGATGATCATATAAAAATACAATCATCTGATTCGACCAACCTGACTCACTCATGTTTCAGCGTACCAAGGTCCTCTTTCATCTTGACATCCAGACGATCGACTTCTCGGCGCAGCGCAGCTGTGGCAGAGCGTATTGCCGCGCTTTCATTACGAGATCTCGCGGTTTGCTCTGCGCGAAGCTCAGAAAGCGCTGCACGGAATAAATATGCTTGCTGTTCAGCATCCGAGTCAGTAAGCATAATAATTTTCGGGTGGGTTCGGCCCACATTATCCAAATCTTTGACCGTGAGGCCTTCCCGCCTTACGCGATCTATTCTGTCCACGAGCAAAGCACGCGTGGCCCTCATCAGACTTCGCGCTGAAGGCGTAGGAAAGGACTTCTCGAGCGTGGCTACGAAGGCATGTGTGTGGAATGGAGGGGCTTCATATGACTGTTGATGATCTTGCTGGTAAGCGCGTGCAGGCGGACCTGAAAGGGTCGCAGGAAGAGACAAGACGTCCTCGGGCGGAGGCGAAGATGATGGAGGGGAAGGATTGGGGTCGGAATAACCGTGTCCAGACCTCGGGTCTTTCGGATGAGCAAAGGATATTGAACCTGGGGCAGACGCTGAAATTGACTGTGCCGAATCTACAGTGATGTGTTGCCCGGTAGAGCTATATTGCCGCTGTATTAATATAGTAGTACAGGAAGTTCCATTGATCTCTGGTGTTGAAGGTGGTAGCGACCGGTAGCGGTATATTCGGGGAACAACTCTCAGCATCCTTGCATTTGGTTGACAGAAAGCCGTGGATTTATATAAGTTAGTAATGGGTGTTCAGAACAAAGAGAATGCCGGAGATGTTACTGTCACGTGTCACGCATCACGGCGGGAGAGCTTTCCCGAACGGTCGGTGATTAACTGCTTTCAAGCTTTAAAAGCTGCCAGTGGAACGCCCTGCAGAGGCCTGAAACGTTGAGTTGACTGAGCACGAAGTTTTAGTATACTCATTGTGTACGATTTCAGACTCTATTTGCAAACCCAGCCTCGCCGTCATCCTTCAGTTACAGTGCCACAGCCTTTAGCACGCACAGTACTATCGTTTCACTGGCAGGTCTTCGGTGTACCAGTGTCCAAGTTTCCCTTTTTGCGATTTCATCGCAAAATATTCTAGAGACATCGAACAGATGACATAGAAGAGTCGCGCGCGGCCCTGCAACGCCATCCCCCAACCATCCTGACCGATCCGAATGTCTATCTACTCTTTCTACAGACCTTCAAATCAGGTTCAAGCTGCAGGGCGTTTTGTCTGATATCGATGAGGCCATTGAGTCGCACTGGAGCACCGTTCCTCAATCATTCTGATCAACATACATATTTCTTCAACCTTGCCTACAATTTAAAAGTGACATTAGAACAATCGGGCGTTCTGGGTGGCCTCGATGAAGCCATTGAGCTCTATCGGGCTGCACTGGGATTTTGTCCCCGGTCATTCTGATCGATTTATCTTTCTCAACAATTTTGCCATCTGCTTGATAGCCATATTCAAGGAGACGGGTATCTTGCCTGACCTTGACGCTGGTGACTAGTCTGCCTTGGTTCAGCTGGGGCTCAAATGACACCCAATTCTTCTAGGAGAGCTCGTACGATCTTTGCAAACACCTCATCTTTGGTTCCGAACTTTATGTTTGGTCGGGTCCCCTCGGCGACCAGAAGTCACATCTTCATCTACGACCACTGTGCATCCACAGCTTCAATTCCCATCAAATGGTGGAATTTAAGGCCGGGAATGGAATCAACAAGTTATCTAGGGCGAAACGCCGTCTTTAAGTCTGTTCTTGGAGCCACTTGGACCTGGTTTCCCGTATCTCGAGACGATCACTCGGGAAAAGTTCCTTGTGACAAATATGACCATGGAGGCAAACTAGACGATGCTGCTGTCCTTGGAAGTTACGAGCATGAATGCGATGCCGCATGGACAGTACTGTACTTTTGTCGAAACATCAAGTTAAACAGAATATCGAATCACTTGATTTCGAGTGGTTATTTACATTGGGCTTTGTGTTACTTGAGCATTTCAATCAATGTTGCGTTGAATGACCCATAATGGCTGGAACTAAGCACGATGTTGATGTTAATGAAGATGTTCAATTGAGCGAGGACGACAAAACAGTAAATTTAGTTTCAAGTGCGCAAATACTACTGTACAAGGGGAATCGCGATCGACGGTTTACTTAGAGTGAGAGGGGTTCAAGAGCAGTCTAGGGGACAGCTATTCCAGCTTTCACAGTGTCTCTCGCCAGAAGTCGGTCGAGCCAAGCCTTGAAGCAACCGATTTAGTATATTCCACCACTAAATGATGATAACTCTACCTTCAGGTTTGGGAAAGCATCTAAGGTCTCGACACCTGCATGCTTGTGAGACCTCACCCTGTTTCGCAAATCATTGTCAAAGCAAGATATTCATCTGGATGAAAATACGAACCATGGCATGACATTCACATCAGCAACACTGAGCTTCCCAACCCCTGGACCCACGAGGTAGTCCCGGCCTTGAAGACCAATATCGAGCACACCATAAAGACGAAGGACCTCATCTCCATAGCCTGAGACATGACGTTACAAACCATGATATCCAAATGGGGTTGAAAAAGTACACACGCTTCTTGCCATAAGGCACGTCTTCAGGGGCATAGTGTCGGAAGTGGTGGGCTGTAACATTCGGCTGTTATGCGAGAAAACTATATGAGTGACCACGACTTACCTTGGCCTTGCATAGGACCAACTCCTCCGTGCTAGGTTCGTACGGTTGTGAGCGTACATTTCCCGCTACCTCACCTAGAGAATCTAAGCACGTACAGCAAAGAAGATCCACTGCAACATCTGGCTCTCCTCATCGCTGCCGCTCTCAAACTTGAACTTCCCTTCCTTATCGTACTTCTGTACGAGGTACAACAAGATCGCTGCACTCTCGAAGACGGGGAATCCATTCGGGTTGGCAGCAGTGGGATGGGAGCGGTCAACGAGAACAGGGATGCGTCCATTTGGGTTCATTGCAATGAACCATGGCTCTTTTTGGATATTCGCTGTCAGGTTAATCTTCTCGACACTGTCAAAGTCCATGAATAACGGCTGGAGGGGGACACGGCGGGACACCTACTCGTAGTCGATGTTCCCGTAGGCTGCCTTGAGCTCTTCGAGCATGATAGACACTTTGTGGCCATTGGGGGTAGCTGCAGTGTAGAGAACTAAAGGCTTCGACATATCGAATCGCTTGTTGGGTGGAGTATGATGGAGGGAATGATAACTGTGGAAATAACACAAACTACCTTATACCATTAAATAGTTACCAATCATCATTATGCTCAGCTGGCATGCGCCAGGTCCAAAATTAACCACTTGCGCGATTAGGCTTGCTAAGCACTTGGCTTATGAATCGGTTTTGATGAATTTCTAATGAGCTTAGAAAGACTGGAATGCATAAACAGCATAGCTCGCAGTAGTGAATATCTTCAGATTTTATTCAATCGAAAAGGCAGTGAAGTGCTACAGCGACCTCCAAGTGTGATATTGGCTTCCAGTGGATACACCTGTAACAACATTGTTCGTTGAGAGGGACACAATTTTAGAAAAGAATAGACGCACTCGGAACGAGGTTCTAGTCAATGATTCGGCGAGTATCCGAGTCGCCATCGTGATGGAACTTGGAAGCCATCCGTCACGTCATGATTCTGCGGGAGGTGCAGGAGTTTTCTGCTGTCTCAGTTTCTCAGCATCCATTCCCACTTTGTTGCCTCGAAACCGAGTCCTCATATCCAACTTGTGTGTATCAGAACATGTTCTGAATCATGTGTGTAGCATTCACTCACCATATTGCGTTTGCACTCGAAAGTGGACTTTCTAAGTAGCTGGCATTGCTCCGGTAATTCATTGCTGTGTTGCTTAAGACACTCTGAAGGAAGATTTCCTTGTTTTTGGACGCAGTCGGAATTGAGAAGGCATTCCTTGAGTGCTTTGAGAATAGCATCGCAGGAGGAGGACATGATTAATACAATTAAACAGTGTCCGTTGGCACACCCGAAGTTAATCCCCGCTATAAAGCTAAACCCGACTTGCTGTCGTGCAGCGTCTGAGTGATATGATGAGAGGTCAGGCCAGGCCAGGTTTTGAATGACTCGATTGTTCAGGAGAGCAGGTTGCAATCATGCGTAAACTTCTCATGCTCTCTTGATGCCTATACCACCATCACTCCGTGCGCTTTTAAGAACAATTCCGACACTAGCGCCTGTATCTAATCGTGCAGTCTTATCTGTTTCCGGTTCACAAGCAACTGAGTTCCTCAATGGGCTACTAGCGTGTAGCGTGCAGGGCAAGCAGACATATGGGGCATTCTTACACGCTCAGGTGCGACCCAGCTTCGAGTATCTGGCAGTGTGTAATGTAACCACGCAGTTTGTGGTCGTAGGGACGCGTCCTGTATGACACCTTCCTGTATAACTCTCCATCGCCTTCATCTACTGGACCGACATATCTCATAGAATACGACCCTACTCCATCCGAGGCACCTACCCTCACGAGCCTTCTCAAGCGCTACGTCCTTCGCTCAAAAGTGCGCATCAGGGATGTATCGGAGGAGTGGGATGTTTGGGCCGCATGGGGGTCAGAGTCAAAAGAAACCAGGGAATGGAATTGGGCACGAAGCGGCGCTGTCGAACCAGTCTGGCGGACTAGCGAATGGCCATGGGGAACTGTGAATGGTACTATACTTGATCGACGTGCTCCGGGGATGGGCAAGCGGATGCTCGTTCGTAAAGGCGAAACACGTGAGCTTGTCTTTGGGTTGTTTGTTGCATTGAGCTGGAATTGATATTGTGCAGCTGCCGACGCGTCTACACACGAATTGGTCGGTAATGATGCATATTTGCTCCATCGGATCATGCACGGTGTTCCCGAGGGTAGCATCGATATTCAACCCATGCATGCATTTCCCATCGAATCAAACTTAGACGCGATGGGTGGACGTATGTTCCTTTTTTTGTCATCTGATACTTATACTGACACGCGCAGTGGATTTCCGGAAGGGATGCTATGTCGGTCAAGAGTTGACAGTGCGCACATATCACACGGGCGCAGTTCGGAAACGTATACTCCCAGTTCACATTTCCTCTCTGGTGTCATTACCACCATATACGCCGATTAAACCGTCCCTTCCATCGACTACAGACAGCGCCGCGATTAAAACACCTCGCCTGCGCGGGTCATCTACGCTCCTTTCCACGATAGCTGCTCCGAGTATAGGGTCAAGTGTCGGTTTGGCTTTGGTGCGACTAGAACATTTGCGTCCTGATGTATTATTGGTTGCCGAGGGAAAGGAGGAACAGTCATGGAAGGTAGAGCCTTTGTGGCCAGATTGGTGGCCCGAGCAGCCTCCTGACGAGGTACATGATCTGAACAGCCTAGCATAATTAGGATCATAGATTCGATTCGTTGTATCTTCTCGGACTACACACACCCCTCTCGAAGGATAATAGACGTCAAATCACGTCGACTCTGCGATAACCTGTGCGTAGACATAATCTCCGTCGTGGCTCACTGAAACATGCAATTTATTCGCTGGTCCGACATCATTGCGTACTGGATGGTAAACAAGTGTTGGTTTTACGCCAGTGGTTCTATTGAATGACAAGTATGTCACCTCCTTCCAGGTGGGGCGGATAGGATACAAGGCTTTGTACGCAGCTTCTTTCACCGCCCATCTAACGCCATGACGCGTTACATGAATGTCTGGTAAGATGTAAGATGAGGAAAAAACTCACCGCACACCCAAAAACTGTGCAATTCTTTCGGTCTTACCTTCGCCAAACTGTTCTGAGAGCAACTGAAATGTTCGTAATTCTTGGGAGCTTAAAATTCTCGTAGCAAAAGCGTTGGATCCTCTTCGACTCAATAGATCGATGAGACGAGGAAGGTGGAGAATGTCGACACCGATGCCGAGGATAGGCATGAATGAAAATATCAGGGATATGAAATATGGAAGGTGTGCGGATTTTGGTGAACGTCGAACGAGATACAGACTCGTTTCTTGTGAGCAAACTGTGATGCAGAGCGACGATTACTGGTGGAAGACACTTATGTTTGCCATGCGCATGTGGAGGACATAGATGAATGTGACAGAGTGACTACGATGCCAAACCCAAAAGCTAATTTAGGCGTGACTTGATCTGCCTGACTCGAGCCCGGAGTCGACGATCACTAATAGCCGACTGAACACTACCAGTGAGTGTATAATCATTCTGAAAATCATCAACTAACTCCAGACTCGGAGTCCAGAGTCTGTCACATAACCTGCGATCTGCGGGGATGTCCAAGCCATCCGTCAGCACGGCATATATTTCAGCATCTACCAATCGCTTCAACCATGCCGCAGATGCCTCCATCTCTTCCCTGATTGCCTATGGATCAGGCAAATTAATTACGTTGTGGAACACTCAAGTAAGTATATTGCCATCACTGTCATGACGCGCCTAACATCTCATCGAAGGATCCAGATGGCGGAGGCGTCTTCCAGACGCTGCCTGGGCACAATGGCCTAGTAACCTGCGTTCGTTTTGTGGCGTCTGACGCGTTTGCTAGTGCGGATGACAAGGGGACTGTCCGCCACTGGAGATTGTTTGGGACAGAGGTATGTTAATCTGCCTTGTGTGCAAACATCCCCACAATGTTCGTAGTGGAGGCCTACCGCGATCGTGCAAGCACACCAACAAGCCATCTTTGTACTTCGTGAATTCGATAAATTCTTACTTACTGGAAGTTCGGACTCTTCCATCAAAATCTGGGAGGTGCGACGTGGTGACGTTGATGGTAAATTTCCTATCGATTTGCGCTGTGAATCAGGCTAACTATGATAGATGAGGTGAAGGAGTTCCAAACCATCTCGCTTCAAGGATGGTATCCTTTGTCAATAGCAATCGCATTTCTACCATCGTCTGAAGGTGAGAAACCCAGTAGTTCGATGACGAGGCACTTACCTTGCTGAAGCGATAATACTTGCAATTAGCGGAACCGATCGCAAGGTGCACATCTGGACACGCTCTGATGGACCGGTTTGTTTCACATATTTCAGCTAGGTATCAAGTGCTCACTCCTTTCTTCAAGTTTATTCGTTCAGTCACCTTGTCAGGACATGAAGATTGGATACGTGCGCTGGCGTTCCGAACTCCATCGACGCCAAATGATCCCCTCGTTCTCGCTTCAGGCTCACAGGATGGAACCATCCGACTTTGGAATGTGGAATCCTTCGTTAAGATGCAGGTCCAATCACAGACCCCTGATACAAAACACTCGGAAGACCTCAGTGACGATCTCCTGGACGCATTTGAGGCTTCGTTAGGAGACTTGGGTGCAGATGCAGAGGAGGGCGGCAGACAAATTTCACTTAAACGGCATATTCTTACTGTCAAATCGAATTCCGGGTGCGTTGGATTTTTAGTGAAAATTGTTGGATCGAGTTTATGATGGGCAGGACACAACAGTACTCTATCACATTCGATGCTCTCCTGATCGGCCATGAGGCAGGAATCACATCGCTTTCTTGGTCTCCTTCGAATGCCTCACTGCTTTCTACGTCAACGGACTCCTCTCTCATCGTATGGGCTCCTAGCTCGATCGTCTCGACTGCTTATTCATCATCAACATCTTCTATTTGGATTAATATACAACGCTTCGGTGACGTGGGAGGTCAGCGTCTCGGTGGCTTTACTGGAGGCCTTTGGTCAAATAATGGCGCCGAAGCCATGGCATGGGGTTGGAGTGGAGGCTGGCGACGGTGGCGCCGCATCGCAAGTGATAGCCACGGAGGAACAGCTGGTGAGGAGTGGGAAGAGGTTGGGGCGATCAGCGGACACAATGGTGCAGTAAAGGGCCTCGACTGGAGCCCCAAAGGGGACTATCTGGTATCTGTGGGGTAAGGGGCATTTACTACCAATACTGTATTCTAGATGCTCACTGCGTACCTTTAGGCTGGACCAGACAACGCGCATTCATGGTGCTATTGCAACCTCTGCCTCCGAACAAAGCATTTGGCATGAGCTGTCACGCCCTCAGGTACATGGCTACGACTTAATGGGCGTAGCATGGCTCGGTCCGTGGACTTTTGCAAGCGTTGCCGATGAAAAGGTCGCACGAGTATTTGAAGCTCCACGAAATTTCGTCCAAGAGGTCCGAGTACTTGGTGTAAAGGATCTAGCCCAGAGCGAGGTAAGCACCGCTCTTTGTTATATCTCAGGGCTTCTGAGAAAGCAAAGGGGGATAGACCGGAAACGGCTTGTGTGCCTCCTCTCGGACTCTCGAACAAGGCTGTTAGTGATGGTGTGTCATATATTATGTGTGATATTTGCTGTTTCACAGACCATCTTCTATTTAAGCACCTTCAGAATTAGACAGCAGCAGACCTTGCAGGCGCCCTTTCGAAGGAGAGCTAGCTTCCATTACCCTCTGGCCTGAAATCGAAAAAGTTTTTGGGCATGGGTATGAGGTCAGCCAATTTGTGATTCTTGTGTGAAATGCGATTGATGCAATTACATCGACCTAGTCGATCACAATTTCAGCTTCTAATTCGTTTGACCTTCTTGCGACTGCTTGTCGTGCAACTTCTTCGCAGCATGCTGTTATTCGCGTGTACACCACAGCTGGCTACCAGCCTTTCGGTGTCCCTCTCGAAGGCCATAGCCTGACAGTCACCCGCATAGCATTCAGCCCGCCAAACGATAGATATGTCCTCACCGTAAGTCGGGATCGAACGTGGAGGTTGTTTGAGAAGGAAGAAAAAGGTACTATATGCCTTCATGTGACAAAATGACGACTCACCGTACCCTAGGTTATGTGCCCATCGCTGCGGATAAATCGCATGGAAGAATAATCTGGGATTGTGCATGGAGCTGCGAAGGGGACCTTTTTGCCACCGCATCTCGTGATAAGACCGTAAGTGTTTCTGATTTCGGAGAAAGATTCTTGATCGACCGTCCATCAGGTAAAAATATGGAAGCAACACTCGGACTCTGCTCGATGGGGAGCAATTACGACAATGAAATTTGAGGAAGCAGCAACCGCTGTCGCGTTTTGTTCTGCCGGTGGCGATGCCCCAGAGTAAGTAAAACCCCTCTGTATCTTATGTGGATCACAACTCTCTCCAGACGCTGGCTTGCGGTTGGTTTAGAGACAGGAGAGATCAACATCTATTCAAGCTTGATGTCCACACCGGATCAGTGGACACCAGTGTTGATCATCAACTCAAAGTAAGTCTTTGTCGTGACTTGCAAGAGAGATTCGTTTATGAGTTCAAAGTTTGGCACATGTTGATCAAATCAATCGTTTGGCATGGAGAGCAACTGACAACCCATCAAGGAAGCAGCTGGCGTCCTGCAGCGATGATGGTACACTGAAAGTACTGATTGTCCAGTTTAAAGTAGACTAAAGTACGTTGGTAGACACACTAAACTCCACAATAACAAAATGACATAGAGAATTGACATAAAACACAGTAAGCCGATTCACAAACGTAGTGAAGATAGGAAGGAAAGACTGCTATACAGTGGTCAGTGTCGAGAAAACTGGAAACCAAGTAGTGATGGAAACAGTGTCAGTACGGAAACATCTGAGTTGATATCGCTAAAGGGGTGCCAAATATATGGGTATAAAACAGATTTGTGCCATGGCTGGGCACCTGCCTGGGTACGTGATACGTTAGCAAGTATAAGAACACAACGGAAAGTGATTGAAGCAGGGCCCGAGAAAATAGAGATACATGAACGCCAAGTGCGTGTTTAGATGATATCGCGAAGGCTCAGTGGGACTTCAGGCTGTCGAAAGTAAGTTAGGTTCAGTTTGCGGTGTATGATCTTAACAGGAAAACGCACGCATTTAATTCTGGAATGGAAAAAAATTCGTCAATCGTCAATACTAGGTGTTTTTTTTGAAAAAGTGCATACTTGTAAAAACATTCAATAGATCGAAGCATTTCAACATCACCCCCAGTCGCAGTGACAAAGTTCACTACAACGCCAGCACGTGCATAATTGGAAGCAATGGCTGGAGCAACGCTGTAATAGAATTGAGCGCATGTTTGACGCAGGTAATGGGCTCAACCTACCGATGCGCGTACTCCTCTACAGCTTTAGGAAGGTCTAACAAAAATTTGAGCATCAATTCAGAACAGAGCATGGCTAGTCATTTACCATAGTTGATGATCAGAGGTACGTGAGACACTTCTGGGGTCTTCACCTGCACATCATTCACGACTAACACTTTCGTCACAGGTTCTCTCATCATGACTGAAGCTGAACTTTTGAACTTGTTCAGCGCTGCTAACTTTGTGCCTGCGTTCATGTCACCGTGCTAGAAGAGAACTGCTTGAGCATTGAAAGAGACAGAGAATGTTTCTGGTACTAACAAGAGGCACAGCTTCAAGCCCACGGCTGGCAAGCTTGTGGACAACCGAATCCAAAGAGGTCATGCCTCCGACATGCACGATCGCTTGGCTAACTTCGACGTCATCAAATATATCTGCTAACGCGTCAAGCTTCCACTCGCGAGCTTGAGCGCTTTCAGCACTAGATGCTCCGCGGCCCGAACCAATGATGCCATGTCCCCCGCCCGGTACAGCAGGATTAGTCGTGTCTGTTCGAACACCAGCAGTAAAAGCAAGATAAAGGTAAAATTGCCTAAGACCGCGAGACCCTTGAGCGGACTCAGTGCTAGTCACATTTCCATCACGGCGGACTAGAACGCGCACAGGTTCCTTGAGCTGGATGGCCGTAGCTAGATTGAGCACATCTTGCGGCACAGTGTTGGAAAACAGCGCAGTTTGTCGCTCAATAACGTTCGATGAGCCTGTAGCATGCTCATTCGAAGGGGGCGGAGAAATTGCAGAAAACCTGCGTCCTGCGCCAGAAGTCGACAAGCCAGGGTGGCTGTTTGCATCAAAGGAATTGAATAATTGTTGAGGCGGGGCAGAAGAATTTGGCGTGACATTCCCAACAGGTCGAGACCTTGGCGGAGGAAGAAGCTTCACTATGTTGAAGACAAACTCATGTAAGTTGCGGGCAATCAGCTGATCAACCTCGTCAAGAACGAGGAAGCGGACTTCAGATCCGACAAGACCCCCAGAGGCAGTGAAGAGCGCGTGTAACTTCTGTGGAGTCCCACAAATGATGTGGGGCATGTTTTGCTGCAGAAGGCGTAACTCCTGGCTGAGGTCATTAGGCGAAGTTGATGTGCCCACGCCTAGCGCAGATCTAATGCCAATCGGACCACCAAGGTCACGAATCATACGCTGAGCCTGTGTAGCTTGGTCGACCGTGGTAGATATCATGATGACTAGAGGTCCCCTGGTAAGGGGGCGTCCAGCGGTGTTTATCACAGCTACCTGAATAGCGGGTATCACATATGCCGCAATCCGCTCTTGGGTGGGTGGAGCTTGCGCAATGATGTCTGCACCTCGCAGAAGAAATGGAAGTGCGCGTTGCTGAATCTTGTTAGGAGGGCCGACGCTAGAAACATGAAATTTAACAGGAAAACCGGTTCCGATGGATTGTTACTAACCCGAATTTGCTGAGAGAACGAAGTAAATCTGGGGCAAGGTTCAACTGTTCCCACTTGGAAACCATAGGACCGTTGTCACGACCTGAGCTACCAGATAATTCATTGCCCTGTGCATCAATCATCTAGCAATTAAGCAGTTCGTCAGTTTTGTGCCGCTAAGGAGATCGAACCACGCACGCCTACAGATTCGCGCCGTATTAGGCCCCCAGTCACAGAACGACGTTTATCCCGAGGGGGTTCAAGTCGCCCCAAATTGCTGTGAGTCTCGGTCCGCATGGGAAGATCTAGCGTTCCCGCAGACCAAGTGCGCATTGGGGGATTGGCTGTGCGTGTTGATGGTCGCATATCTGGTCTGTTCGGTATACCATGACCAAGGGCAGTAGGGTTAGACCCCATGCCATGGGGAAAGGCTTGGTTCGAGGCCATGTCCTGCATCTGTGGGGTAGATCGTCCCATCTGGGCAGGAAGAAGGCCTGAGGTAGCATTCTGAATATGCTGCTGTGTTTGAAGAGCCAGCAATTGCCCAACAGATGTGGTCAATGTATTCAGGCGTTGAGAGATTTGTGTGATATCATCCGCAGGAGGAGATTGATTTGGTGCAATGTTTGCACTAAATGAAGCCCGCGGGATATTGACCGCAGGTGTCGACATGCCAGAAGCAGGTGCGAAAGGGTCTTTGAATTCAGGCTGAGCGTTGTTGAAAGAGGTGCCACTGCTAAGGGTCCTCTCAATGAGGATGTTGACTTTGCGATGTATGTCACTGATGTCACGCTGGATTTCGCGTGTGTTATACTCGCAACGCTGAAGCCGGTCTAATAGGTCACGTATTATCGGAGAAGCTTTGAGTTGTGCCTCCAGATTATGATGAAAATCGGTACTGGAGGCAAGCTGACTGCCGGAGTCCAAAGATGAAACCGGAGATGATGAGGGGAATGGTCCACTGATATTGAATGATGAAGAACGTAACGAGTTGTTCATGATGTTGACTGGAGGTGTTACATTGCGATTCCGGGATTGTTGCACAAGAGCCGAGATAAATGGAGACGAATCGCCCGGGGTGTGCATGCCTTCGTCATGGGTATTTGGATTGGGGGTATCATCTGCTTCTGGCAGGGATTCTAAGCTGCCAACCTTACTCATGTCTCGTGCACGAAACCTCTCAGACTCAACCTGATGGAGATATGGAGGCCTATCCCCGTGTGGGGGCAACAGCTGGAAGCGGGCGTCTGGGAGACTGTCGGGCGCTCCAGTATGTTCCAGTAGTCGGGGTGGACTTGGGGACGACTTCAAAGACCTGCGATCAGCGGAACAGGCTGATTGAGAGGACACAGACGTTCCATCTTGCTCCCGAAGTGTGGGAACCCCAAATACGAAGCCAGTGGCCCCATCCTCTTCATTATTTCGCATATTGCCAGGGAAGAAGGGCGTCGAAGTCGGATTCAGAGTTGCGCCTCTCGCCATGGCAGTGACTAGCTCCAACGAACGGTGAACAAACGAAGGGCAGCACTTAGAGTGTAATAAGGCTTTCAGTTTGGCACTAGAAGCATTAAGTTCAAGTTGATCTCACCTTAGGATCTGAAGAAATGACTTGTCAAACCGATTCCATACAGGCAGTATAAATGAGAATGCCAAGAAAAAATACCTGCGACTGGCCTGTTGACACAGTGACAGGTACTCGAATGAAGCAACAAATGTTTCCAGAGGCGTTGCCAAAGGTCCAAAGCTTTATAAAGCTCACAAATTTAAATCCGGCCGAAGGCGTGGTAAATGAAGCTTAAGCTCGTTCATTCACCAGTACTATGCGATGTAACAATGCTTCCAGAAGCCTTACAGTTCGCTAACCATAGTACACGTGTATGTTGGGCATACGGCATAGGTACATAGAGTCACAGACAACGTGAAAGAAACAAAGAATGGTGACAATATTGAAACAAAGAGTCAAAAGAGGGGCAAAGGGAAAGAAAAACCAAAGATCTTCCCGCGCGGGTGTTTATCTCCGCGAGTTTCTAATAAAATGGTCGGTTGGAGATTCAGAGCCCTAGATCAACAACGGTCGACTCAGAAGTGAAATCATAAGTCAACAGTTGTCATACCTCATTGCGCTTTGTCGAGTACGCCTCGCATCAGTAAAGCCGTTGCGAGCTCTGTATTCTTCAAGACGCTGCTGCACCTTTTCTATCACTTCTGGAAGATCAGCGGGGCTACGAGTGACCTAAATTACGGTTTTGAGTTGCATTCTGATGAGGGTTCAAGTGACATACCACAAGTTCCGTGGATTCATCACCTATTCGAAGACGAGACCCATTGAGATTCAAAGCTTTTATGGCAGCCGAGTCATCGATAAATTTGATCACGGCATACTGCCTAACAGAATGTTGAGCGATATAGGCTGGATCCGGGCGACCAGTCGTCATTGCCAGACCACCGCTGCAACGAATCTCAACAGAGAGAATTTCGCCACAGTGACTGAAGTACTCTTCAATAGTGTCTTCGTCGACTGTTTTAGCAAGCTTGCATCGAAGTCAGATTTCATATCGTATTGGTTTTTACGGTGTCTTACATTGCCAACAAACACATGCACAGGATCACGTCGTCGTTGTTTTACATGCCTCTTGATGGCATTGGAAACACGTTGGTTCTTTTTCTGACCTCGAGCAGGATTGGTACGCGTCGGTTTGGCGTCATTTTTGCGTGAGCTCGTGACCTTTTTTGACTATGGCAGGAACTTTAGTGACATAGTTATGAGAGGGGATCACGTAGGTCACTAACCTTGGGCACAGATTTGGCTTCTTGGCTTTGAGTAGTAGAGTCAACAGAACTTATGCTATGGCAGTGGTAAACCATGATGATGATGATAAGTTATTCGTGAATGGGACTTGAAGTTTGTGAGTTGAGCTGGCAACTGAGCAGCCTTTTAAGATATCGAGCAATGGAAGAGGGTCTGAACAAATTAATTTCCACAGCATTATAGACGGGAGCTTGTGTCAGTGGCTTGAATCAACAATGAGATCAGCGGAGAACTTAGCCTGGTTGTGGGTGATGAATTGATAGTGGATTTATTGATCGTCCATAAAAGGAAGTCAAATTTGATGTCCTGACTAATGAACGCTTGAGGTGAACGTTTGCTTGGACCCAATGGTTGCACATCATGCACACGTCTATCGAAAGGTAGTCCGAGAGATAGCCAAAGCGGTACATCACCGGTTTTTATCATTTGCGTTGCTTGTATTAACTTTCAGCGACGCTTAGACTGTTAAACCTCGGTTAGCTCGAAACAAAGACATTGCTTCAAACTTCCGAGCCCTGTTCGCACAGAGTGGACAGCCCGAGGATGCGCAGCATTTTCAACACGATATGCACAATGCCTTGACTTTCCTGCGATCCCAGCGAGAATATAAGGCGAGCATTCTGGTTTCACGCAACTAGTATTACACATCAACTGACTCGTGTTAGGCTTTATTGGAGAGATACAACCCATTAATCGACTTAACAGCGGAGGAACGGATAGAAGCAACCGCACGACGAGTTGGACTGAACATGCCCAAGACCCATGTGTCTGGTTCCCAGGACACGTAGCAACACTGGAGTTACCAGATGCCAATGATTTAAGTGTAGCCGGTCAATTTCTGTTTACCAAGAGCAGTGACTCGACAAAAGGGTTGTCGGGCGTGGTGTATCATGATGCTCGAGGATGCCAGGTCATGTTAGATATCTACTATGGCACGCCGTAGGACTACATAAAAGTTATACTTAATACTATCGATTTGCTTACCCGATCGGATTCCGGACTTATCGTGCAACCGTATTCTGGCCCCGCCGGGTATCGACAATACTACTCATGAATGTTTTGAAAAGGTACCTCAAGTTCTCATTGAAAAGGTCCTCGAAACTGCAAGGCACCCGGGCCATGGCGGCTGTGACACAGGTGCTCGCATGCGATTCGACATCCATCGTCTTTTCTTTAGACGACCAGGTAGCGATCAGTTCACCTGAAACCCTCACAGCCTTGCATACCGCAGCATCCTGCCTCAAAGATCTCTTGCCAGTCGCTTTCCCCACAGAAACTGTTTATGGGCTCGGTGCTATCGCTCTAAATGCGACCGCAGCCCTTAAGATATTTTCCACCAAAGGCCGACCAGCTGACAACCCTCTAATCGTACATGTGTCCTCGCGGCGTATGCTACAGACTTTGCTTCCACAAAATTACACGCTCTCGCGTTCTTACGAGTTGCTCATAGAGCATTTTTGGCCCGGACCCCTCACGCTGCTTTTCCCCTGCGATCATAGCCTGATACCCGATATCATTACTGCTGGCCAACCAACTGTCGCAATCAGAATGCCATCACATCCAGTAGCACGAGCACTCATTGCTGTTACCGATGCACCACTCGCAGCTCCAAGCGCCAACTCCTCCGGGAAACCTAGTCCCACCCATGCAGAGCACGTGTTGAATGACTTGAATGGCAAAGTTACAATCATTCTTGACGGTGGCCCATGTGAAGTTGGTTTAGAAAGTACGGTGGTAGATGGTCTACATGAGGATGGAAATATCCGCATCCTGCGACCTGGCGGAATCACGGTGGAAGACATCAAACGAGTGCTCGTCAATGGCTTCTCGGATACCGATACACCAATACCCCAGATCCTCGTTCATCGTCGTGATTTTCATGACGACACATTGGAACAGGCACCTACTACACCTGGCATGAAATATCGTCATTATTCTCCCTCAGTGCCAGTGACGCTAATGCGCATGTCCGATGCTCCCCTTGGAATAGAACCTCTTAGCCCCTCCGCCTTTCTGGAGGTTCTCAAGCGTTCAGTGTCACATTCTCCTGACGTTCTCCGCGTCGGGTTATTGATGCCTTCGGATTCTATTTTGATGAAATATCTTATCAGCGATACAACCATCCAGTGGCATGAATTTCCCCTTGGGCTCGTTTCGGAGCCAGCAATTATTGCAAGGCGGCTATTTGATGGACTTTTGACGTTAGAAAGGGAAAGAGTAGACTTGATCTTAGTGGAGGAGGTTCCAGAAGAAAATGAAGGCCTAGCAATCATGAATCGGGTCAAGAAAGCAGCTGGGAGCTCGCAATGGATTGTTTTTCCCTAGAAATTGCGCGTGAGTGTTACTATCTCTGTCATCCACCTTTTACTTACAGCCTGCTGCAGGAATTTGGCTGCGTTTACATTGTTTATAATTTTAATAAAACTAGATAAACAATTATAAGGCTAGGCAGTATGTTTAATTCTCTATCAGTTGACATCCCAGGCATGACTTATGACCTTGTCTCAATTGACATGCATTATGCGATAACGCCGACGAGATTTGGTTGGTAAGCCTGTACCTGGAACTCAAATTAATCACATTGACAGACACGGTACACAGAAACGGATTTTGTCTCCGAATAAACCTTATGCATAGTGTTCAGAGTCATCGTCAATCTTGCACATGATGATGTCCGCGGGAGGAGATCAGATACACATACTGCGGTATTTCTGGTCCTATGTGTCAGGCGGCGTCATTCCCCGCAGAGCGGCACCTATGTTCCATTGTTGCTCGCACGCCACTCTTATCTTGCCACGTTGCTGTAGCTTCCTGCCTCGTGCCATACCTCGTCTACACGAGGACTTTAAGTTTTCGGTGAGCCAGATTGTGTTGCTCATTTAAAATGACCAGGCTCAAAGTAAGATTTTTGCTATCTTGTACACGATAGATGTAATCATACCATATGCTAATCAAAATGCAACTCTTACCTTTGTGAGTTAATCCTCACAATTCACGCGTGGGACGTCCTTCAGGAGTTTCATTATACAGAGTTTTGCTGAAGGAGTATGATTCCGAAGACACGGCTCGCCGGGCAACGTGCTCTGCAACGTGCTCTCGCGCACTTCCGAAGTTGCTCTGTGTGGATCACGTGATATCTAGCCTCGCTTTCAGACTGATCCAAGCCGATGTTGTCTCCCTTTGTACCTCATGTGCTGCCCTTCAGGTGAGCTCATGAAGCCTGATAGATATCCATGTAGTCGGACTATCTCCAGCTCCCTTTATGGCGCTGAGCGCGCGCATATAAGAGTGGTCACAATTTTTGACCTCAGTGTTCGTTACTCTCAACTGGCGTTGAGATATCTTTTTCAGTCCAAAGGCAAGATTTTTTTAATAGAATGGATTACGAAGGTCAGTCTTCCCTCGGTGGTCGCCAGGCCGGGCCTAGCTGACTTTGCTTTACCAGTTTCTAATAGCAGGCACATGATCAACCCTTATACCGGCCATCTAGGACCTGGTCTTTTGAATTATCCACAACACTTCGCGTTTTCCCAGTCCCCCGCTTTTAGTGATGTTTCCATTCCTTTGGATGATTTGTGTCGTTCCCAATCAGCACCTCCGTGCCTGGCGCAAGGAGATAATCTTTTCAACTCCCCCCTTTCCATCCCTCAGTTATTTTCTAATTGCGACGTATTCTCATTGGCTTCTTCGACACACAGTGGCGTCCATTCTTCATCAAAGGAACATATTCCTCGCCCACCGAACGCATTCATGCTCTACCGTTCACATATGCTCAAGACCCGGGGTAATGCTGACCCTGAGAAGCGTCAGCAGAATCTCAGCCGCATAGCAGGGCAGCTTTGGAGAGCTATGAGCAAAGAAGACAGAGCCGTGTGGCATACGAAGGCAGCGGAAGTCCAAGCTGCTCATTATGCGAAGTATCCTGGCTACAAATTCAAGCCCAACCGCAAGAGTGCTAAGTCGGCCAAGAATTTTCAAAACGGCGCTTACTACCCGAAGCCTACTGAACAGCTCTGTGCGGAGTCATCCATAGGCCCAGTGAGACGCGTTCGTTCGTCCAGGGTCCACCCTCAGGGCGTTACGCGTGATGATCTCCTCGGTGCGTTAAAAAAGCAGTTTCCATCAGCTTTCTCGTCCCCTGCTGGGCTCTCCCCTCTGCATTTTCCACCTATCCTTCCAAACTTTGTTGTACCAGAGAGAACGCATGGTAGCGAACAGCCGAACGCCACGCTGTCCCTTCCTCAGTCTCAGTGCACGAATGCGCTTGGTTTGGAATTGAGCTCATCACAGCCTACTACGCCAAGATCAGGACTCGCTGAAATGCTCTCTGGTTTAGATCTTGACGCCGTACGTTCCGATAGCCCTTCTATGTTTTCTTCATCTGATCTTTATTTCGACGATTAGACGCCAACTGCAACAACTTTCGAACGGAACCGTGACATACCCCAGCCCGATGTTTCTATGTCCCAAGATGACGTATTTCTTGGAATGGAGCAACTGCGTCTTCCACACAATTCAATGGATTATGACGTTAACCGTCTGTCTCCACTACTTCATGGATCGATGGATGGATATCAGCCGTCAGGCCAATCCTTTTCGTGCTCGGACGCTTTCAGTGGGGCTCCATCGTACACCTCTGATTCAATGTTGTCTGACTTTAGGTGTGCTCTCTCAATGCCACTCGATCATGAAAGTGAAGAATGGAACAACAACTCGTGGATGCTTGACATGGATAAGAATTTAAATATTTAGAACGTTTGCAAGTACACATATAATCATGACCGTCACGTCCCTTCTTTGTAGCTCAACCTCAATAGCTGTATTTTGTAGCATGATACCAACGTTCGATATATGTATCAATAGAACTTTCTCTCGATTCTGACGCTCTAGCATGGATCTTGACTCGTCATGATTGTCGTTTGTTTCACTGTCAGTATGGCAATGACAGAAGCATCCATCCCTACTTTCCGTTTCGTTCACGTTATTGCTCCCGTCCTTGAGGTTGGTGGCACTGACTCGCAAGTGCTGGGTATGCACACCCACGTGAGGTGTCGATTGTTGTCACTCCACTCCAAGTTTTGTCTGCCCCAACTATGAGAACAAACGCAGATTGGCCTGTGGTATTATAATTATTGTGCCCTGTAACTTAGCTTCTGTTTGTGAGAGTTGCAAAAATCTGGAGTTTGCCGCTGTATTTACAACGATGTTCATCTTGGCTAATTAGCACGTGACCATCTCATTCTTGAGTCTAGGCAATTGGGCGTTGACTTGGGTAGTACTAGTGGAAAACTACAAAGCGGTGCCAGCTGCTACCAGACTTGCTTATCCTCCAAAAAATAATCAGCTGCTCATAATGCACCCTACAGGATCATTTGCTGATATGGGTGTGGTGCCTGCCCTCGATGCTGCTCTTGCTCGTATGTCTATACGAGCTCCAACAGAAATCCAAGCTGCTTGTATCCCTCCCCTTCTTGAAGGTTTGTCTTAAAACAATTAGCATAGACGTTAAAATGGTTAATCTGCTTCTAGGGAGAGATTGTATAGGAAACGCAAAGACAGGCTCTGGGAAGACCATAGCATTTGCAATCCCAATCTTGCAGAAGTTATCTGAGGATCCATATGGGATATTCGCGCTAGTACTGACGCCTACCAGGTTCGCTTACTCGTTTCTTCATATTTCTTCACGTTATGACATCCTATTAGGGAACTGGCATTTCAGATATCTGAACAATTTGCGGTGCTTGGTGCTGCAATAGGCGTCCGAACAGCTGTCGTTGTCGGTGGCATGGATATGATGACACAAGCTTTAGAGCTGGGCGGCCTTCCACATGTTGTAGTAGCCACACCTGGGCGTATCGTTGACCACTTGCGGAGTAGTAACGGCGAATGGAATTTGTCTCGTGTCAAGTTCCTTGTCAGTGAATCTTTAATGCGAATTTCTGCTGGCACTCATGTCAAACTCAATCAGGTATTAGATGAAGCAGATCGTCTTCTTTCATCGACGTTTTCCCCCGAACTCAAAGTTTTATTCGAGACTCTCCCGAGCGATCGTCAAACTTGTCTTTTTACTGCTACCCTGACACAAGCAATTGAGTCCTTGATTGAAGCCCCGCCGAGATCTGGAAAGGTGAAACCATTTGTGCATAGATCGTTATCAACGTAAGATGTACATCGTGTTCGACGCCAGGACGTGATTCTGATACGTTTTCAATACAGGGTTGAGACAGTCACGACGCTAAAGCAATATTACATCCTGGTTCCTTCGCACGTGCGCGAGGCGCATCTTTACCATCTACTCTGTAACCCTCCTGAGAGCATCGCATCACTCCGGAGGGTAACCCCAGAGCCAATTAAACCGGGAAAATCCAGAAGAAATTTAAAACCCCGAGGAAAAACCAGAACATCGCAAACACCCGGTCTGGATGGGGAGGGTATACCCATACAACCACCACCTACCATCATTTTCTGCACGAAGCCTCGGACAGCAGCTTATCTCACACATCTACTTCAAACTTTGTCTATTCGCAGCACCGCGCTACATTCAAGATTGACACAACGGGAACGGTTGACGTCATTGTCACTTTTTAGGTCCTCTTTCATCCCAGTTCTTGTATCGACAGATGTTGGTGCCCGTGGTTTGGATATTGAGGACGTGGCAATGGTAATCAACTGGGACCTACCGAATGAGCCCGAAGAATACACTCATCGGGTCGGTAGAACTGCGCGTGCTGGTAAAGGCGGTGTTGCTGTCAGTTTTGTGACCGAAAAGGATGAGGAGCGGGTGTCACGGATAGAAGGACGTATTGGTATGTTGTTCGACTCTTAGTTGGCAGTGATAGAGCTGGCTCACGACTCCATCAGGCATGCAATTGGAGGCTATGACCATGCCAGAAGATATGGTTTTGGAAAAATTGAATACCGTATCGACAGCGAAAAGGCTAGCAAATATGGTGAGGATGTCAAAGACAAGACAGCACACTTGCCGTTTCTCACGCAAGCCTCTAGGAATTACATGATTCAAACTTCGGCCGACGAGAAGAAATACATAAACTGAAGTCTAGGAGAAAAGCGGAGGCATGATTAGTTGATCGGCGCGTAGGCGGGTCAAAGTTTGGGAGTCTGGAGCTTCTAAATAGGAGGGACTGATTATGATTTTCCGTACCAAGCGGCTCGAATACTGCGGAATAGGTTCAAGTTGAGCGCGAGCCGCGATGTGATTAGAGTTTGTGTCCGAGTCCGAACGGGACTGGGTGGTCTGGGAATTCCCGAGTGCTTTAAATCAGGCCCAGGTCCCCGCTCACTTTCAGCATGAACCAAATGAAAAGGAAAACACTCGTTCCTCCAAGGGCAGACTTCTGGTGAAAGTTTCCTCTAGACTCGAGTTATGCAGTGACTGAAAGTGAGGGATCCAGTGAGTTTGAAGTGAATCGGGCGGGGAAGTTCCGAAGGCCTGGCCCTCAAGAAATGAACAACGGGCGATGATCGTTCTACGGAAGACTTCCGGATAAATAATCAAACTCAGCGAAATCTGCAAAATTGGTTTATCATCGCTCCCCCCTTTCGCTTTTATACATCATATGCACTCTCCACTATAGCCCGCGTGCTGTACTAATAACCTCCCTCAAGAGTCAACAGCCTTATATTTCATCGACAACCTTTATTACTATTCTAATCACCCATCAAGCCAGTATCATGGCGGAGAATACAGACTGGGACTTCCTCTTGCAGTTCGTCTCAGAGCCTTTGGAGATGGAATTTTCTCATGTTCCTGAAAGGCCAGTCGCAGAACGTACTCGTTCTGTGGTACCTGTGCAGGCACCAACACCCCCCGTACGTGTTTTAGACTAGAACGATGATCTCAGTCATATAATATTGACCATGACTTTCAAAGGACTCCTTCACCTCCTCACCAGTTGAACCGCCAGCAGACTCCGAGGAAGACGCCCTTGTTTCTGTGTCCACAACATTCTTTCCCGGTGCACACATTTACTCACACCCACCAGATGTCGTGCTGCTGTCATCCGACTCTATATTCTTTTATGTCCACACCCGCGCGCTGCTCCGAGTTTCTGGAAATAACTTTGGCGGTTTGCTACCACTGTCGTCTAAACCGACCGACGGCCAGCTAGGTCCAGTCTTGGTAGTCCCGGAATCTTCTACCATTCTCAATATCGTACTTCACGCCGTGTACGACATGGCATGTTCCCACTATTCTCCTTCATTCGAGTCCCTTGCAGCAGCATTGTCAACCCTAACAGATTATGGCGTTTCTCTCAAGCGCCACGTTGGCCCTTCTTCTGCCCTGCACTCTCTGCTTCTCTCCTATGCACCTCTTTACCCCCTGGAACTCTATACATTGGCTGCTTCACACGACCTCTATGACCTCGCTGTCTCAACTTCATCTCATTTACTCTCCTTCTCCCTTGCATCCTTGACAGATGAGATGGCGGACAAAATCGGCCCAATATATTTGAAACGATTATTTTTTCTCCACTTTGGCCGCGCAGATGCTTTAAAACGTCTTCTCCTACCACCACCTCATCCGCATGCCACCACTCATGACTGCGACTTCACCGAGCAAAAGAGGCTCACAAGAGCGTGGGCTCTCGCATCTGCATATCTCGCTTGGGATGCCAGGCCAGGTATGTTTCATACGTGATCAGCAACGCTGTTCTAACTCTAGTTAAATCCAGACTTGTCCACGAACGCAATTGAGTCTGCATTGGGACCTCTAGGTGATCAGCTGACATGCGGGCTCTGTCGAAAAGCACTTCGTGACCGGCTGAAGACGTTGATTATACAATGGTCGGCAGTCAAGGTACGCTCACCATTCTAGGCCTTCGCACTTTCCGCTTATGTTGGAACTGCAGAGGACTATCTAGCTTGCAAAACAACATAATTCGGAAGAGATGTCTCACACCCAGACGAACATACCTCAGGAAAAACGCGTGGACTTCTCTGGTTCTCATTCTTTCAATCGACTGTATCACTCATCCCTTTCATTTTTTCACTGCATTCATTGTGTAACACTACTCACTTTCTGTAACATTAGTTGGAATTGTTCACTTCGGTGAAGCCTTATACACGACCTGTACTCGTTAGCAACTACTATACCTATACTAGTATCCTAGTCTGTTAACGCTTACGACTTCACCAGTTTGTCCTGTCCACACACGCATAGCATATGACCGATAGTAATAGCATCATGATTACGAACTTGGTGACAGATTGGCGTCAAGGCAGTGGGATAGGTATACAACCCTTGTACAAGTGAAAGGTCAAACACAGGATTCGGTTATCGGGCGTTGTCTTCGGCAAGGATGGCGTCATTTAGCTCATCCAGGGGTGCCAACTCTTTCTTATCCACAAGATCAAACTAGCAAGTTTATATTAAGTGATCATGCAGTTGTGGAGATGATGGTTGACGCACCTCGTTTATGAATAGAAAGAAATGCCGGTAACTAGTGTTCAGATGAGCTACAGAATTTGGTCAAGCTGCCATAAATCGAAGCCGGAAGCAAAATGATAAGATACCTTCGATGCCAAGCGCACAAATCTGGTCAAAGTGGTTGCTGTATATATGCGCGTATACGCGAAACAATCGTCGTACGATGGTGCGCACTGTATCGCGAAAATTTCGGGGGAATGGTGCGCCTAAGTTTCGTCAACTACCACCGTGGAGTGAATGAATCGTGTGGCACACACCAATCTTATTAGGGAATACGGTTTCATCATCGAGAATATTCTGAGCCCAGTTCATCAATGCGTCTACATATTCGGGAGCGGGCAGCTTCGTGGGTCTCTTATATTTAACACCATCTTCCCAGAGGTACTCGTAGCTACCGAATTACAGTAAGTTTAAAAGTTATATACATGTTACGGGCAGAGGCTCACCGCGGACCAGCGGACATTATGGGACACTATAGCCAGCGTTTCAGATCAAGCGGCAAGTAATCAGCAACGCCATACCTCCTGTGGCGTGCAAAATTCGGTAACCGTACCGTACAACATATTCAAGTGGTTGAAGAAATCAACAGCTAATCATGTGAGCACGATGACGCGTCGTAGACAAATGTAGATGGTCCGCACCATGGACAGCAAGCCATTCATTCGTATCTTCGCCTTCGGGCAACCGGACAGCCAACCTCAAGTTGCCAGAACCCTGGATTGAAAGTTCGACGTCATCCTGGTATTAGTACAGATCAGTGTACTTTACCAAGGTTGCCTCTGCATACTTTCGCAGTTGATATTGTTTGGTGCCTTCCGGGACGTCCCTTCGAGGTTTGAACGTGCGGGTCTTGCCACTGGATAAGCCGACGCGTTAGTTCATGGTCTTGCTGTTGGAAGGACTACTGACAGTCCGAAGAATGAAGACATGTCGCCGATGACTGAGATCTACGATATCACGCTGTCTAACCCCGAGTGTCAAAGGTGCCGAAGATGCCTGTGGTTCGCCGCTTGAAAGTGAGTGGTAGTCCTTACGTAATTTATTATCTTATCTTATCAAAAGCCTCGGCTGTGCCTCGTGCTCCCAGGTGCTCGTTATGCCAGAAGCTTGCGCGTCCCGCTGATGTAGGATGAGGCCTTGAGGTCCCTAAGAATTCAATTTTCAATTCACGCAAAGATAATCTTGCTCCTCTCAGGAATAGGAGGGGCGCCGCTTGACTCGGAACTGGAGCCCCGGGGAACGAAAACTTTAGATATATAAAGGTGATAACGGCCGTGAAATCACACATCCATCCATCTCACTGAACGTCATGACAAAACGCATCCTCTTTGTTTTCACATCTGCAAACAAAACGTTGACAGGTGCCAGCACGGTCAGCAGAGCCCTGCACTTGTTTTTTACATCGCCCCCTAACCACATTTGATAAGGGATGGTACCTTCCTGAAGCTGCTCATCCTTACTACATCCTCGCGCCTTATTTCACTATCGATTTTGCCTCGCCTGCGGGTCCTAATCCGCCCGTGGATGAAAGAAGCGTCCAGGTGGGTGCTCAGTTCAAAATCAGGTCATTGATGAGTGGTTGCTAAAATATTACCCTCAGGCATTCCCGGACGACATAGGCAAATTCCTTGAAAGCCCCGAGGTCCAGAAGAAGCTCTCGACAGCTAAAAGGCTCTCCGAGGTTAACCCCGATGATTATGATGCGATTTTCTATGTAGGAGGTCATGGTCCCGTCTTGGATCTGGCAGTGGATCCCGTCAATATCCAGCTTGCATCCAAAGTACGTCTGCTAATTTTCCTTGTATGATGTGCCAGTAACGATTGTCTGATCCTATAGTTCTACCGTGCTGGAAAATTGGTCACCGCTGTTTGCCACGGACCAGCGTCAGCTATAGCATAATAAGTTCTATCACGAATGCTACTGACACTTTATTGTAGTGCCCTTGTTGGCGCGACTGACGAGTCTGGCAAATCCATCTTTGCTGGTAAACCTTTCACTGGTTTCTCAAATGTTGAAGAAGAGCAAGTCGACAAAGTGAAGGTGAGTATCACAACCTGTGTTTGGCACTTTTGCAGACGTGTTTTGGATACAGGATATACCGTTCTTGTTGGAGGACAAAATCACCAGTCTCGGGGGCAAATACGAGAAAGCAGCAGAGCCTTGGGCAGTCAGTATCATGCTTGACTTTGACCGTATGTTGACTCATCCACTTCTATTCCAGCCCAAGGTCGTCGTTGCTGGTAACTTGATCACAGGGCAAAACCCGGCTTCAGCTCATCCGATTGGAGAAGCCATTCTCCAAGCCTTGCAGAAATAAGTGGAAGCACAATCGTCCTAAAAACGGTCTCTTAAACGATCACTTGTACCTTGCAGTATGAACACGAGAATATTAAAAATTAGTACAAATTTTCGCGGGTACGACCTACAACTATATTAAATATAGGCTACAGACATCTTCCAGCCCTTTTTTAGTGTGAAGCCATCCAGGGCCTCTTTTGCAGTCGATGCAAGTTCGGGGGAGTCGAAGAAAACTTGCGCCATTTTTACACTTGCACCAGCAGCATTTGGAGTTGGTGACTGAACGACATGCGTTGACTGAAAACCCTTGTACCTATTTGCAATATTCGTGAATGACTTGTATGAAAAAAAGGAACGAGTACCCACTGTTGAAATAGCACAGAGAGTACACTGTCTGTGACCTCTTGAGGAAGATTAGTGCAAAACAGTCTTGCGGATGGATGCTGTGTAGGCGGGGGAATGGTGGCTATGGGAAGAATGACGATTGAAATCATGTGAACATTAACATTATTCATGCCATGACGTACCTAGAGGTTTGAGTTGTGGAGCAGGTTCCTCATCTTCATCAATCTCCATTTCTTCACCATCGCTATCATCCTCTGACTTCTCGCGTTTGGGTTTTGGTTGCCCATCTGCCATATCCTCATCGCGCCGACGCTTATCAGTAGTTGAGACAGTGACCTTTGAAAGCATAGCGAGATCCAGGTTTGCATGAACAGATGTTGGAGCGATAAAATTGGGATCTTCCCTTCGCGAAGTAGCGTATGATTTCGATTTCGCGTAGGTGATGCGCTGCACAAGTGAATTTGGTTTAATTTTCTCATAGAAATCCAAGTTTGAGGTTACCATTGGCTTGTCATAAAACACCATACCCTCGCAGGCTCTCATGGCGGTAGTCGCGGATGCCAAATCTGTGAACACGAGGAATGCCTGACCCCTCATCTTTGGACCTTTTGAGGCGATGACATCAATAACCTTGCCGAATGTGGTGAAAAGGGCGTATAGTTGAGTGCGCATTTCATCCTTGTTGATTTTGTCATTGAGATTGTTGATGTAGAGAGTAGGAATTGGTTGAGTAGACATGATTATACTGCAAGTCTAACTTCGCGTTCATTGAGGTTGATTAGTTGTTATCTCAAAAAGGTATTGTATTCTCACGAGTTGAGGTAACGGATTTACTTCCTTGATATATTAGACCTCATTTCAAGTTTGATTTCAGTTCTGAAGTCTTTCAGGTCTCTGCTAACACGGTCGAGGATCATCTTCCAGTTTCGCAAGAGCTTTTACTAGTTTGTAGTCGCGTTTTGCGCTGTCAAACGTAAGACTTAGCAAACAGGCACAAAACGCACCATCGCACGTTGCTCACCCTGTTCATGAAATTTTTGACGACCTTCTGCTAACTGGAATCTCTTTCGACGCGTCTACCGATGAACACCCATCATGCCCTTCAGTGGCTACCATCTTACCTCGTTCCGTTCGTTTCCCTTTCATACCCAACACCTCCACCCGTCAATCCCGACTCATTTCACCATTCCGCGTACTACAAGACTGGCGTGCTAGATGGTTGCTTCATAATAACTTGCATTGCTGTCATGGCAATTATGCGCGACGTAGTTCGCATCTTCGTATTGGAGCCTTTCGCCAGGTGGAAGCTCACCCGCACTTGGGAACGTTCTAATTCCTCCCGCGCACAACAGAACGGCAACAAAAATGATATCACCAACGGAAACGGACATGCTGGGCATGCTAGTGATGATTCCAAGCCAAAAAGCGTAATGTCTGCGCGTCAATCTCGCAAAATTCATCGCAGCGTTCTGAGGTTCGCAGAGCAAGGCTGGTCAGCCATCTACTACACACTCCAATGGCTATTTGGCTTTGTACGTGGTTTCCTGCACCTGACGTGTCATGTCTAATTTTAATTCCAGTACGTTCACCGAAACCTTCCTACTCAAGCCTTAAAACCGACGGAGTTGTGGTTGAATTACCCCCATATTCCCATTGCTGGACCTTTGAAGTTTTACTATCTTACCCAGACCGCCTTCTATCTTCATCAAATTCTCATTCTCAATGCCGAGGCTCGCAGGAAAGATCATGTGCAAATGATGACTCACCATGTCCTCACAATTTTCCTCATGGTCATGAGCTACTTCTGCAATTTCACACGTATCGGATGCCTCATCATGGTATTGATGGATTGGAATGATATCTTTCTCCCAGTAAGTCACTCTCCCTCTTTAATGATGCAGACACAATTAGTCGTTCCCCAATAGATCGCCAAAATGTTTCGGTACATTGGCTTGTATACCCTTTGCGATATCACTTTCACTTGGTTCCTTATATCATGGTTTGTGGCACGTCACGTTCTATTCGTCATCGTCATAAAGTCAGGCCTGGTTCGACGGCCCCCGGTTGATCTCTGTAGGCTGGGTGCCAGAATTAGGACATTATTACTCTGAGAGGACTTATAATACCTTTGTCTACTTGCTGGTGGCACTACAGGTGAGTGTCAGAAGTCCTATCGACGTTCGCACCCGCTAAGTCTCTCAAGATCATCCAAATCGTCTGGTTCTGGATGATTTGTCGCATTGCATGGCGCGTGATCAGTGGTCAGGGTGCCTCGGACGATCGCAGCGATGATGAAAGGTGAGATTCCTAAACACACGTGTTCAATCCAAATTGATGATGTGTTTGTAGCGAGGAAGAAAAGAAGAGTCAATGATCTAGTACGTTAGACGCATGGGCGCGATATTCTGTCATGGATGATTTAATTGCCACACGTCGGCCTTTGCATATCTAGACATTTCTGGACTCAACTACCATACATACAAATCAATCTTTTGGATACTTTCCTTGTGATCTCAGTCAAATGGCTAAAAGTGCAGTGAGGAGGCGAGTTGCCTTATTCAGTTATCAGTACGTGCCGGTTAGAGCTTCTAGCCCGCAGCGGTACTAGTACTAGTACAGCACTTGTGCTAGCTCTACCCTTTGTCTCGCGTACATCTCTTTTGCTTTGATCTGCTTCTGTACTTAAATCATGATGGCTGGGATTATGTCTTACTTCGGAGGGAGGCGAGACACGAAACAGGCGGCACGAGACGCCATCGTAGGGCTAAGGCAGCAACTGCAGATGATAGAGAAGAAGGAGGAGCACCTACAGAAGAAGATTGACGAGGAACTCAAGAAAGCAAAGGCGAATGCTGTTTCCAACAAGGCTGGTACGTCTGCACTCTACCGTCGACGCCTATCCTCTACACACAATGCACAGTGGCTACGCAGGCTCTGCGGCGGAAGAAGGCGAGCGAATCCGAGATGGATCGACTAGCGGGTCAACGGCTACAGCTAGAACTACAAATCAACACACTAGAATCTGCCAATCTGAATGCGGAGACGATGGCTGCTATGAAGAAAGCTTCAGACGTGCTTGGCGTCGATCCATGGTAACATGTGCGTATTCTCCTTGCGTCGCTGATCACACGTATAGTGGTGATATTGATTCCCGTAGGAACATGGATAAGGTCGACTCGACCATGTCTAAGATCACGGAGCAGAGAGAGATTGCTAATGAAATCGCAGAAGCTCTATCATATCCCACTGGTACGGAGGCGGACGAGGTGCGTTTATCTCCTGACTTGATGGGCGTTTGTGCTGATGATTTGAGCAGGATGAACTCAAGGCAGAGCTCGCAGACCTTGAGCAAGAAACACTCGATGAACGCCTCGCCGGAGCAGAGCATGTTCCTTTGCACATTCCTGCAGGAGCTCGTCGGGTGGAAGAGCGACGTAAGATGCCCCAAATCGACTTCATGTTCAATCAACTAACCCCTTGCGCAGCTAATGTAGCAGTGGAGGATGATGAGGAGGTTCAGTTGAGGGAACTGCAAGCCGCACTAGCAATGTGATAGCTAGATTCTCCTTTCCCCCACTGCATCCCGGTCGATTTTGTTCACTGGGTCTCATCTGACTTTATACATATATCCAAGCCCTTTCTCATAATAGCCTTGCAACATATGATTGTTCAGGATCTCCCTCTGGCTCTGGTTGTGTTCTTGTGAAATTGAGATAGTGTACAGGATAATCAGTATATTAAGTTATGTAACGATGCTGGCTGTATTAAGTTATGAGCTCGATATGCAGCAAGACGTGTGGGCAAAATGCTAATTGTGACATGCAGAATGATGGGTGCGGCAATGTTGAACTCGAAACCGTGAGGTAAAAAGTCAGTTGAGGATTGTCCAGGGTGTTAGAAAGGAATATTATGAGAACCCGCGAATGCCTAATACCCTCCGTACATCCCCTGTGAAACGCAGCGAATCCAGGATGGGCAACAAATCGAGTAGGGCTTCGTCGAGTGGATCATGTGTCCAACCCTCTATGGGTATACCATTTGCTATTACGAGAGCACAATTAGATTGTGAACTGTCAGGATGAAAGTGTGCGTACCTTCATTGCCACGGTAACTAACCGGCGAGTTATCGATCAGACAGACACGAGAGAGATCCTGTTCTACTACGGACAGATCCTTGATATAAGATCCATTAGGAAGTTGGGTACAAGACTGGACAAGCGTGACAGCGTGGTGGTAAGGATATGGATGCCGTAAGAAGGGAGAAAACTCGCCTCTCGGAATAAACGACGCGCAAGAATGCCACGTCCAGCGTCTAACCAGTCAATGACCGGGTCGGCATACTCTTGCATAGAAGCAGTGAAGACAACGAGTGTGTACCAAGCAGAAACCTGACGATCGCTGGTCAGGCTCTAATAACTTGATGACGGTAGCGCGCAACTAACCTTGCGAAGGAAATAGTCAACAAACGGTCTCTTGTATACGTGATAAAGGGTGCTCCGGCCGCCCAAGACTACTTCGACTGTGTGTCCCTTGTTCCGGCGTCCGAAACCGAGAAGCCCAGAACTACTAGAGAGATGACCGATTGGTTTGGACGTCGAATGTATGAGAGTTTCATCGAGATCAAGAACGAGTGTTTTTGGCAAATGGAACGGTGTTTTATGCGTAGCAGTCAAAATGGGTGTCGGTGATCTCGATACGGTATCGGTTACTGTAGTTGGAGGAATTCGGGGTGAATGTGGATAGGGTGGAAGCGAAGGGCCTGGGGAAGGCGGCGGTGTAGGTAAAGTGGCAATATCTGGCTTGGGGAAGATGACTTGAAGGACGTGAGATGGAACATCTGGGGATGATGGGGATGGAATCGATGGTAGTGACGGTTGTGTTTCAGGTAGCAATACATCGGTAGCCTCGCCCAGGGGCTTCTCAATATGTTCGTCGACCAAAACCTCTTTCTCCTTGCTTTCGATCTCTCCTGGTGTCACCTGCGCCCATGTAGCACAGAGGGTGTTCCAAATGAGAACAAAGGCTCGAACAAGGCACAGCCGTCTGAGAGCGCTTCTTACTCTGAACCTGGACTTGGAGTGTATTATGGTGGCCTCTGTTTGAGATGAAGGAGAAAATGGCCTCGGAGTCGGTATGGGTAAGAAACCTGAAGGAGAGGAATATGAGCGCTTTGGTTTTGGAGGATTCTGCGAGTCCGAGGCATGAGGTTGTTGGAGCGACTTGTTTGCCCACGAATTCGTACGCTTGAAGGAAGTACCAGAATCTGATCCTCTGCGAGCAGACGGGGCCCTACGAAGAAAGGAGGCCTTATCGTCTACGGGGGTCGACGGAGGAGTTCGTGGTAATACGAATACATCGAATTGACGTGAGATGTATGTTAGAGAGTTCATTGTTGAGCTACACGGGCTCGAATTAACGAGCTAGTGAGATCTAGCTCACGAAAACAGACTTGAAGTTGAAAAACTAACTGCGGGAGGTTTTACTGCGATGATGGAAGTAGTGGGCTTAGGTGCTGCCAGCACGCGTGACCTCACTATATGGATCGGTTTCCATTTATTTAATTGTCAGTTCCGAGCAATGTTAGTTTCTTATCGTTATAGCTTTTGATCTCCCACTGTCAACCAACATTCGTCTGTCAAATTATTCACATCCAATCACAGCCGATTTTGTTGCTGCACCTCCGGTAATAACGTATCATAGCCGATATCCAACTGCAGGCAGCAACGTTTCCAAATCGATGGCCCCTCAGGCCCTCAGGCCTCAAGGCTCATAATATCCACAGTGCAAGTCATGGTAATAGCATTTCGTGTCCGTCGCCTAAAAGTTGTAGATCACCTCGCAATCAATCACAGAAGGTATCGGAATCCTTTTTCTTTGATCCCTTTCTCCTGCTCTTCACGCTCCAATTTCTCGTTCAACGATATAAGATGCTGTTTGAAAAACCAGGCCATCATAATCGCGGTACCGCTAGCCGCAATGCAGATACCATAAGAGTATCGATAGGTAGGGCCCCAATTCAAAGGCCAAATGTACCTGCAACCGGCTTCATTAATGAATCCCACGTTGATAGGTGGATTGTATTCACGAGCCCGCAACATTCCCTAGTTGCGAAAATCCGTTGATGATCGCCACACATACCGCACGCTTTGATGGTGGGCGAGGGAACGAGTTATTCATCCACGCAAGCATCACAACGAGTCCTGCATACGTCTGTGCCATGAGGAACCTGGGTACAATCAGCAATACGCCACAAATCGAGATCCTGGCTCACAGGGACACGTATCGTGCTGCAGTGTTCATGGTGCTTATTGCAATAATGAACCCAATAATACCGGCAATCCATGAACCGATAATGTGGTAGAAGCGTTCTTGCTGGTAATCAGAGTGCCTGGGGAACTCTTCATTACCAGTTCCTAGATCACATCATAGAAGCTTACCTGCACAGACAAAATGTGACAATGACTGCAAAGATAAACGGAGGGGCCACAAGGAGCAGTGATACTGTTGGGTTGTACCCAAGCGTCGCACTAAGGGTGGGGAAGTATGCATTGAAGGACAATGATACGACTATTGCGTTCACTGTCATTGCGAACCACCACACTGTCCAATCGGTAACAGCAAGGTAAAGTCCGTGAGTGAAACCTCCCTCTTCGGTTTCTTTCTGGTCACCAATACCTGCATCCTCCTCCATACGTTTTAATGCCAGTCGACGCTCATCATCGGAGAGCCACTTCGTCGTTGACGGAAAGTCTGGCAAAATAAAGATGGCACAGATTGCGACAAAGACAGTAAGAGCTCCTTCGAGGTAAAAAAGCCACCTCAAAAACCAGCTTCAGACCCTGTCCTCGATCAAAACAACTTGATTGATATACCTCCATGCGGCGTGTCCGAGGACATTGTTCATGCCACCAAGAATACCCGATGCGAGGAGTGCCCCAAAGGCATTGCTGATGATGTTTCCGCTGCAATATTCCTGGTAATGAAAAGAACTTTGCGCAGATCGGCGCCCTCACCAGTAGAGAATTGCGGTTCTAAACCCTATCTCTGTTCTCTTGTACCTGTATGTGAAATGTGAGGCTGTCCACTGATAAGATCGATTGCTCACGAACCACTTCGAAATTAAAAATAGGGAACCAGGGAAAAAGGCTGCTTCTACGAAGCCAAGAAAAAAACGCGTTATGACGGCTCCGGTAAAACTATTACAAATGACTTCAGTTGTTTTTCAGCCATAGAAAATGGGTCATACTTGGTCGTAATTCCAGTCAGTGCCGATATCATACCCCAAATGGCCATACAAGCAGGCAAATAAAGTGACGGCTTGCCGATGAAGTTAAGAAACATGTTAGACGGGATCTGCATGATAATGTATCCAACATAGAGAATGGACAACAACGTCGCAAATTGCTGATCAGTAAGATGAAGGTCGGAGACGAGCCCTCGGGAGCGCGCGGCACTTTTTCCTCGTGAATGGCACATCAGGAATACATGAAAGAAGCGTACCCAACATTATTTCTATCGACCTAGTACGTACAAAAGTAAGTTAAAAAAAAGACGCTTCTGACACAAAGGTACTCACATAATTGAGGATATAGATAAGTACCAGGATCGACATGCGAAGGTCAAGTTTTCGCAAGAGTTTGCGCTCTAGTTCTTTGCGTGCTGCTAAACCACCAAATTCCGCATCAGGATCGATGTCTTCGGGATCCACACACCCCTTGGAGGGCGGGAGCGACGCAGAATCTGAGAATTTGCTAATTGACATGTCAATGGTGGTGGAAAGCTGAACCAATGGATCGTCTTGTGCGCTTCACGTTTAAAACACTTCAAACGGGTGGAACATTGCCAAAAGGAACAGAAAGCGATAACAGTGAACTGGTCACAAGAGCGGCGGAGAGAGACCGCCTGAGAGTTGTCATTCGGGTTATCGATTGAGCGCCTTTGGCATGAGAAGTACTTCAATATTTCTTAATGCTTGGCAGCTCGAAAACGGTGAAGGTATATTTGCTATCCCTCAAGAGTTGCCATCACGTGATGATGTCGCGCGTAACGCGTGTTTGTTGACGGGATCAGCTTGGGTCATCTCATCGAGGTCGACAAAGACGTGACGACTCCACATTTTAGATAGAACAATAAATGGACGACAACGGAGATATTCCAGTCTACTCCGAGCGTCATCTTACGCTCTTCCAACGTGTCAAAGATGCATTGGACGACCTTCCAGTGTTGCATGATTCCGCCATTCCAAAGGACGAATCCTGTGCCATATGTCTCACTCCCTTTCATGCGATACTTGCAGGCGAGGTGCCTCAGGAAGGAGAAGAGGAATTTGAAGATGGCGTGACAAAGGTGGTGGGCTGCGGCCACTTGTTCTGTCGGAAAGAGTGCGTGATTTACTTCGATCAAATGCTCGTCATTTTCTGTTAAGCTACAATCGCACGCAGCTTATCAGAGTGGATACGAAATTTTGTGAGTGCATTCTTCTAGTGATAAATAGTCAAGTCGAGCATTTCTGCTGACACCTACTCCTATCTGCAGCATGGCAGTTGTCCAACGTGTCGACATCCTTTTCTGGATATAAAGCCGTACACCGAATCTGACGCGGAATCCTCTGACGATGAATATTTTCCTGATGACGACGAAGATGAAGAAGACGACTTCTTCGGGACGGACGAGTTTGATGACGAACTCGAGGTGGAAGAGATGGACGTAGACCTGGATGACATTTGGGGTTATGTTGACTTGCATGGTGGTGAAGAGTCTAATGATGAGGAAGAGCATGCCGAGCCGGATATAAGCGGTCTGCTCGAAGATCGTGGTGTGTTCTTCAACCTACTCATCGAAGTCCACTGACATCTTTGGAATAGAACAATTCTGCAGCACATCTGATGCCGAAACCAGCATAGAGGCAAATGCTACCTGCGACGATCCGGCTCCACGCGATAAATAAGTTTTCTGGAGGTAACTATGGATGCATATTAATTTCTTTTAGATGATTTTGTTTGTAATATTCTAGAACGTGTATGGATTCTATGTTGAAATCACTTTAAGGACTTCGGAAACGACAGCGTCCTCGCGGCCTTCTCTCCAGACACCAGTAAATTTACCACTCCATCTCGTGCCCTTACCTCCTCCTTTGATGTTCAGTTTGCCTTTGAGCAAGTCCCCAGCCAGCTTGACACATTTCTCATCTGATCCAAAGACTAGCAGCACGCTTGCGCTCGTGCTTGTCTGGGAGGACGGAGAAGATGAAAAGACCAACACGAACCGCCGCTCTGCTGGAATAATATTTGCGAAAGCAGTGGTTACTGCTGACAAAAATCCGAGAGCATTGGCAGAATCATCTGTCCGGTGCACATGTTTGACAAACAGGGCTGCTTGAGATGACTCCATTTCTTGCCAAACGTCGCCTGCGACATGTTTTGCAAGTTCGAACTCAAGGTCATCGACTCTCTTCTCAGCTCTCTTTCGCTCATCCACGACTTGCCCTATACGATCTGGGACTTGCGGAGCACCACAGCTGAGCGTTGCAGCAGCAGCAGCAAGTTGGGAGTGCGTGGATGTGAGGTAGGTGATGAGCCGCGGTCCAGCAAGGAAATACAAGCGAGCAGACGTGGCAGCCGACCTAGAAAGGGCCTCCGTTTGGGGTATGATGAAAAGTTGAAGGTTATGAAGGGTAGGAAGGTGGGTGCCACAGCATCTGCAATATTGATATTAAGCTTCTAAAATCATCCGCCAGGATTGGATGAACTTACGGGCTACGATCTACTCCGTCAATGATTACTGTTCGCATGATGCCTCCAGTGTAGTCGGTCGGAACTCCCTTGCCTACGGCACGGCCACTTTCTAATACAGGTACTGCGGGTTGTGGTTTATCATCCATTTCTTGCACCTCTACATGGACTTTCCGTCCTTCAAACACAAGTTTGTTGGCTTCGCTCTGTACGGCCAAGATTTCTTCCGTGGTCATGCTTCTGGCGAGTTCGACATAAGAAGGTGCTGGTGCTGCAGTGAGCGACCAAGAAAGGGTATGAATATTGAGGCTATTTTCGAGCACCGCAGAAAGAAGATGCTGTGATGTGTGCATGGACATCTATTGGGTTTCCAGTTTAATGATTTCACTAGGATGAAGAAGGCGGGTACGTACATGATCATATCTACGATCGAAATCAAGTTCTCCGAGAGAAACAGTAACGTTGGTCCCAGGGGTGAGGGAAGTAAGACCGTCTTCAGCTTGTTCAGCCTGGACGTAGTGAACTGCATGTCCACCATGTCGTTTAGCCTGAGTCACCGTCCATGTACGTCCATCAGCTGTCTTGATTATACCTGTATCTGATGGCTGTCCCCCGCCCTCCGGAAAGATGACAGTATCATGCAGGATGACCTCAAGTGCAGGTTGATCAGCCGGTGCTGGTGCCGATGTCTTCTTTCCTTTCTTGACGCTAGGAAAGGAAGCAGGCTGTGAGATCGTGCAACTGATAATGGATGTTTCTAGTTCGCGCAAGAGCGGGTCGCCTGAACTTCAGGTCAGATGGAAATGTTTGGATGTGAGGCCAAGATACTCACGTTGACATGCCAGGAGACCCACGGGTATTGGTCGTTGGGTATCTGTAGGAATCTTCAAGGATGGGGAGACGATTCTATGGTAGGACGGCGGGGTCACTGTAGGGTATAGTGTGATTACTGCTGCCATAATCGCGATAGATGTATGGGTTTAGTGCTGGTGCTCTGTGATGAGTATCATATCAGCAAATCCCAGGAGTCGAGAGAAATTGAGGATGCCGATGCCGTAACACGTTTCAGATCATAATGAATCCCTTTAAAAATAGTACCATCAACAAGACTATAGCGTAGTACTAAACCTTGACATGCTTGACATCCGACAGGCGAAGCAAGGGCCGTTCCGTTCCTTCCTTCGGGCGGACGGCGAAAATCACTCCGCTTCAGCACATCACAGTAGTGTTACCGAATTGACCTACTACCACGACCGCTGCTCGCTCGGAAGCTACTCGACGGATCGAAAGAAGATCAAGCCTGAGGAATGTCAGATCGTCCCCTGCTCGATGCAGGCAATTACAATCCGCGCTACGGTGCCTCCGAGTCTGGCAGCAGCAATGACAATCCCTTACTCCCATACATTGATGAACAGAGCAGACCTGTCGTGGAGAAGAAGCTTCTCCGTAAGCTAGACCTTCGAGTAGCATTCCTGGTTCTGATATACATTATGAACTACGTGAGTTAGTGCACCTGGTGTTCCCGCTAATGCCTAAAATTCTTGCACAGATGGACCGTGGTAATGCAGCGTATGTGGCCCAACTTCGAAATCACTTGGAATAATGTGACTCAACTGCCCATTCGCAAGTGCAGCGAGGTTACGTGGTTTTGAGGAGGACCTCAACATGAATGGGAATCAGTTCAATACGCTCATTAGCATCCTCTATGTGGGATACTTGTTAATGCAGGCTCCTTCGTATGTGCTATCCTATTCACCCTGTGCGACATCTCGAGAATTCACAAGCAATATATTCTTAGACCGCATGAAAAGACCATCGCTATACCTCTCAAGCTGCATGGCAATATGGGGTGCTATCACCTTGTTCATTGGTGTGTACATTTTTTATTTGATCAACATAGTCTAACGAGGGTTGTGGAAGGTACGGTACAAACGTTGGTATCCATCACTCTTGCAGTGCTGTCCACTCTCGAGTTAACTCTGCTTCAGGTATCATACAGCTCTGATCTTGCGCTTCCTCCTTGGATTTGTCGAGGCAGCATTCTTTCCCGGGGCTGTATTTCTTCTTTCGCGATGGTATAGTTGCTACATGCCCTCCTATTTTTGTATATTGAAAGCTCTCTAGGTACAAACGGAACGAACTAGGGCTACGAACAGCGCTTCTTACTTGCGGAAGCTCAGTCAGTAATGCCTTTGGCGCCCTTATAGCATCAGGAATTTTGGCGGGCCTAGACGGCACACTGGGTTTCACGGCTTGGAGGTCTGAAACGGGATTTGCATGTTCCCAAAACAAACGCTGACTTGGATGCTGCAGGTGGCTTTTCCTAGTGGAGGGCACTTTGACCATCATGGTTGCAGTGTGTGCAATCTGGATTTTACCAGACTTTCCTTCAACTCCGAGCGTCTGGCTGTCGCCTGATGAGCAGACACTGGCGAAACGACGGATGGAAGAGGACACTCCAACCGGAAATAAGGATCAAAGCAAGCCTGAAGAGGGATTTTCTGGTCTTTCCGAGGCTCTTATGGATTGGAAAGTATGGTGGCTTGGGGTTGCCCTTAGTTTCATGATTGCTTCTTTATCATTCGGCAACTTTTTCCCCACATTATCCGCTACAATGGGTTACAATGCAACTATCAGCCTCTTGCTCTGCGCACCCCCGTGGATTTTGGGGACTGCGACCTCATTTTTTGTGGCCAGGTTAGTCTTCACTCGACAGGTTCGAAAGTCAAAATTAACGATCGATAAGGCACTCCGATGTAACTGGCGATCGCTTCTGGCATATCACTGGTCCGCTACTTGTCGGCATCGCTGGGTTTGTGATTGCAATATCCACCATGAATACGGCTGTTCGATATCTGTCATTGTACGAACCTTTCAGTCTTCGTTCTGCAATTTTACAGGCTAATAGACTTCGTGAAGATTCTTTATGACTCAGTCCTCAGTTGCCTATGTTGTCTTTTTAACTTGGGTATTGAATACCTTTTCCCAATCGCGGCCGAAATGCGCTGTAGCCATTGCATTTATAAACTCGATGGCAACATTTGGCAACATTGGTGCACCGTGAGTTTACGGTCACCTCGTACTGCGCTTTCACTCACACCATCGCAGGTACTTCTGGCCATCCAGTTGGGGACCTTCATACGTGAATTCATATCTCATTTGTATCCTGACAAGCACTATATCTATCGCGATGTGCTGGGTATTTAGGAAGCACCTTTCTCGGTGCAATGAAGTTGCGGAAGCCGAAGAGCGCGCTCTGGGGTTGCCCAAAGGGTTTAGATATTTCCTGTAGCACTCACTGCTCGACTGGGGCTTATGGGTAACAGTGGGCGGTGCATATATAGATGTACAGTTCACACCACAAGAAGAATTTGGAGGAAAAAAGAAAAGAGGAACATCAAAAATGGTTGAATGATAAGAGCTACAACCTGAGTAATTATGTAATCCAATGAATGGCCGTTCCTCAGTGCACGTGATTTGTTCGAAACCAAAAGAAGGTGACCCCTGGGAAAGCACTTTCTGGGAAGTTGACCCCTCGAAGCTGCCTTACTCGTGTGAGCTAAATATGGTATCTTACACCAGGAAGTCGTATTTGAAACACTGAAAGTTCGTCCTCAAGCTCGGAATGGCTCGCTCAATGGGAGTGCTACGATAACCTGGATGTCCAGAACAGTCAATCCTGCGAGAATATGGTTCAACGGGTTTTCATTTTCTACGACGTCGATTGCATGTCTCGTTGTCTGGGACATCTAGTACAAAGTTAGTTAGCATTCATTGTATTTTCTCAGGCCCTTCCGTCTTACTCACTGTCGTTTGTCCAAGACCATTTCATATGTCGAGCAGAACTTCTCGCGGGATTGCATACGAACGTTTGCGTGAGTTCGACAGGAATATTGTCAAACGAGCCATTGACCCTCTATTTGTCTTGTAAAGCATGTGAAGATAGTATCGATACTGCATGCGAGGGCAGCCTAGATAGCGATGTCGCCTCGCAGAATTCCATTTACGACGAGTTTCCGGACAGAGAGCGTATAGAACAAAGTCTTCTCCGTAAAGTCGACCTCAGGATGTCCATTCTCGTCTTGATTTATATCTTAAACTATGTGAGTCAAGTTAGTACCCACTGACTGTAGCCGATAATCTCACAACCACAGATCGATCGCAATAATGCAGCGTGAGTGCATTTTTTATACCAATATCTATACCATAGCTGAAGTTGTGGTTCTGCTCGTCACGTAACAGCGCGGCTAGATTACGCGGCTTCGAGGATGATCTTCATTTAGAAGGACAACAATTCAATACCATATTGAGCATTCTTTACGTCGGCTACACATTAATGCAGGTTCCATCGTATGTGACTTGAGGACTCTTTTTAATGTGATGTTGACGAAGACGAAGGAATATGTACTTGAACAAGATAGGGAGGCCTTCCATCTATCTGCCAACATGCATGGCGATATGGGGCTTGATATCAGTTCTGACGGGTCAGTTCAGTACACGAGCATGAAGATAGCTGATATTGATTCAAAAACAGGAACAGCGAAGGGGTGCGTTTCTAGCTTTTGGGTTGTACACAAACTCAAGAAATTCTGAAGCTTCCTTGGAGCTTTATGCACTCGGTTCTTCCTGGGATTCGTCGAGGCCGCATTCTTTCCTGGTGCTTTGTTTCTACTATCTAAATGGTGGGTACTGAAAGGAAGGAGGTATCTTTTCTTCGCACTGACATCGCTCAGGTACAAGCGAAGAGAGCTTGGCCAACGAACAGCAATATTAACCTGTGGTCAGTCCCTTTCCGCATAGAGTTTGATTCACCCAACGTTGGTATAGGTATTATGATCAGTAATGCATTTGGGTCACTCTTGGCATCCGCCATTCTGGACGGCATGGACGGAATCATGGGCATCGCAGCCTGGAGGTGGGTGGTGTTGCTCTCCTGTTGACCTGGTGCTTAGCGTCACTTGTAAGATGGCTGTTTTACATTGAAGGTTTTATGACAATTTGCGTTGCAATATGCGCCATCTTCATCCTTCCCGATTTCCCTGCCACTATCACGTCGTCTTCTTGGCTCACAGTCGAAGAACAGGCACTTGCGCAATTGCGAATGGAGGAAGATGTTGGTATAGATGATGAAACTGAGTGTTCCAAAGGTGGGGAATCAGGTCTGAAGCAGGCATTCTCAGATTGGAAGGTCTGGTGGCTTGCATTTGCAATGGCGATCTTAAATGTCCTGCTATCATTCAATGCCTTTTTTCCAACGTTGAGTGCAACACTGGGCTACAGTTCGACCGTGTCATTGTTGCTTTGCTCCCCACCCTGGCTGTTTGCAACGCGTGTGGCATTTTCGATGTCAAGGTAAACTATCTTCTGCTTTGTGCTTGAGTCCAACTGACATCACGTGGAGACATTCTGATGCAAAAGGCGAACGTTTTGGTCACATTATGATACCTTTACTCGTTGGGATCGCAGGGTTTATGATGGCCATGGCGACTATGAAAACCGCAGTTAGATACCTCTCATTGTAATATTCTTCTCTTACTTTGTTAGTCGACCGACTGAAGCTGTTTTTCAGATTCCTGATGGCTCAGTCTTATACGGCGTTTGTCGTGTACTGGGCATGGGTTAGTAACTCCATTCCCCATCCGACATCAAAGCGGGCGGTAGCCCTTGCATTCATCAACGCATTCTCATCGCTAGGAAATATTGCTGGGTCGTGAGTTTTCAGGTTCTGGATCTTTTGACTGTTCAAAATTTCTCATAACGCACTTTCGTGATCGGATAAATCAGTTACATCTGGCCAAAGTCATGGGGTCCTTCCTACTGGAACTCGTATGCTATCTGTATAGGATGTGGTGCGGTTTGCATGATTATGTCGTGGATATTCAGGCAACACTTGATGCGGTTGAATAAGGAGATCGAAGCAAGGAATATAGAAGGAGGGCTGTCGAAAGATTTCACATATTTGCTGTGATTAATGACAGGCTTATATCCAATACCTTTAACTACACCACATCGTAGCTACATTCTTTTGTGAGTAGGAGTCGATGTTGTATCGTCGTCGATTATCGCATCAATACTTGCCATACTACATAGTGGCGGTAGCTCTCGGTTCGGTGATAGCCTGCGAAAAGGTCACGTGATCTCGATTCCTCGGATAAATATCGGTAACACATGATCCCCAGTGCCCGTGAAGATGCAGGTGATCTTGATTGTCCCCATGTCGCAGGATTTATAGCTGCTCTATCATAGTAGAGTTAATTAATCCCTCCGTTACCACTCCAACCATGACTATGAGCGTCATTAGATCTTTGACACAAGATTGGTCTTTCACCCAAGTAGGCGGCGGACGTGGCACCAAGAACGGCGAATGGTTGGCGGTATCGCAGTTCCCAACTACCGTACACGTCGAACTTCTGAAGGCAGAACGTATTCCAGATCCAGTGTGTCCGATCATGATAACTATCACTTTGACTAACTCGGCTCATTCCGCAGTTTCTGGGTCTTAATGAATGGGAGGTTCAATGTGCGCCCTGCCAGGCTTAATCGTGTTTCAGGAGCTGACTGACGTTTGTAACTGCTAGGGGTCGGAGAGTCTGACTGGGCTTTTAAGAGTACCTTTGAAGTTTCTGAGAAAGAACTGGCGGCCGTCAATGGTGACCTTGTGTTTGATGGTCTTGATACGTTCGCAAGCGTGGAGTTTGTACGTTTCATGCATTCTGTCACCCCACATGATGACAGCCTGTGTGCTAACACGATGCTTTGACATAGAATGGGCATAAAATTTTGGAGTCAGCGCGCTTAAATTTATCCCCGTTTTCTGCTCTAATATTTATTGCTACACAGCACGAACAGTCAGTTTGTTGCATACAGAGCCCCTGTCAAACAATATTTGAAACTGGGTACCAATGAACTCGTTATAAGCTTCTTCAGTCCGTTCCTGAAGGTGAGCTAAATCAATATTTGAAAACATTTACTCCTGAACTCAGCTGGTCAGGGGAGGGAAATAGAGCAAGCCCACGGGAAGTTGCATCTTTGGAATGGCGACTCCAGTCGTTTGCATGTACGCAAGGCACAATACAAGTAAGTATTGCTGTTGATTTCAATGGAAAGGCTATCGACGTGCATCGAAGTTATGGTTGGGACTGGGGCCCAGTTTTGATGACCATTGGCCCTTGGAAGCCTATCACCCTTCACACATACAACGTCTACCTCACGGATGTTGACGTCAGAAGCAATGTGTCAGAGGTTCTGGATGTAGGGGTCACCGTTGACTTGACGCTGTCTGAGAAGGTTCCCAACGGGTTGGCATCTGTGGTGCTGAAAAGTGCACAGAATTCTGTGATCCTCTCGGAGAGCAATATAAAAGTTGGTTCTGGGAGTGCTAGAGCCGAGTTCCACTTCTCGCCCGGAGCGCTCGAATTGTGGTATCCAGTTGGATTTGGAAAGCAACCTCTGTATACAGTCGAGGTAACTATTTCTGATTCGGTAAGAGGGATTTTTCCGTATCATACATTATATGACCTAATACATAATTTCAGGAAGGAAACATTTTGGACACGAAAACTCAGAGAGTATCGTTCCGTCGTGTTCGCGTTGTCCAGGAGCCTCTTGTTGATCAGGAAGGCCTTACTTTCTTGTTCGAAGTCAACAACATCAGGATTTTCTGTGGTGGTAAACAATGCCCTTTTCTTGAGAGAATGCAAAGTGAAACTATGTCTATAGGTTCTAACTGGATTCCTGCCGACTCTTTCCTCACTACGTTAGGTTGATGCTACCCTTATCAAAGAATCTTTTTGACTAAATTTACTGCAGCCTTACTCCGGGAAGGTATCGTGCATGGCTCCAGCTTCTCGTGAACGGTAATCAGAATATGATTCGCGTCTGGGGAGGGGGCATCTATGAATACGATGTTTTCTACGATATTTGCGATGGTGAGTACTATCCTCGTAGCCCTCGCGCATTTGATTCACAATCCTCCTTTCATTAGAACTTGGAAGTAAGGCTTTTTTCAACTGGGCAGTCCGTTTTGTTATATCATATTGTAGTTCTTGTCTGGCAAGACTTTATGTTTGGCTGTGGTCAAGTGAGTTGCTGTTGTTGTATTGTTGACCCAGGCTCAAAGGTACTCTAGTATCCGGCGTATGATTCTTTCCTGAAACTCGTCGAACTTGAGGCGGAACAAAACGTCAAGCGATTGAGACACCACCCATCTATTGTTATCTTTGGCAAGTAGAAGCTTTCATCAAGTATTTCCCACTCTTGACCTTTTTTACAGCCGGAAACAACGAGGATTACCAACTTGCAGAGTCACTCAATATCGTGGATTACTCTGACGAAACTTCGGACTTCCGAAAATCCAAGTTCCCAGCTCGGCACATATATGAGCGGACACTGCCATCCATCGTCCAAAAATTCTGCAATATTCACTACCACCGCAGTTCTCCTTACAGCGCCCCAGGTACAGTGACCACAGATAAAACACTCGGGGACCTTCACCAGTGTAGGTGAACGAGTTCAGCGATATATGTTATTATTTCAATGGGCCTTTAGGGAATGTATGGCATGGGTCTCAAGAACCGTGGCATAATTGGGATGTACTCGCCGGTCGCTTCGTATCTGAATTCGGAATGTGAGCAGTTATGGCCCTACTAGCACTTCCGATTGCTCAGGCCTCGCTAGGGAGGGATACCCGAACATTCGCACAGTTGATTACTGGCTTGCTGGTGACAAGTCAGAACGATATCCTCAATCTCGGTAAGCGAATTGTACTTCACCGTACATCATGCTGAGGGTCTCCTCAGCGTCAACAACAACCATAACAAGGCTGATGGCTTCGAACGTCGGTTGGAGGTATGATAGCATTTATTATGGCTATCAGAGATCCACTACCCTCTTTTTCTAGCTTTACCTCATGGAAAACTTCAAGCATGCTTTCGACATGAACAGGTTAGCAGCCGTTACCACGGGTTTAGTATGATTTAGCTTATACCTATTTAGCTATGTGTATTACACACAAATTATGCAAGCTGAGACGCTTGCATCTGCTTACCGACTCTGGCGGAGAAACTGGCGTGGAAAGGGTCGGGAGCACACCGCTGGTGCTCTTGTATGGCAGGTGAGTCATTGAACAAACATTGGATTCTCAAGTTAACAGCAACCAGATCAATGACTGCTGGCCGACCACGTCGTGGGCAATAATCGACTACTTTATGCGTCCCAAACCAGCATATTTCGCCATCTCGCGCGAACTACGTCATTACACGGTCGGGATGACACGTAAGGAAAAGAAGACATTCGCGAATGATTTATCAGCTGCCCAGTTCACAATTACAACGGTTCTTGAGGTCTGGGGTACGAACGGCACTCTATCAGATAAGAAGGCCAAACTCGAAGTCACTTGCTTCGACCTTTACTCCTCCTGGACGATGCAGTTCTCGAAGGATATTGTGCTCGCTCCCAATTCTAGCACTGAGTTGTACTCGGGCGACCTTCCCGGTCAACCAGTGCGCACAAAGCAGAGCGAAGTTCCACGTGCGATCGTCGTCTCGGCACGTCTCCTCGACGCATCTGGAACTGTCCTCGGCAGGCATTCCAATTGGTGAGTTTTTGACGTATGAGGTTTCTGGGTTTGTGTTTCCTAATACTCTGTCATAGGCCAGAACCTTTTAAATTCATCAAATTTCCTGCCATCAAAGATCTGGGGTTTTCTGTCAAAACCAGCAGGGACGGCGAATTCGTCGAACTCTCCACTCAAAAACCTATAAAAGGAATCATTCTAGATGCTGAAGGCGAAGACGTGGAGTGGAGCGACCAGGCCATCGATCTGGTTCCAGGAGATCCCCAGATTGTGAAGGCCGTTGGGTTGAAGGGGAGAGAAGCGAAGGTGCGCTTCCTTGGCGATGGCACGGCGTAGATGATAAGGCCACTTGAATTCATATACACTTACGTATAACAAGATGAGAATGAGAATGAGAATTCATCCCAATGGACCTACCGAATATAGGAGCAGAGTACCTCACGAAATGGACACGCTGTGGAGATATGAATATGAATTATGAACCACCAGGGAAGACACTACTAGTACTGTCGAAAACCAGACAGAAAGACCCTAGGAAAGAATTATTTTACACGCTGTACAAGTCGCAACAAGACGTTGACCAATGTAGCGGATTATAAAGAAACAGTCTAATCCGATGAAAAAAAATCAGATAAGGTGAAGAACTCCTAGGGAGTGAAAGGAAATACTTGTGCAAGGAAAAACGAGCGGCTCAGGGTATGAAAAGAGACCGGGTAACCGGAGAGCATGACAACAAGGAGACCAGGGACGGGCGAGTGGCGTCTATCACATAATGAGACACCTGCTTGCTTCTGGCTGGTCCGTTTTGCCAGACGGTGACCGTTTCTCAATCTCCGCAAGACATAGCTCGAAGACCTTGCCTGTGATAACGCCGCGTAAGGAAGCGAAATATCGAGAAGCGCAATAATTTCTTACCAACGTTGACGTTATTCTTTGCGCTAGTCTCGACCCAAGCAGCGTTGTTGAGTTTTGCTAGTTCTTCTCCTTCATTTGGAGCCACCTGTCTACTATTGGGACTGTGAGGCATGAAAATAGAACATTGACAAGACAAAAAGCACAAGATGTGGGATGGTTGAACAAAGAAGGATAAAAACTTACCTCGTCTGTAAATCAGTTTTAGCACCAACGATGACGCATGGGATATCGTTTTTGCCACAAAAATCGACGATTTTGTCGTATACGATTTTGATCATGTCAAAAGATCGTCTTGAGGTGACTGAGTATACGAGGACGTAGCCGTGAATACCAATTGCATGTTTAGAATTGAGAATGGAGTATTCATCCTGTCAATGCAAAACTTAATCTCGATAATGCTGGCCCTATGATGAGAATTGCGCACCTGGCCAGCGGTGTCGATGATGTCACAGTCATATTCTATGCCTCTATAAGCTACGCCTTTCGAGAAGGTGCTTTCGATGGTTGGATAGTATGCATCAACAAAATGGTTCTCGATGAATTGTACGACAAGAGAAGATTTGCCTATCGGGCGATTAGCGGGTGAGTATGATGACGTCGAGATCAACATACCGACTGAACGGGAACCTAGAACTGCGATTTTTCTCTTCCTCAAAGTGTTGGCAGCCATATTAACAAGATAGTGTATATGAAATAAACGAGAGAAGTGGAAGAGAGAGACGAAGAAGGCGGAGGACGATGAAGAGACAAAAAAAATGTAAACAGTTTGTGGCAAATGTGGAACTGTGACCCCAAGTAAGTTTAGCCTTAGAGTGCGTCAGCGAGCGCTACCTTTGATTGAAACTCCAGTGGGTTATTCCTCCCGGTGTCTGGGTAGGATAGGTTTATATAAATACGAATGGGAAATAGAGGTAATTGGATTCTCCAAGGGAGGAACTCCTGTACTAGTCACATACGGGGTCTTACACTGAACGTACGTTATATACGGACCGCAACTTTATTCGATTGTAATACCAGGAACATGGCCAGTCCACGAGTCGTCCACGTCGAAAGTCTCGCCCTCATCTTAACCGTCGGGCTATCGTCACTGCTCTCACCGAAGTACCCACATGGCTATTTCCTGGGTCTTGTGATCCGCTGGAACGGCCCGAAGCTCTCGGCAACTGCATGATAGCAGTGAGTAATTTACTATCTACAGCCTCCGCAGTAGTACGTGTACGCCAGCGGTCTATTCACTTGTCTTTTTTGACGACTGCCGCTCAAGGAAGATATCTTTTACCTCGTAGGATAGATGCGCCACGATTGATTGCTTGATGGCCGTTGGGCGCGAAGATAACAGACATTCAAGATGCTTGCCGTAACGGAGAAGTCTACTGATGTGGCCCTGAACGTTACGTTGCTAGTACAACGAAAGGTCGTGACATTATTCTTTTCAGAGGAAGTCATCAGAATGCTCGAGAAGGAAAAACAGCAGGTTTTCACCCAAGCAGGTGATATCACTACTCGGGAGCTTGTGCGCCGCATCGGCAACGCAAACGAACAGGACGTAAGAGACCTTGGGAAATTTTCTATTCAGTGGCGCAGACTGGGAGACAAGCACTAAATTGAGCTAGCCACGGCGTAAGGTTCGACAAGGACAAATGGTTCGATTACTCACCAAAGGTACAAGAGGAGAGGTTTCCACTCTTGCTTGAAGATCCATCGCATAGAAACGGTTTCCACGAGAGGTTCGAGGAGAGACGTGACACGCAACATGCACGTGGGAGGACGCGACATTGTCAACCATCGACCGCCGGGTTCGGCAAGTTCGATGAAGTCTCGGGCGCTCCTAGGAGGTTGTGCATGTGGAAATTAACGTCACGGTGAATGAAGCCAGATAACTATCACTTGGTTGAATTTAGGAAGGATTGACCCTACGGACGTACATCATGTGGTTAACTCGGAATGTCTACTGCCGGTACAGCCTGCGAGATTTTTATGACGGAGTTTGAGAGGTGTCCGAGGAATAGACGGAAGTAACACGTGATCTTAATGTCACGTGCAGTCACGCGTCCAGTTGATTTTCGAACGCGACCAAGTGGCTAACGAGATTCGACTTTGACTTCAACTATCAGGCTGACAACTTCAAGTACTGCACAAGTCCTTTCATCAAAATGTCTACCACATCTACGCCTACAGATTCCCCTGTCTCTGCTCCCATTCAGCCAATGCACAATCCTTCGCAAGCCGCACACATCGTCGTCCCACAAGCACCTCTTGGGCATGTCGCAAACGGTGCCAATAACACTATACCTGGAATGGGCATGAAAGCCCTCTTGGCCAAAAAGATGGCGAAGAGCAAGTGGGTCTACCAACGCGCGTAGGATCAGTGGCAAATGTTGACCTTATTCACGCGTCCTTTTCCAGCAATCCAAAGTTTGTCTCACCGACGGACAACCTGATGACACCCGTTACACAGAAGTTGAATGCTGCAAAGCAGAAACATTTCACCAAGTACGTTGTTATATATCCCTGCGAACCCTCGTACTCAGTCCTTACGCAATCTGATGCAGGGGCGCGAAACCTATGGGTACTCTCTTCCCACCTAAGGAGTCACATTCATCAGAGCAAGAAGATAGCGACACAGAACTTACAAAAGACACGTCTTCAGAAGTACTGATGGAAGACGAGAATCCCTTCTAAGACAGAACGCAGTTGGCCCAGTCGGGCATCCATCATGTCCTCACGTTGTTTGTTGTATTACCCTTTTGTTTGTGTCGCTAAATCTTGCTTGCATGTGTAGAGTCTAGTGGTGTTGTAAGGAGGTTGTAGGATGTTCCCACGCTTTGCTGTAGTGTTACGCGTCGCGGCTCTAGTATGTATGCCTTATTATACGGATGCATTGATTGTATTCGTTTCCTATCTTCCTTCTAATCGTAAACGAGGTGACCATGGATCATACTCAGTTTTCCATGGATATTGCCGGTGTGCGTGCAATGATTGAACAAGAAACCCTAACGAGATCTCACTCTCACAAACGGGCGCAAGAACTCATTACAAGTCTCCCTAAGATCTCAGAAACCGAGCTTAAAGACTTGGGACATTCTGGCGAGTTCGTTCATGCCTCATACGTCCTCAAACTAGACAGGCATGCTCCACAGAGTCTGTTTGCCCCATATGCTTCAATACGTTCTTGGCCATCCTGGCTGAAGAGGAAATGGCACTCGCGATGGACTCCCCCGCGCACCCAATAGAGGAACTGGGCGTGACGAGGCTCCACGAAACATGCGGACATATGTTCTGCCGAAGAGAGTTGAGTGGACATCCTTCATTCGAATGACGTTACTGATAAGCGAGATTAGTATCACGAAGTGGATACGAGACGGTGTAAGTCAAAAGTTTGTATCATATGCGACAGCTTCCATTTACGCCACCTCCCAGCGCGAGTCTTGTCCGACTTGTCGCAGGGCGTTTCTTACAAACACGGCTAATAGTGACCAGCGTGAGACGGAGTCTTCTTTGCCAAATGATTTTACCGAATGGATTGTCGAGAGCTCCATGGTTGCCAGAGAATCTGGCGGCACAGGCTTACTACCTATTCTGGGAGTCCCCTCGGTGGCGATGGGTGGCCATCCATTTGCGCAGCAACGGGTAAACCGGGACGAATTTTCTGGGATGTACTCCTAGCTAGTTTGTATCACACGTTCAATTTGACACTAAAGCCCGCCCTTCATTAATCCATTCATTGAATAACCATCTATTACTCTTTTGGCACAGACAGCTAAGTGAATAAAAACGAGTGAGGCGTCAACTCGAGTAGTGTAAGATGATACTCATGAAGTTCAGAATGTCCAGCTGCATAATACGGAAAGCGATACGAAAGGAGAGTAGATAGCTATTTTCATCAAGTCCATGCACAAGATAAATTCCGTTTACCTAACACAAGACAGAACCTGATCCACAGTTCAATTCCTCCTGCAGCATCTGAAAAGGTTGCGTTTGAACCAGTAGAGCAAGCACTGAAACAGTGTGTGAGTAACTTTGCGAACATGTTATGGCTGGAATGACTCACCCCAATAAACCGCACACCGGCAAGAACAAATGTGGAGTACAGAATGACAGCAAAATAGGTGTTTTGCTTCGTCTGAAGCTCCGCCGCGTCCTGTACCGCATCTGTAGCAGTCGTGAGACCGTTGATGTTCTCAATGGCAACCGCCAGTCCAGCGTTCGTGAGCATCCAGAAGGCAACGAGACGCGTACGGAACGTCTTGTTTTGATCATCCATTGTAGGCTTCTCAATGACTTCCTTGACATCGATCTTGGTTACCGCGCGAGTAACGGTCTCTTTAAATGCAGCATCCACATCTTCTTGGATGCGTTGCGTATCCTCGACAACAGGGGAGTCCGCATCTTTGGTCTTAGACGACGAGACTGATGGCAGAGCTTCTGCCTTGTCACTGCCCTTTGTACCCCAGGATACCTGAAACCATCGCTGTCAACCAAAGCTTGGTACCAAAAAAGAAACGCGACGCACGTCGTGCAAGTTACAGAATGCATAAACATTGAGTACATTGGTGAAACTTGGAGCCAAGCACAGGTATTGGAAGAAACTGGAGAAGATGTGCCAAGGATCCCGCTAAAATAGAAATCAGACAGTGCCATTTGCAACATAGATACAACTCACATAGAGGAACGATGCAATGAGGTAGATGCCTATCTCATGAATGAGCCAATAAATCATTAGAAAACATGAGGCACCACATACCGAAAGTGGAGACCATCGCGACAATCAAAGGACCAACAGGGGGCGTGAAGAAGGTTACAATGACTTGAGCTACTGTCTTGTTCTTCAGTTGGCTGGGAATGGTCTACCAGAAACATGGATAGTCAACACAATCTACGCAAGGACCCCAGAGCAGTAAAACTCACAGAGAATGCCTTGCCGGTGAGCCAGAACGAACACACGAGAAGGTAAACGGCCAAGAATGCGTAGACCCTGCACACAAGTCAGCTTGATTGGGATAAAGACTGACTTATACAAACCATAGTGTGACCGCATATGCCGCCCGTTCACCCTTCGGTCTGTTACCAAGAGCTAGCACAAACTGTAGCGCGAGGAAAGCAAGGTAGATCCATTTGAAACACAAGTTTACCCAATGCGTCTGCGAGCCCACGCTTAGTATCAATCTTTTGAGAGCAACGATTGTGTACATACGACGTCTGCAGTGCCGAAGATAATGATGCCTTGTGAGGGAAGCAAGTCAATGATGATACTGAATGTTAACCAAATGTTTGCCAACGCAAACCACGAGAACACCAATGAGAAGATGTTGTACTGTCACCTGAGTTAGTAACGGAACATCAACCAGAGATGACAAGACGCACAAGAGCTTGAACGTGGAAGAAGAACATGCGAATGATTCCATGACCAGAGCGGTAGAGCTGGAAGAAATTGACCAGAGCGTACTGGAAAAAAACTAATCAGACAAACTTGTATTCAACGTGGTCAATACTCACAACTGAAGCAGCGAATGAACCATTCAACCACCGACGACGTTGACCAATTAACTCGACGGCGGATTCTGGTACATCTGTCTCGGCTTTTGAAGGTTTGACATACGTCAATGTCCACCTATCACCAGCCTTGGCAACGAGCTCGAAACACAAGATACGATCCTCAGCTAAGAACATATTCTTGGTAAAGATATTCATGCCGTAGATACCCTTGGGACCAAGACGGTCAGCCAACGAGTGGTCACCGTGGAAATATTGCTCTAGTGGCCGACCCAAGATCGCACGGAAACGGTACGCGGAGAAGGCACCGGGAAGCACTGATACATAGCCGAAACTACTTTCAAGCGGCTTATCTGTCATGCGATAAGATAACAAACAGCGTGCAAGATCTGGACGAATGACATACCAAGAATGTTGGACATTTTGTACTCGAAGTTTTGGGCAGCGACCAGAGGGTTGAGGAGTTTTCTCCCACCCTCGATCATGGCGTGGATTTCACCACAGCACCCACCAAGATGAGCATCGTTGTAGAATGCTTCCCAAAGATAATAGATGGATTTGTGTCCAGGTTTGGTACCAGCATCGATGAGCACGCAAATTTGAGGCTAACAAAGGTTCCAGTTAAACGAACGTGAGCTTGCAATTCGCCTCACCTCCAAAATTTTACCGATGGCATTAAACAACCACCGATGTGAATTGATCTTCTTCTGATTCTTAGCCTTGAGGACGAAAATGATCTGTACGGGTACTAAATTGTTGGGATCGTTCTCATGAGGAAGCACAAGCTGAGGCTTGGCATCAACCGACAACTGAGTGGTATACTGAAGGCAAGGTATAAGCGATATAACTAATGACAATTGAATGACTTCTGCCAACCTCAAAGATGTGTGCGACAGTGTCTTTATCGTCGACTTGCTTCTTCATGACACCGTCTTGGTAGACACCAACGGTAGCCAGGATATCCAATACACTCTTATCCATGGGCTCGAGCCCATCAACAATAAGGGCAACTGTGATTCTTTGCCAGCCAGGCATGCCTTCCTCAGCCGCTCGCCGCCAGTACTTGGACTGCTTTGTCTTGCAAATGTCGCGAATATTTAGCATGACACCATGGAGTGTTCTCGCATACAGTGTTTTGTCTTCATTATAGGATGTGACGGCGATGAGAAGGTCGGTTTGCCGACCATAGATCTTGGTTCTCAAAGACCAGCCATTGGCCTCTGTGAAATCATCGGGGTCACACGTTGCTGCGCTATACCGCATGTGGCTAGGAATCATCCACATGAGTTTAATCCAGTTTCATATTGACTTGTAAAGTAACTTACGAGAATTCAGTAGTGTTCGTGGCGGCATATTTTGCTTCAATGGCACTATGCACTGGTGTTGGTACGGGGTATTCCGCAATGAAGTTACCCTTTGTGAGCTTGACTTTGCGGGTCACACCACGTTTAATGGTCTGACGGCGCCTCCAAGCAGTGTCTACACCATTTGTCGAGGATGATGTAGTAGACAAAGGCCGCGCATACGGGTCCCCATATGCTGAAGGGTCGACTGGTCTATGTAGAGGAAATAATTTGTGAGTAAAAAATATAATGAAAAGAAGTTCAAAAGAAGCGCCGAATCATCGAGATATTGATTTGACTTACCCTGGTGGATAAAAGCCGCCAGGATTGTAGCTATCACCTCCAGTGAGCGGAAGTTTTTCGGCATAGTCTTCATCTACATAATTAGCGCCAAACTCGCGGGGTAAGGTCGTGGTACTCTCGAAGGGCGAGCCAGATGCGCTATCATAAACACGAGGTGCAGGCTCCTGGAAGTGGGTCTGGCGTGGTCGATCTGCGAATGGGTCGCCAGATAATTGTTCATTACGGGGCCTCGGGGACGTCATACTGTATCACACCGGGTGAAGTACGCTGAAGAAAAGAGCTTGAGGATGCCCAGGACGATGCCCAGATAGTTGAAGGGGCAGAATGGAGAGAGACAAGGGTTGTGAATGAACACAAGGCAGCAACGGTTTTGTACAAGTCAAAAAGGGAAATGCAGGCGATGATATACACAGCTTCTGTGGACCCCAAACACCCCTCCCTTCCAACGTCTCCGTCAGCCCCAGGCACTCCACAACGCCTACTATCGACTATATAGTAAGACAGCCAGCTTAGAGCTAGAGCTAAATACTTGCTAAATATATTGGCTTATTTTTATGATTGATAGTGGTCGCTGAGCGCTGAGCTTGTGCCATCGTGAGGTGTCTAGGGTCATTCCTTCACTTACAGACTCAGGTTTAGTGCTGGAGGCACGTCCAGGGTCGACCTCGTCACTAGCCAGAGGACTCCTAATCCCGGTTTTGATGTAATCCACCTGCAGAAACTTTGGCCGATAGCTTCGAATTATTCCGTGAAAACTTTCAGGGTTGCAACAATACTGATGTGACCGGTCACTGTTGCAACAGCTGCGCACCCAAAAATGATTATGATATTCGTAACAGTAGTAAAATTTGCACAGCCGTTCAATTTACAAAGTCCTGTGGCAGTGAACTGGTATGATACGCCCGAGACCTGTCCCAGGTCCCTTCTGAACCGATGACTGCGGCGAGGTGTATGATTTTATATTGCTCTTAGAGAAGAGACAAGTCTTGACGAGCCCATAGCCATGTACAGGTGTGGGCTCCCCGTGACAGGGGTCCGAATCGGAGAATTGTCGAACCCGTGTGAATCTTTGAAATTGTCACTTCCAAGTACCTCTCCGCCCCCAGTAGGCTAGCCAGTTCAAAGGTCAAGTTGGTCACATTCTGCAGTGCCCACCTAACACATCCGGTCCTGACATCTTTTTACCCGCTGCAATTACCAGGACACGTGTTCGAGGACATGATCAATCCACAACTGAAGACCTGGGTTAACTTTAGCACGCCGGAAGCTCGCAGCATTGTGCGCAAAATACTCGCATCAGCTCCTCATCATGAACTCGGTCTCAGGACGCACGAGATTTACGAAAGAGCACACGCAGAGTTCCCAGATGTAACTACAGACATCCCACCAGGGAAGCCGATCCCTACCGGCACCCGCAACCATGGAGGCAGGATTAAACCCGCCAAACCTGTACCTCTCCCACCCAAACTAGATCATGCAATTCGTTCAGTAAAGTGAGTATGTTTTTTTTTATCCGAACGAAAGGTTGAACAAGAATACAGATACCTGAAAAAAACAGTCCTCGAGGAAATGGTAATGGCCCGGGAAATCGAGAAGGTACACATAAAACGAGGAAAACTTCATGAAGACGGCACTCGCGATATATCTATCGTGTCTAAGGCACATGGCAAGACAGACATCACAAGTCACTTAAATATGCCTGAGTCCAGTATCTGGCGCTGGAGGTTGACACCGGACTACGAGACCAAGATAAATAACTACCCCAAACCTCCAATAGAAGCAATCCTTTGGAAACCGGGAGAGAAAGAAGCTAGAAGAAAGGCTCGCGGGGGCATAGATTCTGCGATTCTACAACAGACCAAGAAATACGAAAAGCCGATGGAAGAGACTGGGAAGTTGGACATGTCGATGGGGATAAAAGCTATCAACGATGCGATTTTACAACAGACCAAGGGACATGAAAAGCCAGTAGAGGAGACCGGAAAGCTGGACATGCTGGAGGGCACCAAAGCTGACAGCGATACGCCAATAGCGAAAAGAGTCAAGGCTCCCGAGTTTCCTGCATTCGGCCTCTAGCAGTGATTTTTGCTCAGTACGAACTACTTTGAGCCCGTATCCGTTCATCTTGCGTCATGTCTAGTTGCCGATGAAACCGAATCGACGTTTGCACCATGGTCCTAGATCTCAGACCTGTCATGCGCCCTAAGGCTTCTTCTCATGACCTTGGGTCCCTTGACCAATCGTACATCTAGGGTCTCAGCGGCCCCTCACGGGAAGATCTGATCACGTAGTTTTCTCACTTCCGCCTACATATACCAAAATCGTACATATGCACTGCATCGTGCCAAATATTAATTTCTATGCATTTCAATTTATCAAACATCAATTTTCATTGCACGTTGGTACATTACTTGGTCCCGGATCCGTACACAGCCAGACAGCGTTCTTCAAAGGCTTGCACCATCAGCGTAGATACTTTTCCAAAAAACCTGGCAGAGAGAGCAGAGTGCAACGGATTTTCGAATGCGAAGGCGATATCCAGTGTGACAAGAGTAGGACTGGCGTCAGGAGAATGGCTATCCACAGGTACAGAGTTCTTGGCATCAGAATGGAGCGGGATACCACTTGAAAGGTGAGGGGATATTGATGAAGCTGGTTGGAACCGCCACGTTGTTTGAAGGGTCTTGAAGAGAGGGGTTGAACTCGATGCTTCAGCCTATAAGTTCGAGAAATAGTGACTGTGCACTCCGCCAGAATGACGAAGCAAACTGACCTGGACGGATTCATAAGGTCGACATGTCACCCTGCTAACATAACTCTCCTTGAATGCCAAGAAACCGACCATTAACTCCGCGTCCATCGTGACCACACCATCCTGGCCCACACGTTGTTCCAAGATTTTTGAACCAGTGCAATATGGCACAAAACTGGGATATGAACCAACATCTGCGACTAAGTTGTACAGATCTATGCGTCCGTAACTTTAAGTACCCATCAGTCCCAATGCATGTGGATGTGATCGTCGGGCATAACATACGGAAAAATCTTGCGTTCGTGGTAAGTCTGTGTTGCTGGTTGTTCATCAGATTCAGGCGATGGGGACGAGAAAGGCGAGAAGTTGGGGAGGGTGAAGAAGCCTCTCTGATGAGAGGTTTTGCGACCAGTAACGCATAAACCTCGCTGTCGCACGAGTCGCAGCATCAAGTGAGGTGTTTATTATTATGTAAGTGATGTCCCAGTGACTTGGAGAGTACATGTTCGAAAAATATAGTTTGTCTTTCGATATTTTTAGATAAAACGGCACTTTTCGAGACGGAGGTTCGGAGTAGTTAGAGGAGTTTTTAGGTTCTCGTTCTGTTTAGTTGAATATATGCGCTGGAAAACCATTCCATCTGGCACAGAAAACGGTATTGATAAAGATCCAATAGTATTGAGCGACTTATCGATGGGAATTGTTGATATTAGGGTATAGTAGGGTATCCGCTGGTCCTCGTCCTGCTCGCTATGTCACCTCTCGCGTCTTACTCCTGTTTGACTGCGCCGGGGTCCATTAACGCCAGCGCAAGTTACAAAAGACCCCAGTGAGCAGAAGTCGTAGAACGAGTATGATCATGCTTACCCGCGCTGCGGCCCTTTTGCCATGCGACAGTGAAAATGACATCAGCAGGCGAGGGATTGGGAGGTGCTAACGTCAGAGGATTCGTGGAGCGCACAACAATAGCCTCATTATACAAATAGGTCGCTCCTTTGTTCGAAAAGGTTACTAGCAATTCTCACAGCAAAAAAAAAGAAAGACTATACCTCTTAAAGCGTGACTCCAAGCGCGCATTTAAAAGTAGACATGAAACCATCAGAAGTCAGTTCCTTCATCACAGTCGTCACGAGCAGCTTGGCAACTACGTGTTCGGAACGCCACTGACCTCACCAGGATCAACATTTCGAAGCTCTGAATTGCTGAAAGGTATTCGAGAAGGCGAAATGGTGGAGTGATGCAGGAAATTGATGCTAGAGTAAGAGCATGACAGGGGTGGAGATATTAGGCGAGAAATCAGAGAGAAGTGACCATACTCAATTGGGAGAAGAAACATGAGATCTTGAAGTGAAGTGACTTTCACCAGTCTATTGGTCTGTGTCGCGACGCACTTTCAAGGAAGAGGTTGACCATTGTGTTGAAAAATACAGCGATGGCCCGATTGCAGATACATGACAGTGATGTGAGGCCTCTCGTTCGCAATCTCTGGCTGGAACCAATAGGGAATAAGTTGGTGCTTTCGGCAATTACACTAAAGTAAATCAATTGCTCGCTGCTTTGCATATTGCATAAAACCCAATTCGTCTAGATTCCCATATGACCTACCTCGATTTGTACTTAGACGTCTATTGCTACCTATCGACGATTTTCACTGGGATCGATGAAACATCAGTAAGCGGTCAGGTTCTGAACTTTGATGCCACACCTGCCCCATGACGGCGTCTCAGATCCTCGGTGCAATTGACGAGGATTTGGGCGGTGGGCACACTAGTGCTAATCTAGCATGCGACACAAGGATGATTTGATGATGATCGAGAACGGGGGGGAGTACCCCAGGTGAACTGTCACCCATCGGAGCACCAGGCATGAGAATAGAAAAAAGGAGCCAAAGGAACAGGCCAAGGTCAAATCCCGGAAGGGTAATCGCTGATCACCCGCGGCGTGAACTATAACGAGTTGTCATACGCTGAGCTCGATGTAATATAAAAACGATGTGTACGCAGCGTGTCCTTCGCTACACTGCCTTCGGAGTATGTCATGCCGTACCAAGCGAGCTGCTCCCGCGAAAAAAAAAAAATGCCGCAAGATCCTCGGGCTGCATGTAAGTGAACGAGAATTCAAAGATCAGATCAGCAAGGTCAAACCCCGGGATATTGATAACACCGTTTCCTGTGCACTTAGCGATCAAAACGTGGGCCAGTGCTTCTGAACCGATAACAGAATGTCACACTTCTATGGCCTAGGCAGGTCCAACTGATTATCTTTAGAGTTAGGTAACATCTCAAGCGGGATCGTCAACAAGGTGGATTATGCATACCTTGCTCCACGAAAACATGCTGGTCAACGCTGGGGTCCAAGTTTGGTGCTGCGAAACTGACAGTTAATAGCCGTCGCATTGGAAAGAAACTAGCTATTCAAGAACTTTCGCGCTGATCTTAACTTGTGCTCATGCAGATCAAGAAGTCATGTCCTAAGGTTGCGGAGATCAAAAAATGTCGAGATAAGTTAACTGCAAAATAAACATAGCACACATATACGGAAGAGGGAGCAGACAATCTCTTAATACCTCCAAGAATTGCACGACGAGCCAATTCAAGTTGCAAACAACTCGGTATTCTCTGGGCAGTCCCTTGCGATCTTCAGGGGGACATATCAAGCACTGAAAAAAGAAAGCAAAAAGACAGATAAGACGCACATGCCCCTCTTGTGAACACTTGTAACAAGTCTTGCTTTTAGTCACTCCAGATGTTCCGTCAGCCAAAGTCGAGCCCGGAGCGGCGAGACAGTCCCTAAACATTTTTAGCGTCGATTCGTGATAAAATTTGAGAATCGTCACCTCGCCATATGATTGGGTCCTCCACATCGGTAACATTTCACCGGAGGAAGTGTAGATGTGTTCAGAGCACGTCCCGGAGGAGGTGCACGGGAAGCAAACCCGACCCCAGTCCCGGCACCTGACACTCCAGTAGCCCCACTCGGACAAACGCGAGCAATGTGTCCAAACCGACCGCAATTCTAATATGCAGTAGGACCAGGTAGGTTCAACAGGGCGTCAAGCAACAGACAAACTGTAAACGTACGTAGCACTTTTGATTACCACTTTGAACTCTCAAATTGGGACATTCTGCCTGAATATGACCAACACCACCACAGGAATAACACTGCTTTGCAGCAACAGTACGAGGCGACGGACAAGCTGAAGATTCGTGACCAGGTTGACGACAATTGTAGCAGAGGCGCTGCTCGGAAGAGCAATTTTCAGCAATGTGACCCACTATAATAACATTAGATTGTACAAAAGATGAGCGATGACGCAGGAAGAACTTACAGTTTCCGCACTTGAAACATCCCTTCCTGGAAAACTGATACGCCATATCTACAGTCTCAGATCCTTCTGAGCAGAATTGAAAAATAAGACGAAATTATTGAAGAGAGTGATGTATTCGCACCTCAACACTTCCCTCTTCCAGCGAACCACTAAACTTCTCTTCCCACCTTACTTTGACGAGGACGAGGGTGACGATGAGGAACTAGTTCAATAAGTATGAGAGTCAATTTCGTGACCCGCGTATTTGCAACCTGCCCTGAAGCAGTTAGTAACCCGAGTGGACCCTGTGGCGCAACCTAACCTCGAATACTTAAATTTCAGATTACTTCGAGGCCTTGAAATTGCGAATGGCTTCTCTCGTCTCCGAGTCACCTGCTTCCTAATGGGCCATCAGCAGATGGCAACACGTTCAGTGCGGCACGATCGCCTCTTAAAATGAACCGCTGAGGTTGATTGTCCCGTTCTTGTCAGTAGGTCAAACTGTTGATTGGATCGATCCGGGGTGCTCATCCTTGCGGGACAGTACCCCAAATCAACCAGAATTCTGGCCATTTATTGAGCAAACTCCCAAATGCGATCTGGCCTTTTTTGGCGGGCACACATGTTTTGAACCATTCACGCCATCTTATCGATAGCAACCAATGCCTCCCTCATGTTGTTGCCCTGTCTCTCGAGATCTAGGGTTACATATGCAACCGGCTCTTATAAAAGCATGAGTGCGCAAGGCTATTTTCTCCTTAGGACCCTCAGTTCTCACCTGACGGATAGTCAACATTAAGGTCGGTAATGCCGTACATACTGCGATCTTATCATATTGACAAGTCCACGTTGTTCCATATGTAGTCCTGACCTTCCAGCGGGTAGCCGACCTTCGCGCGCTCGCGCATCGCGCTTCTTGTATGGGCGCTGAGGGATATCCGTTCAGGTAGACTTTCGCTTAGCTCAATGGCGTTTTGTGTTCTCGGACTAACAGTCTGCACAGAATCTTCTTTCTTTTCTGACACCTCTCCCCGCCCCCACAAGAAACGGCGTATCGAGCGACCTAAGCACGGTTCAGCGTATGGGAGGGGGATCGATGATGACGTTCCCAGGTTTCATGCCGCAATCCCGTTTTCATACAACAGACATGCCAAGTCTATGCTTTATGCCTATGCCTTATCCATATGGACACGCACATAATTAGCTGCCTACATTTTACAGTCGGGTCGACCACGTTCAACTACACACCCACTGGGCCACTCTGGTACAAAGCCTACGTATTTTGTGTTTTGGTAACCTTGACGTAAATTTGTAAAAGCACGCGTGAACATGAGACTAGGCACTACGGTCGACTGACCCAATCAAAACCCGCAACATGCACTATACCATACATGCCCATAGCGTATATGCGTGTGTATGAGTTAGCCCATTTGTTTATGTACAAGACTGTATGCGTGTTGCGACGACTCATCACAAAGCGAGTGTAAATGATACAGGCTAGTGAGAGGAAAACGTAATATAATAAGTGGGTACAATAAGTGAGTAAAATTTAAACAAGAGCATGATGTAGTGGCAGGCGGATGAGACGAGAGTATGCAACTACCACTCATCTGAGTGTACTGGGGTTTGTGTTCAAGGATCGGACAGCAGGCTTTGAGCCCGAGTTGTGGTTTGGTGCTCTCGCATTTTTTGCGGTCGATGACAGGATTATCGACGATCACAATCGTTGGAGATTTGACTTGGGAAGGGGCAGGAGTTTCGTGTACGATTCAGGAACTGAGAGACGGCCTGAATCTTTGAATGCCGGGAAGTGGAACATCGTGTGTGTCACCAAAGTCGTCGATGTTGATCAGAACATGTCTGTCTGCACCTTCGACTCGGGGCTCCTCATTTTCAAGTTCCTCGTCACGGAAAACAGTCTCTTCAAGTTCATCATTGAGGCCATTATCACCGACGCACAGTGGGAGTGTTCAAAGGGAGGTTTTCCATCTCAAGTTGTGAGACCTGTGGGCCGAAAAGTTACTTGTATTGGTGTACCCCCATATTTCGTGTAGTGCGCTTGTTCTGCCAGCATGACAGCGCTGGCGAACCTAGGTTAAGTTGTAACTCCGATCGAGGCCTTTAACGCGGAGTCAAGTGCTCCGATATGAAATAGGGATGAGCGTGTGTGTACATGTAATCCCTCTGTACTGTACGTGTTGCGGGTTTTGACTGAGCGTTGTGAGCAATTGCTGGCCTCGCTGCGACCCTTTATACTTCGGAAGCGATCAAGTGCTGCCTATCGCAAACTTGGCACAGCTCGGGGGACCAATCACTGCAATTGACCGCCACCCGATACGTTCTGACCGGTCCTCACTATCCGTGGGCGGCGGGCCAACCGTAGGCGTGATCTTTCCTGGTCCCAGCGACGTTCGCAACAAGCATGTCTAGTCGGCTTCTCGGCGCCGTACACCGTGACATTCCTGAGAGTTTGGAGATATTCTGAACTCAAACCCGTCCTACCATGACTCATTGCGGAAGCGGGAACATGACCATACCCTTAAGGTGTCTGCCTCGAGGCTTCGTACCTATAATAGGTGTACGAAGGAATTGCACGAACAGTGTGGGAAGTTTTTGCCAGGAATTTGCGATATCTGAATAGCAGGAATATTACTTTGATTGTCGAGTGGAACATCGGTGGCTCACCGGTTTACCGATGCCCCGACACTACTCACTGAATACTGCAATCGATGACCGGTCATAATTGCAACAGCCGCACACCCACCCCCGCCCATGGTTGACTGTTCTATATATACTCAATCTGGACATCCGTTTCCGCGGTCACTGCCTATGTTATCGTGGTTTACCATTCTTGTCTGGCTGGTCATTGCTACGCTGGCCTGAGACATCTCAATTCGGAACTTAATGACGCCGAATAATGTTATTGGGTGAGTACCTCATGCACATGTGGGAGTACTGCTTACTACGACTATCGCTTTCACTTAAGTACTGTAACTCATTGCTAATGTTAGGCTTATCGCAACCCTGGAGGCGCAGGAGGATCGCCCTTACTTTAGACCACACCAGAGCTCTGCATTGACTGTTATCCTGTCATCATGAGTGTCGAGAAGCGTACACAGTCTATTGATCTCTCTCACCACCTTTCCGAGCTATCAAAGGCTAGGCAAACTTCTCCGTTGAAGGGGATCATGAAATACTTCGCACAGCCAGGAATTCTGTCCCTCGCAGGAGGTTTGCACTTCTCGTCTTTTAATTTGAATATATTCAAATTGACTTGGCAGGATTGCCTAGTCCTGCGTATTTCCCCGTCTCTGACATTTCTGCAAATGTTTTGGTACCAGAATCATTTTCTCTCTCTCCGACCGAGCCGTCCACCTCTTTGTCATGGCTATGGAAGTTATTTGGTAGTCACAATGCAACAAAGGAGAAGACGCAGGCGATCACCATTCCCAAGTACCCGACCGTTAAAGAAGATATCAACCTAGCTACCTCTCTTCAATATAGCCAAGCAGTGGCCCAGGCACACTTACAAAATTTCTTGAAACAGTTCACTTCCGAGGTCTATCGCCCAGCTTTTGAGGACTGGACCATCCTTGTTGACACTGGTAACACAGACGGGTGCGTCAGTTCAGTTACGTTACAATGTTTGTTTGTTGTGACGATGGTCATTTAGGTGGTCGAGAGCCGTTATGACGCTGTGCAACCCCGGCGAAGGCGTGCTGTGTGAAGAGTGGACCTATCCCTCCGCCGTAGCATCGATGATCCCTTTCAATATCAAGCCTGTACCTGTGGGCATGGATGCATTAGGTATGAAGAGTGACGACCTCGAGAACTTGCTGTCGCAATGGGATCCAGTTTCACGTCAGATGCCGAGGTAAGAGGCTTTACAGATACAGAATTTCTCCCGTATCTAAACCTCGCTTAGGCCTCATGTTATGTACATCGTGCCTGTCGGACAGAACCCAAGTGGCTCGGTGAGCATACCTCTTTGCGGATCAGCCTGGGAATGGATTCTAAAAATTGATGCATGCAGACGATGAGCGTCGCTCGCAAGAAGCAGATTTATGATATCTGTGTCAAATACGGTCAGCACACTTTTGAGGGAATCAATAAATCGACTGGCTAAATGAACTGGCCGTTTAGACGTGATAATTGTCGAAGACGATCCTTATTATTTTCTTCAACTGGGAACGTACATATCTAAAGACGACAGGTTCCCCGGTGCAACGCCTTCCGGAAAACCATCCGCCGACGAATCCAAGCGCTATCTCTCCACTCTGACCCCTAGCTTTTTGAAGTATAAGCTCTTCATTTGTCACATTTTTCCGTCTGACAGTTCGGTTTAGTTTCGACTACGAGGGACGCGTGATCCGTCTCGATACCTTTTCCAAGGTAGGGCATGGACACTTCATTTCTGTATTTCCATTAGGTTGAACGTCCATTTGGCAGACCATTGCTCCTGGTAGTCGACTAGGATGGTTCACGTGCAACCCTGTCTTTGCAGAGAGGTTAGAAAGGCAAGGAGAAACAACAGCTCAGGCCCCGTGTGGCTTTGGACAGGTATTCGTGATGGCGCCTCGTCGAGTGGTCGCATTTGAAATTCATTTTACAGGCCGTCATAACGAAGATCTTGACACATTGGACCTACGATGGTTACATCCGTTGGCTCAGGGGTGCGTAGCTGCGCCCACCTATTCGAATCACCAGTGACGCAATTCCCATCAGGTTTGCGAACGGAGTATCAGCAACGCCGCGATTTCTTTATTGATTGCCTCGCAGATGAGTTCCATTTGCATGAGGTTCCTGCAGTCTCAGGCGTCTGGGAAGGCTGCATCGTGTACCAGGCATCGTCTCAAGTCAAGAAGAGCACGGGTATGACCGAGAAATACTCGGCCCGGAATCGTACGATGTTCAGCTTCGTTCCCCCAGTCGCGGGAATGTTCGTATGGGTAGGTTTGCCCGTTTGCTTGCATACTGTATCCATTCTAAGCCTATATCAGATGAAACTTCATCTCGACCAACATCCCTCATTCGTACCAGGAGATGAGGATACCTTGGAAACAAAGTTGTGGACGAAGTTGGCAGAAAATGGTGTGTTGTTTGGGCCAGGTTGGATGTTCTCAGCCAATGCGATGGCCGAGGGCTCCGATAACAACGACTCCGGCCACTTCCGTATCAGTTTCAGCAATGGCGAGGTACGTGTTCCAAATTTAATGCAATCGAGCAATTTGATAATGTCCTGGCTTCCGAAGTTCACCGACTTCAAGAAAGCGATCACTATCTTTGGACGAGTCATCCGAGAGTTCTTTCAAGAGGATCTATAGTTGCTGTTCTAGCAATAGTGACATTTTTTTCTGTCTTATGCATTTCACACGACCTATTGACTAGTGTGTCATTGTTTTAACCGGGATGGTTCTTGTATAATCTATGTACCACTAAGGTAGACGAAAAATTGGTCATGGGAAGGGGCGGCTCGCCGCAGGCGAGCCGAGAAGCTTGGAAGGGGTCAGCCTTCGGAAGTCGGAAAACCATCCCAGGGGGAAGCCTCTGGAAGTACTGAAACTTCGCCATGATTCACTCCAATGAGATTAAGATGGGCAGTGTTCAATAATACTGCACAGTTGACCTTGAACAATGTTGAACGTTTGAATGCCCACTGCTGCTCATGCATCACAAAGTTCCCAACAGAAATTCAAAGTGGTTCGTGAACCTGGTCTGGACTATCTAATTTAATTCTTGGCCTGTTTAATTTTAACGGTGAGAACATGCTTCTTCTGCTAAAAACCATAGCAAATCTTATTTTATTACAGGTGTTAAATCTAACCTGGTTTCCAGTTGCCTGATGCTCAGTTGTGTCAATGCCGCCTTCTGAACATCATGGTAGGCTATACTATTCTTCTCTATTATACTGGATACTAACATCATCTTATCTTCCTTAGGACTGTCGTCCTACCCACTCACCACTCCCCACATCTGCTCACGCCAGTTCTGGACCGTCGTCCTACCACTCACCACTCACCACTCCCACAATCTGCTCACACATCCCTCTCACTGCTCACACTCAACCTCAACCTCAACAATATCACTCACTCAAATGTCTACTCACCGCAACCAAACATTCTCTCAAATATCACTCACTCAAATGTCTACTCACCGCAACCGAATATTCTCTCAAATATCACTCACTCAAATGTCTACTTACCGCAACCAAATATTCTCTCAAATATCACTCACTCAAATATCTTACTTACAAGCTCAAATGTCCTACTTACTCTTTCCTATATAATTCACTTGTCCTCGTCTTTGACATCCTTATCCTTGTTCTTTTTCTCACTCTTGTCCTCATTCTTGCCCTCATTCTTTTCCTTTTCCTCCTCCTCCTCCTCATCTTCATCTTCTTCATCGTCTCCATCCTCACCATCACCATTTGGCATCACCTGCCTGTTTATTTTTGACACTGCACACTTCACAGCAGTGATCCACATGGCCTTGGTGATATTTTCGGCCTGCTTGAAGGTACTTGAGTGTTTGTACATGTCTTGTATCATGCTTTGTTGAAAGCCTGAGCAGTTTGCAAGTCTCTCCACTTTCTCTTCAAATCCAAACTTCATGAACTGCACGACATCTGCAGTGTGGATTCGAGGGTCTATGTGAGGGACCCTGGCATTGGCCTCCAGACTGCCGTTGGTGGTGACAGCTCTCTCGTTATTTTCAATCTTGTTTGTCTGGCTAGCGCTGGTGCCCATTTCGCTGAAAGTAGACGAGGAAGTGTGCAAGTGTGGTGTCATTGAGTATATTACTGTGTACCATAGCTCTCGTTAGCTTAAATCTGCTTCCCTGAACCAATATCGTTAGGAAAATTGAATGTCTCAACCCACCAATCAGAAATCAAATCAATGGTGACTTGGTGCAGCAGTTAAACCAAAAATTGAATAATGCTAGTGTGGTGGTTAAAGTAGTCAAAAGTAAAAGAGTCCTGACCCCTAAAACACGTTTTTGTTCCATCTCCCGCCACCCAAGTACACGCACAATTTCACCATCACACACATGTCAGTCTTTGAACCGAAGACAGTCCTCACTCTTCTCAAGCACTCGACGGCTGTCTTCCTTCTTGAGAAAAACACCTTTGAGAAAAACTGGAGGGCTAGTGTGAGTTTCTTGAGTGGCTTGAAGTGCACTTCGTACACACCTTTAATCCTTCAACTAACAAAAAAACAAGGTAGAAAAACGAGTCAGAACATGGAATGAGGCGTGCAGCCATATGAACAACCCACGTTCACAGTTTCAGCTACAGTGGGAATCCAAGATCGTTGAGTATGTCCAGCTCCTGTGGGAGAAGACAAGAACACAGTCAAAGAGAGGTGAGCCCAGCAAGCTAGGAGTGAACATCCCATTGCTTGGGCCTCAGTTTATGCCTCCTTCATACCTGCACATCCAAAAGCGGTCAGGTGGTGGAGCCATTGAGCCGAAGATACAGTACCTCAAGCCGCTCAATATTGTGCACCCGTTCTACTACCCACAGCTTGCATGGTGTCCGAGATGCAGGTCTGACAAGGACACAACCTGGGAGAGATGGACAAGCAAAGGCCCCTCGAGAGTTGCATGGTATGTTCTGCGAAGAGATGGCTCTTGGTGCTCAACTGCATTGCAACCGCTGCAAGGAGATGTCAAAGTCGATGCCAAAAGCTAGGAATGGCACCACTCACAGTTCAGGCTTGGACTCCAGCATTGAGGGCTACTGCTTCACAATGACCAGCACAATATATTGGAAGTCCTGGGAGCACTGGAGAATACCGTGTGAGTCTTGTGTGCATGGCAGAAGTAATAGAGATCTGACTTACTTGGGCCTTGGCAGGGGGCATACCAATCTTTTTCTACCGGTGTGCATTGATGCAGGACTTGTTCGATCTGCTCGTCAAGTTGTGGCCATCTTCGACATCTGCCGGTCTTGAAGAATGTATTCGGTGTAAGTATCCATGCTCTGTCATTGATGCATTAACTAAACACACCTACATTAGAGCTGCATCTGTTTGAGTATAAGTACCGAATGCTGGAATATTTTGAGGCATACAGCACTTATGAGTCATTGAACAGCTTGGCGAACTCACTCACACTTGGACATTACTTCAATGGCGCTGCTGGTGGCATGACCACGGGAAGACAACCTGGGCTTCAAGTATTCTCAGAACTGGATGACCAGCTTGGCTATGATAATAAGTCAATCTCACATGAGATCATCACTGAGGTCTTTCTTGATTTCATGACTCACACCAGGCAGAAAGAGAGCACGCTGTACTTAAAGTCACTATCTGGTAAGTACTACAAGGCCAAATAAGCACGCACATAGACTTACTCACCATTTCTTTGTCAGCAATATGCGGTTCTCTCAATAACACCTTCAAGGCAGCAAACAAGGCGACACTGACAAACAAGGACGGACAAAAGACAAGGGAGATCAAGGGTGGGATACTCACTGTGCTGAATGAAGCAATGAGATCATTTCTTGAGTGAGTGCTTCCATCATCTGAATTTGAAAAGTTGGAGGCTGATAATATTGCCCTGTTTGAAAGCGGTTCTGTCAGATGCGTGCAAATGCTGAGATCATGGAGCTACTGTGTGGCCTCAAGCGACGCCACAATGTCCTCAATCTCCCCCAACCAAAGATGATAGTTGCCGACAACTGCTGCCACATTCACAGTGCAGTGGCTTCTGCCATGCCTGAGACGGAGGCCAAGCTGGACATCTGGCATTTTAGTGCAAGGTATGTAACTTCGGCATGAGCTATACTACTCTGGTTAACAGGAACCCTCACATGAAGATATGTTGCTGTGATCTTGAACACGAGAAAAAGCCCATTCCATAGTGCCATTGCTGCTGATATTTCGGGCGCGATCCTCAAGAAACATGCAGAACATGGATGTGGAGCAGAGTATTGGGATCGGGGTGAACAAGAGCAGCACCTTCTTGCAGCTTTTGATAAATGGGCTGAGAAAGGTGTGGTCAGCAGCGGCTCAGAAGGTAAGTCTGCCTGCTTCATTAGGAGCGGAAATCGAGTCTGACACCATCATATTCTACTAGGTACATCAAGAGCAACTCAAACACATCCGAAAAGGGTGCCTTGAGCGCTCAGATCAAGACCTCCGGTCTGACGGCAGCCGTGTTGAAGGCATGCACAAAGGCTGGAACTCGTTGCAGTGTGCCCAACCAAGTGGGATTGTGATGTTGTCTGCACTCAGTCACAACTTCGTCCTCTGTCGAAACATTCGGGTTGCTTCCAGTAGACATCAAATGATGCCCTTTGTCAAATTCACCCACGGCTCCCACCACATCCAACTCTCTAACCATGTCGCAAAACTCTAAAACAGACTGTGTGAGAAGGACATATGGCTGCTTCCTCTACCAGAACTCCCAGATGTCGACTCCGGCAAGACCTTTGGACTGGTCACATCAGATAATGCAACCACATTTGGTGGTTTACTCATCAAGGAAGAGACTCTGGATGCCGAACTCACCACACACGACTTTGAGGTTCACACAGATAGCTTCACCGGTGGGACTGTAGATTTTGCAACTGAAGCCAGCTGCAGCATCATGATTGAGGACTGGCAGATTGATCCAATCCTCCTTGATCAACCTGCTGCATGGCCACTGCTGCTGCACACTGCCAATGGCTCTGTGAATGTGTCCAGTACCAAGCCCCCAACAAACAGTATGGTGAGTATGGCATCATAACTCACCCGTTTTTTCATCTGTTTGCTGATGAACTGTTCTAGAACGCTAGTGTTCTTACTGCCAAAGTCCCACCTCCCTCTCTGATCAAATGCAAGGCCATTTGCATCTTGCCTAACTCCAATGACAAGTCCAACAGCGCTACTACAAAACGACCTTGGACTCTGGGTCCAGCCAGTACCAAGACACTTGATGGCTACTTTTCTTCAGGCCATCTTCTAGCATGGCATGGAGAGCCTCCCAGTAGTGCCACAGAGGTATGTCAGTCCTCACCCCCAATTAACGATACACACACAAAGGTATGTGAGTTCTTGCCCCCAATCAACAATACACACGCGCCCCCGACTAACAATACACATGTGCCCCCGATCAACAATACACATGTGCCCCCGATCAACAATACACACGCAAAGGTATGTCAGTCCTTGCCCCCGATCAACGATACACATGCAAATGCTAACATCCTAAATTCTTGCAGGCTGCCAGCACTGGCATCAACAAATCAGTCACTGTTGCAGCAGGCCAGACCCAATCCCAGCACTTGTTCTCCATCGCAATGGGTATTGATCCTCGCTCACTGACACTTCAACACTCAGACAAGTTCTACCTGTTCATGAACATGCGGGCCGAGTTCAAGTGGCTGTCATACTAAATGACTTTAAAGCGCTGGGTGCTGGCAATGGAGGAGTTCAATCGCTGTCTTGTTGAGAAAATGGGCCCATCAGTCATCCAGAAGAACCCACAGGCCCTCCTGCGCGCACTGGGTGACATTGAGCCCAAACTGATGAACTGCATCATCAAAGACCAGTATATCTGTGAGTTATCAATATTTTCCTTGCATTCACTCTGTGTTTTCTGACATCTAGATTACAGCAAAGAGGAACAACGAGACATTTTGGCACCATCATTGTTCTGTTGTGCCCCTCGTCAAGGAAGAGCAAGGGAAAAAGGTCAGTCCCAGTCCAAGCCCTTGCTCTGGTGTTCAGGATGCTGAAATTGCTTATTTAGCCCCAAAAAGCACAGACATGCTCACGCTGCCAAACCATCATGTACCCTGGCCCTGAAAACTTACCACTCAACCACAAGCGCAGCTACTGCGCTGATGGTGTCAAGCAGGTGTCGAAGAGCGGCGAAGATCTCCCTCCCTGGCCTCAGCCTCAAGGCCTGTTCTCCAAAGGCCGCACATACCACCCGCACACATTTTTGTTGGCAGTTCAGTGCATTTATGAGTGTGTCTTCATGCAGGGACTGGGAGAGATGGACTTGCTCAAAATGGAGGCCTTCGTGAAGCTGCTTGCCTCATGCACTGAGATCCACGAGGATGGCACAGTGCTTTTCCGTTTGTTCACAGACTTCATTGTTGACTTGTCGACCCCCTGCGACCGCATCATTACCCACGACGACAAGCAGTGGCTCAGGATCAACTTCCTCCAGCAGCTGTAGAAGAGTCAAGATCCATGTTTGTGTCTTAATATTTCCCCTGCTTTGTGCCCTCCTTCCCTCACATTAATTCCTCACACTAATAGTTTTACTTGTGATGAGTCTTGGACACTTTGTCTTTCCCCCAGCCAATTCATGCAGTTTTTGTTTTAAGGGCTAGGGCTTGAGACCCCCAGCACATTCAGACATTTAGAGAGGCTCTAAGAAGGAGGGGTAGGTATGTTCATTGACTCCTTTGCTCATCATCCCCCACTGCCGTCGCTGTTTGCCTTTGTTGCCTAGGGCAAAATTGAACTGGTCACGTGATCTCAAACTCATGTGCCTTTGAAATGGTCGAAACGGTCTGTCGGTCTTTGAAAAATGGTCAGACCATTTGTAAGCCTCCCCTTCCCATGGTGCAGCTGCCAGGTAGACGACATCGAGATTGGAGTCATTAGACCACTGCACTCATGTGATCACGTGATCATTCCCAATGAGGGAAATTCATAATCACTACTAGATGGTCACGCGGGTTCATGTGTCTCACCAGTTCGTGTTTTCACTCTAGCACACGCAATTCTACACAGAATCCTTATGTATGTCACACATAGGTTTTCCCCAGCATAATACACATTGTCATATTTTTTTTGTGAAAAAAATTTCGAGTGATTCTCATGCCAGGGTTCATTTTATAGTGCTGAAGGCTAGTTTTACACATAGAATGCACACTCCAGCAGGCACATCATCACCGAAAATTCTAAAAAGCTACACTGTAATTGTACATGATTAGGCCATGTTAAAATAAATATTTCTGAGACTATTTTCTTCATAGAATGAGGTGCAGTACAAGAAACACAACCAGACATGACAATCCACCCAAAGTGTGATGTATGAATTGAGATTCTGCTGTGCTGAAATGCGGCACTTCACACATATGTGTCTATTACTTAGTCATGCAGAGCATGAAATGGTTTGATGGCAGGGTGTGACATAGTGTGACAAAAACGCGAACCCTTGAGACAATCCTACACTGCTACACAGTAACTCTCCACTAGACTCAAATCTTCAAATATTGAGAATAAAACTAGCAGGCATCATACTTTCGACATCAGGCTATCCAATGGTGAAAGAATTTTTCATTTTGGCCCAGACGTTAAGGAGCTATTGTTGTTGCAAAAAAAAAAAAAAAAAACATGTACTCTGGTGACCATCTAGTGTTTTCTCTGAAAATCAATGACATCAAAAAATTATGTTTTTAATCAAATTTACTTGTGTTCACTGATTTTTTTGGGTGGAATGATATTGATATTGTCAACTAGCACTGTGTGAAACCACAGATTATCATGGCAGGTAATGAGGTGGGAATCAGCATATTCTGATGAAATCTTGCTGTGATCACATGAAAATCCTCTAGTCATGAGGATATTCTGGTGTTGGCTTAAACATTTCCACATTCTCTACAAATTATATGTGGATCCTCATCACATCATATGACATTAGGAATTTAGGCTGTTCATGTACTATTTTTCCTTATGCACTACTTAATCATGCTTGCTGTTATGGATTTGGATAGTGTCTGTTGGTAATACTCAAACAAATATGTGTCATTAATGGTTGAGGACATCCTTGGGCTAGCCCAAGGGTTGCAATTCATCAGCAAATTCCCTACAAGATTGTACATGCTTACAATATTTGCCTTCACGTGATGTGTTATGATTGCTTTGCAAATCTAACCAATTAATTGTAATGATTGTAAACTAGTTGTGTGACACTCTGTATATTTCAAATCCAGCCATCAAATACAATCATATTACAAACCATCTGCAGTACTGCACACTTCATCCAACTTGAAGTTGGATCTGCTAAGTTCATTCAATTGTTGGGCAATACATTGTTGCATTTCAGACTAATCATTCAACTACACTAAGATTCTAGTTATTCCATATGCAGCCAATTGCACTTCCAACAAGTGCACCTTTTGGGCTTCCTCACATCACTTGATTTCCGCCTCACAACACTTGATTTCTGCTTCCCAGCAGTACAAAACAAGTCTTTGGATGTACATCTGAGAGACCATGACAGGCACCGGTGTTTGGCGGTAGGGAGGAACAGGTGTCTCAGGCACCTCAGTTATTGTGGAAATTGGATGTGCAGGGATGGGTAATATCTCCAACGTCGATGATCTGTCAGGTCTGTTCATGAATTTCAACAGTGGTACCCTCCTGATAAGTTTTGGCCTGCAGGATTACAAGGCATGTCTGTTAGTGGGTCTGCCATGAAGATCGAATCACATACCATTTGACTTGGACTGTTCCTGCCTCTGTCATTGTTTCAACATCTGGGGACTGTGAGCGAAATTTTCTGCAAGTCTGTGTGAGTCAAACACCAAGCTTGCTTGGATATTTTGTTCATATCATTTGTGTAAGTTTTCTTTCTCTGAGAGAGTCCATTGAGCTGAACTTCTGTGACTTTCATGGAGATGACATTAATAACCTCAAAGAGAAGATTGCTCATTGGCGCTGTTTTCCAAGTCTCAACCCTTCAGTCTTTGTCTCTGTGTGTCATACTCTCGGTTTCAATAACAAGTGCACTGGAAAGTTGCTGTACCCTGCAAACCATGACTATTCTGACCCTTCATGAGTCTTTCTTTTGAAAGTATGATGTTGTTTTGCCTACAAACACATATGGAAGAATTCAAGATGACCTTCATGATGGGTTAATTGTGGTCACATCTTCACAGTTCCCCAGATTTCTTTGGCTCAATGAGATGGTCAACCCAGGTGACTTTTTCAAAGGCTGGTTGGAGAATGAGCTACTTGTTCAGGTGTGTAGTATTGCTTGTTACCGAGTCCTTACAATGGATGCAATATTTTCAAAGATTGTCAGTGACTATTAGAATTAAGTGAGATTACATTTGAAGAGTAATTTGGCATGTCACAAATGTAATTGCCTGCATAATGACTGTTGCTGATTGTAATGGTTGTAAAAGTTGGTGACAATTACAATGCATTCACAACTGAATGATAATTGAGCATAATTTTATAGGTAATTTGCTTATGTTAGTGTCTTTGGCAATTACCTATGTCCAATCAGGTAGCTTATGTAAGGTGATTAGCCTCTCAACAAGTGTATCAGCCAGGTGTCATATACTGCATGCCATACCTGTTCTGGTGCTCATTTCTGTCCCTTCAGTCACTTTTCTACCTCTGTTCTAGAACTTGTTTCTGACCCATCAATTTCTGCTAGACCTGTCCTGGGTTTATTATCTGTCTTCTTTTTGTTCATTGCAGTGACACACAGGAAAAACAACAATCTGAAAGATAAACAAGTGTATCTTAGTCATGTACTTCACCCTTGGCAGCACTTTGACGATGTTTCCACAGTATGTAAGATCCAATTTTTATGTTGCAGACAAGTAGTCTGTAAGACCTCATCTCTCATGAGGTTCCTCCCCTTAATTTCAGGTTTTCTTGCACCTCTCCCTCACGAGCATCGCTACTTGATATTTGGAGAGGGTGGGTTTGACGTCTTCTTGATGCTTGCTTTTGAGCCTCTGCAAATAACCTCTCTAGATGGTATCACCATCTGATGATTACCATCTCCATATGTTGCTTTTGATGTCAGCGAGTGTGATGATAGATGTCTTTGTAATCCTCTAGAAGCATAATATGTTTCTATGATACTTCCGTCAAATGTTTTTTTTTTTGTTCATCCTTGTTCCAGTGTGATTCAGACACATAAGTATGCATTGATCAGTATATAGTAGATACAAAGGCACTTGTAAATACATCAATGGGCAGAAAGGTCAGACACAAAGCCTCACAGTGTAGTTATATGATGATAGATTACTCAATATATGCACAGGGAAAGGAATCCAGTCAAATGCAGCTGAGGAGGTCTGCAAGTCTAAGGAACTCATTCTCCATCCTTGAGGCCCTCAGGATACTCGCTGGGATACTCATGCCTGTATCCATGTTGATATTTCCCTCCCAGATCAAAATATGCACTGCTTGGAGGATGCCAATAACTCTTGGCATAACCATCATAACTATCTTGAGAGTCATGATATGGAGCATCATGATATCCACCCTTGTGATACTGAGGTTGAGGGCCATGAGAGGGCTGATGAGGACAAGACTGAGGGTCATGAGGAAGCTATGGAGTATGATGCATAGTACAAGGATCATGATAATAGTTAGACTGGGGGTACTGAGTGAAGCCTAGACCATAGTGCGGCAGTAATGGACCTCTTGGGTGTGGGTCATACATTGGTCTGACCTCTGGATCATGCGCCTGCATCATGGTGTGATTCTTAGCATTGATGACTCCATTAGTAGATGTGGCTGGTAGCTCAGGCTCAGTATGTCATTTATAATGTGATTGTGGGACTTCCATGGCAGGTTCACCCGCACTCAGCTTTGCATGGGGAAGTCCTAGGCGATCTGATTGGCCGTTTGCAAAAAGATGATGCCCTCCTTCATGAACACAACCTTCTGCGGGAGGTGCTCCTTCTAATATTGGCATCTTGGAGATGAGGAGTTTAGCTATAAAGAAGGATCTGCTATAAGCATGTGCAAAATAACATAGATTAAAACATACCTTGCATAGCCTCAGAAACCTTTTTGACCTGCATAGAGCCTACCTTCAAGGCCACAACCAAAATCCCAGCCTCCTTCAGAGTCAAATTAGTGATTCCTTTGTTTGAAGATGTATGGAAATCACCAGGGAGCAACACATCCTTTGGATATCCCTTGATGATTATCCTAAGAACACGAAAACTCAGCCATTGAGCAAAACAACTATATTAATGTACTGTACCTAAGGACGTGAACACTAGGTACAGATTAGCATAGTTTTATACAAAAGAATATGATGCTCACCTTAGCTGTTGAGCGAAATGACTGAGGGACAACAATGAGGAACAAGTACACTAATAGTGGTCCGCTATCCAAACATTGCCAAACAATATTACTGAGGTTGTAATTACATCAATTATCAACACTCCCACTCGAGTGAGGTAATAGGCCAAGAGCCTTTGTGAATTTTTGATGTTTCTCCTTGGACAATGCTTTTGTCATGATGTCAACAACCATGTCCCCAATCGGACAATAGTCCACGATGGCCCACTTCTTCTCGTTTTCTGCATCGTGCACATAATGGTACTTCCGCCCAATAGGCTGCTGTAGAGATTTGCACTATTACAGGCTTACAACACATTATACTTCAGCTTATACCATCCAGTTTTGCAGCACCAACTTGCAGCATCATTCCCTAGCCTTTTCCCAGCTATTTCCATATCGGGCAATACTTTCCCATGTCACACAACCTTCCTGCACCTTGCTGTCCTGCATGATGTGGGAATCATGTATGAATATGAATACTAGGTGACCTTCAAAAGACAAAGTCTGTTAGCTTACTCCTTAGACTAGTCAACCAAGGACCATGTTTCAAATCCTGCCAACTGCATTATTTTGAGACTGTGTTTCAATTCCCGCCAACCATATTATTTTTTTCAAGACCATGTTTTAATTCCTGCCAACTGCATTATTTTTGAGACTGTGTTTCAAATCCTGTCAACTGTATTATTTTTTTTACCTACTTTTCTTTGGTGTATCTTTCCTAGTAGTCTCATAGTCTTTTGTAGTGTTTCTTTACTTTACTTTTTCATTAGAAAGCTTTGACTCACCTGATACTTCATAAAATTATACCTACAGGATATGATGTCATAAGGCTCCACAGATACTCCTGCAGGTATTCTGTTGAAAGATATTATGTCATCAAGCTCTAGAATATTCTACTCCACAATGATGTCATAGCTCCCTATTTCATTCTTTTATTAGGGTTTGACCCAATATTTTGATTGGTCCTCCTTATTTTTTCTTGTTTGTGAACCTAGGTTACTTTCCCATGCTAAATGTATATAAGGAGAGCCAATTCTCCCCCCAAAAAAATAAATGTTCCATTTTATTTGGAACAAGACATCTTACTTGTTTGAGATCTCTCATTTGTGAACATCTGTCTGTCAGATATTTTGCTTACAAAGCCAGTACCTTTGAAGTGAAACAAGTGTAGGGACACTGAATCCCTTGAGATTACATAAGTTTCTCACTATAGAGACTTGTGACATTTGAGACCAGCTTCTCACTATGTGTAACAAATTGACCAACTATGAGTTTTGGTCAATATCTTCGTATTATTGAGACTACATCTCAACCAAGTAAAGTATATTCAAGAGCACAGTCCAGAGCCTAGATGGTTTATCCTAGGCTAGTTTATTGTATATTTGAGACCAGCTTCTCACCATATGTTACAAATTGACCAACTACAAGTTTTGGTTAATAGTATTGTATATCTGAGACCACGTCTCTACAGAGAACCCTACTTTTACGAAACTGAGTTACAAGTCTAGAAGCTTATTCCTAGAGAAGAGATTTGAGTTTCAATAAAGAAAAGTTAAGCTCTGGCTAGGTTGATCTTAATAAAATTAGTTTAGTGAGCCTCCCAAGAACTCACACATTATCTACCACAAAATAGGAAAAGTCATAGACCGTGTTAATTGAGGACTGGCAAGAAGTCTCATCCAAGTGTAATTATGGTATCATTATATTCTTACACAAATTTATATAAGACCCTCAGTTATTAAGACATCACAATGCCCTCGCATCACTCAATTTCCCGTACTTTCATCGCCCTATCATCCAGAAGCATCCATCCACTGTCCAGCAAGTCTCACCGGTATGTATTTTTGCATTTTAGTCAATATAGCACCATATTAGAGCATGGACCCTGGCTTACATACATTATTACATACATTATCTCCTACTTGGCTTGGCTCAGTCTCACTTAGCGAGATACATATATAGGTCTGCATTTTTCACTCTTTACACATTACACCACACCTGACCTTAGTGGAGTTCCCCCATCATGTCCATAGCTAGAGTCAGAAGCTATTAGCAGTCTTTTAGTTGTTATTCATTGAGCCCATAACCTTCTTGGTTTGACTATGGTGACCACTTCATCAACTTCATCCCCTCCAGCCTTTTCATATGACTTAGGTGATGTGCCTTTAGGGATGACTTCAAAGGAAATGACTCATATTGCTGCTATACGCACCCTTCTTGTTTCCCAGTTGTCGTCCAATGACAAAAACCTGGATAAGTTAAAAGGCTCCCTATCTCACAAGAATATTGGACCTCTCAAGTTTGTTTGCAAGGCCTTGCAATGCATTTCCCAAAAATCTAGTCGATTATTCAGAATTGACTATGTCAACGCTCTTGTTAAATGGGTAAGTTCTTAATATGTCCCTTTTAGTGAGTCTCCTATGTTTGTTCTTAGCGCCATGAAAAACCTTTTGCTGCTCTGGAGGAGGAGCACCAGCTTGGTTCTCTAGATGCCCTCAATCGTATTTGAGACATTATCCAAGAGATAACTGTTCCATCTTGGTTTACTTCAGCCCCAAGTGATTTTGGAAGTGCATCTGCTGGGATGATGAAAGCAGATGAGTGGCACTCTTTAATCACCATTTATATTCCTATTGCCCTAGTGAGCCTGTGGGAGGATGGCACCTTACATCCTTCTAATGAACTCGGTGCTCATCTTAAAGCTGTTCTCAACCACACTATGGAACTTGTTTGTGAGGTCTATCTCACATGTGCCTGAACAATGACTGCAGAGAGGACATGTACATATCACTCCCACATTGCACATTATATTGGAAATCTGAAGTCTATACACCCCACCTTCTCTTTGCATCCCAATCACCATGCTGCCTTCCATATATACAACTATCTACTTCTATTTGGCCCTGCCCACTCTTGGTGGTGCTTTCCTTTTGAATATTTAATTAAAATACTTCAGCATCTCCCAGTGAATCACAAGATTTGTGAGTCTTTATGGAGTACCAGTGTAGTAGTAGTCTGATTATTTTTCAAGGCAAGTTGGAAACTACCATGTTATATTTCTTTATCAAAACTTCAAAACTTTGCTCTTGGCTTAGTTGACCAGATTGTCCACCAGCTATCCAAAAATACAAAGTTTTGTTTGATAACATGTATGTTCCCAAGAGTGCTATATCTGTTGGTGAAGAACTTGCTGAGAATCCTTTGGATGACAGTTTACAGGCTCCTTCCTCTGCTAGGGCTGTTCCTGTTCCTGAAGACTTTCATGTGCTCATCAAATGATATACAGCAATATTACATGTACGACTAAAATTTAACAGCATTATTTACAACAGAACCTCTACTCATATCTAGAATAATCAAATTTTTTTTATCCTCAAGAAGATCAGCTATCATCTTCTGTCCCTAGCCATATTTGACATATTTATACTAAACCCACAGGTGAACTAGTATTTGCTATACACAAACTCCTCCCACATCATGATCAAACCATCAATCCATTTGCTATGTATCCTCATTTCTCTGCTAAATTGCACTCGTCAAATTTCAGTAGTCAGTTGGAAAATGTCAAGGTGTCCTGGGTTGTTGGTCACTTTGCTCAATGGGTGGTTTCGAGTGATACCATGTTATACTATCTTGTGCAAGTTTTATTCACTTCCAAAATCACTGGTATCTGACAACTGTAAAAACAGGATTGATCACAACATGTTGTAACTACATATATAAGCATGTAACTCAGTTCACACAGATTATCATGAGTGGGTGATCATCAGGTGATCAATTTTATCTGGAGACAAAACTTCATGATGTGTCTTCCTGTTTTATCATCAGGAGGTATTTTAAATTTTGACACCTGTCTGAGTGGTGGTCTAAACTTCATACATTAGCAAACATTCAGTTACATGTGATGGTTGAAGTTTTTTCAAGTTTTAAATGTGAAGTTTCATTTCAAAGTTTAGGCCAGCATCAAAAATATATTTATATTTCTTATTGTCAATGATGTTAAGCCAGCAACAAAATGTTTGCTGATGCTTTATATTTCTCTTGTCATGCAAGATCTCTTTAATATTTGAAATTTTACATCTGCTTAGACGACAACCTATACATTAAATATTATGTTCACATTTTGCATGACATTCGAACCTGTCTTAAATATTGCAAGCCCGTAGAAGCTGGAAATCTCAAAAGGTCAAGTTGTCCATCTGTCCATGCTGGCACCACCTGTCCCACCCACCATGCAGGCATCCTGAATACATCCTGTAGACCATCAAATCAGACAGTGTCCAGAATTCACAGATGATGCGCATGAGAATGTATTTTGATGGTGGGCCAATCAGATGTGAGTTATTTTATCATAAATACCCTTCCCAGACCCCTGCTCATTGTCATTTTCCTTTGTTCCTGCCCTCATTAACAATCCAGTGTATCTAATCTTCCTCTATCCCTGCTCTTGTGCCTATCCTTGTTGATACTTGCTCAGTCCTGTAATTATGCCTGACAGACCTCGCTCAGAGTGGACCATCACATGTGGCACTTGTCATAGAGATCTCAAATGGTTTGTTTGCAAGACCGATGCCAATGGAAACAAAGGAAAATGGATGGGCTTGTGTAAGTACTACATCAGTAAAACCTTGTAAGTATTTTCTGTTATTATGTCACTTTTCTCACCTTGTCACAAGTGATAAGGTGCAAAAATCAATCTAAGGAGTAATAAGTCATTTTTGTTTATTTTTCTCCAAGGCGGCTAAGAGAGTTTGATGTGCAAAGGAGAAATAATACATGTTCAGAGAGAAACTAGTAGTATACATTCAAATTGCGTACAATAGCTATTGTAAATAAAGTGTTGTCAAAACACAATCTCAAATGCATGGTGGTCAGCATACTTATTCACATAGTAAGCTTGAAATGTGTCATAGGAATTGTGAAATTTGAATCCCTGAGGTAAAAACTCCATGCCATACACCAGAATGAGGTGTACAGCACGATAGATAGTGTTGACGTGAATGATAGCATGCTTGGATGCGCCACCCGTGGGACTGACAATCCACATTCCTGTATCTTCATCTGCAGTGTCGCCAACCTTGTCAGTTGTGGTTGCAGTTGCTAGTGTCATTGCAGGAAGTGTCATGTACATTAGCATTTAGGACATCTTGTACTAGTATAAACCAGGTGACTTACCTAAGGCATTCATAGCTGCTGAGAGGCAGGTGCCAGCCAACATCCCTCAATGTGTGAATGCAACTTGTGCTGCTGAAATTTTGTTGAGCCATTGATTGATCAATAACATTTGACCAAGCATGTAAAAACGGCTCGATCATTGCCAAGGCTCTTTGACCACTTTGATGTGCTTATTCTTGGTAATTGATGAGCAGAGGCCATTGGGCGCAGCAAAAGTCATATATTTTGTATGTAATGCTTGAGCAAATGTTGACAAGGCAATGAGAAGGTAGGAATAGCACCTGATGTTTTGAAGATTTTGCGGTAATGATGAAAGCATGAGAGTGCATCTTCAATCTCAACTAGAACATCATCTGTGATGATATTGTGGCAAATGAGGTAGCAAAATTCTAGGAGTGCAAGGAAGGTGCGAACAATATTAGTATGTACATGACCCTCAATTGCGGGCAAATAGACATATTGAATTAGTAAGTTCTATGGTGAGGTAAGACTCAAAAAATGCACGTATTACCTTCATCGGGGCCTTAGAGTCGTTTCCTGTCCACTGCTTGAAGCTATGTCCCTGAGGGAATTGTTGCAAGCCCAAAAATGGGGTCACAGTGGCAATCCTAAGATACAATGAGTGATCATATATAATATAAACACCAGATAAGCTTACCTGCAATCAATATCATCTAAAATTTGCTCTGTGCATCACCTCAGATGAACATTTCTAAGGTATTTTTTGACCCATTTCACAAGGTGGTCCTTGAAGGTGTCTTTGATAAGCTGATGGAGGATGTCAGGTGAGATCATTTGGTATATATCGGCTTGGAGGAAGTCGTTTGTAAATGGCTATTGATATGAAATAATTAGTATTGATGACCTGTGAAGAGCGTGCCAATTGACATACCACAAGTTCTGGGACTATCCCTGCTTCATTCCACAAATCACCCAAGGGACCTTCTTCAATAAGTGCCTCCATGTATTCATAGCAACAACACAACAAGTCTTGATCAGGATCGGCACAAGGTGCCATACATCTGTAAAGGTATTAGTTACAAGATAAAAAAAACATACAAAATGATAGATACATACTTAGGACACCGACCACGAACAATACATGTCAATAGTACTTGCTCCTCATAGTCTGTGATGTAAGGTCCTAGCCCATATATAACTTACTGGTAGTGACCATCTCCAAAATGTGCGACTTCTGGTGTTGTCATGCCCAGCTTGAGTGAACTGAGAATCTTTGAGAGTGACGAATGAAATAGTTGTCAACAAAAATTTTGAAAGGTTGGCTTGTCAGCATGTTCTTTTGTAGCTGTGCATGCGGGCATGAGTGCAGAATGGATGAATGTGTTGTGACGGTAAATCAGCTAGAACAGTTTACTCTGACATACTTTTTGGCATAGCGAGAAACCCAATAATTACTTGTCCATCATGATGAGCTCATCAAACATTGTTGTGAATATTCCCAATTGATGCATAAAGCGGGTAATATTCATTATTCCCCATACCAACTGAAACAGTTGTTTTGTCACTACCAAGGATGATAGGGATGAATGTCGAGCTGAGCATGTTTGGATCTTTAGCAATTTCGTCCTAGACATGGATTGAGTAATTATTGAAGTAAAGTCAAGTACTTACTGCCTGGTCCCAGGCCCAGTTGCCTGACATGAAATTCTTCCACTGATACTGATCATTCTCCGTTGAGTATTCTCAATATGGGCAGTAGTCAAATTTGTTAGCGTATGCTGAGCTGGAAAGCATGTTGCATGCAACCTCACATGGGTCATGGAATCATATGTCATACTTATCATCCATCCAGGGCTTGGGATTCTCAGGTCTCTCACCATCATAGGCCACCATGAAACATTGCCATCTTACATCTCCAAAGGATAAATCATCAATCATCTCATAAAGATCACGATGATCTGCAAATGGTGGCCAGTTGTTGTACTTTGCAAGGGTAGATGCCCATATGTTCAACAGCTGGTTGATCTGACCTGCTGACATCTGATTTTGTGTCTACAGGAACTCCGCTGTTTCAAATTCTGCATGGCTATAAAAGGGTGTCCAGTCATCTGAGGCTACATTCTCAGGAGGAGGAGTGCCAGGAGGGAGATATATTCCATCTGCATCACATGGTTTGCCTACTGTTGTGTGAAAAATAAGATGAAACCAGCCAGCAAATGAATGTACCATTGAGACCCATGTGGTAGTTCCTATATAGATGATTGCCAGGCCCAAAAAACTCTGTGTGAATGTTTGACTGAGGGGCAGTTGGTGTGGGGAGATTGCCCATGTCAATACCATAGTCAGTGCATTGAAGATGAGGAATCTAAACTGTGGGGAAAGTTGATGCTAAGGTAAGCAAACACAGATAGACCCGGTGAAGATGAGGAATCTAAACTGTGTGGTAAGTTGGTGCTAAGCTAAGCAAACACAGCTAGTCCCGGGTGCAAGTGAAATTGTTGACCCAAGGGCAGCTAGCTGGTAAAGGGAAACCTCTCTTTGTAAAAAGAGGGACACCAAACAACTAATAAAGTACTAGGGCTAAGTAATGTGCAAAGTGTGGGGCTGTTACAAGAACATCTAGACGCTTGGGCCCCTACCATTTTTCTCCTGATCCTCCTCGTATCAGCCCTTGCATCATACCCTTACCCTGACCTTACCCTGGTCATCCTTGTCATTCTCGCATTCCCTTTCGCTCTCTACCTGTCGCTTCAGCAGAGCCAGTACATCTGGCCGGATCCTTTCGCTGACAAAGCATATCCATGCTCCGTTCCACCACCTGACTGATCCTGTGGACAGTCCCCTTGCCTTTACCGTCCGGATGGTAACCTATGATATGATGCACGACGCATCCCCTTTGCCCTGTTTCCTTTCTTGATCTCTGACTCAATGCGCAGTCGCACATGCGACTTATACTTAGCTCCGCAGCTGCACGATCGTGCCCCTGCATGTTTCACCTCCTATTCTGATCTTTGACTCACTTTCTTATCTGCACATTCAGAGCTCACCCGTGTCTCACCTCGAACGTGCCTTCCTTTTATGGTCATACCCTTTACCGTTTACTTCTCTTGGTAGTATGAGTTATCATCCACTAATACGCTTCCTGTCCTCTATATAAACTCGCTACCATGTAACATATTCCTTAACTTGAATCTACTTGGTTCTTGACCTCCTACTCTCACCAGAGTGATCCTTTCTGCCTCGCCAGCAGTCTATATTCTATCTTCTTATCTGCTTTTCGCAGATAAGCCTATAGTCTCGATCTTTACTCATTGACTTCGTCGACGAGCAAAGCCCCTGTTAACTAGTCGGACTTCTGTCCTTCTAATTAACAATGATCTTACGATTAACCTTCGGGTGTCATAAGCCTAGGCCGATATAGCTTATCGTCTCGCAACCGCTTGACATAAGCTACCCGATTTGGACATAGGCGTCAAATCTTACTTGCCGAAGCCTCGCCAAGTAAGACCCCTAACCTTGGGCTAGCCCAAGGACGTCCTCGACCGTTGACGACACACGCTCTGTTTGAGCGTCGCCAACAGATACCATCCAAGTCGTAACAATTCTCCCTTTTCTCAATCACGGTCAATCTCGATGCCAATGATTTGAGCCCCTTCAGTGACAAATCCCATATTATACGGGTCACCTGACCTACATAATATCCCATATAAGATGGGCCAGCAGACTATGGGCTGATGTTATGTATATCCCCGATGTTGACAGATGGGCCAGGAGGGATATTATTTCCAATGGAGACGGGTGGGCCCATCTATGCTGATATTATATATATCCTCGAAGATGTCGGGTGGGCCAATGTAATGGTTTATTGTATAGATGGGTGGGCTGATGTAAGGGTTTATTGTATAGACGGGTGGGCTGACATACTGGAATTATTTTGTAGACGGATGGGCTGAGGGAGTGGTGGAATATTCATTATATAGATGGGTGGGCCAATGAAGGGGGATGTTATATAGACAGGTGGGCCAATGGAGGGGGATGTTATATAGATGGGTGGGCCGAGGTAGTGAGATATCTGTCTGACATTCACAGATTAATGAGTCCCAGATGCCCAAAAACCAAATCCCATTGTGCAACATCCATTCCAGACACCCGAACACCCGAAGCTCGAGACTGGAAACTGGAAACTTGTGAAATGTGTGAAATTTCTATTTCCTTACACCAAACACATGAACACCTGAACACCCAAAGCCTGAAGCTTGAAAGTCCATTTATCAAATCACCAAGGGTCGAGTGCTGATAAACCCGAAGCCTGAGACCCAAAATCCGAAGCCCGGAACCCAAAAACATGTATGCAAAATGTCCATTTTTCATTCATTGCACAAATCACTGAGTGTCAAGTGCCACAATCCGAAACTCGAGACCCAGTACACAAATCACCAAGTACCAAGTGCTGAGGGCCGAACCCCAAAGTCCAAGGCCCAAAACCTGAAGTCCAAAACCTGAAAACATGTATACAACATATCAATATTTCACTCATTGCACAAATCACCGAGTGTTGAGTGCCAAAACCTGAAACTCAAGACACAGTACACAAATCACCAAGTGCCAAGGCCCAAAACCCAAAGCCTGAAACCCAAAAATATGTATACAACATATCAATATTTCACTCATTGCACAAATCACCGAGTGTTGAGTGCCAAAACCCGAAACTTGAGACCCAGTACACAAATCACCAAGTGCTGAGTGCTGAGTGCTGAGGCCTGACATTGAAAGCCTGAAACCCGAAGCCTGAAACTCAAACATATGCATACAACATATCCATATTTCCCTCACTGCACAAATCACCGAGTGTCAAGTACCGAAACCTGAAACTCAACACCCGGTACACGTGACTACAACTGGACATAAATTCTGTATTTGTATGTATTATCCATTGATGTAGGGTTCAAATAACTTGGGAATTGTATTGACTACCGAGTGTTGGGACTTGGGACTCGCTAGTCAATATAGGAAAATGATGATGAAAAAATGAAAATTATTATTATGCTTAACTTTCTTAATAAAGGTTGTAGTCCAAGTCTATGTGAGTGTATTGGTGGAAGACTATGTTAAATGTTAGTTAGTGTCAAGTATGATAATGAATGTATAGTCATACCTCAGTCTGAGAACAAATAGACTGAGGTAGGATGATGCAGGTATGAGGATTATATATTTGTCTGGCATGTTAGCAATGATGTAAAGATGAGGCGTGCATTTGTACATGTGTGCAGTAAGTGAGCATAAAGATAAAAGAATGAATATTAATAGTGAGACTTGCACATTATGTTGAGATATCCAACATGACAAGCCTGTGATGGGATCAGAGACCTGGAATAACACCCATATATGTCCATTATAATAGCCCTAATAGTTTAGAAAGATCCATGAAGGATTGATGTAATGACAGGCATATGTGTGAAATGTGACAATAGACATATTTTTACAAAGTCACATTTATAGATGATTCAGGCCAAAGATTTCATTAAAATATGTAGGATAGATTGTAAACTACCTAAGGAACCCATACTGCCTACTGCCTTGAGGGTAGGGGGTGGGTGGATGTCACGAGTACCTTTAACAAACCATTATTCTTTCCTGAATCTTCCTAAGCGCCAATACACAGCGCCTAAGACAAACCCTAACCCTACCTCAAAAGCGTCTACCAGTTCAGAGATTCCATTAGCGCCCACGACACGTGTCTTCGATGTGACTGATGAAGAAGACGAGTTCTTTGATTGTGATTAGATTAAATAAGATACGATAAGATAAGATATGGTCACGTGATACTTCTTTAATATTCTACGATGTTCTATGGTACAATTCCCTTTCCTATTTTATGATTGGCTAGTAGTTGTAACTCAGTTTCAATCTCCTTTTCAATAATTGTATATAGTTAGCATGTCTTGGTCGATAGTTCTTTAGTTCAAACCTCTTGTATCTACAACTGTAGCAATCCAAGACGTACTTGCTCATCTTTCTCTTCGTCCGATAACCTTCGTTTGAGTCCTAGTCTCTGCCCAGCGTTAATTCGTTATTGGGTTGTGACATTAGGTTTGAACTATAGGAGACTCCGACTCTCGCATACCGCTCGCATCATTTCTCTCTAGGTGATTCGTTGAGCACATCGCCAACAAACCACTTAGATAGCCATTACACGTTTTCCATTGCCCGGTCTAAACAACTGCGATCATTTTCTGAAACCCATCCTTTTGCTCGCTTGAGCTTTTCACGAATAGCCTTTATTAGTTAGTAGTCCTATACCAGGCCCTGCCTTACATTGCAGCCGCCAGTATACGGAGGTGTTGACGACATTAGGCGTCTCACTACAACTTTGAGTGCTGGCCCAAGACCCTGCCTGCTCAACGTTACTATAGTTTCTTTCATACCTACATCTTTCTTCATACGCACGTAGAACCTTTCGTTAAGTCTAGTGGAACTGTCGCATCTGCGGATAGTCCTACCATCGTTACCACGAGGATTTAGATACGGGATTCTAGTGAGACTCGCACTTGTAAGCTTCGGCTGGAAGAGTGATAACTTGTCCTAGACCTGTACCCTTTCGGTGACTGAGAAGTAGCACACACGAAGCACACAGTGTTTTTCCCACTTAACAAAGCATAGTTTTACGTATCTCTTTCTAGTTAGTAATTAGGGAAGTGTCAGTCGGGTTGACTAAAGAACCCTTTGACCCTAAAGGACGAGGTTGATCCAGTTAGTACTGGGGACCCCTTTAGCTTTCCATTTACATATCCTTTTTCCCTCTCCCTTTCATCATCTTTCCTATCCAGAAGAGCCGTTACGACCCGCTCTTCAACAGTCATTAGTGAATCGGATTCCAGAACGCACCTGGCACTATGGCTGAAGTCAACGAAACAGAGATGGGACCTGAGAACCCCCAAGAACCCCAAGAACAAGGACCTCAGGGACCACAACCACAAGGCATAGCTATGCCAGTGGAATTCACCAACTATGTACAGAATGCCATCACCATGGCAACACAC